GACGCCGTGCTGACCTGCAGCACGGACACGATGCGTAAACTCCCGAATCTCATGTACACCCGGTTCGGGATGGCCGTGACATCTCTGCTGAAGATCCACTTCTCCGTGCGTACTGGTGCTTTCGGGGAAGTCGTCACGCCGCAGGCCGTGAACGTGGCCTTCTACCTCGATGCCCTAGCCAACAAGCTAAGCGAAGCCAGTGCCGGGGGCAAATACCATATCCCCGGTCGGTGGTATCATGTCGTGGGCGTTAAGGGTCGGGATTGGTATGAGCGGCTGGAGAGGCGGCAGAGTGGAGGGATAGAAGTTGGTTCTAGGATCGTATCGGGGAGTCCGTCAACCGGGACTGCAGAATCGATCTCAGGTCCAGCGTCACACCCTAGCCAAGGCCAAAGCCAAAACCAGGGCCAAGACACACACTTGAACCAAGTCCCATCAACGATGGTGGACTCATTCCCCGTCCCTATGCCCCAAATGCCACCGGCAATAGACAGCATGCGCGACGGGTACGTAGCGATGGGTGGTGCGGGTATGTGGGCCATGGACGGCGGGCATAACCCGCATTTCTACCCCATGAGCGCAGCAGGGTATCAGCCTTCGGTGACGCATGGGCAGGCGGCGTTGCCGCCTCAGTTTTCATATGAGCCGCAGAGGATTCCGGTTAGTGCTGCTGGGCAGCATATGGCTAGGGCGGGCATGGAGTTGGACGGGTGGCTTCCTGATGGGAGTATTTTTGGGGTGCAGCCTTTGCCTGAGTTTTGAGACGGAGATGAGAACCCTGGGGTGAACGCTGGGATGGGTGCACATGTGGATGAGAGTCTATGTAATGTCATAGATCATAGGCATGAACTGTATATACATATCAACTTGTTAATATTTTAAACCGATATACCGTAGTCATATCAGCAGGAATCTTGTTATACTTACCAGTACACGAGAACAAGATCCAAGAAGCTCCAAGAAGCTCCAAAAAGATAGAGCTCAGCACAATAACTCAAGCCTGATAGATGGGGAGTATAGAACTTGGAAGGCTCATACCCATCAGCGCGCAACAAAACCCACACAGTCAAGTCACCAAGACGAAAAGAAAAGAGGAAAAGAAGAAACCCCCAACAAGAGAGAATATTCCAACACCTACAAAGTAACGGACATTAATCTCCCATTTAGCCCGAACAAATATATTCGCAAAGCGCTGTCGGAGGCTCGGGAGGATCGGAACTTCCGCGATGGAACCGTCGAGGATCCTTGATGTATTGAACATGGGTCTGATGTGGATTTATCCAGGATCTTGGATGTTATTTCCTTCATCTGCACTACAACATACAGGGTATTATGTTGTTATGTTGCATTGGTATGTTGTAGAGGATTTTGATGGCATTGGCTTGTGTCTTGTACTCCTTGTATTCGGGCTGATTCGGGCCGAAGCCGAACCCGAATTTGATGTGGAAAGAGGATAGGTCTTGGAGGTTCTTGGATTAAATTGTGAATGCATCGCTGTTATTGTATTTCGATGTAATGATTTTTTTCGCTATTTATCAGGGTTTTAATTTATAGGAATGTGCTGTATAAGTCACTCGTGGAGCGGGATCTATGAAGGATCCGAACCCATGGATGAACCCATGGATAGACATCAATCACATGTAATAATGCATAGACCAATCGTTAATCATAGTTTGCGCAAATAGTCTCAGTCAAAACAGGTTCGTTAATTCATTGCATAGATGGAACATGGATATCAAAAGCCAACCGAAACCAGGACCAACCACTTGGTCTATTCAACTCCTCCGGAAAAACCAATAAGCCCAGTACACTGAACCAAAGGAAAGGCGTAAAAGTAAATCAATGCAAATCACAGGATCGAAAATGCCTCTAGCGCATCCATAAACCCAGCAATAGCCCCGATCCCCACCAGCCCCCTTGTAGCATTACGAGTCAATGCCTTATGTCGATCCTTGGCATCTTCGCGCGAGGATCGGCGTGGGTGCGACGACGGGGACCGTTGATCCGAGCGAGGCGGCGAGACTCGGAAGCTAGACTCGGGGGATGAGGAGGAAAGCGGGTATGCGGATGGATGGTGACGGGGTTGGAGGTTGTTGTTGCTGTTGGGGATATTGCTGTATGCCTGGTTTCTGGCCCGGGGAGGCTCGAAGTGGACTTGGTTTGGCGATGAGCCTCTGGGAGAGGGATTGGTATTGGGAATGGTGATGGCTGGGTTGTTGGGTTGGTTTATATTCATTGGGATGGATCGGGGGGCTGTGGTGTAGTCTTGGTTTGGGTAGTATTTGTATGACTGCTGGGGAGGACCTGGCTGTGTGTGTGAAGGTAGTGGTGGAGGACGGGGTAGAGCATGGTTTGGGGGCGGGAAGCTGCCGCTTGGGTATGCGGGGTGTCTGCTGTCGGGATTGCTGTGACCCGGAGGATATCTGGATGAGAGGCTGTTGGAATGGAAACGGCGGCCATGCATGGGGTTGGTACTGTGTGAGGGCCGAAGAGTGTCCGATCTTTGCTCGCCCTCGTCACTTGAGTCGATGACTCTGGAGTCGCTGCGAGGGTTATCTCGATGCTTGAGATATTCATCCGGCTCTGGTTCGCTTTCCACGTGAGCCTGGTAGCTGGAGTACTTTCGGCGCAGCTCTGCTGCATGTTGCCGGGCCTCTTGTGAATGAGGGTCTCTCCAGTCCACTGTTGATCCTTCGAGGTAGTAACCTCGGATGTCGTGACTGTCAAAGTCTAGCTCCTCGGTATCATCTTCTTCGGTGTCCGAAGAGACGTAGACTCGAGGTTGGACTCGCTTGTTGGACGTGTTGAAGCCTTTGCCGGCGTGGTGAAGTTTCGAAGGGTCAATCAAAGGCACCCAGAGTGAAAGCAGCCGGTTCAATGTGCTCTCAGATAGTTGCACCATATCCTTCGGGGATCTTTCCATATCACCCAGTCCCATGTCACTGTCTCCAAAAGTAATAATGGGCAGTCTTGTCGGATCGGAGCGTCTGATTGCGGCAGCGAATGGCTTCGATGCTGATGCCGATATCGTGTTGGACGAGTAATTGGAACTGATCCTCTGGTTTGTCGGGTCATTGGCGGCATCCAAATGTTCCTGTTCCACAAGATCCCACAATCGATCGAGGCGCTTGAAAGACCAATATCGGACGATGATCATGTTCTGACATTCCGCTTTCTCCTGGGCAATGGCGTCTTCGGCGGTCGATGTAAGGGAATCTGTATCAATCCCCTCATCAACGTTGGATATGATAACGGTTCCAAGTTGTAGAGTTTGTAGCATCACAATCAGGCTAAGCTTGAGAGATTCCAACTGGGCTAGCAGATAAGTGACATGCTGCTTCCGGAAACACCATTTGAGTCTCTCTTGCAGTGGGATCCTCATAAGATCATTGTCTCTATCGGTTGCCTTCAGCTTGTCCAGCATGTGTTCGATTTCGACGAATATCATCTGGCCTTGTCCGGCGATCTCCCATGCCTTCTCTGTTGCCTCTGGAGACTGGTCCACATTGGTGCCCTCAATCTGCCCAACATGTTTGAGCGCCAGAGCGAAAAGCGAGATTCCCTTGGCGATGCTATGAATCTCCAGTCTGGACTGAGCGAGTTGACAAGCGGCAGCATTGAGGAGCAGTGAGAGCCGAAACCCCGCGCCAGCGATCTTAACAATGGAAGCCTGTGAGCCTTTAGATAGAGAGAAGGAGCTCATTAGTAGAATTTCTCAACTTCTCAAAGGGCAAGTCATACCTTGTGCCATGATGAAGTGCGCAGTTGTTTTAGATCATATCAAAAGACAAAGTGGATTTCCCCAACGATCATAACCTCCAAGCTACTCTTTGCCAAGGACTAGAGCCGCAAGCCTACTGCATATCAAGTGACTCACGTCTGACATATGCATTTGTACCCCCGGGGGTTCTCTGTTTGTATCCCCGCGATTCATGGCGTCATAATCTATGCTTTCTCGTCTTTTCGTTGGTCTACGAGGACGGGCGGAGTCGATCTTCAACTTGAAATGATCTAGCGCATACTTTTCCTTGTTCTATGAAGTCCCGGGCAAAAGTAGCCGGCACTGCCTCAAACTTTGATCAACACGTTCCGCTCTGCTCTTTGCCCTGGATTTATTTATCAAGACTGTCTCGCCCGTATCAAAAGGGTAGATTCTCTACCGGAGTCTTCGGATGCCGGTGAAAGATCCTATCCTTGCTCTTTACCCGGGGTTTCTCCCAAGGCGAAGCATGGTGGCAGTGACCTCGTATTATGAGAACTGGGATCTGGAATGAAAGGCAAATCTAATTACCAAGTTCCGTTATCTCCGACTCAGGGGCTTTTTCATGCTTTGTATAACAAAATACAATAAGCCACAAACGTGGTATGAAATAGACATGCAGCTATTCCGAGGTGGATCTCACAAGCATTGACCTGTTAAATGTGAAACCTTCCTATAGAATGAAGAGTAGAGAATATCAAAATATTCAAAAGTATTCTAAAGAATGTATGCGTTATTCAAGTATCTCAAGTATCTACTGTTTTCATTCAGACTTGTTTATTTAGCATCCGACCCGATGGGCGCATTTCCGCTTTCGGTCCCTCAACAGTTCCTTTTGCTATTTGCCTAATCTCCCCCCCAAAACTTTCAAGTTTCTCTCTACAATAATTCTTTAAACTCCTTTAATTACAAACTTGACTTAAGTCCTTTGTTGTGGCTGCTGTGCTGGCTAATTGATCTCTCCGCCGTACTCTCCGCCCCTCCTTTTTCGCCGCGTGGCACACCGTTATCTGCGGAGATTGAAGCCTGTCCGATGACCATCTAGTGGCCCACAATCGGACGTGGGAAACTTGTGATAAGACAAACAGGCCCAGGTAAGAGCTCAAAAGCTCAACGCAACAATTGTGAGGCCGGATGGGTGAGCTCCCGAAGGTATCGCGAAGGAACGTGAGGACGCAAGGGACAACTGGGATTCGATACACCACCTTAAGGCCCCCAAGAGCCTCCAGTCCATGAAATCATGACCGCAGACTCGGGTGTCACCGTAGACACCTCCGATAATCCTATACCCTCCCCGCCGAACGCCACCAATTCGTCCCGCTACGAGCCCCAATCGACGAAGGGCGATTCCCCCACAAATCAGAATGAAAAAGAGACAGAGGGTTCAGCGCCCCAGCCAGTAGCATCCGAACCCGCTGCAGGGTCTGCTAAACGAGACCCCCCCGCATCAGATGAAGTAGATGATTTTGGTCTACCCATTCGAGCACGCCGACCCGACCCCACCCCTAGCGAGTCCCCCGAAGGAGAGAATGCCAGCCAAAACATCCAGAATGTGGCTGCGAGCTCGACGGGCTATAGTGACGCTGTGAAAAAGGAGAAGGAGCCAGAGTTGTCACAGGGCAAGCTGGAATCCGGGGCCCCTGAGCCAGCCAATCCGAATAATACAGAAGAGCGAGGCAAGGGCGCAGAGGCCCAGGACACTTCTCCTGCACCCCCGGAGTATTCGGAGGCTTCTAGTGCTCCCGCTCAGCCTCGGACCTCAACTTCGAAGCAAAAACATGCCCAAGTGTCGGAATGGTCGCATCAGCGCCTCGCCCAACCTGATGCACATCACCCTGAGAGTGAAGAGTCGGACGCAGAGCCCGATGAATGGACATCGATGCCTGCACTTGGAGAATTCGACTACTATGACGACTATGGGAGACTCATTGCTCGTGGCGCCAAAGAAGAAGGCGACGAGGCTGTATACCAAGGATTAGGAGGAGCAGGGAGGGGTTATACTCGGGTGCAGCTTGACGAAGATGCCCAGTCTGCCACAAGTCTAGATGATGATACAAACTACCTTTTCCGAGAGACAGGCGGCAACTCTGCTGGTCTAGTTGGCGAGGAACTGCGAGATACTATCAGCCAGCTCCAGGCTACCAAAGACCTTCTCAACGAGACTCAAAAGATCGCATATGTGGGGGTTGTCAGGTTGGCAATCCATAATATGAATCATGATCTGGCGTCAATTGCCACAACCAAATCCACGCGCAAAACCATGCAGAAAGCCTCGGATGCCATGCGAAAATGGGGCCAGGCGATCATGGGGCGAGTCTATGCTCATATGGATATCAATTCTGCAGAGCAGATTATGATTGAGCAGCTCGCGGAGCATGGGGTGCAACCAGAAGATCTGGTTCGACCACTCATGCAGAATGCGCGGGTCAAAAACCCCATGGCAGAGAGTGAACCGAAAACCTCTACATCCAGTCAGAAATTCGACTCTTCATCTAGGCTCTCCGCAGAGACAGATTCGTCTGAACTAGATCCCCCTCCGCCATACGAGGCTCACGAGACCGAGGAGCCCCCGGAGGTCAAGATGCCTTCTGAAATGCCAACATCTGATCGCATAGATATTGATCTCCGCTGGACTGTCCTCTGTGACCTGTTCCTTGTGCTCATCGCAAATTCAGCATACGACGCTCGGTCGCGAACTCTTTTGGAAAGGGTCGGCGCAGCTTTGGATGTAACATGGCTACAGATCTCACGGTTCGAAAAGCGAGTAACAGACTCCCTTGAAATGCAAGAACAGGCAGAGAAGGAGAATTGGGACGAGTCAGACCACATGGAAAAGCGCCGCAAGATGGCCTTGAAACGGAAATATATGATTATGGGTTTAGCGACGGTCGGCGGTGGACTGGTCATCGGCCTTTCCGCTGGACTGTTGGCACCCGTCATCGGAGCCGGTCTTGCGGCTGGTTTTACTACAGTGGGTATCTCTGGAACCAGTGCATTCCTGGGAGGAGCCGGCGGCACAGCTTTGATCGCTTCTAGTGCTACTCTAGGTGGAAGCACCATTGGAATGAGGGCGTCGCATCGACGCATGGGTGCAGTTCAAACCTTCGAATATCGACCTCTTCATAATAACAAGAAGGTCAATCTGATTGTGACGGTCTCTGGCTGGATGACTGGCAAGGTTGATGATGTCCGTTTACCTTTCAGTACTGTCGATCCGATTATGGGCGATATCTATTCCGTGCTATGGGAGCCTGAGATGCTTCGAAGCATGGGTGACACTATCAATATTCTGGCAACAGAGGTAAGCTTTTTAAGATACGTGGTAATTGTTAAATAGACTAACTGGTTCTTTAGGCATTAACACAAGGTCTGCAACAAGTACTAGGTAGCACCGTCCTAATGGCGTTGATGGCATCTTTGCAACTACCACTTGTCCTGACTAAACTCGCATACTTGATTGACAATCCCTGGATCGTTTCGTTGGCACGCGCAAACTCAGCCGGCCTCGTTATGGCCGATTCCTTGCGAGAGCGTAATCTTGGCAACCGGCCTATTACATTGCTCGGTTTCTCCCTCGGCGCGCGCGTGATCTTTTCTTGTTTGAAAGAGCTGGCCGAAAAGGGCGCCCACGGTCTAATTCAGAATGTATACCTATTTGGCTCGCCCGTTGTGGCGAACAAAGACGAATACCTCAAGGCTCGGAGTGTGGTGTCTGGACGATTTGTGAACGGTTATGCTACGAATGATTGGATCCTTGGCTACCTCTTCCGGGCAACGAGTGGTGGAATCATGAAAGTGGCCGGCCTTGCAGCTGTCGAAGGCATACCGGGCATTGAAAACTTTGATATTACCTCGCTTGTGAATGGTCATATGGATTACCGTACGGCTATGCCTCGAATTCTGAGGGAAGTTGGTTGGGAGGTTCTTGAGGATGAGTTTGCAGAAATCGAGGATCCAGACCCAGATAACCACGCTGAACGACAGCGCGAGTTGATTCGCGAGATTGATGAAGCTCGCCGAGAAGCAGAGGCAAAGCCAGAGAAGAAGCGCTTCGGCCTGTTCAAGCGAGGCAAGATGGCCGAAAAGAAGAAATGGGAAACCTACGATGTCGACAAAAACACCGCCCCTCGCGATTCAAGCGAGCCCGAAAGCAGCCCCGGCACTGTCCTCTTCGACATCGAGGCCATCCGAGCCGAGTTGCACTCCGAGGCGATCGAAATCAAAGAATTAGAGTCAACTATGCCTCTGATGAAGCTAGACCTGAACACTCCGTCAGAACCACCATCCGCCCAGCCCTCTCCCCCTACCTCCAAGAGGCCCAAGACGCCCGAACTTCCAGCTGTTCCTCGGACTTCTTCGCTACCCCCGCGAGCATCGGGACAGTATTCTCCTCACGGGCCCAATGAATTCTCTCCCGCGCCGAAGCATGAAGATATGGAAATGACGTTTGACACATCATTCCATGAATCCCCACGATCCAAAAACGACGACCGTCACTCTCGTCCAGAGTTGAGAACTGCCTCTACAATGCCGACGGTTGGGACCAGTGCCCTCGGAGCTATGGCCATGGAGCCCAATGCCTGGGCGGACCATGATCAGGGACATCGGGATGGCGAGATCTCAATGACGTTCGAATAGTGTCGGCTCTGGGGTTCTTCTCATCTTTCTTTTCTTCTCTTTCTCTTTATACTTTTCTTCCATTGATTCGGTTTCCGAGACTTAATGAGGCGCATGGCTTACACATGCGTGTTTAGCTTAGCCATGATCTGATTGTGTATATGCCCATGCCCATCCATCTGTGTATAAAGGCAGCCCTAGCTTCAACAATTATCACGATACGGTCCTAAGTTATACGCGATTGTTCTTTTACCTATGTAGGTAATATGTTGGACCGTATAACCATGTCAACTTTGGAGGTATACCTAGGTAACCTTTCCGAGTTACGCCATTGCTATGTAATATCTACCCGTGTGAACTAGAGGGCTCTAGCGTCCGAGATTGGAACTCCAGCGATGGCAGAACTTGGGAAAAGAACATTTTATGACTTCCAAGGTTATATCTGTTGATCTCGAATTATTAATCAAATACCCTGATCATCAGCAAGTGGCCTACGCTTCTAGCAAAGCCATTGATAGCGCGCAAGAATAGTTGGCCGCAAATGCGGCCTTGTCACGTCTTCTTAGTGGCTTCTCAGTGATCTGTTAAGTGCTCTGTTTAGTGCTCTTTTTGGATGTCTTTTTGGATGTCTTTTTGGATGTCTTTTTGGATGTCTTTTCGGATGTCTTTTGTTTAGATATTCTCCCCTTGTTAGTGTTGTAGGTAGAATACAGGCGGTAAAAACGGCTTAAAATGTGCAAGACGACTTTTCCATGTATATAACCTTTGAATTTGACTTACACCGACAGGGCTTGACAAGGCAATTTTTACCTTACACCGGAGTGAACATCGATGTCAATGGCATATCAAATCAGCCAGACTGGGGATGGGGCCCTAGAAGACCCCCCTCGTGGCCACCCAAAGCGACCTACGGTAGTTCTCGAAGTTGCAATTTCGGAGACGAGAAAGAGACTGGAGCAAGATATGGCTTTGTGGCTCAACCCCAGTAGGGGTCACACTAACATCGCTATAGCCGTTAAGGTAAGCAGAGCCAGACCAACCATGACCGTTGACAGGTACGAGTGGGACTATACTAATGGCCGGCCCCAAAAATCGTAGCATATCGAGGTGTGGGAAAACGCAGAGGGAGACAAAGTCACAGTCTCTAGAGCCCCCTAAATATCCCATTTGACCTGCTGTTCCTACGGAATCCAGTGCCTCATAGAGAAGCTGATTTACATATCCAGATCAAGGAAAGCGAAATGGGCGATAAAATCAGTCTCTGGAGCCTCTCAAACTATCCTCTTTGATCTCCTATTCCTACGAAATCCAGACACAGAGAGATTGATCTACATATCGGAGAGGAAGAAAAAGAAATCGCAAAATGGACAGTTGTTTCCCCTCAGTGTGGCACCTAGTACGTACAGAGGCAAATAGCGGCATAACGGACAAACTTGGAGCGCGCATTTGATTGGTTCAGCATATTGATTCACCGCCTCTCTCACCGCCTACTCTAATATCATCACGGACCCTTCTAGTTTTTTTGGATAAAACATTTGGGTCTTTTTGAGTGTCTTTTTTCCCTTATTAATGTTGTAGCTAGAAGGATGATTGGAAATGCATAACAGAAAACCGAAGAATAACGGTGAAAAGTATAATCCCTACAAAACGACCTTTCAATGTACATATAAAATGCAATATTTGGAGTATTATGATAGATTGATATGTAGATAGAACATAGATCCATAGATGTTACACTAATGATTTTCTGCCGGATGAAAACCCGAGCTACGCGACGGTTCAACCAATCAAATTCCCGTTGTCCGATATGCCGCTGTAGCCCGCCGTAGCCAGGTGTCCGCATTGTCTCAGCTTCTCGAATCCGAGTGTTCTTTGTTTCGAGACCAAAAAACCAATCCAAAACCGATTCAACATTTTACCTCGAACCGAACCGCAGACACCATTGCGCGGAGAGTTGAAACCGCGCAACAACGCGTTGTCCCGTCCCAAGCCCGATTCCCCCTCCCGGCCTGAGCAACGCGCTTCACATGAACCCGGACTGGTTCTCTTTGACTCCAAGCTTTCAGACCCCCGATTGGTGCCGACGATTGACGATTGACGATTGACAATTGAAATCCTCCGCCACCGTCCACCATGGCGGCTCAGGCCAAACCTGATTCCAGCTATGCGTCTAATCGTATGACGAGGAGGAATGCTCCGCGTAGGCATCTTTTGTCCAATTTCAATAAACCTGAATCTGAAGATGCGAAAATTGAAGCCACGGGAATCAATAAGCAGACCTTTCAACCTAGTGTCGAGACAAAGCCGGAGATTGATACAGATGGCGACCCTTTAAGCTCCGATGAAGGCTCCAAACCGGATGTTGCTCAGCCTAGCATTGAGAAAAGAGCGGGGATTGATACAGATGCCGAACCTTTAAGTTCCGACAAAGAGGAAGTCGAAGAGCCCATGCCAGACATCGCTCAACCTAGCATCGAGAACAAGCTAGAGGGTGATACAGACAGCGAACCTCTCAGCTCCCCGCCTCCTAGCTCTCCACCTCTCAGCTCCGATGAAGAGGAAGCGAAAGACCCAAAATCGAACATTGCTCAACCTAGCATCAAGAAAATGTTCGATATCGACACCGATGCCGATCCTCTAAGTTCTGATGAAGAGCAAGCTAGCGACAGCGATGCTTCCCCACGTCGCAAAGAGCTGAACTATACGACTACGACTTTGGAGAAGAAGCTTGCGGAAGGAAACAATAGGGCATACAGTAGTCCACAAACCCATAATGGATACTCTCGCAAACGCGATTTTGTGCGAACCCTCAGCGCTATGACGGGCTCCGATGATGACGAGCCGTTTTTCTTCTCCTCCCAGAGCTACAAGCGCCAAAGGGCCGCAACAAAATATGCGTCCAAGACCTCATACTTCAACAGGCCACCTTACCCAGCACCATCGACCGAGAAAGCGAAAGAGCCGTCGCCAGTCGAGGAAGCCCCAAAAGAACCGGAGGAGACCTTTATAATGCCAAAGGACATCGAAAATTCGAGTTTCTCCCACGGCCCGTTAACGGCGGAAGAACGCGAAGCAATGTTGCTTGACGATGATTCACCTCTCTCATCCCCATCTTCTTCCACTTGTGAGCAAATGTCGCAGCTTGAGGAACTCGCAGCGAAAGAGAAGCGCCAACCATCACCACCCCGCCAAGCCCTGTGCCCGATGTGCCATAAGGAAGTAGACTGGGCTTCGCTAGAACTGTTCAAAGCACAGCCGAAGCAACGGATTCGTGAGCAGGTGATGTTCTGTGAATCACACAAACTTCGCAGTGCGATGGACTTGTGGCGTGAGCGAGGGTACCCTAAAATTAACTGGGACGGGTTTGAAGAGCGTGTTCAGAGCTACTTCCCCGAAATCGAAAAACTGCTTGTCCCTGGTGCTTTCTCTTATTACCGAAACATTCTTGGTACATCTTTCGCACCAGGGAAAGCGAGAAACTTCCGTGTGAGAGTGAGTGATGGCGAAAGGCTTGAGACGATGACCTGTGGTTATTATGGCACCATGGGTGCAACCAGAATGTATGTGGCATATAACCCCCTGCTTGGTCAGACTCCGTTAACACTTGTGTTTAATCTAGACTAGAGTCAATCATCCGTCGTTTCTCGGTGGTTGTACGTCGCCTGGCGACAACAGATGATCTTATCAAGACGGCAGGCGTAGCTGGCTACACACAGTCCGTCCTTGTGCCTGAGCTGGCTGTGCTCATGGTCAAGGACGACATGAAAGTCAACGACGAAGATGCCCGTCGGATTATGAGGGAGAGTATGGACATTGGTGACAGAGTCAATCCAGACCTCAATGTTGTCCCGATACCGGAAGATGTCGAATTATGATTGTGGGTTTACTCCTTTACATTTTATACCATGAGCGCTATGTTATTTCCGTCTCGTTTCTGGCTGTCGCATATGTTTTATCTCTTCTTGCCCCCGTTTCAAGGGTCATGCAGTTTTATCATCTTGCGCGACTGTATATAGATAACCATTTTGATACCACTCATGTTTTGTCTTATGTTTACTGGAATACCACTTATATCCATTCTCAATTGAAGACCCTATCAGCGCATGGTCGTTATTATTTAGTGAGAAAACCCTATTAACTTATAGATCGAAGATAAACATTGGCCCAAAGAGGCAATTTGATAGCGGGTTGGCCCGTGAGGGGTAGCTTTGTCAGCCGATAAGGTGATCCGCTCGGTCGATGATACAATGCGGAGAAGCTTTCCACCCGAGCATTGGCATTTTCACTCTTCCATCAGTCACACAAGATGAGGGAGAAAGACATGCCTTTTTCAGAGACCACACCTCTGCTGGAGGTCAATGTCGCTCCTCAGCGGCATAGATATCCGCACCATGCTGTTCGACGGGCGTGTACTATCTCCCTTGCAGCTCTGCTTTCTGTGGCGACTCTTCTATTCCTACTTCCCATCGCCATTCTGCCTCGAGAGCACGGCTCCATTTGGTCCTATCTCCCCGGTGCCCATCCAATCCCCCACGATGCGTGGCCGGAGAGCTACGGTCTGCCTTACGACCAGCTCCAGCAGATCCTCCTCAATGTGCCTTCCGCAGATAAGGCCCGAGAGTGGAGCCAATACTATACCGCAGGACCACACTTGGGAGGAAAGAATCTGTCTCAGGCGCTCTGGACTTTGGAAAAATGGAAGGAATTCGGCGTGGAGGATACCGAGCTCGCGGCGTATGACATTTACATCAACTACCCGCTCGAGCACCGCCTGGCCCTCTTGAAGACGTCCGGTGATAAGACCGAAGTGACCTTTGAAGCTACTTTGGAGGAGGATGTTCTCGAAGAGGACCCTACTTCCGGCCTGCCAGACCGTGTTCCGGTGTTCCATGGCTATTCTGCTACCGGCAATGTGACTGCACAGTATGTGTATGTCAACTTTGGCACGTACAGGGACTTTGAGGACCTCGTTAATGCCAATGTCACCTTGGAGGGTAAGATTGCTATCGCCAAGTACGGTATGATCTTCCGTGGTTTGAAGGTGAAGCGTGCACAGGAGCTTGGAATGGTCGGCGTAGTTATCTACAGTGATCCACAGGAAGATGGTGAAATTACCGAGGAAAATGGCTATGAAGCCTATCCTAATGGACCGGCACGGAATCCCAGTGCTATCCAGAGAGGTAGCACTCAATTCCTGAGTAAGGGCTCTTCCAAAGTAATGGCATTGCAAAGCTAACTTGAACAAGGTATCCTCCCTGGTGACCCCACAACCCCGGGATACGCATCTAAGCCTGGATGTGAACGACAAGATCCGCACAAATCTATCCCTTCGATCCCATCTCTCCCTATCTCGTACAAGGAGGTTCTGCCGTTCTTGAAGGCGCTCAACGGTCACGGCCCCAAAGCGTCGGACTTCAACGAGTTTTGGCAGGGAGGTGGCCTCGGCTACAAGGGTGTGGATTACAACATCGGACCATCTCCCAAGGATGTGTTGATTAACCTCCACAACCTTCAGGAGTACGTGACAACACCACTGTGGAACGTCATCGGTACCATCAAAGGCCACATCCCCGATGAGGTCGTTATTCTCGGTAACCACCGTGACGCGTGGATTGCCGGTGGCGCAGGAGACCCTAACAGTGGATCCGCTGCCTTGAACGAAGTCGTCCGCAGCTTCGGCGAGGCGCTCAAGGCAGGATGGAAGCCATTGCGCACCATTGTCTTTGCCAGCTGGGACGGCGAAGAGTACGGCCTTCTTGGCTCAACTGAGTGGGTGGAAGAATACCTCCCATGGCTCTCCAAGGCCAACATCGCCTATCTGAATGTCGATGTGGCTGCCGCGGGCACCGATTTCGGACCTCGGGCCAGTCCCCTCCTGAACAAGGTCATCAACGATGTCACCGCTCTGGTGCAGTCCCCCAACCAGACCGTGCGGGGCCAGACAGTCCGCGATGTCTGGAATGGCAAGATCGCGACGATGGGCAGCGGCAGTGACTTCACTGCCTTCCAAGATTTCGCCGGTGTCGCCAGTCTCGACTTTGGCTTTGGTCGTGGTAAGAATGACCCGGTCTACCACTACCACTCCAACTACGACAGCTTCGCATGGATGGAGAAGTACGGTGACAAGGACTTCCTTTACCACCTAGCTTGCACAAAGCTCTGGGCTCTGGCAGCGGCACAATTGGTGGAGTCTCCTCTTCTTGCGCTTAACGCCACCGACTATTCACTTGGCCTTGGATCCTACCTGGACCACATTAAGCCTGCGGCGGACAATCTCCCGGAGAAGACCCACTTCGACTTCGCACCTCTAGATAGGGCCATTCTTGAGTTCCAGGAATCCGCAAAGGCTTTCGATGCCCATGCTACCGACCTGGAGTCCCAGCTTGGTGAGGACGTGCCTTGGTACCACTGGTGGAAGAAGGTGAGACTGTGGTTCCAAATTCGCGTCACCAATGCGAAGTACAAGGGCATTGAGCGGGCTTTCTTGTACCAGCCTGGTCTGGATGGCCGTGACTGGTTCAAGCATGTCGTCTTTGCCCCTGGCATTTGGACTGGTTACTCCGGAGCTACCTACCCTGGACTGGTGGAGAGCCTTGAAGCTGGAGACGTGGAGAATGCCGAGGTATGTGTTTATTTACTGAGCCCTTTTTGCTTTGGGTACATTTGCTAACTTATGTTTCTAGAAATGGAGCTCCATCATCCAGGAACGAATTGGGGCTGCGACCAAGTTGCTACTGTAAATGGCTGCTGGTAAGCACCTTTCTTACCTCGGTATGATAGAGCGTTGGACACACAGCACAGTTGGTCTTGAAGATACACGGATGCATCAATATGAACAAATCGCATGAGTACGACGTCGAAATCGGGCATGTAAACCGTTCCCAACACATAATTATATTCCTCCCAGCATTAAATTATGCGTGCACATTTACCCCAGACTTCGTAATCTGACTAATCAATTACATGACCGAGCATCATCTGCGTAACTTACGTCTGTCCTAATCTCACCCTCTTCTCTTGACCCATAATCCCTCAAACCCCCCAAAAAGAAGAGACAGCCGTCTTAAAAATACAAGATGGTATGTCCCCAGATCTACATCCCCGCACCACGACTCCAATCCAATCCACCCACCCCAACCAGACCCTCCAACCCCAACCCCAAATCCAAACCACTACCAACACACCTACCACCCACCTCTTACATCTTCCCCATACAAAGAAAACCCAAAACTAACAAACAAACCCAGTCCCCACCAACAACCTCTGCCCTAGCCCTCTCCCTCCTAACCAGCCTGGGCGGTATTATCGGCTACTCACGGACCGGATCCCTCCCCTCAATCATCGCCGGCGTCTCCGTCGGCCTCGTCTACCTCCTCTCATTCCTGCGTCTGCGCGCCGGCCAATCCTACGGTGAGGAACTGGGTCTCCTGGCCTCGGCCGTGCTGGGTGGAAGCTCTGTCCCGCGCGTGATCAAAACGGGCGGGAAGCCTGTTCCGCTGGTTCTGTCTGTGCTGGCTACTTACGGGCTTTTTGTTTTTGGGGTTGCGTTTAGGGAGAAGAGGGCATGAGATATTGGATTGGGAAGGGAATGGAAATGGAAAGGCTGGAGGGAGAGATAATGTAGTTCAATGTTGAAGTGTTGGTTCGGTTTTAGTTATACTCGGACATCAATTGAGTCTCTACGTACTATGACTACATATGTATCAGCCATTTGCATTTTGGCTTTAGTTGGATGTTGTGCATATCTGTGCTAGTACTTTTGTACTCTACGCATACGAGGTACAGATAGGATCACCAAGATCAAACATGTATTGGTAGATAACGAAAAACCCATGAGAGTCTAGGACAAAACGCCCGAGATGGATTTCCTACCTCCAGAGAAACGCTAAAAACTTACATCGACCGTAGATGGCATCATGTTGCCGTCTAGGCATTCACATCAAACAGACTCCTCCAGGCCAGGGTTAAACCTCCAGAGGGGGGTCAGGAGGGAGGATCAAAGGGCAAGGCACGTACTGTACGTAGGCTCGTCGATGTGACTTTCGCGAGCCAATAGCTTAGACCTGGGCCTCCCTTCCCCGAACGAGCGGCTCAAGGGAGCCCCTCAATTCTTTCATTCTTTTGGATTTTGTTGATTTTTTTGGGAGTTTTTCGATTTTCTCCTTCAATGTCTTTCAAAATGTCTCGCAGCATCGAACTCAAACACCATCAATGTTTCCTGGGGTTGTCGGGAGCGAGATGGGTGGGACGGGGGAGGACTCGCCAGACTAGGATTTGGAATCAGGGCCACTGATGACAACCAAAGATCCAGCCAGGAGAATGCTCATATGTAACTAGATGTTTTGATGTGTCGACTTAGCTGGGTTCCGTAACTCCATCACTTGCAAATGCAGCAGGAAAAAAAAAACAAAGCAGAACTTAATGCGCCGGATCGATCACCGTGTCGGACTCTTGAATGGCACCCACGATTGCGTTGCCGGGGAGCTCGCTGAGGGCGGTTTGCGTGCTTTGGTTTGGGACGTATGCATATCGAGGTAGCTGCGCCATCTTCTCTTCCGGACTAAGCGTATCATCATTGTAAACCATTCGGATCGCGGGCTTAGTCTTTTCTTTCTTGGGTTTGCTGCTACCCTCTGTCTTGGAGACGACGTCATTGGCTGCGCCTGGAATCTGATTGTCAACAGGTGTAGAGACATTCTCGGTTGGTTGGGCGCTGGATCCATTAGAGTAACCCGAAGCTGCGGGGGTGGGGGGGACGTGTCCCATGTGCATCTGTTGCATTTCGTGGGCGTTGACTGAAGGCACAGCAAAAGCAGGACGCTGGGGAAGGTTTGAGGCGGCCGGTAGGCCCATAAATCTGTTATCGGATGGTGGTTGTTGTTGCTGGGGGAAAGGAGGAGCCCCATAGGAGACTGGTGGCTGTGCAGGAAGTCCCGCGGGGAATGGCGAGGGGTATCCGGTCGGAGTGTAAGGCGAGGCACCAGGGACCTGCTGTCCACCAACCGGGGAGTAACTTGAATAGACAGGACTGCCAGTCTGCGAGAAATGAGGTGTCACAGCGGCGGGGGGGCCACCGTAGGGCTGAGGGTAAGAGTATTGCGGAGTAGCTGCGCTCGGAGGTGATTGCGCCTAGTAATAATTGTTAGTTCTCAAGTCACTTCACATTGAATAGCAGGATAAAACTCACGTATCCAGCGGGTGTTGGCGTAGCCTGAACAGCACTAGAGGGTGTCACATCGCCACTGCTACCTCCGGCAAGGGCCTCCGCACGCCTAGCCTTGTGTTCCGCCAGTCGCTTCTTGAGATCTGAGACAGGTTCAAGCTTTGGCTTCTTCGCCGGCTGGCCGCCAGAAGAGGCGCCAGTAGGAGGGTTTCCTGTCGCATGCTGGCGATCCAGCTCGGCCTGCTGAAATTGTGAAGCGACACGCTGCTGGTGGGCCTTGAGGACATCAGCGGGGATACCCTCCATGCCGAAGATTTCAATATCGACGCCCATGCGGTTCGGCAGCGCATTGTGGACCTGAGTCAATTGCTCTTTATGGACCTGGCTCAAGTGCACGGATAGACCTAGCGGCACAAGTCATCAGTATATGCGCCCACCTTATCTAGATAAAATGCAACTTACCTCCGGCTGTATTCAGTCTGCGATTGCAGTTGTCACACTTGAAATGCTTAGCTTTCTGATGAGAAATGAGGATCTTCAGGTCGTCAAAGTCCCGTTCGCAGTAGTAGCACCATGGGCGATCGAGGAGCTCCTCGAGAGAGGGACCGCGTCTTTTTTTACCCATTGTAGCGTCGATGGAGACAAAGAGTAACTTGAAACCGGAAAAGGTGTGTTGGGTTGCAAAGGAGAGGGAGGTTTGCTTAGGAGTGTCGCAGATCCAGCTTGCCATGATGGATGAGGCTAAGCCTTTGTCACGTGGTTGGCACGTGAGTGATACCGATCTTAAATCAAATTCACTGCCCAAACTGAGCATCCCAGACCCATTGTGCAAATTCTTTCAACTCTTCATTTCCGATATGTAAATCAGTCTCTCTAGGAGACTGTGGACTCCGCAGAAACAGCAGGTCAAATGGAATATGTAGGGGGGCTCCGGAGACTGTGACTTTGTCTCCCTCTGCGCTCTCCCGCACCTCAATATGCTGCGAGTTTTGGACCCGGCCATTGGCATGGTCCCACTCGTACTTGTCAACGGTCACGGTTGGTCTGGCTCTGCTTGCCTTAATGGCTATAGCGATGTTAGTGTTACCCCTGCTGGGGTCGAGCCACAAAGCCATATCTTGCTCCAGTTTCTTTCTCGTCTCCGAAATTGCAACCTCGAGAACTACCGTAGGTCGCTTTGGGTGGCCACGAGGGGGTCTTCTAGGGCCCCATCCCCAGTCTGGCTGTTTTGTCATACCGGCTACGTCAATGTTTACCTCGCCGTAGGTGAAAATTGCCCGGTGTAGCCCCATCGGTCTAAGCACCTCCTCGATGGCTTGATCGAAAGCTTTAGCCACTTGATGGTGTCCATGACTTAGCATCTTGACGATCAATGTACTCGTTGTTGGGTCGAAAGTGAAAAGGATACCCCGAATTGGTGTTGTGGAGTTAAGAAAGTCTCGCTGGAAGGTGGGAGCGTTGATAGAAAAGATGATAAATTCAGTGAGGTGCGTCGAAAGGCAATAACGTTCACGCTCAAGCTTAATGATTTGGGAAAAGTGTTCCTTTCCTTGATATAGATACCGTCTAACAGATGGAGGTAGGCCCTCCGAGTCGTAGTCAGATCCATTTTGATTGAATTCAGACATTTTCGACTACTTGTATTGATTAATACTTAGAGGCCAAGGAGATATAAGGATTGTCATAGAAGATCAAGTCACAAAACATTGTTTTTTCCCCCAAGTTCTGTCGTTGGAACCTCGGAAGCTGAACCCGTGCGGCAGTCTATTACCGCCAGTGAGTTCACTCTACAGTATGCTAGTAGTAGTCTATACATGTAGTCTATAATATGAGGATTTTATACACAGAAATAAATATTTAATCTATTTCTCGGTTGCAGTCGATAGTCCAACTTTCTATATTTCTATTGCATCGGATTCTACACCTTTCTATATTCCCTATTTTGCGGCTAATTCCTCTTATCCTTCTAGCTACAATGCTAATACTCGAGGCACCAATCCTAAAATACAATCTATAGCCTTGGAAACTAGTATTTACAAACTAGGACGTACAGATCAGATAGAGAACAAGAACTTTTTTACAACTTGAATTTGAGCCTTAGAATACATGTACTGGTGCCCTGGCAGTGTCCGGACACTGCCAGGGCACCAGTACCTTAATAAAATAATGTATCTGATCTTTGCATTCCCAGCCCACACCCCAGGGGGGTCTGAGACCACAGGGAACCACCTCCACCCCGGTTTATCGACCGCGGGCTCAGCCCAGTCACGAAGAGGGCCGTGCACCATGCAGTCAAGATAAACCGGGGCGAAGACGATTCCCTGCGATCCCATTCCAAACCCTGGGGTGGGCCAGGAAGCAATGATCAGTTGGTGTCGAGGCAATCCTTGGTTCCCTCTCTCTCACTCGTAAAAGAAAAGTGAGATGAACATGAAGTAAGATAAACGCTAAAGTGAGAGAGAGAGAACCGAGGATTGCCTCGACGAAGCCGGCCTGCCCTCAATGGCGTGGGTCCCGCGGGTTATGACCCGGGAGGGGACCCATCCCGTGGTACTGGACGTACGGGAATGGGGCGTACTGGGGCGGCATGGGTTGCCCCAGTTGCGCCATAGGCGCAGCAGCAGCAGCGAAAGGGTTCACTGGGCCGGGGCCGTAGTGAGGCACCACCCCCATCGGGGGAAGGGTGGGAGGCATGGGCTGCTGCTGCTGCGCCTGTACGCTTGCCATTGAGGGCAGGCCGGTGGGCCCCTTAGGGGCGAGGTTGCCAGCAAGTGGTGCCAGCGAGGGCGACCGCTTGCGGCGGCCGGGGCCAGTGGGCTTGGGGACCTCGTCGGCGGCGCCGTCGACGGTCCGGTCCTGCTCGATTTGGGCCTTGGATCGCTTTGGGTTGCGAATCCGTCCTTCCCGGTTGAACCGGTCCCAGTGATCGAGCATCGCCTTGGTCCTCTTGGGGTTCTTCGAATTGGCGATCTTCTGCCGCCTGGCCTCCTCAATCGCCTCAGCAGAGAGAGCCTCCTTCTTGGCCGATGTCGGGGTGGATTCGACAGGGCTTTCGGTAGCCATCGGTTCGACGGCCGGGAAGGAGGTCTCTGCTGGAGGGATTGATGAGGAGGCCAGGCTGCTAGCGCCACGTCGACCCCGGCCCCGAGATGCGGGCTGAGTTGGGGCAGGGGTGACTTCGAAAGTAGCCCGAGAGGAACCAAGGCGACCAAGCCCACGGCCGCGTCCGCGGCCACGGCCCCGGCCAGAGCCTCTGCGAGAGTTTGAGTCAGAGTGAGTAGATTCGGCAACGACAGTTTTGCCGCCGCGGCCTCGGGTGCGCCGCTTTGCGGGGTGGTTATCTTCATCAGTTTCATCACCATCCGCACTCTCATTTTGAGTTTCTTCTGTATCGGTCGTTTTGGTTGGTGCCTCAACCTCTGCAGCCTTACGTTTCCGAGTGACTTTCGGAACAAGTGGCTCGCGTCGAGGTTCATAAATCTGAGGGTGATATTCAAGGCCATGTTTCTTCATGGTTGCCCACCCATCAGGGTTAAGATCACCAGTCTCCTTGCTCTTAGCAATCATCTTTCTGGCTTGCGCGGGAGTTGGGACAAATCCTCCCTGCACAAATGGATCCTGCTGTGTGCGGATGGGCACAAGTGGTGTGTTGCCCGGGAAATAATTGTGTTTGTAACCATAGAGCATTGCCTCTTTCTTTTCCTCGAAGTCAAGCTTGTCCTCATTGACATGAGCCAGAGGGGCTCCACCCTTTTTCTTGTGACCCTGGATTTGATGTCGCTTTGTTTGATATGAGGGTTCATCTCGCTTGTGTCGATGCGCCTTGAGGTAAAGGTCGTCAAGGGCCAGGTATTCATCTTGAAATGCCTTCAAAGCAAAGGCAGCGGTCTGTGTGAGTGCGTAAAGTTCTTCGGGTGTGTATTTTTCGGGATTGCGGAGCATGGTGACAAGTTCGTCGAGTTCATGAGTCTGTACTTCGAGGAATTGACCTTTTTCAACTTTGGCCTTCTTGTATGGAACAGGGTGAGGAGCTGGTTCAGGAGCATCACGCTTCCTGGGTTTAGAAGGGTCATGGAAAGCATTGTCCCAAGTAGATTCACACTTGGCGGCTTCCTGGTCGTAGTTGGGGGAGAATTTGTTGGCATCATGGACTTTCCAGAAGCGATCGAGTCGCTTTTTCACATCTGGTCGTCGCCACTGGGCCTCGCGGAGGCGGTACTCCTCGGGATATCCAGTACGCGGGTTGGAAAGCCAGTCCAACAGGTCGCGTTTCGTTTCGGGCATCTGGCTGACATTGACTTTGGTTGCAGTTTGCTGGGTGCCATTGCTATCGTCAGTGGTCATTTCCACTGCGATCTCTTCGCCTTCTTCGTCCTGGGCCTCGCCATCTTCGGGCTTGGCAGATTGGGATATGGACTCGTCTTGTTCAACGGCGTCATCATCTTGGAGATCGCCATTCTCGTCGTAAGTGTCATCAGCGCCATCTTCGGCGAGATCTTCGGCGAGGTCTTCAGCGAGGTCTTCAGCCAGATCTTCAGCGCCATCGTCGGCACCATCATACCCAGAAAAACTGATAGATTTCGGGTGAACTTCGTTGATATGATCATTCAGAACATCTTCTTCGGAGATGTCTGCGTCATTTGGGAGCATCAAAAGCTTCCCACACCAGTCACACTTGAGCCGTCGAGGCATGGGCTCCGGGGACTGAGAGATTTGGGTGGAAGTAGATTGGGGACGGAAGGGTTCAGAAAATTGACGACGTAGCGGGGAGTCCTGGCTGTCACCAATATCCGAAGAAGGATTGTCCCCATCCAAATCGGCCCTTGGGATCGGGGCCATTTTGGCGCAAATGGACAGAAAAGAGAAAAAAGAAGAACAAGAGGGGTATGAGTGTTTCAATAAACAGGAGAAAAAAGAAAAAAGAAAAAAACACAGGTCTCAAATGGAGAACGAAGAATGTCAAGAAAGAATCTGTATAGATGGTCAGCGTTGGTTCGCTTGCGGGTGCCAAGACGCCAGTAAATCGCAGCGCAATTCCGCGGTTCCAAGGCCCAAGGCACAGGGCATGGACCAGCGCGAACACAAGGATCGCAAGAAATTGTAAACCCAATGAACGCGACATGTAACAGGAGAAAAACAATAAAACATAAGACACGGTCGGGCAAAAGTGCATGGATCAAGATCTGACCGGGAAGTACACAGCGAGACTGTGCCATACAAGAAAAAAGTGGAAAAGACGCGACACTTACCATGAGATGTTTAGAGTCGAGTTGAATCCTTGTGGATAGGAAAAACAAGTCACAGCCAATGACTGCTGGTTGGTTAGTGAGTTCTGCAAAGAAGGGTGCAGGGTGGACATGAGTGGCTGCCAGGGATGGTGTACTTACTATCCGACTGGGGAAGGCTGGGTAGGTGACAGTCCACTTATTGGGACACAACGCGAAGTGGGAGAGAATATGGAGAGGGGATGAGATTTAGGAGACAGGTGAAATAGAGAAGATGTCAAAGGAAAAGTACGTCGCAAACTTGTGTTTGGCGCGCAGATCTTGCGTCCCCGGGTAGTAGTATGAAGAAAAAAATGATCTTCACCGACGCGACACCGCGCAAGGAAGAAGACACGAAAACAAAGACAATAGATGGAGTGAAATTACAGAACAGAATGAGCACAGAAGAAGGAAATATATGGGAAGGGGAAATAGGCTAAGGATGATGAAGTTGAGAAGAGATTGAGGTTGAGAGAGAGATAGTTTTGTAGTTTCAGGCAGTGGAAACCCCGTCCTGGCCCGACCAATCAGAGGCCGCGTATCTACTAGCCACATTGGACGACATTGAGGAAAGGGGGGTTTGGATTTGGATTGATCACTATTGATCATTCATCTATGATTCTATTGATTCTCTGCATTGTATTGATCCTTAATTGTCCATTGTCTTATTTCTTGGATTGTATACAGATTTTCGTTTTGCAACAGTCACATGATACGTACTTTAGAGTCGAACAATAGCGCGTCTCATCAATAGCCAGCTATTAATGTAGGAAACTGGATTAGAGTAAACTTTTGGGGAGACCCGGTGGGACTAGGTTCTATGCGCTTACTTCTAGGGAACCTTCCTGGGACCTCGGGACAGTCTCATAAACTCGACTATATCCATAGTCAGCGAACAAGTCCGTGACAGGCAAGCGACAGGAAACCGAACGGCATCTGAATTATATTTAAATAGTATCCAGAAAATGTGGATATGTCTGTGGGTGACTGCCCTCGATCCCTCCGGTGTGTGGTCTCCATGCCTTGTGTCACAAGGAACGGAGAAGTGACGCCTCATTCCGGCTAGGATATATAGACCACAATACACAATACACATCATCACCTCTTACTACATGATGTCTACTTACAGTGTAGTGAGCACATAAGATAAGTTCTGCATATGGACCTCCCTCGACAATTGGTTCCTATCCGTACATCAAGTCACAAGTAGAGGCAGCAGGCATGCCAAACTTAATCCAGCTGAAGGTCAAAGAAAACCGAGCAGCCACAGCCTCCCTTGGTTTATAGCATCAAATATAATGCTATTATAGTCGAAAATAACCCTTGTACTAGCCGCCTCGCTATCAGCAAGAATATACGCCTAAACGACATATTCCAACCCTCCGGGCCTTGTCGGATAAAAGTCCCATCCCGGATGTATTCACCCTCACAATTATTACTTAAATGATAAGTTGGTTAGTTGGATATGGTTGTCGCATTCGTCGTTGCTCCTACTTCCCCAAGTGTAGATATCAATTTGTTAGATTGCTTTTCGACGTTAAACCTAATAACAATCTACTAGGCACATCGTCCATCTAAAGATACTGAAGTTTTAACTGATTAAAAGACTATGAAAGTTAAGAAGGAAGATATAAAAAGAAGACCAATGACCGTGGGAGTGTTCAGCCAATATAACAGGGCACCAGAGCTCTGTTGACAGAAATATATATTCCTACATTTGTACTTTGTACATCCATATTTTCTTATTACAGATCCGTACTCAGGGATGTGCGAGAAATAGATTCCCTTTCTAAACATTTACTCTCTAAATGGGCCATACCGATAGTAGCCCTCATTGAAGCATCTGCCGAAAAGGCCCTTGTAGGAAATATACTACGAGTGGGTCCCTGGGTCGCCCCAATTCTTCCTGGAATGTTCCTTCGACCCATGAAATGCCGAGGTCACTCTGTAATCATTTCTAGCATTCTAGGCCTCTTCAGGCAGAGTCATGTATTAAGTAGAGATGGGGTTTGTACTCAAATAATGTAATATATAAAGAAAAAGATGTCAATAGGCACTAGTTTCTTGCTACTTTTTTGAAGTATACGTTGACAGAGCTAACGTAGGATTCCAAAGTAGCTGCTGGAAAATCATTGGCAGTAAGGTAGGAAGTGCTGGAAAGTACTCATAATCTTGTGAAAAGAGTAGTAAATATCGAAAATAACAAGTACAATGGCAGGTACATACAAGGTGACACAAAGTGCCCAGAAACATGCAATGTACTGCAGGGACTATACGCATTCTACACAAGACTTGAAGCAGTGTCGCAAAAACACAGTGTCTATTGATAAAGAAAACTCCAATGTTGATTTGACCTGACACTATACAATAAAATGCATTCATTAAGGGTCAATTGAGTTAGACATATATGACCCCAGTGACAGTCGCCCCAACAATGTCCTCGTTTCCGATAGCTATGTGGCGAGGGGCAACAGGGTCGATGTACTTCTTGTTGGTGGCCCAAATTAAGCCCCAGTCAAATAGGGTCACATTCTTAGACGGACCCTGTTTGAGAATGAATTCGCGAAGCGCGGGAATAGTCATATACTACTGTGTCCCATCAGAATCGTCCCCAAGCACAATTTATTATCTGGGCGGATCTGCCAATTTAAACTTGGCTTTTACTGTGAATCATACGAGCTCTGTTGTCTACTTACTCTTGCTTGCATTTGGGTGGCATCATTGGAAACATACATCTCGAAAAGTAAATTTAGTTCCTGCATGTGATGGTTATCCCTGCTCCAATTTTGGTAGAAAATGATGTCAATGATGTCAATTTGACAAGCCCAAGGAGCCCAAGCTAGATAGGCTCGTCAGGCGGCCACCTTGGAAGTATCACAGAACATATACCCAAAGGCGAAGAGTCAATCCTCAGATCATCCAGGTCAAATTTCCATGCCTTTGCAACCCGAGTATCTGGCTGATATTCGACACGAGATTGCCATTCCAGCGTACTCGAATTAGCGTTGTTCTGAAAATAAAGATTAAACCGACAATAGCATTCCATACGAAATCCCAAACGTTTCAAACAGGGCATACGTTGGGTTGCATAGCCCAGCGATATGAGAAGCCGGTGGAACTGTTCTTCATCCATCACTGATGCTCCGCCCCATCTCCGTTTGGGATCGAATATCCGGTCATTCCACTGGCCATTCTCGATTTTGGCTCGGTACTCCGTGGTGTGATTGGAAGTCCATTTTCCTAGTTGTTTGCCTCACTTTTAGTTCCTATATATATGCTAATGGAAAAAAAAAGATATTCCTTACCAGAAGGAAGCCAGGGGGGTACATCATCAACTATCAATGTTTTCAAATGAGGCCAGTGCAAGGTGCCTATAATAGGCTGGCCTTCTCCATCCAAAGGACACAGAAAGTCAAATGGAAGAGTGGTTCTACTCAACTTCAATTCCCGAAGGTGCATGCTGACATTTCGCAAACTGATAGTCATGCTGTCAATCCCCGAAGGGATGACATTTAGTGCAGGCATACTGTGTTTCCACGGGCCGTCCTCCGAGCCGTTATAATGCAACACTCTTAGGCTGCTAGGAAGAATGCCGAACAAGAAAGACAACGCTATCTAACTATTAGTAAAACATGTCTAGGCGAAAAGGCGTGAAAAAAATGACATGGCTTACACGCTCGACGTCCTTGTATATACTGCAAGTAATCCGGACGAACCCATTCGTTCAGATCCAGCTCCAGTTCAGTGATGGTTGGACAATGTTCGATAATAGTCTGCACTGCCCCAGTCCAGATTTGATGATACTGGTTTATGTCGGAATTTATGTTTAGAAAAGAGAGTTTATCAATGCACCTAACGTGCATTAGATATAGCTGATGCATATTGTTGACAAAACGCGCCCGATATGGGGGAATCGGTATATGGAATCTGCCTCTGTAATCGACAGAATGATACGCACTTGCGGTAGCACAGTACGAAGTGTCTGGTTCCATTTGAGGCCCGCTATTGTGTCGAGATCCTCGAAGCCCTATATGCAATCTGAGACGGCAATGCTGGTTCCACGAATGAAGCGTTTGGAAAAGGTCAAACATAGCCGTCTGGAAAGCGGAATCGTTGGCCTGTCTTAATTGGTTGTTCGTGCTATATCTCCAATCTTCACTTGTGCTTGTGGTCCAGTCCACTAGTTTGCAGGGGATGATGATGTCGTACTCCAGATTTCGGATCCAGGTTCGCCGTATGGCACGACTACCTGATGTGAGTTTTTGAAAATGTGTTAGAGAAATTCCACGCTGGCCCTTTTCTTTGTGGTAACCATCACTATAGACAGCGAGATTGGCATATATCAAGGGCTCAAGGGCTGCCTGCCAATAGCGGCACACATGAGTACACGGAATCAAAGAAACCCCTTCAATTCGCAGAAGTGTTGCGATCTCAAATAGCAGTTCCAGGGGTAGTGATGCTGCCATTTTGCTGAGGCGTCCAGATCATAACATCGAGGAGTTGATTGAACCAGGAGGACCTTTCAAAATGGAAAGGAAGTAAACGAGGAAGAGCAAGAAAGCAAAACCAGAGAATCAAAGGAGAGAAGGAAGTCCTCATGCATGATTGGAGGCTTGGCACCACGTTGGTTGGATGTATCACATTCAGCTGTAAATGTGATAGATCATTACAAGTATTAGGCTAGAGAGTATAGTTACTTAACTATCTCTTAATAAAAAGACAATAGCTCTTCTAAAAACAGTCTATTTTGTCCAAAGGCCTATAACATCTACAGCTCAGTGCAGGTGGCTCTTTTCGCCAACATCCAAAGCCACCAAAAAGCGACTAACACAATTATAAGCCGCAATCGTAGCAGTTATCTCAACAACCCCCGTTCATTAAAACACCCTTTCAGCTCCGCAAAAACCTCATCAGGCACCGTAACCGTCTTGGTCATAGCATCGGTATACTTCAGCACAGCCCTTTGGTCAGCACTCAAGACTGACGACGCCTCCTCATTCGAGAAGTCGGCCTGAGCATCCCCAATAAACTTCAATGCCTCTGCGCTTAATCCACCTTCCTCAAGCAGAGGTGCATGTTGTTCCCACTCGAACAGGGCGCCGTTGACCACTGCGACGCGGCATATAGCTAGTTCACGGACGACAGTTGTGAGGGTGGTTCGGGTACGAATTGCGCCAATAAATGAGTTCCAGCCTTCTGTGACTGGGTAGGAGTGCAGGAGGGCTAGGTCGAGGGGGAGGAGTGGGTTTGGGGCTCGGCGGGCTTGGACGCTGGCTAGGATTCTGGCTTCGTCTGGTGTGCTAGTTGCTGGAGGGTTTGCAACGTATGGGAGACGCATGGTGGGTGATATGGAAGGGTTGTAGGTGAGCGTAATTGGAAGTTGGTTTGTTCAATGGCTAGATTTGAGTGGAATCTGGGGTCTGTCTGGGGTTTGATGTCAGTTGAGATATAACTCAATATGCTGTGCTTTGGGGCGGACAGCTGCTTTGAATGAGAGGCAAGTATTCGGTACCTGATTAAAAGCTGCAAGATACTCTTTTTGAGCAAAATCGGAGCTGGGTCTATACGGGAATTAGCAACTATTTATCGGCAACCCCGCGTGGGTCCTAGGTATGGAGCGGATAGGTCAAAGCCGCGGGAGTCGGGTTTGTGCTTCCGAGTTGCTTCCGCAGGTTTGGTCTTGATTTTGCTTGAAATTATAGGTAGTATGGACCTGTGGAGAGAAAACGTGAAGATGTGAGATGTGAAGACAGCTGACATCGATTGATTGTATGCAATCTACAAGGGTACTCTGTACTGTGCGGGGAGACACATCTAAATTTAAGGCCAAAGTGGTCCAACATCCAACATGTCCAAGGCTTATACTTATATTTCCCCTGTTTAATGAAATATTCAAATTGAAGAATTAAAGCTTTCTCTTCATCCGTTTAACTAAATTTGACTTTAAAGCATCTGCAGTCAGTGCTGTTGGTCTTGGCACATGATCTCCACAAGTTCAGGAGCTCCCACGGTGTCGTCACCTCTCCTGAACATTGTTCCCCCCAAACAAACATGCCTCCAAAAGGCCCTAAACCAACCAGTGATGAGCTTCTAGCTCAGTTTGACGACCTCGGTCTTGACAAATCCGGCAACAAAACATCCAAAGCCATCGTATCGGACAACAAGGGCGGACAGGAAGACATCCTGGCTGAGCTGGACCACCTAGCCACACAGCGTCCAGCCAGTGGACCAGGTACTCCGCGCCTGTCTTCCGATAAACCTAGGTCATCTACAAGGTCTCCCCGCCCGAGCGCGACCATCGACCGACCGACCGAGGACAAGGCGCCGGTCCGCCAGTCTGAGGAGACAGGCCGGTCTTCACGCGCAGAAACCAAGCCAGAACAGCCCAAGGCTGAGTCTGAGAATGTCCCCGCACAGCAATCACCCGAGGAGGGTGCCGGCTGGTGGGGTGGATGGTCCGGAGGGCTGTTTGCAACGGCCACCGCGGCTATGAAACAGGCCGAGGCAGCTGTCAAGGAGATTCAGAATAACGAGGAGGCTCAGAAGTGGGCCCAGCAGGTCAAGGGCAATGTTGGAGCTCTCCGTGATCTTGGTATGGATCATCCTACTCAAAATGTGATTTCCTAAATGCGGACAGAGCTAACTGGCACGCAGGCGGCGAGCTTCGAGACAGGGCAATCCCGACATTCACCAACCTCATCCACACCCTCGCTCCTCCTATTTCTTCGCATGAACGTCTACAAATTCACGTGACCCACGATATGTCCGGCTACCCGGGCATCGACCCGCTAGTCTATGCAGTATTCTCGCGAGTGATGTCCCAAGTCGAGGGTGGGGACTTGTTGGTGATCCAGCGGGGTCAGGAGTCATCCCCGAAGCGCGGGATCGATGTTACCGGCTACATGACCAGTGCCGGCTGGAATGATGGGCCCTGGTGGCGGACGGTCACACCTGGACAACCACGGAGCATCTCTTCCGTGCGAGGCACCGTGGAAGGCTCCAAGCTCGCTCGAGCCAGCGCCGAGTCCTACGCTACCGAGTATTTCTCGTCCCGTGGCGGAGTCGAAGAGGCCGCGAAGCACGCTTCGGAAGTCCTGAGTGAATCGAACCCGGTCCGCAGCAGCGATATCTTCTTGGCTATCCAGGCTATCAGCCAGACTACTTCCAAGGACCTCTTCCAGGCTGGCCCGACGGCCGAGAAGGATACCGACGGAGCCGTGGAAGCTGATACGCAAGAAGAGGAGATATCCTTCGCGTTATACCTCCACGACCCCATGCATGGCATTGCCTTCCACGCCATCTCTCAAAGTATCCCGCAGACGTGGATTGAATGGCTCGATGCTTCGGTGCCAGCCCCAGAGAACCCCGAGGCCGAGGATGCTGCGAATGTTCAGCGTGTTGTGGTTCCCGAAGCCATCGCCGAGGTCATTGAGAGTGGAGGTGTCGATCCCCGCGAGTGGGTTTCGGAGTGGATTGAGGAAACCCTCTCGTTGACTGCTGGTATTATCGCGCAGCGATACGTGGCTCGGCGAATGGGCGTCGGCGAGGGAGGTATTGGCAAGGGCAAGATGCGAGCTGAGCAGGTGTCAACTGTGGATAGCGGTGCAGGCGAAGCTGCGCGTGCGCTCTAGGACTGCCGTGATCTTTTATAGCGAGCTCAAGAGCCGACGCTCTTATTCCAGCATCTCCCGTCGTTTATGTGATACACCTGCTCACTTGCACTTGCGCTAGCTATTTCTATTTCTATATTTTGTTTCAGTGGTTACGCCCGGCTGTCTGGTAGCGAGAATAACAGCAAATGACCCAGTATTGAAATCACCTGTACAGGCTGTACTATCTTAAACCTCTCTAGGTTCTAGGTAAAGCTTAGTTATAACTCCTAACATAAGCCAAAGGATATACATGTACATGCTACCTACAACACTAACAAGGGGGGAGTATCTAAGCAGAATGGACTACCAAAAAGGACTACCGAAAGGATTACTGCAAAGTGTACTAAAAAGATTACTAAATAGACTACTAAATAGACTACTAAAGACTACCGAAAAGAGCACTAAAAGAGCACCAACAAAACTACCAAAAAGACGCGACAAGGACATATGCAGCCAACTATTCTTGTCCCTTGTAAAATAAATAAATAAATCGTGTATGAAATTCCCGTATATGTACAAAACGGACCGATCTCCGTATAAACCACCTTATTATGCATTCTCGAAAACCATTGCGGGTATCGTAGGATCATCCAAAGCATTCAGAGTCTGTTCAAGAACTCATTCAAGAATCAATGTCCAGCGGCCCTTCAAGACCGGGGACATGCCAGAAATTGGCTCGGAGGGCAGTCACACTAGATCACAACGTTAGCATATCCGGTTCCAGCAGTATAGCGCAAAAGGAACCCATAGCTTACCTAGTCGACCCATTGAGCACAGTATGAGCATCTGTGCCCACCTCACTCTCCTGCAACGTCTTCTTCATATCCGACAAATCAGCAGACCACTTAAACTGGCGCTGTCTGGTAGACGCAGGGACATGTCCATTAACAGCCGTGCCATTCGTCTCGCCATTGACATGAACGCCATTCACGCCATTCACGCCATTCGTCTCGCCGTTGACATGAACACCATTGACACCATTCACACCATTGACACCATTCACACCATTAACCTTCTTCCCCGTCCCCTCCTCAGCATACAAACACCCCCTGTTCCAATAATACGGCAACGTGCGCGTATAAATAACAGGCCTCTCCTCAACATCCAGAACCATGGGAACATTAATATTATAAAGCTCGACGCGGTCATCCCAATTCTCAAAAAGATGTCTCACAACCCGAACAGCCAATCTCGCCGCCGCAGCAATAACATCATCTGTCTGCGGATCCTTGCTACCAAACGAGATCGCAATGCCGCGTTTACCACAGAACACCGCCTCCAGCGCACCGCCTACCGTCCCCGAGGACAGGTTGTAGATGGTGGATGCATTGCGGCCGTGGTTCGGGCCGGAGATGACGAGGTCGATCGGCGCGCGCTCGCTGAACAGGTTGTACAGACCTAGTTGCGCGCAGCTGGCCGGTGTGCCGTTGCGGATCACGACCCAGTCGTTTGATGGGTCTGGGGATTCGAAGCTCTCGTCCCAGCTGCCGTCGGCGTGGAACGCGTCCGGGTGGACGTAGCTGGCTGTTAGGGAGGCTTCGATTAGGTGGGCTTTGCCGATCCACGAGCGGGAGGCGGCGGGGATTGCTACGGAGACTTGGTGGCCGTTTGCTTCCAGGGTGTTGACTAGAGGGCGGAGGTATGGTGAGAGTTTGGTGCTTGGTGGTCCATCGTCGTTGACGACCTGTTTTGGGTTGTTAGTTTATTTGGCTCGATTTTTTTAGTTTTTTTTATTTATCTACGTTGTGCAACGTATTGCGTTAAGCTGGGAAGATCGACGGAAATGGGGTAACAGGGTTGATTGTCATGTGGCGATGATGTCCCCGGAGAGGAAGTATGATCTATAAGCAGATCCTTGCAGGAAATAGCTTTCTATACTCCGTACTCCGTAACTCCGTACATTCCAGGGTGGAAAATAGGAAAAAGGAAAAAGAAAGGAAATTTGCCGATGATCTCACTTACAAGGATGTGCATGACGGGCGGGTTTAAGCAGCGCCAAGGGCGTTATGGGTGAATATTCGAGATTTCGATTTGGATCTTGATTTTGACTTGAAGGTTCCCCGGTAGCGGTTTGGATGGGGATTTTTTTGTTCTTTTCTAGTTTTTGTTATAAGAGAATAAGAAAAAGAAAGAAATATTCTGCACCCCGGAAATACTCGGGGTGCAGGACACTTATACCTGGGGAATTCAGGGTAAGGAATGAGCCATTGGCCACACCGAATTACACACCGGGGCATTTGGGGGTGAGGCCGTTCAGGCTGCGGGGACGGTAATGGTAGGGCCGAATGCAGCGTGCGGTGAACCCCATTCGGTTTTCTTTCGGACCATGTGATTTCTATTATTTGATATGTTGATAGCTAGAGGGATTGATAATTTGTGTACTATATAAGCCTGGAGCAGTAGACCTCGGGAGGGACCTCGGGAATAGGATAAATCATCTACAACAGTAGGATGTTAGTAGTTCATAATCTATACCTAGGTAGTTTATTATAAATGCTGATCTTCGAAATTGCCACCTAGGTATGTATGGTCCCTGTCTACATTGCCTAGAAATGGATATCGAGTGTATATATCCATAAATATATAGATATAATAGCATTCCATAACCTACATATGCACTTATATTTATATATATTTATACTTCTTATACTTCCCAGGTTTTATATAGTCAGAAGTTTAAAGCCCAAAGGGGAAGATGAGGTAATCAATTCTGCCGGCCACAGTGCTGCAACTTACGCGGTAGAACAAGGTCTGGATGGAAATTTCTATTTGGTTTTTATTTATTTTTTTATTGTGAAGAACTGAGGGGGGTTACAATTAATATTTTGCCTATTGCGCTTGCATTAAAAACTTACTTAGGTTCCTGGACCATTCATAGCTCAGGGGGTTGCCACGGACAGTTGATCTGACACCATCTCCTCTCGTAAGACCAGTGAGACCACCTCGTGTCGGAGATCCTGTCGGAGATCGCCATGCCGGTATAGGGCCCGCTACACAATAATATATGTTGTACTAACATGACAATGGGCCTATATATCTCCTATATTTCAATATGTATATCAATTCAGTTGGGATTCCAAGATTTAAATCCAACTATCTAACTCCCAAATCTATTTCCATCATACATCGTTGTAAATAAAAGGGAAATCCTAAAGTGGTCTGTGCCGGCACGCTAAACGCATCGCAGAAAATCTTGAGGTGGGGAATCCCGTCAGCCCTTCAACAATCCTCTGGCCCCTCAACTCTCTACTCTTCAAGTCACTACCATTATATCAATTCGATACTCGGAAACGTCGACACGTCTTCGCCACTTACCTACACAACTCCATTCTGCCACCCACCCGAACCCGCAAAGTCTCAAAAAGCGAAGTCTTTTTGGGATCTTTGCTCAACTAGGTCGTCGCCGCCACCTCACCCTCTCATCCTGTATGGACTGTGGAAGTACTGGGACCGCTGCGGGGATCGACCCCAAAATCTTGGACAATTGGCAAACTGAGGGCTCCTTTTCCGTCGCCTCATGGGAGCATCTGGGTTATGACCAACCCCCCGAGTGGGACACCAGCCAGGAATCGAGCCAATGCGACGCGGATATCGCGGACTTAGGCACCTTCCATGGCCCATTGCCTGGTGAATTCCGTCGTATGGAGAACAGGTCCGGAAACTCCTCCCTGATATGAGACCGCGAAGCGCGATGTCGATGTGGCTGACACTTGTTTTGTTTCAGAAAGCACGATGTAGCACCCGAGAACTTGAACTATCCCGATGGCCTCGTCGAGGGCACTGCCAGTGGCACTCTTAGCCCCAAGACCATTCCATCTTCCGCCGACGAAAATTACCATTCGGACGAGGCTTGGCCACACTTTCAACTGTACAACTCAGTGGCCATGCCAATGGATGCATCTCTTCTCTACCCCTACGCGAAAGCACCGAGCCACTCGAATGGCGCCGTCATTGTTGATGATGTTGGGGAGATGCCTCACGGCGGTTTCTCGGATGCCCCGGCAGAGGGCATCATGTCATATCAGCAGATTTCGCAGTCCTTTCCCATGATCCCCGAGGAGTGGACTGAAATCCAACATGGCATCCCCGTAGACAATATGCCTCCGCCGCAAGAGTCCATGCCACTCTCAGTTGACACACAGGAGAATCCCAAGGATCACTCCCTGTCGGGGTTCCAGACTTCTATCAGATCGCTGGAATCGCGATGGCTTAATAGTCTGGAATCCCAACTGCCCACCCAACAGATCGCGCCGGTCTCTCAAACTGTTGGCCCGCGAAACGCACAAATGGGGCAGGAGTTCCAATTCAAATCTGAAAACTCTTCGGTGTCGGGCGATTTGTCGGGAATATACGAGTGCTCCTACTCCGCCACTAGCGACGAGGCCCCGGCATTTGCGGACCGTCAGTTGGAAGACGACGATGTCCAGTGGAAGACCTCACCGCATGAATCCAGTTCACCGGAGGGGTCACAGCCTGCATTCAAAACCACTGCCTTCATGGTGAGTGAGGCTCCCGCGGAGTCTTTAGTCTCCACTGTTCCTTCAAGGTCGAGGGCTTCGTCGACTGCTGGCCAGCGTGCCGGTCGACCGGCGCCACTTGCCATGCAGACCTCAGCTACAGTCAAGAAGCGAAAGGCCAGAAACCCTGCTTCAATGGATCAGGGCATCGCAAGGCCCTTGCAAATTGTCCAGGAGGATGGCCAAGGTGGCTCCATTGCGTCTGCGGACTTTGTCTCGCCCCCACGTGGCGCCCGTCGCAAGGGCCCATTGAGTATGGTTGGACGGGCCAATGCAGGCCTGCGCAGGAAAAACAAGGATACTTGTGTTCAGTGTCGACTGAACAAGCGCAAGGTAAGGATTTCCACCTAAATTCCGTATCTTCATAAAGCTAACGTGTTTGCAGTGTGATGGAAGCGCCCCTTGCGATGCTTGTCGCCCGACACTTCATGAGCAACCATGCGCTCGTGCATGCTTCTCCAGTATTGTCGAGTTTGGAACCTGCAACTACATCTGTAAGCATTGATCGAACCTTCCGATGGATTGTTCAAATTGACTGACCCCATCTAGCCCAACGAGCTGTCAACCACCCTACGATGGATGGTTCCAACCGAGTCCGGATGGAGATTCCATCTGAATTTGACCTCAGTCAACTCTTGTCTTTGCTCGCCGAGCGCCAGGGGCGGTTCAACATCCGTGCTAGCCAGGCCTGGGGCTCTCTCTATGTCCTCGATCTGGGAGAGACCTACAAGTTCCTGAAGACCCTGAGCGAGTACAACGGCAACTCGAAGTCAACTTTCCTCGAGTTCATCGACCGACGAATTGTTGACTCGAAGGACAAGTCCAAGAACTGGCTGTCCTGCGTTGCCGACTGCGACCCAATGAACCAAGCCTATGTAAGTGTCCGCTGTCCCACATCCCAAGAGCATAAAACTAACCATCCTCAGACCCTCCTCTCCCAGTGGAACAACATGCCCAGCCGCGCTAAATACAGCTTCGTATCCCTCGACCCGACAGCCGAAGAACGAACAATGGACATAAACAACCCAGAAGACCAACGCGAGATCCTCCTCGCGGCGCAACTCTCCCGAATCTTCTGCCGCATGCTCGAAGTCGAAGGCTTCCGCAAGCTCGAGCGCGACTTCTACAACATAAAGTGGAAGCAGATCTCCCACGAGACGCACGTCCGCTTCCTCGGCGAACTCGGCCACATCCTGCTAACGCTGCGGTGGCGCGTGAGCTGGTGGAAGCGTCTCGGCGACGGCGGCCGGAACCCCGATCCCACCCAGCAGCACTACGTCGACCGCGTTGAGCTGCTCTGCCGCATCCTATACGTCTACTACACATGCGTGATGGCAAAGCTGCCCTCCTGGTCGGCGGCCGATGTCCCCAAGGGCATCTGGTCGACGTATGCGGACTCGGAAAATGCCGTCTGGGATGATTTCCCTTCGGACTCCAGTGACGGTGGCTTCAATGGTTGGATGGAGCGTGGCCAGGACCTGATTGAGCAGGCTGGTGTTCCGAGCCGCATCTCGAAGTTCTGAGACTGGGATGGCAGACCTTGTCTGCGAATATGGTTTGGATGGTAATGGCATTGGAGTTAGAATTATAGATACCCTTTTTTTTGGTTTTGTTTCGTTTTTTTCCTTTTCTTTCGAGATTTCGTTGTTCCTATTGGATGCATAATGACTTTTACATACAAGATCTGCCTTATGATTTGATGATTTGGCGCATGTTCTATCCTATCCAGTTGATTTCTCCACAATTTGTACATAGAATTACTATTTATCGACATATATACAATGCTTCTCATCTCTACTTCATTTCGCATCCATCTCATACTACCTACCCACCCTCTTCTATGCATAGATATAAATCACCCAAACCGAAAGGACAATAGAAACTGGGTATCGATTTCATGCACTCATATAACGAGCTCTAGATAGACGAACTGCAAAGACCGAATCAAACAGACAAAAAACTTCTCAATCCATTCATTAAATTCCCCACACTTCAAGTCGCCTTCTTAGGACCAGACTTCAAAGTTCCCTCCTTGCGAGCCAAAGTCCCGTCCTTGCGAGCCGCATTACGCTCCTTCTGCAGACGATCCTTCTTTCCACCAGCCAGCAGCTCGAGATGGCCTGCCTTTGTCGCCAGACTGCGTTCTGTCATTGAGACGAGGCCGGATGTGAGTTGCTAAGAGCAGTGTTAGCGTTTTTGCTTTTTAGTTTTATCTCTTGTGTTTGTTGTTGTTGTTCTTGTCTCACAAGACATAGACTGCGGTCTAGATCGAGGAAACGGAGCCTGGGAACCGAATCGGTGCGTGCATACCTTGGTCAGTTTCTTCTGCTTGATCAGGCCGGCTTTCTTGGGCGCGACGGAGCGGATGCCCGGTCTTGTTGTCTTGGCGGGCCTGGTGAGGGTGTTAGCTTAACTGCTTAATTGCATGTGTGGATGGATGGGATTGTGGCTGTCGTCTGTGGTGGTTTTGTGTTCTGTCTCTGAGTGGCACTTACTTCCTGCCTGGGCCGGTAGGACCGACCTTTTTCAATGATCCCTGCACCATGGTTGTATTGGGGTAGGTTTGATGTGGAGGGAATGTGTATGTAGATGGACACAAGAGAAAGAGATAGACGAATTTTGTAAAGTAGCACTGCCAGCAGCACGAAGTGATTCTGGGCTTCTGTTTCTTTTTTTCGGGGGGGTTGCCGGAGGGAAAATTGCTTATCGGCTTATCTGGATCACGTGTGTTGTGGGACTGGGGGATGGATTTTCCGCTCCGAAGTATACATGCCCAGGTGGGTACCTATTTGGCTGAGAATATAATTCGAGATAGATGATGAGGATGAAAATGATGATAGAAAAAAAAAGAGGGGGGCGGGATATACGCGAGAACAACCGGAGTCGAACCGGAACAGTCAAGGTAGTGGAAGATCTTAGGCACTTCCCTCGTAGTACACATGCGAGGCATGTTACCACTAGGCCACCTGCTGTTGGATCCCTACATAGTATTGGGTTGCTCTTCCTTTTAACCTACACTCTTTTAAGGTTTTTGCTTTGTTTGTGCACCAAAACACTACATGGTGATCTGTATCTCAGACCTGTGCACATGCATGCATAGAGGAATATAATGGGATTGATTTTGAACCTTTAAATTCATCTCTAGGGCAGTGGGACATGCATGGTCAATACATATGTTGATCCTCTTATGATGGTTGGTGGTGGCCTTAGGCTACCACTGCATGTTTGCTTTTCTAAGGCTTTCATCATCGATATATCATCAGGATAAACACACAATTTGAAGGCTTCCAAGTTCGTTTTTCTAGTTTTCCTATTAGCTTGCATCACATATTGTTCAAACTGATAGTTGCCAGTGAGATAAGGCAACATAGCGAGACAGTAACGGAGCAAACACCAGAAATAAGTAAACGCATCTTTATAGTACTCGGTCATCTTGTAGAACCAACATGTCTCAATTGGTTTTCAACCGACATCGGCCCGCGACGAGAGTCCAGCGTCAGTGCAACGACAAGCAAGTTGATCAGGGCATTGGATAGCCTAATGCAGAGTAGACCTGGTCGGTACTCCAGTGCACCTTGAGCGCAAAAAACCGTTGTTCCAACAATGCCTCCAAGACTGCCTCTGCTAATGAGTGTGGTTGACGCGAAGGCTCGCTTCCATTAGCCGTGGATGTTGTTGCTACAGCAAAGATGTGTCAGAATTGTATGAAATGAAACGCAATAGTCAGGAGGCAAGGCTCTTACCTTTTCCAAAATACGAGCACAGGACAGTTCGAGTGTGCTAAAGTATGGCAGTCAAGTCATAACCACAACACAACATAACGGTTCATTCACCAGCAATAGTAGCTGAGAAAGCCCCAAGTACCGGGGCGCCAGACCCTCAAGATATACCAACATCCCCAAGCTTGACAAACCTGGTCGGAGCATTTCCAGCAAGAAAAGACCACGCACATGCCACTTGTGAGAGTAAACTGCCCGGATAAACATGACAACTGCGGCAGCAATTAGACACTGCGCCTTCGGCACTGAAAAGCCCATAAGATCATTGGCCGGAAGTATGCATTCCAGTAGGTGGTCGTGTCGTCAACATTGATAGGATGGTGTATGCCTAGAGTTTGCTGTCTTTGCCGTGTGCAAGATATTGAACCAGGAAGAAAGGCCCCACAGTAGCGACTGCTCTGTCACGTTCGATTTCAGCAATAACAAAAGATGCTTCGGTTTCGTTGAGCAATTTCCAGAACTGGGGGGATTTTCCCGGTAAGTGACTATGAAACATAGGAGCCGATGCCCGAGAGGTAGGTCAGGATACCTTCGAACTGTATTGTGCTGATTAGCATGGTTCTTTTCTCAAGAGTGAAGCCCTGGGGACGAGCATAACCTCCCAGTAAAGATCCACTGCCAATCGTCGATCCCGGCTTGCCCATCCATCTGCATCAATCCGTAGGCCAATAAACCGCCACAGCCCGAGGGAATGCATCCAAATAGGTAGAGCATAGCGTTACGCTTCTGCAGTTCGGAGTGCGTGTACCAGGCACTGGATAGACTAGACATTGCCAGTGTCCCGAGGATGATACGCAGCCCAACCATGATCTTTGCATGTGGGACGAAGCTGGAGGAGTAAGATAGAAGTTGTTAGCGAAGAGCGCTTGGTGATTTCACGCACGCATGGTGAAACTTACAAGCATGACGGAAACCCAGAGAAGCAAAATGCCTGAGAGAAAGACCCGCGATCTTGCGAATCATGACCGTGGTGGGGATCTGGAAGATCTTGTATGTGAGTAGATTTGGTCCATTGCACTTACCGCGTAACAGAAGCGGCCTGGTACCTCCCCAATCAGGTGCCTTCCCTTTTGGTCAAACTCGTCACCTACCCCAGTTTCCTCATCCTTAAGCCACTGGGAAAATATAAATACCTGCCCCGTCACCCCATCTCTCTCTCTTCTTCTTTCTTTCTTCCCTCTTTAACACTCCGGGCCCACACTGCACTCCGTGGATCCCTGGACACCCACTATTTTTTTGAACTTCCTCAGCTTCAGGGTCATATTCAACATATGTCTCCTGTTGTCCAGTGATCGGTGTTATCCTGAGGACTCTGACGGGTCTTCTGTAGGCGGCCTAGGCTAGGCTGCGAATGGCACGAAGCATGTATATGCGGGCTACCTACACGCTATCTTCGGATGCTTCCGGTGCTTTGCTATGACCTCTGCGGATACAGACTGTACGTGTCTAGGTGCTCCCGTTGTCCGTCAGGAGCTGAACCAAGGGGCTCTGTTCTCATCTCCTCTCACGTGCTCTTTGAGCCAATTTTTCGTGCTTACCTTACAGAGATAGCTCTCTGTTGTCCGAAGATTCTTCTGAAGACACTTTGCTTCAAGGTTCCTTTTCATGGTTCCACTTCCCTTGTTCCTGTATGTCAACTTTGTTGTCTCCTGTCTTTTGTTGTTTCCTGTCTCCTGGCTCTTGTTGACGCCTTGTGTCGACGTCTCTTGTCGTCTCTTGTCGTCTCTTGTTCATTGTTGGCTATAGTAGAATATATTAATGTTCATGTTTATATTCAACCTTTCTTCTCTGGCATTATCTATTTGTTGGGGTTCAAGGCCTAAGAGTAACATAGAACCTGAATCTAAGCTCAATAATGTTGCACCAAAGATCCCTTTGCAGAACTGCGATATTAAGACGCTATAAGACTTCCGCATGTGGTACTCATCTTGCTAGGCTTTAAACTGACCGAGAGCAGAAATGTCTACAACAATACAGGGATTTATGGGAATCAGGTGGAAAATAGTAAGCATTCATCAACACCAAGCCGTGTTATTTGAATTAACCGAAAGTGACACCCACCATAGCTATCCCAGACTAGCGAGCGAAGCATGAGCCTGTAAAGAGAGAAAATGAAATGAAACGGAAGCTTTGGGTAAAAAAAAAGGGGTAGAAAATATGTCAAACGGTCCGTTTCTGCGAGGACTTATCCTATGTCGGTCCAGTCTAGAGTGGCTTCTCCACGACGTTCGTCAATTTTGCTCGAAGGGTTCTGGATGCTGTGAGAAATGCGGCCACCCTGCGAAGGTAACACTTGGGGCACGGCATTATGAATTAGACCGTGGCTGTTGCCAAAAGGCAAGAGTAGTTACTGTCGCTGAACAAGTGTATGAGGTCTATGTAAAAAAAGGTGGTTGACTGGAGAGACGGGATTCTCGCGTTGGCATTGAAGCGCAGCTGGAACTCGATTTGAGAAAATGGAAGGACCTCAAAGGATCTCTTGATTTGAGTTTTGAAATGCTACAGCTTAATAGATATTGTACACGATGCCCAAAAAAACCGATTACTCTCGCATCTTACCTCCAGTAAGTGCCTCGCCAAGCTTCTTAACACGCTCCTGAGAGACATCCCAGCGAACAGCCTCGTTGGAACGAGTCTTGTTGGCAAGGTTGAACACAGTCGGGGGGTTACCCAGGTTCCAGATGTTCTCGCCCGGCTGGTGGTCGTTGCGCCACGCCGGGTTCTCGCCCTCGGGGAATACCCGGTCGATTTCAGCAGTGAGCTGCTCCTCGGTTGTAATGAAAGTGCGAGCATTCACATACAGCGACTGGAGGTGCTCCTTCCGCTCAATTTCTTTCTGTGCCTGCTTGGCTTCCAGGCGTGCCCGAGAGAGCGCAAGGCGTTCCTCGCGGTTGGGGTCGGGCAGAACTGGCTGTTTGTGGGGCATCATCGCCTCGATGGTCGATGGCCGAGTGAGGCGCTCGTCCTCACGCTCGGGTTGCTGAAGAATGCGGTCCCGCCGATTCTGACTCTCAAGACTGCGGCTGACAATCTTTGAATCTGCAGACCTTTTGCGCGAGTATAGGTCTCGCAGACCGTCCCGCAGGTTCTGTCTCCGCAGATCCGCCATCTTGTGCTTCCATTCCTGCTTCTCGGGGTTGCTGCTATTTGGGCTCACTACCCGTTCCGACTTGGGGAGTTGTGTGACTGCATTGAGGTATTGTATCCGGGGCTTGTCCGCTCGGCGGGCCGGGAAGAGCTCGCGAGGCACGGGTAGAGTACCCCTGACATGAGGTTTGCGGGGATTGGTGGGCTGGATAATTTTCGGCACATCGATGAAGTGAGGCGATTCGGGTCCGACTCGAAGGTTGGACGAGGAAGCGAATCCACGGACCTGCACAGTGGCAGTCCGGCTATTGCGGAGGACAGACATGCGGCGCAATTCAACCCTGTCACTCCGTGGAGTGATAAAACTGGCAGGGGATTGTTGCAAAGTAAAGAATCGAATTAAAGGCCAACGACACGACCTTCAATTAAGCCGGGATGTAACCTGAGGTGGATTACCGTATAATAGGGAGGATACGCGGTCGAGTAAGTCGGAAGAAACAAGAAGCGATTTTCCCTTGGTCCGTGCACGGCAATGTCTTGGCGCCAAAAAAAATAATTCCTTCGCCGCCTTTTATTTTTCTTCCTCTTCTCTTTGCACCCTGCCACTCTCTGTGTTTGGTCTTGCCTTCGATTTTTTTTTCGTCAGGCACTTACTTCTCCTCTCACATTTCAACCCACAACCGCTATCATGGGTACAGGAAAGAAGGAGGCCGCTCGTAAAGTGCGGCAGGGCAAGCCCAACGATGGCATGGCAAACGTCAAGACCAAAGGTGAAAATTTTTACCGGTATGTACAGGCTCAGCAACAATCCTTATTATCCTCCAATAACCAATACTGACTTGCCTCCCAGTGATGCCAAGAAGATCAAGACCTTGAACATGTTCAAGGATGGTACGCCGCGCCGCAATGCACAGGGTGAAATCACAGTCGCTGCGAGTTATCAATCTCGAGAGTTGCCGACAGCCCGCATCGAGCCAAACCGTAAATGGTTTGCTAACTCCCGTGTCATCTCACAAGAGGCTTTGACCTCGTTCCGTGATGCTGTTGCGGAGCGTGCTGCCGACCCGTACCAAGTTCTTCTCAAGACCAACAAGCTCCCCATGAGCTTGATCCGGGACAACGATAAAGTCAACGGCCTGAAGCAACACCAGGCTAAGATGGCCATTGAGACTTCTCCTTTCAATGATACCTTCGGCCCCAAGGCTCAGCGCAAGCGCGTCAAGCTTGGTGTGTCGTCTCTAGAAGACCTCGCTGGCGAGACAGCCAAGATGCAGGACACCTACATCGAGAAGAACGATGAGGGAACTCATGCCGATGGAAGTGCGATTGTTCGTGGTGACGACACTGCCGCTATCGAAGACCTCGGTCTACTCACTACCTCTCGTGAATCTGTCTTTTCCAAGGGACAGAGTAAGCGAATCTGGAACGAACTTTACAAGGTCATCGATTCTTCTGATGTTATCATCCATGTCCTGGATTCCCGTGATCCCGAAGGTACTCGTTGCAGAAGTGTTGAGAAATACGTTCGCGAGGAGGCACCCCACAAGCACTTGATCTTCGTTCTGAACAAGTGTGATCTCGTCCCCACTGGCGTTGCTGTAAGTCTCACTATTTCCCCTTTGCTCTCCCTTTTTATCACTCGGTCATTGCTTTTCTTGCTGTTCTGCGTTTTCCTGTTATCCCCCCGTTCCATCGCTAAGTCAAGGCTTCTTCCTGCGACTTCGGTCGTGCACAACTCCGGTTGTGCTTGTTTCAATGGAATTCCGTCTGTTACAGCTTTGGTATATTAACACTGGCCCGCACCGAATTTCGTTATGAACCTAGGTTGACTTGCTTTCGTCTTGAAGGCCTGTCGCAAAGGGCCAGCTGTGTTTTGTTTTTGAGTAGAAGTCTGCTTCTGCCTATTTGGTGGCGTTGTAGCAGACTTCTTAGTAACATCCCACACATTCTACCTTTACACAATGTTTTATTCATTGCTAGTGACTGATTGCTAACTTTGCATCTTTGACTAGGCCGCTTGGGTTCGTCATCTTTCTAAGGACTACCCTTGTCTTGCTTTCCATGCCAACATCAACAACTCTTTCGGCAAGGGCTCTTTGATCTCGCTGCTTCGCCAGTTCTCTTCCCTTCATTCCGACCGCAAGCAGGTTTCTGTTGGCTTGATCGGCTACCCCAACTCGGGCAAGTCTTCCATCATCAACACTCTCCGCAACAAGAAGGTGTGCACAGTCGCTCCCATTCCGGGTGAGACCAAGGTGTGGCAGTACATCACCCTGATGAAGAGAATCTATCTCATCGATTGTCCTGGTGTGGTCCCGCCCAACGCCAACGACACTGAGGAGGACATCCTTCTCCGTGGAGTCTGCAGAGTGGAGAACGTTCACAACCCCGAGCAATACATTCCGGCTGTTCTTCGCCGTGTCCTGCCCCGTCACCTTGAGCGCACCTACGGTATCAAGCACCAGGAGAACTACCTTGACTGGCTCGCGCTTCTTGCTCGCCAGGGCGGTCGTCTCCTCAAGGGAGGTGAGGCCGATCTGGACGGTGTTGCCAAGATGGTGATCAACGATTTCCTTCGTGGAAAGATCCCTTGGTACACCCCCCTCCCAAGGGTACCGGAAAGGGTGAGAAGGGCGAGAAGGACGAGGCGCCTGTTGACGGTGTCGAGGGCCGTGAAGGTCGACTCGGCGAGATGCCCCGCAAGCGCAAGTTGGATGAAAACAACGAGCCTGCTGCCAAGGAAGCCGAGGCCGAGGCCGAGTCTGAGTCGGCTCAGGAAGAAGCCGTCGATGCCGAGGACAGCGATAATGATTCTATCGCCAACTTGGAGGTCAGCGACGTGGAGAGTGGCGAAGAGGAGTGATTGATGCATTGGTGTTCTCTACGGCACTCGAGTGTCATCCCCATTCCGCCCTACGAAAAACAGACAGTCTACCGCCATGATATTGGTTATGCTAGCTCTTGAAACAACAGAGCTTCTAGCCGAGTCATTCCTCCCCATGTCCGCATTGAGCGGACTTGGCTCTCCACAAGGCATCTGGCATGTGCTTTTATCGCACAGAAGTCTGAAGACTGCCTTGCGACATGTCGCCCAGGCCCGAAGAGTGCCTGTCACCCAAAAGCCGCGTGATCAATCGTGAGCATCCCAGTACATAATTTTGTACGACCTTAGGAGTTTTGGTGTTTTTCAGTCCCTAGCTCCAACTCAGATACCCGATTCGATGAGGAATCAAAATGAATGAAAATAATTCTCACTTAAAACCTTTCTCCCCTAGCATAGTTGTAATTCGTATCTTCGTACAAGCTGCTTTATAATCCCTTGCACCCGCGTCTGAGCCACAGTAGGAGGTACGTTTATATGAGTTTGGTTATGGTTCTCCCCACTCTCCAACCACAGGTTAGAATCCGGGGGAAGAAGCGTGGCAGAAAATAGCGACATGCTTGGTCAAATCCATCTTAACTAGCCAATTTGTAACGAAATTGGATTTCCACCTCATTCTTTCAACTGATTCTTCCAAGGCGCTGGACGATCTAAAATGGGTCGAAGGCCATGGTAGCTTCGATGACGGGTCGGCACCATCCTCAAAAGATCAAGCACATTGAGCCCACTACCTGGGTCCCGGATCGATGGATCAGCTCCAGCACGCAGGAGGATATCCACAACCTCAAAGTTGAAGCGAAGACTGGCAATCCACACTGGTGTGGCTCCAATACGGCCACCAGGAGCATTTATATCGATGTCTGGTTCGGAAGCGAGAATAGACTCGACGACTGGAACCATACCAAACGAGGCGGCATAGTAAAGAGGATGCGTTCCGTCAATGGCCTCAGCATCGTTCGTGTGTGAACCAGCGGTTTTCCGTAACAACACCTGCATCCACGTGCCATAATTCCCCCGGCCGGGAAGAGACCTTGTGGCGAAGAATTTATGGATCATGTCTTGTTTGGGACCCCCATAGCCGCAAGCAGCACCATGTTGCGGCCAGAAGTTTGCGGCGTAAGTCATGAAAGGGTGAGTGTCTCGTAGTTTGGATGGCTTTTCGCAACATGTCAGGTATCCCTGTGCGAAATTGTCGAGACACAGGTACGTGAGACAACTGTGCATGGCTTTCAGATCAGCGGTTGTAGGATCCAGGGCAAAATATTGGACTCGAGATGAGCGAATCCAATCAGACGTTAGAAAATCCTTGATAGACGCATGCGCGAGATTGAGATAACCGTCTTGGTCCTCAGTGATGAGTCCTTGACAAATTTGAAGAAGAATATGCGGAGGGACAAGCATCATATCCTCATCAAGTGTTATGCTTGTCTCGTCCATGACCACGATTTCATTGAGACTCCTCAAAGTAAGAGGCTGTTTAGTAAAACTGAGCCAAAAGAGCGCCTCGTGAGCAATCTTCCAATCGTCAGGGGCAATCCTTTCCAACATATTTGCATATGTCTCGCGTAAAGTCCCTGGGAGGTTCTTCAAGGCCTGTCGCATCGCCCTTACAGATCGCTGCGAGCTTATGTTGTCCAGTGAGAGCTGGACCCAGCGGAATCTGCGAAGAAATGATTAGACCATAGAAATCGTAGTGAGATTGATGCTTTACTGACGATCCATCGGCATTTCGAAGAAGGGTGAATTCAATCTCCGCTTGGAATTCTGGTGCCAAAGTTCTCAATGTATCATCAGTCTCAAGCCGGTATTTGATAAAGGTACCAATATCCCCTCGCGACTTTCCACTTATGTTCAAGACAGATGCATTGTGGTGCTTGATGGAACTCATTGTGCTTGTAGTGGTTATAAGCACCCGGATGTTCATAGACAGACTGGCAAGCCTGAGAAGGGATGCTTCAAGAAGCTGCATATCATGGCTTTCGTTGATTGCATCAACCAGAAGGACAACCTTTGTCTTTTCGGAAGCAGACTTGAGGATGGCAGCTTCGAGAACAGATAATTCGATAGGGAACCTATGCGCCTGATTCTTTGGACCCTTTTTGTAGACAGTCCGAATCTCATCCAGTACTGAAGGAACTGTCCCCGAGAGCTGTGCCACAAGTGATCCTAGAACATTTCTTGCATTCTGGGAGCCAAAATCGCTGATTGTGCAATAGAAATAAGCAAGACACATGGATTGGCCTTGAGAGGTCATAGAAGTAAGTTCGTCGGCAACTTGTGCACTAGCGAAGGTCAGATATAAGAAGCAATTCGATTTCCAGACGGAACTTACAACAGTGTAGTTTTTCCAGTTCCGGCTTCACAACCATATCAGTGAAATGTCTCCGAAATTGCAATGGGTACATACATTTTCCCAAGAGGAAGAAAGCCCGATTTTCGTCTTGATTGAGAAACGTCTTCAGGTGACCGTCGACAAACCATCTCCCAGTCCCATTTCTATGTCTTTTTGATGCCCGCAGATGAGAGTTTTCGGGGCTCACAGGAGCTATCCATTGCAGAAGCTCTCGGTTAAGAAATTGGTTCCGCTCTTGAGCTCGAATCTGCAAGTCTTCCTTCAATGTGTTTGTCAGATCACGAATCTCATGCTGCATCTCCCGATCCACCGAATTATGGTCTGCAATGAGAACCAGTATCAACCACGATTTGACCCTTTCCAGACGGACCAGATGCTCGCTGACTTGCGTCTGAGTAAAGGGCCATTTCAGAGTTTGCTTGAGGCGCTTAAACTTGGTCTCGGCCGTTTCCAAGTCCATGAGTAAGGATTGGAGGAACTCATTTGTTGTATGCAACACTCTCGACATGACATCGCGGTCAAATGGGCTTGTCTCTGATTCCTCCCATTTGGGGATATCATTTATCTGCGCTGTCAGATGCTCCAAGATCCCTTTTAGAGCAAATAGCTCTTCGCTAAGTTTTCGCACTTCGGACTTTGCGGTCTGTACCGTTTTGGCATATCTGATCAGGCTCGATAGTACATGGCTAACCTCTATTACGAGACCGGTGATAGAAATCGGGTCCATTGGGATTCAAATCAGGCTGGAATTGGGATTCTGTCCTCGTAGTTTAGGTTATTATCAAGATATTAATGGCTGTGTGCGTTGTGTGTAAGCTCTACTCCGTACCCCACTCATCTCATGGATCAGCCTAGTTTCGCTGTTTCAGCTCTCGGGATACCCGAATTGGGTCTCTATTTGGCTGCAATCTCGAGTTTCCCTGGGACAAGGTATAACTAAACTCCATTTTTACCTCATTGCCCATAAAAGAGTACAAACAAGGAATATAAGGAAGGTGAAGAGGGATATTGACCAAAAGTGTCGCTACCCACGGCCGTGTCCTCACCGCCCTCCGGGTTTACATCGTCATCGATGGCAGCTTGAACTCTCATTCCCTCACATCGATGCCAGAATGCCCGTCGACATGTCTATGGTCCCCTACAATGGGGGAAACCGTGATGTTGTTTTGTAAGTGATCTTCGAATATGTGCTACTAGTTATCTAATTGTAACAGGCGGCATAATGACTCGGTGGTCGTCTTTGACCATGATTCTCAGCAGCTCGTTCTCCGCAACACGTCAGATGAAGACATTGACAATTTGGAGCTAGCCAACTGCCCATTCTGCCATCGCTCAATGCGCGATAATGGCAGAGAACGACATTGTGGGGACACTGAGCCCGAAGGCGAATTCATTAACCCAAACTACTTTCAAATGCTCAACAATAGCCTCCCCAGCTCCGCAACATCCTCGACTCCTCCTTCTCCACGCCATCGCCTTGTTCAGCCCGCGCTCCCCCGTCGGCCTATAAATAACACGTACATCCCACCTACCTCATCGCCACAACCGTCGCCACAAGGAATTTCCTCTGCAGCATTCAGTCCAGATTACTTCAAGAGATTCTTTGTAGAGGAACGAGTGTTGGGCAAAGGTGGAAAAGGGGTGGTGCTACTAGTGAAGCATGTCCTGGATAGTGTGTCCCTTGGTCATTATGCCTGCAAGCGTGTCCCTGTCGGCGACGATCATGAGTGGCTGGAAAAGGTTCTGGGTGAAGTGCAGCTGTTGCAGCATCTCTCGCACCAGAATCTTGTCTCATACCGTCATGTATGGCTGGAAAATGCGAAGATAAGCACCTTCGGCCCGAGCGTGCCTTGCGCATTTATTCTACAGCAATACTGCAATGCCGGGGATCTGCATGATTACATCTGTGGGTCTGTTCAAACCTCGACCACTGCGCAGCAATTGAAGGACCGCCTTCGCCGCAAATCTAAAGGCGAACCGGAGCCTCGAACCAAACTTGGAGGAGCTCGCACGCTTCAGCTAGATGAAATCTATTCCTTCTTCCGTGATATCACCTCTGGACTCCGTTATCTTCACGCCAATGGATACATCCATCGTGACCTGAAACCAAACAACTGCCTGCTCCATGAGACAGGTGATGGCATTAGAGTTTTGGTCAGCGACTTCGGTGAGGTGCAGTCTCAGAATGCAATGCGCAATTCGACTGGTGCAACAGGCACTCTTTCATATTGTGCACCGGAAGTTCTTCGCCAAGAATACCCTGACGGACCATTCGGCAATTTTACGTTTAAGTCCGATATTTTTTCCCTCGGAATGATTCTTTACTTCTTATGTTTTGCAGCTCTTCCATATGCGAATGCCGACCTCATAAACGAAGAAAAAGAGGACTTGGATCAGCTCCGTGCAGAGATCACCAGCTGGGCTGGATTTGACCACGCACGAGCTATCCGCTCGGATCTCCCCGAAAAGCTGTATCAGTTCCTAGAGCGCTTGCTCTCGGTTGATCCCGGCCGACGGCCCTCTGCTGATGAGGTGTTAAATGGCATCCAAGTCGGTGCCAATTCAAATGAAAACTTCCGCTTTAGGAAAGCCAGTTCGGGAAGCTCCGACCTGCCTGGGGCTCGAATCCACCCGTTGGATAGCCAGCAGCCATCAATAGAGCGAGCGCTCTCTCCCACCAAAAATCTGCGCCGGAACCCAACATCTTTCCGGCGTGACTCGGTGCCTGATTCCAGTCATTTCCGAAGCAATACGGCGCCTGTGCCTGACACTAATCCAGAGGAGGGCCCTTTTATTAGCCCAGATCAAGAAATGATCCTCCGGCGTCGCTACTCTACTTCACCGCCGTCATCTCCAGCCCAACTCCCTCATGAATCATCATTATCCGATACCCAGCCCCAGCCCCAACCAATCACTCAACATCATCTTCTCCCACCCCCACCGAGCCGCTACCCCGTCCTTAATTCCCTGGCATCTTTGAACCCATTCCCATCCTCATCTGTCTTACCAATCACTCTTTTTCTCGTCAAGATCACATCTCTTCTTCATCCATGTTCACCGCTGGCCGTCAACCCCTGGATCCTTTACCCTCTCCTACTCTCTGCAGCATTTACTTTAAGAGCCCGCAGCATTCAAACCCAGTCTATTGCCGTCTTTCTACACCTACTGGTCGTCGCGCTGGGTTTTCGTCTAGGTGCCCTATGTATCTGGCGCAGAAACTCAGAGATGAACTTGTGAATACTCTAGTTAGTATGCCTTGCATCTATTTACCAGCCCCTTTAATGTGCATCTACATGATACTGTCACGACAATGCCCTGTTAGATTTTTAATGAGTTGATGAAAAATTCCATTGTATGCATGGGGGCAAGTAGCTACCCTCAATGTAATGTACAAAAGTGTTATCGGATTTCCCACAGCACACTCCGGAACCAAATATGTAGTGAGTTTAACACCTGGGTAAATCACAAATAGCCAGGCAGCTTTACTTCCCTATCACTGAGACTGCTACCTTGATACTGTAGCTAATGATACGAAAAAGGGTCAAATGCTCCAGGAACATCCGTAAATAGCCCACTCATCTCATTACTCGGGTCTAATTGAGGCGCCTCGAGACCCGCGTTCTGGAAATATTGGTCCAACAAGAGCTAGGAGAGAGGAAGATGGTCAGATATTATGCATGATCGGTTCAGTCTCGGGGAAAGGACGTACCCAGTCCAGTGTCTCAGACCCATCAATCATTTCCGACATCGGCTCCATGTAGGGCAACTCCGGACTCATTCGAGGAATGTCCATAAACGCATCCCCGTCACGCGAGAATGTAGCCTGACGCTCAGCCACCTTACGGGCCATCAAGTCGAGGGCCAGCGACGCAATGCGAGATTCCGGCGAACGATGACTATTAGCAGCCCAAATCCGTTGGGAGGTTTTCAGTGCGACAATCTCTCTCGAAACAAAGCCATGGTCTGCGCGCTCGTCTACAAACGCCGTCGTATGAGATTCGAGACGCACAGATAGATCCAGACAGATGACCATTGCAGCTAAGAGAAAATCGTGAATTGTCAGTGAGGAAAGCATCCACTGGTCTTCTTGTAGACGGCCACCAGGCTGAAATGCTTGATGCAGGTCTGCTTGGCGGGCGAGGATTTCAAGAGCTGCTTCTACACAGAAGCGTCGTGAAGACTCGAACTTGGCGTCTTGCTGCTCGTATCGAATATACCGTCGGTGTAGAACAACGAGGCCTTTCAGGTACAGGAGTTCGATGTTGCATCGATTCAGGATTATCTCGGATGAGTCCATGAGGGATTGACTGGTGTCTCTCCGTTTTAGGAAGTCAGGAAGGAGACTGTAAGCGCCTCTCATCTCGGCATCCAAAGTAAGGGTTCTGCTGTAAGATGGTGGTGAAAGCGACATTGTATGTGCAACGATCTTTTTGAAGATTCTCATCACACTAGCTTTGGAGATAAAATAGAGGAAAGGAGTGTATTCTGATGACGGGCGAGATGGAGGCAATGCCGACATCCCAACATGAAGATCGGCGTCATTCAGGTTCCTGGGAACATGGGTGTCACAACACTCAGCTGGTATCATGCTAGGAAGGCCTATCTGGAAACTAAAGAGCGCGTCCAGCTGGAAGACATGCAACCACACCCGGCGTCTCATTTCGCCATCAAATGGCGTCGTCGTACCCGGGAAAGTGCTAGGGTCACGGTGGTATCCCATGCGGAATGCTAACCTGAGTATGATCCCCATGTCGAACCATTGTCGGGAGCCGGTTTTCATGTCACCCAAAAAGCCACTCTGAAGATACAGAAGCAATGTCTCTAACGAGTAGGCATTGGCTGTTCTGTATCCTCCCAGCAAAAGGCATTGCGCTGTCTTCTGTTGAAGGATATCGGGCGATGGAATTGTACCATTCAAAGCCCCGTTTGCGTTCACTTTCAGGCATAAATGTACCGATACACTAAGAATAGCGAGAAGAAGCGCGATCCAAAGTACAGGAGCTTTGTGCGGTGCTTTCCAGAATTCCTCATACTGTCACGAGTCAGTCAGACAAGAGATGTTCCATCTAGTAGCTTCAAAATGAGCAACACAAGTATGGAACTTACTTCATCCCGAAATTTTCCCGAGTGCACAATACCTGCCATTGTCCTAGAATCAGCCAGGTACGCAATGGAGGTTAGTTGCAAGTGATATCCTACCTAGTACCATGTACGAAGCATTGAAATATCGGGAGACCAACATATCACAGATAGGGCGCGTGGGCAGCGAGATAAGAATATCCTTGATGTTTAGTCGTGTTTCAGGTCCATGAGCAAGGCTAACGTCTGGCTGTCCACTTCCACCGTCGTTTGTAGGCTCGCTAATCGAGAAGGGATCAACGGCAGACAAGCTTTCCCGAACTTCCTTGATATCCTCCAATATAGAAACCCAGTGACTGGAATCAACATGGCTAGTTTTACCATGATGAGCATGGGAATTACCGGGAATCGCTTTCTGTAGGAGATGTTGGTCTCCGGTGCGAGGTCCATTGCTCCCAGCTAGCCTAGTTGTGGCGACAGAAACTCCACGAACACTAGGAAGGCTTCCACCCCCATTAACTGTACGTGTCACTTCTGATTGTGGCAGTGGGATTGTCTGGGACGCGTCCTGTCCCCCGACAAATGATTGGATTGTATCCTCGAGACGCTTCAGTCTATCACTCAAGGCACGTTCCTTTAAAGTACGCGTCTTACCGCGTACAGCGTTAGAAGCGTACAGACAATTAGATTCCACGTTGCGCTTAATGCAGGCATCACATGGTAGAAGTCTGTTGCATTTCAGTCTAGGAAAGGTGAGTATATGAGATCGGGTCCCGGGATGGATGCATGCTTACTTCCTTGCGCGACATGGTTCGCAGGAGAGAGGCGGTCGAGTTCGTTTTTCAAATTTCAGAGACATTTCCAGGAATTGGGTTAGATAGTCAGGCAAAAGTCCGAAGTTATTTTCGTATTCAACAGATTATATCGGAGTATAGAAAAGAAGGGGGGCGACTATGCGAAGCGGAGATATTATCTCCATTCCGGCCATGGTTATTTGACGGTATTGATACGTTATCTCCATAATTACACACCTTCTTTTGCGAACGGTCCTGTGTAATATATACACAATAGGCGGAGATAAGAAAGCCCTATGAGCGTCTTTCATCCTCCTACATACGTAGATGGAATTGAATTGACGAGGATGGATATATTAAGCCCGAGTGTTGAATGGAACAGCTTCCTATTTAAAGCGTTAAGAAAAGCATCTATTGAATTTTAAATAGTGACACTAACTACAATTTGCCAACTCTTCCATTTCTTGATTCATTTTTCTTCGGATTCAATCAAACAAGACATAATCATGCCTTTACTTTCATCTTTAGAGGGTATCTCGTCAACAGTGTTCTCCAACACCTTCATCGAACTCCCATACCCCAAAGGCCATCTCAGCGGACAGACAATCATCGTAACAGGTTCAAACCAAGGACTCGGTCTCGAGGCCAGCCGCCACCTATTGCGCCTAGGCGTGGAAAAGCTGATCATGGCCGTACGCAATCAGAAGAAGGGCGAAGATGCAAGACAAGAACTGTTGCAATCCACGGGCCGCGAAGAAAGTTCAGTCGAGGTGTGGCTGCTGGATATGGATAGCTATGTCTCAGTCAAAAGCTTTGCCAGCCGTGCTGCAGCTCTACCTCGTCTTGATGCTCTATTGGCAAATGCCGGGCTGATGACCAATACATTCAGTATATCGGAAGGGGACGAGCAAACCATCACAGTCAACGTGGTGAGCACGTTCTTGCTTATTGCCTTGCTTGTTCCCAAACTGCGAGAATCCGCTTCCAAGTTCAATATCACACCTCGCATCACCATCCCAAACTCGGCTTTGCATTATATCGCCTCTCTTGGGCAGCTGGATCCTCAAACCGAGGGCGGTATCTTCAAATCGCTCAACAACAAAGAAGCGTCCAATATGGCGGGTCGATACCCATTGTCAAAACTGCTGGTAGTTTTCGGTGTGCGCGCATTTGCGGATCAGTTCGCACAGAGTAAAGCGCCGCTGGTTATCATCAACACGCCAAACCCCAGCTTCTGCAAGTCCCAATTGGCGCGAGAAACGAACAATGTCGGTCTCCGTGTTTCTGAAAAGCTGCTCGCTCGTAGTACGGAGGAGGGTAGTCGTGCTTTGGTCCATGCCATCATGGCTGATGAGAAAAGCAATGGGCAGTATTTGACAAACTGTCGCGTTCACAGGTCAGTCGGTTGTTGTTGTCTGTTCAGGAAAATCAAGTCAGCTAACTCTGTTCTCCAGTCCATCTTGTATCGTGACCGATGGAAAGGGAGTTAAGATCCAGGAAGCGTTTTTCAAGGAGCTGGTCACCAAGTTGGAGAAGATTGCACCAGGTGTGACATCTTGTTTTTGAGGTCATGTCGTCCTTCTTTTGTTGATACGCTGGGAATCATATTGCACTTTGGTGTGCTTTGTCGTGGGTAGATATAGGTTTAATGATAGAAAATGAGGGGTCCTATAGTAATGATGAGAGTCCAATCTTTGTTGTCTCAAAGACATGCAGTCATGTAGGCTTGGGTAGAAGCCAGATCAATCTCAAGGTAAGGGAGGAAATACGACGAAGAAGCGTCAAGAGAGGGACTACGTGATCAGGCGCCAAGGCATGTGACAGATGGGAAGACAAAGTCAAGACATAAGTACATTCACTCCAGGTTAAGCTATTTACAGGTGTGATGTCGAGAGAGAATAAATAAACCACACCTCCATCTATCAATCCTCCAGGCAGTCAATACTCCCGTAGTTGCTCTGAACCTCCCCAGAGGAGAAGCACGAGTATCATACGATTTCTCTCCTGTTCTGACAGAATTGAGGAGTGCAGCCAGAGAAGCTCTCTTTTGATCTTGGACTTCAGTTGGTGAGTGATACCACAGTTTCCCATCTCACGAAGAGATAGGGGTATGCACCTTGTATTTCCCTGAGGGTAAACCCACAAGAAGTTGGAAGCCCGTTGGTCGTCAGAGGAAGGAAGGAAGGAAGAAGAAGGAGAAGAAGGGAGAGGGAGAGGGAGAGGGAGAGGGAGAGGGAGAGGGAGAGGGAGAGGGAGGGTTTTGATGGAGACTAGGGGGACTAGGGGAGACAAACAAAACAAACAGTCGAATGTTCTTTCCTGATAGATAGTTACATGCATGAACATAGGTGGTTTAGGGAAGAGATAGCCCTCCAACTCTTGCAAACCTTGGAAACTATCCCATTCGTGAAGCTTTGAACTTGCTCACCCGTTTAGGTTCATCTTCCTCAGGAGGGAAAGTATCCTGTTCCTCGTCTTTAGGTGTGCCGTTGATGCGTTTTTGCATATTGAAGAACTCCGACGCAATCTGCTTCTGGTGAAGCTCTTCATCGTAGTGGTCCAATTCGGGAGCCACTGCGGCCCCTGTTTTGACCTCTCGCTCAAAGACCTTTTCGGCTAGAGTTCGGTCGTGTGGGAATTGAGGCGCAGAAGGTTTCTCGATAATATCGGAGATCGGGGCGGAGAAGGGTTTGGGCTCTTTTGGTGTGGCGGGGAAGAGGACAGGCGGCACCGCAGATGGAGTTGTGTTGGCTTGTTTGCGAAGGCGGGATTCGGTGACTTCCGAGGGATTTGCGATTGTAGCGCCGGCGGTAACAGATTCACTAGTGGTACTACCTGGAGCAACGGCCCGAGCACTTTTGAACCGCGATGCCTTCTTGGGAACAGCGGGGGTGGCTGGAGAGGGCTCCGGGGCACGGCTGGTCCGTTCAACAATGGAATCAGCGAGCACCTGAGGCTCGGCCTGTGGAGCAGAAGTCTTCTCGGCGGTGGCCGGGGGTGTGGGAGCTGGTGCGATATCAAGGTCATCCGCGAACGCAACCCGTTTCTTAGGCTTCTTCTCTTTGGTGGAAGTTTCAACCTCAGCAGGTGCCGCGATCTCTTGCTGCACTTCCTCGGGGAATGTCTCAGTGTCCTTGCCCATGTTCATTAGGCCTCGGGCATTGAGCTTGGCTTCCAACTCCATCATCTGCTGGTGGTATTCCGCCGGAAGGCGAGTGTGGGAGCGGCCATGTTCATCTTCGTTATCTTCCTCGTCGTAGTCGTAATCATAGTCCTCATCGAAGGAAACGTCACTTCCGGACTCATCCATTTCCAGCTCTGCCACAATAGCCCCCACCTCGTTGATCCCATAATCGAGCATTTCACGGCGAAGTCTTGCTTCTTCGGCAGATTCATTCACGTCCGTGACAGGCGGCTGCATGCGATCTTCGGCAGTCACCACAGACTGAGGTTGAGAGAATTTCAGGGATGCGCCACTTGGCTCTATGGTAGCATTATCGTCGCTCAAGGGACCGTTCTGCTGATTTGCAGGCTTTGAGCTGACCGAATCAACCACCGCGCCTTCACGTGTAGCATCTGCGGGAGTTGCAGCAGTCTTCTCCGGCTCACTCGTCTCCGGAATATCCTTCACGCCGGCCTTCTTCAACACATTCAGCAATTCCGAGGCGTCATTCCCAGGCGTATTGATCTTGCTCGAGACGACATTTCCATCCTCATCAAGCTCCTCCATAATCTCCTGCATCGGGAACTCCGCACCGTCCTGCAGCGGCGGCTGATCATTCAAGACCAAAGCGTCTAGCTCATTTTGGGCCTTCGAAAGCCTCTTCTCCATAGTCGCAACATTCTGCTGCACGTAGTCGATGCGTCGTCCAAGAAGATCAACCACTTGCCCGCGAGACCGCATCACACCTTTCGTACCAAGTATTGTCTGCATTTCCTTCTGATCCACCAGCGTGCCGCCAAATTCCAGGGCCACAGCAAGGAAATCGTCCGTGCTAGCATCATCTTCTAGGTTGCTAATCTCCTCGCGGATTCCATCGTATTCTGCTTCCCAGGTTCGCCAGTGGTAAAGCGATTTCTGAAGTTGGAGGATGTTTTCTTCGAGCGCGAGCCGCTGCTCTTCGAGAGCGTCGAGGTTAGGATTCGGTACTCCCATAATTGTGAAAAGTGAAAACTCGGTGACAGCTTCACACCGACAATGTCGATTGAATGTAAAGGAGCAAAGAGAGGGGTTGGTGGAGGCAAAAGAAAAAAAGTCCCAAAAAAGGTGACGATATGTGGTCCGTGCGCTGGTTGCTTATCAGCCTCAACCCAGTCCGTGGTCCATCTCTCCCACGTCACTTTACTCTCACCATGGCCTCCGATGCGGCTTCTCGCCGTGATGAAGACGGTAGGCTTTTGTCCAGCTTTGTCGTGATGTATAATGCTAACCACATCTTTTCGCAGAGGTTTGCCCTGTCTGCAAATCGTCGCGATACCTCAACCCGGACATGCGATTTCTAATCAACCCAGAATGCTACCACAAGATGTGCGAGTCGTGCGTGGACCGCATATTCTCATCCGGTCCTGCGAACTGTCCAGTAGCTGGATGTCGGAAGACGCTGCGCAAAAACCGGTTCCGCAAACAGACATTCGAAGATATCGGGGTAGAGAGGGAAGTAGATATCCGGCGGCGGGTGATGCACATGTACGTCTCTTACCGAACACCTCGAAGTATCCTGTGATATGCAAGGACTAACAGTTTACCTCGATCAGCCTGAACCGCCGCGAAGAAGAATTTGACTCAAAACGAGCCTATGACGACTTCCTCGAACAAAGAGAGGACATAATCGCGAACCTAGTAAGCCGGATCGACGTGGCGAAAACCGAAGCCCAGCTCCAAAAATACGCATCAGACAACATGCAATCAATCCGCACAAACCAAGCCATAGAAGCCGAGGAAGCCTCCTCCTTCCAAGCCCGCATGACCCTCGAACAAGAAGAAGCCCGACTCCGCCGGCAAGCCGTCCGCCAGGAATACGAGACCGAGCGACGCGAGATCCAAGCCGGACGCGAAGATTTCCTCTCAAGACTCGCCTCGGGCTCATCGACAGATGCCGCGGCCATCGCGCGCGAAGGACACAAAGTGCTGTTGAAGAAGTCGTCCGCGCGCCGCAGCGAGGAAGAACGCATTCGACAGAAACAGGCTGCGCTGCGGTTGGAGACCAAGCGCGGATCGAATCTTTCCACGGTGGATCATGCTGGTGCGGCGGATACGGGGCTTGTCAAGGGTCTGCGCAAGATCAAGACGCCCGAGCCGGAGAAACCGTACGATCCGTTTATGGGCTATATGCCCGAAAAGCGCGATTACTATTCTCTCCAGTCGTATTATCCGTCGCAGTATCTTGATCCTATTCGCAATGATGTGCGCATGCTGGCTGGTGGTTATGATTTGCGTGAATACTACTCGCGTACCCTTCTTGAGGCTTTTGCTGGGTTGAGCTGCTTTGTTGGGGAGGAAATCTCACAGCGAGATGCTGCTAATATTTCGACGTCGACGGCTACAGAGGGTGCTGCTATGGCTGTGGAGGGTGGAGAGAACACTGCCTGAATGCTACTTCGACTTGGTTTGCAATAGGTTTGGGACTTGCATGGTATTTGGGTTGTTTTATGAGCTACTGAGCATAGCGATGGCGTTTTTTTCTGTTCGCTTGGAGTATCCCAGCCTACATATGGTATACCATCATCTAAAGAAATTTGACAAGATATTGAGATTGATACAAACATTGAACAGCACAAAACAAGTAAACGGTCGAAAAGAGGAGAGCTACGCTACATTGAACTCTTGAACAGATGGAAGGGTTATTTCCAAGGCCGCGGTACAGCCGCAATGACATTTGAGTATCAAGAACTACCTAACCAACAATCGATTACCCAAATCAATGAATTAAACATACAGATGGAACCATACTCCATAAAACAGCGCCAAAGTAGCAGCAAAGTAACCAGAATGATATCAACACACGCAATGCGATGCAATAAACATCAGCTCAGTGACCGCCCAGAGAAAGGTGGCCAGTCATCTCAGCAGTGCTCTCAATACCCTCCCAGGGCAAATCCTCCTCATCATCCAAGTCAATCTGGCTGTGGCGAGAAGACTTATTGGTAGTACCAGTGACATCAGGTGCATGGGACATGCCGACATCAATTCCGATCGACTCAAGAGTCGCTTCCATTTCGTGCTCGGTCATCTCACGGCCATCTTGCTTTTGGCCCTCCAAAACATCGTAGAGAGCGTAGATTTGGTCGGACTTCATATCAATGTCCTTGAAGATTTTGTCAATCTTTTCTTGCAGGGCCTTGCGCGGGCGCTTGCCGAGCGATGCGTCGAGCTTGTTATGCGCGCTTTGGTATGTGGCCAGCTGCATCTTCAGGTGAGAAAGTTCGTCTTCCAGGCCCTTGAGAACAGTAGCAAGAGCGACGGCAGGGGGTTGCGAGGGGCGCATGGTTGGTTCTTCATTCCAGACGGATGGCTTGGGCATGCGCTCTGACACAGGAATGGGTTTGGCGACCTTCACGGACTCGTGATTGCAGGTGCCATCAGTGGAGTGACCATTGCAAACTGTGCAGTTCTGTCCATTGTGTCGAGCAATGCTATCCAATGCTTTTTGGGTGGCTTGTGGCAACTTGGATAGATCAGCCGCCGCCAAGTCGACGTGGTGGAGGGTGATATCAGGAAGGATGAAAGCGGAGGTCATGTCAGTGGCATATCGCTGCTTCTTGCGGTGCGATGTTGCGGGCAACGAATTATCTGAATGGCGTCGGGAACGCTCTGCAATTGGTACTGTGAGACTACTATCTCCATCGGTATTTGCCTTTGAGGCGGCGGTAATATCTCCAGTAGCTGAGGCTGGGCGAGGGATTTCTGCTTTGGATTCGCGAAGAGATGACTTGCGAGGGGCAGGTGTTTTCAAAATGCTCTGTCTGGTCGAGTTGACAGTCTCTGTAGGATTAGATTCCTTAGGGGCACTCGAACGTCGTTGCTTGCGCATCATTCTTTCTTCTTCCAATGTCTTGCGTAGACGAGAGATTTCATGTTCATCAATAACACTCAACAAGGTAACGTCTGTTTCAGATAGAGCCTTGGTCTGCTCGGACACCTCCGGTCCAGTCACATCTTCAACTACCACTCGCTTCACGCGCTGTTTGCTCGTGTTGGGTTGTTTCCGGGAGCTCTTTGATTCGGAAGAGCGAGACACACCTGACTTTAATGGCTTAGAGGTTGATGTACGTGGTGATGACATCTCAATAGAGAAGAGGGCCTCATCGGCTCGTTCCTTTTCAAGGCGAGAAATTTCCTTGTCCACTTGAGTAGACACCTTGGAGCGGGAGTCATCCTGGCGTCTGGTCCTCGTGGTGGAGCGGTTGCTTTTCGATGTAACGTCTCTGGTGCTCCGACTAACGTCCCCACTGCGCTCAGTGTAAGATTGGCTGTCATCGACATCTTCAGACACGGCTGAACTAGCGTCCGACTCGACGGTGTCCTGTTCGCGAGCCTTGCGACCTAAGGTTCGGCTGAGCTGGGACTTGAGATCCACATTTTCCTGTCGCAATTCCTCGTTCTCGGCCTTCAGCTCTCGGGTTTCGAGATAAGCAGCTCCAAGTTGTGAGATAGCCGACTCTCTATCATGGTTCAAACGCTTGATGGCAGACTCTTGGACCTGGGCCTTTCGATCGGCAATGTCCAACTGGTTTTGTAAAGCGAGATTGGCTGCATCCAACTTCTGGTTCTCATTTTCCAGGCGCTTAGATCCCCTTTTGTGTGCATTATCCTCTGATTCGTACTTCGCTGATGACTGGCGAGGTCTGTTCGCCTTCAAAGATGAATTCTCCTGGCGGTAACTGTCCATTCTTCTCTCTGCTTCGGATTTGAACATCTCCAATTCTGCCACCTTATCCTGAAGTAGTCTCAGATGAACAAACAATGCCTTCTCATCTTCCGGAACTGGCACTGCATCCAACGGCATGTGCTCGTGGGGGAGAGACAGGTCTGTATGATCATGAAGTGGGGAAACGAATCGGGTAGAGCGCATCTTGCCCTGTCGGGAGTAAACGGGTGTACCGTCTTCGTACACACCGGAGACGAGTTCAGAGATATTAGGGAGGTCGGGAAGAAGGAATGATTGATGGGTCATGGTGTCACCAATAGTGTTGGTGTTGGCTGCATTGGCACTGCTTTTGCGGGGAGTTCCTGCGGTATTGGAACCCGATTTGCGGACTTCCTTTGCGTAGGCTTCCCGCGAAGCTCGCTCAATTGCGTCTGCAATCTCCTGCGAGGTGTTTGCATTTCCAAAACGCGTTGAACGCGTCTTCGTGGCGATAGGAGCAGGTCGTTCGTCTCCCAAAAATGAGCCCTCGTAGCTGTCACGCACTTTCGCGTGCATATCGGAAAATGTCCGACGCTGGTCGCGTTGAGCCTTCGAGACTTGCGGGCTCATGGTTTCTTTCTGGGCTTGGGTCGCTCGTCGCACCTGAGCGTTCTTTCTTAGGTTTTCACTGACTGCGCGACGCGACGGACGCGTGGCAGCAACTGACTTTTGTGGTGTGGGGTATTCAACGCGCATGGCGGGCGAGGATGAGCGTACACTGTTCTCAAAGCTCATCATAGAGCTGCGCGAGTCGTCGCGTACTGGTTTACCAGCACCGCGTCCTACCTCAACGGACATGTCGAGGTCGCTATGTGAAAGATCGTCGTCCAGCTCGTGTTCCTCCTCTTCGGAGGTCTGTATTTGCGAGAATTCGGGGAAAGCCCGGTCAAGTGTTGATGTGTTGATATCGTAGTCAAGTTCCTCATCGACACGTCGTGTTGATGTGCCCATTATTTCGTCGTCCAAATTGGTGAGCGAAAATGAATCGTCGTGTACACCAGAATTTCTGTTCATTGGAGACATTCTGGGAGTAGAACGGTGAAGTTGAAGATTGGAGTGGTTTGTTTTGGAGCAAAGTCGGAATGTTTGGGTCGGGCGCGTCTCGGCAACCCCGGGAATTCTGATTGGTTGGAAGGCCCCCATAGTCGAACTACAGAATCGAATTGTATCAACTTCTTTATTTCTAGTTCTATATGTACTTGGATCTCTACTTAGATGGCTAATATTTTACTATATTTGCTTAAAATACTAAGAGCCGTGTCAACCCAGCCGTAGTAGTGTTGGTGCGTCTCAGAAAACTCAAAGTTCTAAACAAAACAAAACCTAGAAATTTGGTATCTTTTGTATGACTTTCCATACAAAGAATACTTATGCAGGTACCATATGCATATGAATTTGCTCAACCCTCGAGGTACATAGCCAAAGAAAGAGAAAGGGTCTAATATATAACATAAGTCTGACTCGATTGATCTAATACCACACGTGTATTTACCACCACGGCCAACCCCTGGTTCCTAGGAGCCCCACTCGTGATGCAGCCGCTGCAAGCCCGTTCTTGTCACCCTCGAGGGCTGTCAGGGGCCTAGTACTAAAGGCGTTGATGTCTAAGGTATCAGAAAGTCTACATACAATGCCCAGCTGAGCAGGTGGCTACCTTATGTAGGCTTAATAAGAGCTAATAAGGGGGCCCCTGGGGACCGCCAATGCTTTTGCCAAGGTCTAGTTTCATCGTATGAAACTGATTTGGAGTGCTGATGTTTTATTATATGCCATGTTCAGATAAAAGTTACGATAAATCTCCATATTCCAGGCAGCTAATATGTCCTAGCTTGATGAATATGAAACCAAGGAGTCCTTTGACTTGCCCTAATTGTTTCATGGTGAACGTTTTTCAACTCGTGTCTCACTTGGAGCAGAACGCTCTTCCTTTGCTATAAAAACCCTCTAATTGCCAGTCAATGATGTACTTGACAGAACGCACAAATCATCCAAGTCAACAGAGTTGAACAGATGAAAATGCAATTCAATCAGATGTTAGGGCTCGCTCCTTGGGCCTTACTCTGCCTCTTGACACAGGTTGTCGAGGCGTGCCCAAGTGCTCCCCGTTCGGTTTCTGCGCCTATTGTCAAGTCTGGATTTCCACTCCAAAATCTTCCCCCTCGTGCTATCAAGTCACGCGCGGCCGGAAATGGCTCTTGCAAACTCAAGCCGACTTCAGTGGATCTCAGCGAGGGTATCGGTGCTACAGAGCAGACTTTTGCCCCAAGCACGGGCACCCTCAACGCCCTTATGATTTTCGTCGACTTCCCTGATGCACCGGCCTCAGACACCACCATGGAATTATACCAGCTCTTTGTTCCCGGTGCACCAGACTGGTACACCAATACCTCCTTTGGTCAACTTACTCTCGACGTCACCGCCGACACAACTCGCTTCTATCGCATGCCTAAATCGTCCGCCTCATACTCCTACGACAGGGCGATTACCTCAGAGCTTCTGGGAAAATACATCCAGGACGCGCTCGACTCAGTCGGCAGGGCCATCAGCTTCGCCGGCACCGATGTTCTGTATATCGTCCCGACCAAGGCAGCAAAGCACATCTCGTTTTCGCCTACCTTCATGGGCCAACTGACGGCGGGGGATGGGACTGTTATCAATAAAACGGTCACCTTTGGCCAAGACGCTCCTGACTCATGGGGCTTCCTGGTCATGAACCACGAGACAGGACACACAATGGGTTTACCAGATCTGTATCCCTCAGGTAGTTCTAGCAGCAGCACTACCATGTATGTTGGCGGGCATGACATTATGGCTTTGATTAGCGGGGGGCTTCCAGATTACTTTGCATGGCATAAGTGGAAGCTGGGATGGTTTTCCGACAACCAGTTCGATTGTGTGGACGGTGCTGGATCGACAACCCACACAATTACCCCCGTTGGAACCAAGGAGGGCGTTAAGGGAGTCGTCGTGAAGCGGGATGAGACTACTGCTATTGTCGCCGAAGTGAGAGCCAAGAGTGGCGCGGATACAAAGGCTTGCAGTACAGGAGTCCTTGTCTATACGGTATCGACATCCACGGCTTCGGGCCAAGGCCCTATTCGCGTTTATGATGCGACCCCAGGTTCTGGGGGGTGTGATGGGGAGGAACTCAATGATGCCCATTTCACAACCGAGACGGGCCGGAACACTTTTGTTTCGGAAGATGGAGTCAAAATTACTGTGGTTGGGCAGAAAGGAGATGAGTATACCGTTACAGTCGAGGTGGTGTGAGTGGAGTACATTGTCGTCGAAATCAAATTACATTGAATAAACATCGTTGCTCTACGGAGTATTTACTGGCGGAGTAATGAGTTCGTAAAAGAAAAAAGCAACCACCTATTCAAATCAATTCATGCCGAAGGTATTTACGTTCCACGGAGCGACTACTTGTAGTCATATATATAACTTCGTAGGCTACTAGTACTCCTTGAGAAGTAGCTATTAGTCTATTATGGTAGTATAGTATGCCTTTAGTATCTATTTCCAGAAGTATCCCCTGTGTAGATACTCCGTAGTGGTGTTGGTACTCCTGCGGAGTCCGCCGTACGCTTGGCACCATTATGACTCTCGGTCAGAGCGATCTGATCGATCTACATATGATCTACATGTCTACACTTATCTTTGAAACAGATGATCATGCCTTAATCTTCTACCTGCAGCAACGAGGGATTTTGGAATTAATGGCTTTTGGCCTAGTCTATCACCTGTCTAACTAGCTGGAAATCAAGTATGTAGGCGAAGTTCTTTTTGGGATCATATGGATCTAATGCAGGGGAAGAAAACACTGGACCAAAAGTAACATGTGAATGGAGCCCATAGTAAACGAATATACGACATGTCTGCTCTCTTCTTATTCCTTCTATTTCTTCTAGAATCCTTAGATTATTGCCGTGATTTGCTAGAAACTCAATTTACTACACGTGTGGCGTTGGTTTCTTGTAGTTGGTGGGAAATATTCTTATCGGCGTATATTGTAATAATATATCCTTGGAGGAGGTGGTACGGAGTACTCCGTATTCAATGTAGTTAACCGAGGTCGCTAGCAATGATAAATTATGTATATATCTATTTTTCTTTTCCAATGCCCACTTTTTTAACACACCTGGGCACTAAATGACGTCGGGAGTATCTTCCGCAGGGGATGAAAATCTGATCTGATAGGGACGCAGATATACGAACGGGGGGGCTCCACCCCAAGCGACCTCGGGAGAGCCACAAAACTCTATGCACATCTTGGAGGCTTGCAAGGAACAAGCTAGCCTAGCGATGTAAGACATAGTGGGCCAATAGGCCGGAACTACTTTAAAGGGAAAGAAAACATGTAGATTGATATGAATTGAGGACCATGTTGTACATACAATTGTCCTTGTAGGGCGAGGAAGTGGACGATCAGCCCTGAAGCACATGTTATATTCCCCGTTGGGCTAGTATATAAACTGGGTACCTGGAGTGACATCCACTTTCATACTAAAACATAGTAGATCCAAGTACTGTCAAGTATCCAGTCACGGGTAGGGCATCCCCCGCGCCACGTGTTTCAGCTTCATGCAAGAGCGATGGACCAATCAGCGGGACCAAACCACTCACGAGCACAACGTCCGCAAGGGTTAACCCAAATGCTTTAGAGTCAGGTCAACATTTAAAAATGGACAGGTTTCCCCCTCTTCGCATTCTATAGCCTTGCAGATTCCACGTCCTTGTCAAGCTGTGATATCATCTTCTCCTTCGGTGTGATGGCAGCGTTCTCTAAACAAAAGAGTGGAGAGGAAGAGGGCCTGCTTGGAGAGAGGCAATATCAAGGCCGGAAGCAGCAATGCCAGCAATCCTCCCGAAAATGGACTGCATTGACCATCATGTCCCTGCTGGGCACTTTCGCCCTGGTTGTGTACTTCGTGAAGGGAACCCGGTGCAACCCTCCCTCGCATGCCACAACCCAGCCTGACCTACCTGTGGTTTCCCCGCTTGACAAGAAGAGATCATCGCATCACGGACATGCCTGCGATACCGTCGACGGCGGTTATCAATGCAACTCCGAGCTCTCGCACAAGTGGGGCCAGTATTCGCCCTATTTCTCTCTTTCGGACGAATCGCCCATCTCAGATGAGGTACCTCATGATTGTCAGATCACCTTTGCTCAAGTGATCTCCCGTCATGGTGCTCGATTCCCGTCGGCGAAGAAGAGCAAGGCGTATGCCAAGCTCGTTGAAAGCATCCAAGCGAACGCGACTTCATACAAGGGCAACACAAAATTCATCCGCTCATATAAATACGTCATGGGTGGTGATGACTTGGTACCATTTGGAGTGAACCAGATGGTGAACTCAGGAACCAAGTTCTACAAGCGCTACGCGACGTTGGCTAAGAAAGCCGTGCCCTTCGTTCGCATATCTGACTCAGAGCGGGTTGTGGCTTCAGGAGTGAACTTCATCAAGGGCTTCCAGAAGGCGAAGTCGCATGACAAAAAAGCCAATCACCGCCAACCAAGCCCCAAGGTCGATGTCCTCATCTCAGAAGAGTCTGGCACCAACAACACTTTGAACCACAGCGAGATCTGTCCCAAGTTCGAAGACAGTAAACTGGGCGACGAGGTCGAAGAGAAATACATGGCAATCTTTGTGCCACCCATCCGAGCCCGCCTCGAGGCGAATCTCCCTGGTGTCAAACTCGAAGACATCGATGTGGTCAGTCTGATGGATATTTGTCCTTTCGAGACAGTGTCCCTGAGCGACGATGGACACAAGCTATCGCCATTCTGTGATCTCTTCACCCAAGCCGAATGGAGCCAATATGACTACCTCCAGTCACTGAGCAAGTACTACGGTTACGGCGCAGGCAATCCGCTCGGCCCAACCCAGGGTGTCGGTTATGTGAACGAACTGATCGCTCGTCTCACTCACTCCCCAGTGGTGGACAACACAAGCACAAACCGTACGCTCGATGCCCCCGGCGCTGCGACATTCCCCCTCAACTACACCATGTACGCAGACTTCACGCACGACAATGGAATGATTCCGTTCTTCTTTGCTTTGGGGCTGTACAACGGCACCGCTCCGCTCTCGGTCACCCAGGTCCAGACTCCTAGCCAGACGGACGGATTTTCATCCGCCTGGACGGTGCCTTTTGGTGCTCGTGCTTATATCGAGATGATGCAGTGTCGCCGCGACCCGGAGCCGCTCGTGCGAGTCCTCGTTAATGACCGTGTTGTTCCGCTGCACGGTTGCCCGGTGGATAAGCTTGGCCGTTGTCGCCGCCGTGATTTCGTGAAGGGGCTCACATTTGCACGCTCCGGTGGTTACTGGCCTCAGTGCTATGAATAGAGCACTTTACAAAAAATTGGTGCAGGATTGGTTCTCCTTTAACATGTGTTTAACGATACCCTAAAGATTGCTCTTTACGTAGATATCCTTATTGTTTTCCCAATGTTAATGCGGTACATGTTACCACGAAATAAAGTCTTAGAAACAATATAATTGTAGCTAAATATATAATCGAACGGCTCTAACACATGCAGGTCATCAAAAAGGTAATTCAAACAGCCCCCAACTCCAAAAAGCATTCCAAATAATACCCAGCACGTTTTAGACATCTCTCTACCTCTCCCTTTTACATACTCCAATGTGACCGACCATTCCTTTTAACTTGATGTGGGGCAGAAAGGACCCACGCCTCCCAAAGAGGCATCTGCTCACGCAAGACATGCACCCCGTCATCCCCCAAGTCCTCACTAGACAATGCACGCAGCCTCTCAAGCGAAGTCCGTCTCAACGGCAATCGCCTCCCCCTAACCAAAGCAAGGGGACTATCAGACGCGGGCGGGGTAGTAGTCGGCGACTGAACAGCCGAGGACGTACCAGCCGCAACAGTAACAGAAGATGGCACAGGATCAACAGGGTAATCATCAAACACCTCAACACCGTTTGAAACAGCCACGGAATCAAAATGTGCAGCGTAGTCAATATCCTTCAGAACCAGCCGCTCCAACTGCTCCATTTCCTCACGCAGGACAGCCAGCACATCGCGCCACAAGCCGTCGGGCCGGAGGTAGACGCTTAGTAGGCGGAAATCGCGTAGCTGGGGACTGTGGCGACGTGCCAGTGCGATGATCTCGTCTGCGCTCAGACGCCAGCCTTGGATGCTGAGTTTGCGGAGGGTTTTCCAGCGGATGTGGTGGAAGAGTAGCTCGAGGTCGAGGTCTAGGGGTGTTTTGCTGAGGAAGCCGATGTGGATGGCGATGAGGTTTTTGGCTGCGACGAAGAAGCGGTGGAAGACTCCTGACAGGTCGGCCATGGTTGTGGTGATGTCGGTGGTCGAGTGGAAGTTTATGTCGAGGCTTGTGAGGCGTCCGCCCATGGCGGCGAGGGTTGTTGACGGGGCGCGGAGGAGCTGGAGGGTTGCTTCGGGGCTGATTTGGGGCCCTGTGAAGCGAATGGAGCTGCATTCTGAATCGAGCAGGGCGATGCTGAGGTTTGTTACGGCGCGCGAGCAGGCGGTTTCCCAGTCGAAGCGGATGCTTGTTGCGGTGCTGGTGCCGGTTCCCAGTGAGTGGTCGCGTATAAAGTCGATGAGGTACTCGTCTGCTTCGTCTTGGAGTCTTAGGAGTTTTATTTCCTGTAGGGTTGAGAACGCTGCGATTGCACGACGAAGGCGGGTTTGGTCGTTGTTGGTTTCAGTTAGATTGGTTTGTTCACGCAGTCGGCGGCTGTGTAGTTGGGCTATTTCGGGATTCTCTAACCCCAAAGTTCGCAGTGTCCGGGTCCATCCTGTATTTTGCTATTAGTCAATTTGCTCGCTTGTGTATGAGAGATTGAAGAGCTGGTACCGCTTCCTTGATAAAAGGGTCGCACCATGTACGTGATGGTCTTCACATAGTAGGCTAGCTGCATGTCTACCAATTCATCTAGTCGCCGGAATCCATGATCAGAAAAGCGCAGAGTAAATCGATTGAACTTGTAAGGGGTGCCGATTCGCATGAAGCGCTTGCAGACGAGTCGAAAGTGATCAAGATCGGACACTTCGCCATGTCCATGGTCATCAGTCCTGGAAGTATGTCCATTTCCATTGAATCTGCCGTTTAAGGCTCGAGGTGTGGGTTCGAGAAGAAAGGACAAGATCTCGCTCAGTAGCTCGTCAGCGAGATCATAAATGTGACGTGGCTGAGCCATGATCGGCACGCGCAGCCGAAGCATCGGCTGCTGGACGAAGTAGCAGCAACATGGAAATATGGAGGAATTGAGGGAAAGTCGACGCTTTTGAACTGTCCCCAAGACCGGAGAGACAAGTCACGGAGGGAATTGGGAAGAGGAGGGGAAACGCGAAACAAAAATAAAATAAAAAAGCATATCTAATACTCGACTCGTCGTTGTTCTCTCCTGCAGACACTAGTAGGACAGTTGACTTGTCTCACCATGCATGGCGAGAGCTCTCGCCCTAACGATTGATTTCGCGACCGGGGACGATCATCAAGTGCCTTATTTAGCGCCCTCTGCACTGACAAGCCGGGCTTTCTAACCCGATCCGCTTGATTTCATTGGTGACGCTGCCACACACTAATCACATGATTGATTGACTCTGCGGCCAGCCAGCGCGCGAACCTGCAGGAAAGGCCATTCAACGAGAGCGAGTAGTGTTGGAGGGGGCCAATGCAGACCCCGCCGGGAAGTCGTCACATCATGCAGAGTGATGGATCACGCGTGTGAATTATGTGTTTGCCCAAGGGGATTGGGGGTTAATGGCCGAAATCAAAACAAACTAATGTATGTACATGTGTCTGAGAGAGATTATCTACTAGCTACCGATCTCCCATATCATTACGTGCCGTGTGGTATGGACCTATCAGACCTTCGCGAGATGGACTCGGCGCCGTCTGATATCTGTGCTGCTGATTTTGGACTCGAAGCCGTCGATATCAGTGGCTGTGGCTGCCTCTCCAGACTGGAGTACGTCCACCTCGAATACAGCAAGGCCTTTCCATCCCTTCTTCACCCGCTCTTCGTTGACGGCTGCCCCTCCTGAGTGTGTCTCCTTCGAGACAACAATTGCCCCAAGGTTCTCCTCGGTAATCGTGGGCCCAAATGGATCGGATATCTCCACAAATTCAAACGCCAGGTTGGGTTGGATCCTTACGAGGACAGTCTTGCCATTGGGACCTGGCGCAAAAGCACGTTCTATCTTCGGTGATTTCTTTTCAGGCGAGAAATCCATAATGGCCGTCAGAAAAGCTGCAGTACTCTGCCAACGCTCCTCCCAACTCTCAAGAAATTCGGCATATTTTTTATTGACCAACAGCGCATCCCCGGTCACTCCGATGGTCAGGCGGCCCTCCTGCTCCCGGTCCAGCGGTTCCAGGACCAATGCAACTGCTGTGAGCAGAAGCTTGTGACCAACATGAAGGTGATCGAATGTGCCACCAACGACCACGGAATAGTGTGGAGTGGATGGATGTTGGTCGTCAGGAATTAACAGGCGGTCAGAGATCGCCCAGTCAGGCTTGGTTGTGATGGCTTGCATGGTTGCCGCCGTGCCGTCTCGATCCTGGCTGCCGACACTGTTGGTGAAGGAATTAGCCAAAGTTTGGCCGGTGGTGTTGGACAAAAAAAAAACATAATCCCAACAGCGCCCTGAATTTGCTAGTGATTGGATGTCCAGAATGGGCCCAAAACGAGAACTATCAGAGGCCTGGATGGCCGAGGTGTTCTCACTTGCATCGATAAATACCACCCGGGTATCAATGCCACCTGGAGAGTCCAATTCAATGTTTTGTGTTGCACAGACAGTACCAACCAGGGTATAGACGCTGGTCAGGTAATGTTGGAGTTGTGCAAACACTTTGGCCCGAGGTTGGCAGCTCGGGGAAAGCAGACCTGGAATGGCCAGAGCAATATCCAGTACAGCTGTACGCTTGGATCCAATCAAGGCATTTGAGAGTTTAGTGTAAACTTCCACCAAGGATGGCTGGAAGGCATCTTTGACCTGGGCAAAAGAAAAGGCTGGAGGCGGGGGAAGTAGTAGTAAAGCCGAGGGTGAATTGGTATGATCGGAAGCCATGGTGTGAAGAATATATAACTACAGTAACGAGCACGAGCACTTAGGGTAACAATCAACCCAAGAGATGAAAGATCAACAAAGAAACCGAGAAATCACAGAAATCACAGAAATCTCATAAATCACAGAAGTACAAAGAACCACAACCCTGAAGAAGTGATCGGATCCATCCCCATCGCAGACTGGGGTACCCGGCTGAGTCAGCTATTGTGGGATGGATGACACCGCCCTCTGTCTTCCTACAACTCTCTAATCGAGATGAGGATGCCATTGAGAGCCAAGTGACCTGATAAGCTGGAATGATATCTGGCTGACACGGTCCTCTGGTCGGAGCTCCCTCGAAGCCCCGCTACATACCCCAATTTGGTGCATCCCCCAACCTCCTTCACTGATCTCGATCGCGAAGCGGTGGAGCTCATCCTCCAACTACGATCCATCGCACCATCCCCTGCATAGACGACGCTCTTGCTCTTCAGCATAGACCGCATCATGTCGAATCCCGCCTCCTACGACTCCCACCGGCGGTCGGCTGTGTTCAGTCGCCAGCCGGAGGAGCTTCACATTCCATCAACCGGGCTAGTCAATCCAAACCTGTCCCGCCAATCCTCCTCGCACGACTATCCCACTACACCGGACGCAGGTGTCCGGCTTCCTTCGATCAACGTACAGCAGAGCTCTCAGCACGGTGGTGACGGAAACACTAGCAGCACTGCCCTCCCCGGAGCCTTGCAGCCAGGGAATCAGAACCGCCCGGCCGCAGTATCAATAAACACCGCTCCATCCGTCGTCCCTACCATGCCGCAGTCGTCGTCGCAAACCAACCACCGAGCTAGCATGATTAATTCACATGGACATTCACGATCTAGCCCGGCCGGGTTCGACCAATCCATGTACAAACAACATGGAGCGCCCGATGGCTCCAAGTATCCCTCATCTCCTGGAGCATTTCTGCCTCACACCCCGCAAGGCTCCAAGTACTCTCCCCTTGGACTGGCCGATATCAGGCCATCCGGTGAACACATGTTGAGCGAGGCACTTATGAACCCCGGAATGTCATCAATGCCTTACAATAATGGAGACAACCAGGTGCCGACCAACAGCAATTACGTGGCACCATGGCCTATATACGCAGTAGATTGGTGCAAATGGCCCATCACAGGCAACTCGGGCTTTGGTGGAAAGCTAGCCATGGGAAGCTATTTAGAAGACAGTCACAACTATGTATGTGCATCCACCCTGTGGATGAATATGCTTGTGCTAACCAGTTAACAGATCCAAATCCTCGATGCACACTGGACACAACCAGATCCCGATACTTCAGATGCGGCTGCGGGAGAGATCAAACTAGACTACGTGAAAACCGCCGAGGCGACACATTCTTACCCGGTTACCCGCATCCTCTGGGAGCCTCCCTCATCTCAGAAGCAATCGACTGATTTGCTGGCCACGTCAGGAGACCACCTTCGCTTATGGTCACTGCCGAATTCTCAGCCTCTCCAAAGCTCGAACTCGATCACTCGTCCCATGAACCAGCGAGACCCCGCCACCTCCAAGCTTTCCCCGCTGGCTTTGCTATCTAACTCAAAATCCCCCGAGCACACTGCTCCCATCACCTCTCTTGACTGGAATACAATTTCCCCAAGTCTGATCATTACCTCGAGCATTGACACAACTTGCACCATTTGGGATATTCCCACATTGACAGCGAAGACGCAATTGATTGCCCACGACAAGGAGGTATATGACGTTCGCTTCTGCGCCAACAGCGTCGATGTTTTTGTTAGCTGTGGCGCTGATGGTAGCGTGCGAATGTTTGATCTGCGAAGCCTCGAGCATAGCACAATCATTTATGAGCCGACGGATAAGAACGAGAAGCGTAAGTGCCTGCCAGGATATGATTATGTGCTCTGAATACTGACAATATCTTCAGCCGTGATGAGCCCCGGGAGCTCCAGCCCCCCTGGCCAATCGCAGACCGGCATCTACCCTCCGCCTTTGTTGAGAATCGCAGGTATGGACCACATGACCACAAAGTAGAGTATAATTACAAGCTAACACAATGTCCCAGCATCCCCCCATGATGCTCATCTCCTGGCAACATTCTCACAGGACTCCAGTGTTGTCCGCGTTCTCGACGTCCGACAACCAGGCCAAGCCCTGTTAGAACTGAAGGGCCATTCGGCTCCCCTGAACTGCGTAGAGTGGTCTCCAAGCCGTCGCGGCATCCTCGCATCCGGCGGCGACGATAGCATGGTTCTCCTCTGGGACCTCATCAACCAGCACAATGCCGCACCGGTCGCTTCCCCTCCCTCCACCACCCCAGGAGCATCGCCTTCCACAACCTCGGAGCGCGGCCCAGCCGGCGTCTGGCAGAGCGAATACGAAGTGTCCAACATCAGCTGGTCCCCACAAGGCGGGCCCAACCACAACGGCCAGCCACGGGAATGGCTGGGAGTGTGCGGTGGACGAGGACTAACGGGGGTAGCGTTATGAGCCAACCATAAAAAGTGGTCTTGATTTCCATACTTCGTCTCTTTTCTTCTCTGGAGCTTCCCGACAACCACGGCTCTTACATTAGATGGTCCAATCTCTCTGGTATTTGTTTCTGTTTGCCGCGATCTATTGCTTCGCGTGCGTACAGCGTATCCTTTTTTACTTTGCTTTGCTGTTTGTGGGCTTCGCTAGTACCGGTCGGCTTCTCTGTGTCTGACCCGGTACGCTATTTGCATAGGTCGGGTGAGAACCCGGTGATCTTCATGGGCTACTCGTGTGTCTATTGATTGGCCATACTTCTGACTTGTTTGGTACGAGTGAATGAATGAATGAACTATACTTTGGATATGTACCATTTGCTATTGGGTGAGAGTTGTTTTGGGCCACCTACTCTACGTAAATCATTGTAATCCCATTACCTCGAGTCCATAGCCTCTTGGAACTGCATACATATGTAGTAGGATTGATCAACTCTGGCGTGAGGATTTGACTACTTGAATAGAAAGCGAGTATACATTGGAAGTCATTGAATTCTATGAGATATGTGTCTACTTTATTTTTCTGTTGGAGTGGTATGACCTGATAGTCTTTGTTCAATCACAAGTCTAAGTAACAGGAGTATGAAGAGACCGACGGTCTAATGCAGTAAAAATAACCAAAATGGCTCGCCCAGCGAGCAGGTATCATAAGAGTACAGGTGTAGCAAGACAGAGAAAGCAACCGCTAAGCAACCACAGCCTAATATAAACAGGTTCATGCCAAGTCAACGAGCAATTTCACTCTGCGCGGGTAGCCAGGGTTGAGCGATCGGGTGCCGGACCCTTGGAAATGAGACGATCTTCGAGGGAGCGAGCAAACTTGACGCTGGGGATGTCCACGGCGCGCCAGAACACATCGCCTAGCCAGATAGAGACGGGGAGGCAGATCAGCCAGCCAATGAGGAAACCGAGACAGTATTGGAAGTTGGTCTCTTTGCCGGTGAGATTCCAGATATTGGGCATGATGGAGTAGCCCAGACAATGGAGGACAGGGCCGTGGACGACGTAGAATGCAAAGGAGATCTTGCCTAGGTATTGGGAGAAGGAATTTGTGAATAGTTTCTGGATGTCAGGGGAGTGGTTGATAGAGAACACGATGAGGACGGCTCCGATAGTCTGGGCGAAGCGATGCGGCTCTGGGTAGGTCTTGGGTGTGATGTGCCACATCCAGCTGTAGAAAGGCGTCCATTTGAAACCGATATTGGGACAAGAACCAAAGTACAGACCGACTACGAAGAGTGAGATCCATAGCCCGCGGCGGGAGACTCTGATGGTGGTTTTGCTGCCGGGACTGAGGCGAATAGTTGTTTTGTCGTCTTCTACCGCCGGTCGTGCGGATGGCTCCCAGGTTCCGTTGATAAGATCCACTTCGGCCATCAGCATGCCAAAGAGGAATAAGACGATTTCCCAGCGACCATAACGCATGCAGAACCAAGTCAAGCCAGAAACTACTGTCATGCGCACAGGTGCCACTAATCGTGATGTCCCCATGATGACGACGAATAGGATAAGCGAGGAGCGTAATTCGAGGGGAATTGTCCACAGGTGCGGATTGTAATAGTTGTAGTAGAGCGCATAGTCAAATGGGTTCATCAAGGTCGCCAACGTGACCCACAAGTCATCGGTTTGTTTTGAGAAGGATTTATACACACGTGGATGTTGCTCGTTAGTGCCGAGGATTGTGTGTCCCTCCCTGATGACGCCATGGGAGTAATTATACAGTCCAAGGCGAACAGCCACAAAGACGCAAAGAATTCCAGTAATTGCGGGGATATATAGACGAAATGCTCGGCGGAAGGTTCCTGATGCGAGCACGGTGAAAGTTTGATCGAAGGACCTGCTCCGAATCGTTTTCAGCGGTTTATATGACAGAACGTAGCCGGAGAGGACGAAGAAGATGGCCACCATAATGTGACCAGAGATCAGCATATGGAAGAAGGGCAACTGGTGAATTCCAAAGTTCTCCCCGCCAAATCCCCATCCTATCGCGACCTTCCATGTGTATGTGAAAAGGAAGTGGAAGTTGAAGACCAGCAGACAGGCCCAGCCACGCAGCCCGTCTAGAGCCGCGATGGCGTGGAGCTTCGCAGGCTGAGGTGGCGAACTGCCCACCAAGTTTTGTAGAAAACTTGGCGTGAGCGCAATCATCAACCTGTGCCATGTGCCTTCGGAATATGCCAGCCAGTCTTCTTGCGACATCTTCGGTGCCAGTCCCTCTGGATGCGCGAGGATGTTTGAGGGGTGAAATTGAGAGAAGCCATTCCAGCGAGGTGTGATCGTCGAGTCGGATTCCGAGGAGGCAGATTCAAGATCTTTCAAAGGGATATCGGAGGCCGAGGTGGTGGCCCGATCTTCGAGGTGGGATGTCATTTTGTTATGTTCTGCAGGTCGGTCGATCGCAAGTGGGCATGTCCGGTGGGGCAAAAGCCTTAATTTACATGCGCTAACAGGCAAAGGGAAGCATTTAGGCCGGTATAGGGTATTGAGAAAGTCGAGAGAAGGGAACTAACTGGACAGTTCGCTCGTCCAGCGAGGTGCGATAAAGCCGGTGATGCGGCCCCGGGGGCTGAGGTCGGCGAATTCGGGCAAATACGTCAGGAAGGGGCCTGCTGGTTCACCGCCACTGGAAATGGCGAAAGATTAGGTGAAATTGGAAATTAAAGGACAGTCAGTGATAGTCAAAGAGAGTCGGAGAGTCGAAGAGTTAAGGAGATTAAGTAAAGACAAGGCAGAGAGACGCCGATCGATTGCCGTTTTCGTTAAGCCGCATTCAGAACGTCCACGGGCGATTCTGTATAAAACTACTTATGTACTGGGTGTTCTCATAAAATGAGGCTATAGTTCAAAGACTCAATTACATTGTGGATTTTGATTGATATAGATATCTATAGATTTGTCCTCGAGATGTCTGCGTCAGTATCATGCAGCAGGCGAGTAGTCAATAACCATACATATCTACTTCTACTACTTCCCTATTGAACTGCTGCATCTATTACTTCGATAATAATAGAATTTTTCATATCATTTTCCAGTATTTGGGGTCCACAGAAAAGAAACTGGACAGTTTACTCGTTAACAGCATCAAAATCAACAGCATCAGAATTAACAACATCAGAGTCAACAACATCCGAATTTAGATCGACAGACCCAACACCGAGAGAACCGACATCGACAGAATCAACCTCCGATCCATCGTTCTCAGATCTGGCATGCGCCGAACCAGTATCATCATCACCAACGTCAGAATCAGAATCATAAAAAGGGTTCGGCTCGTCATCCTGAAGAGTCTCCTCCTCCGACCCACCGTCTCCAGCAAACTTGGACAGTTTCTTGATATCATAGGCCACACGAGCACGAATCCCACGTAGATCCTCACGAACGGAAATCACACCATTGATGTCTTTTGCTAGCGATCCGTCGTCCAAAGGGGTCTTGTACCATTTGGCAGAGTACGTAGGACCATGCTGCTTGGACCGAGTCGAAGTAGAAGCAGGAGCTGATCCTTCATCGACCCAAGAAGGGACACCAGTATGAGCAGGCACAGAGATAGGTCTCCCAAGTTGAGCAACACTACCAGTCTGCAAGCGGCGATCGGGATTGTGAGGGTCCCGAAAGCTGCACTGTTTTGGTGAACGACGAAATGAGCAGTTCATACATGCACCAAGAAACATAGGCTTCCTGGAATGTATTGCCTGGTAAACAACACAAGACTCAAAAGGACCTACTGTTCCTGTCGCGCAGTGTAAACACTCCTGCCCAGGCAAAGCAGCAGTACCTGAGCGTTGACCAAGGGCAGCTCGACGTTTATACTCCCAGTTAAGATGCTGCTTAGCACCATCAAGCCAGTCAAGGTCGCGGATTGGAGGTGAGGAATAAATTATTAGACTCTCTGTTTGAGAGATGCAAACATTGAGCATTGGATTCCCTGCAGTGTCTAGTGAAGGGTGGGCTGCCAAAAAACATTAGAATGAATTTACAGGAAGAGATCTGAACACCAGTAAAAGGAATAGAGATAATAGCCTACTTTTTGAAGCAGTTTGGGCGGCAGCAGCAGCTTTGGGGTCCCAGCGAGGAGGAAGGTTAGTCTCTACAAACGAGCCTTCTGGCTCGTTGCTAGACCCATTGCTCAACCTAGGGCGTTTTTTGGCTATATGAATGTGTTAGGTTGATAAGCCTTAGGTTTCTTGAAATATATCTCGTACCTGGAGGTTTGCTTGATGAATTTGATTCTATGGCAGTGGTAATAGAGGTGGTAGCTGAAAAGGGATTTCTAGGACACCTACAAGGATGTCCCAGAGACAAGGGGAGAGAAAGGAAGATGGATTGGGTTTCTAGAGGCAGGACATTTACAAACTATATATATTATGTATCGGCCTGAGAAAAGAGGCCTTTGACAAACAAAGGTAGGTATAGGTAAACAAGAAGGTATTCGCAAAGATGGGACCGAGGTGCAAAGTGGTTTCGGTAGGGAATAGTATCAATAAAGCTGTCGCCTTACTACATAGTAGATTGGAGTTTTGATAATGTTTGATTCTGCTTGATACTACAATTATACTTACATTACACAGAGATCTCTCTTTCCTACACTACACGTATGTAGTAAGGTTGTAGGTTGATGGAAGGACAGTGTATAGTTCCCAAAACAGCTTAGCGTATACTATTGTGCCTCAGGTGTCAATGCCAAGACATCTCGAGATCACAACCGTGGCCTTTTTAACCATCGCAGAGGACTCGAGAGGTTAAAACACATATATCATGTCAAAGACTGTTAGACACTTGTATGAATTGGATCATTTACAAAAAGGAATAGACGTTTTCCATAGCTCGCTCTACTAAGCTCTCCGAATGCATCATACTTCCAAGAGCTCCGTTTTCCACCGGAGCTTTGCTGGACATTTTTGAGCTCCAAAGCTCCCAACGTAGAACTTAGACATCTCTGTGATCGATATAAATTAGCACATGATATAGACCATTGGACCTTGATGTCGCCGGTTCCCTAAAGCGGCGACGATCCTCTCAGCTCCCTGATTCGCGCAATTCCGCAGTTCGAGAACTTCTCCCTTCCTCTTTGTCCATCCACGCTCATTGTCCCGCCGCCTTCTTTCTGCTCCCCGACATCTTGCGATACGATCTGAATGTCGCGATCGCCTGTCGCGTGCATTTCTCGATAAAAGTGCTCGCGTGGTCGAAGTGGTCCCGAAGTGGGTGCAGTCACGATGGATTTGCGCACGATCATGAACACCGACGGCGGCGCCTCCAATCCTCCACCTCCAAGCAACTCGGCCAGTTCTCCCATATCTGATCAAACCCCCCAAAAGCGCCCAAAGAAGGCCGCTTCTTACTCAGAATATCCTACACGTCCGTCCCAGCCTACTCCGTTACAACACCCGCAGCACGCTTCCCCAGAGCGAAGCTCACCCTACGCATCCGTTCAATCGCCATACCAACAATTCAACTCGGGCCCAGTGATTAATACAGCGGTGAGGACTCAGCGCAGTGAGACACCTCCACAGGTTTCCACACCGTATGGGCCCGGCACGCGTGATCTATTTGGCGCGCCGGCATACGGGTCGCATCCCCAACACCCCGGTGGTCCTCTGGTTTCGCCATACACACCACAGCCGATGAGTGCAGGACCACAGCACCCGGAACAACAGTCTTATTTCGCCCAGCAGCGTTCTCAACAGCGTTCTCAATCACTTCAGTCGGTGATGACAACAACCCGAGCTCCAATCGAATCTTTCCACAGCCCTCCTGTTGCATCGCAGCCTCTTCCATCGCATCATTTCTCTCCCACTGCACACCGATCTGTTCCTGGCACCCCCCTAGGTCCTCCTCCTGCCTTTTCCACCCGGCAGTCGCCGTCAACTGCCCGCCCGCTGTCCTCCGGACACGATTCCCCCGGCAATCCCCTATCCAGTCCGAGGCCTACACAGGAGGCTCCAATACGAGATCAGGTTCCAACGCACTCACCTGTGACTCAGCGACAGTTCTCTCCGCATAGTTCTCAACCCTCCGAGCCGACTCACCTCCCTTCGGGCGGCTTAAAGCAAGAGCCAACCGAAAGCGCCAGTCCCAAATCCATTTCCCGTCACAATAGCATCGTCACGGCCTCCGAGTCGGTTACCGCTGGCCAAATTCGTTCTTCCGAAGACCGAATGCTGGTTGAGAGTCCCACCGCACAAAAGCCCAACGTCACAGGATCTGATTTCCTAACCTCCCCATTGGCACCGGGCAGTCAAATGAACAGTTCACCCTTCGGCGCTCGCGGAGGCGTCCATGCCGTGGACATGGAAATCGACCACGAACCACGTGTCGATGCACAACAGCCCAAGCAAAAAAGAAGGAGGTACAACGAGCCTCCGATTTATGCTCGGCTGACGCCCCGCAACACAAGCAGACGCCCGATTATTCCCAATCCCCGTGCCCCTGTCCCAAAACATGCACGGCAGAGCCAGCAAGATCCGTCCCTGGCTGCTCGTAGACGGTCTTCCTCGATAATGGCAGTCACACCCACCGCCCGGGTCATACGAGCACCTGCTGTTGCTTCACCAAGCACAAGTATACCTCGCGTGCAAGCTCCCCCAGCTCCCCCAGCTCCGCCCGCTCCCTCACTTCGTCCGCCGAGTAATCCGCAGGCGGTAGGCGCGCTGGGCCCTTGGGAGCCGTCTATTACTGGATTCATTCCACACGAGGAGATTACAAAAACCCTTTGTGATTTCTTGTTTCAACATGTGGTCATGAGAAATGATGTGAGTGCCGGACCAGCAGGCTCTGTTGCTGCCGGCCAGGGGACCATCGTCGAGATTGAGGCGAAACTGGGTCATATCATCGACATGGACAGCAGAGATCGGATTCACCTTCCAATTCTAACCGAGAGCGTCCTCAATCGGGAGAATGCAAGGATTAGAACATCGTTTGAGAGCAAAATGACTGTGGTAAGTGGATTCCCCAATGTCCTAGCGAGGATTCCTCTACCCCGATGAAATTTACTTACCATGATTCACAGGAACAACACCGCGCCATGAATAATTTCCTGAATGAGGCCGTGAAAGCGTCCATTCCCCAGCCGAACTCGACCCGAATCCCACTTGCATACGTGCATAAGAAAGAACGCGACACCTTCTACGAGATCCAAGCATCTGATTTGCCCCCGGTGATCCGTCAAAATTTGAACCCGAGACACAAACCCAAAGTCCGGGTGACAACCGATGAGCGAACCGGTGAAATTCTCGCCAAAATCGTCAAATGTCGAGTTGCCGACGTAGACGTCTGCAGTCCACGGACGACTGTGGACTGGCGCGTCAGTGTCAATCTAGAAATGCAATACACAGGCGATATCAGCAATCTCCCAGTGGTAGATGCAGCTGTGACACAAGGCGGACGAGGCGATCGCATCAAAGATCGCATGAGCTACCGCCACTTGGCCTACCAGGTGGACTTGACTCAAGTAGCCAAATCCGATGTAAGTTTATTCAAATGTTCTGTGTTACCCTCAACAGCAGTCTTCTGACCATATCACAGCAACAACCGGGCAAGAATGAGTTTGACCACGAGCTTGAAGTTGAGGTCTCGGCTGAGGAAATTCGTCGTCAGGGCCAGCTTGCTATGTCGGGCGATCCTAAGAACCAGTACGAGGATCTCGTCAAGGGCTTTGTGGATAATATCCGTCTGCTGGCTCGAGCGGTGCCGCCATGATGGTCTTTGCCGCTTTGTATTATGTATTTTTTTTGATCTAGGCTTTACTGGGGTTTAGTTTGTGGTTCACTGCAGATATGGTTTTTGGTTTTATGGTAAAAAGTACGCACTGCGATAGACATTGTGCATGGGTTCTATGTTGTTTCTAGGGCGACATTGTTATCTGGACAAGCAAATGTCCCAATTCATTGTTTTTGGTCGCCTCGGTTCGGCGGAATACATATCTCCTGTGCAGATGTTCTATAAAAGAATGTAATAGTTAACCTATCTCCCGATCGGATGTTCTGGCTTTCCTGGGCATCAGCAGTAGTGGCATTTCGGACGGGCCGAAGAAGGCGATTGAAGTCCCGACGCATAGCCACTGTCATGTTCGATAGCCCCCAGTTGGGCATAACACGTTGAGCATACGGGTTGGCATCACGGTAGATAAAAGAGCATCGCTAGCGTCGGTTACTTACCTACTAACAATTTGCGTAGTCGTTAGGAACCCCGGGCTGGAGATTGAGGATATAGACGGAAGACCCTATAGCCTTAAGAGGTAGTGGTCACACTCCACGTTTACTGTATTGAATTGTATGAAACACTATTCTTAATAGTACTGCTGGCAAAATTTCTACTGGCGCACTGGCGGCTATAGACTGCCGTAGCGATGTACAACATAACGTCCGACGCAGGGGTCAAGTGGCGTTTGGCGATGGATTGGTCTAGTAGGGATGTGGAAACTGCAATTTCCTCGGGAGCACTTACACTCTCTTTTTTACTATTCTTCCGTATTCTCTCTAAGCTCCCCCAATTCGAACTTGACTTATGGCCACACTGAAAGAAGAGGCTCGCTTTGGCCGTCTGCCTTTCGACCTATTTGCTTTGGTTTGTTCCCCTGCCATTGGGTCGGTGACCGTCGGTATCTCTGACATACCCTTAGGAGAAATGAGACATCGAGGCTGACCCGACACCGGAGGGAAGCAAAGCCCAGTGGGAGAAGTTAGCATGGGAATACCAACGCTTGAATCTGATTGAACGTTGGGTACAGGTACCGCTCTTCTAAGGTGAAAGGGGCTAACAATGAACTTCCCCTCTTGCTAGCCTTACTACAAACGAACCGAGCCAGAAGACACGCCTGCTGCAAGCGAAGATGAAGCGATTTTGCGGATTCTCGGTAATAACCAGAGCCCCGCAGAGTGCAACATGAGCCTCGGCTTCTGTAGTGTCTGGAAGCCAGTCTGGTTGCGAATATGCTACGATCCCACCCTCGTAGAGAAGTATGAGGAGATGAAGAAATCAGCTTGGGTTCCTGGAGGTGGAGTCCCAGGGGATTGCATTCTAGATGATGAAATGCTCTACGCCTTCGAGGACGGCACCCCAGATTCGTGGAGAAAAGTACTGGTGCGGATGCCTGGCATAACAGACTTCCAGGGGGCTAGGGATTACAGTGGGGATGATTCCGACATTCAGTATTCGAGCGGACAGAACGACGAGGTTATTTTAGCAGAGATCGAGGAAGAGGAAGACGAGGACACCAAGTTTCTCTCGAAGCTCAGCGTACAGGTACAGACGACAGTGTATTTGTTAGACCGTGAAGCTATTACTACAGGACTGATCAAGGTACTTTGGGTAAATGAACATGGCCAGACCTTGTGGGAGAACCGTGTGGAGGCTAGTACTTTAACAGGCCTCTCAATGGCCCAAGAAGACTCTTGTGGTCTCGCGGAGATTGTCGGCTATCGGGCTGTGCGGGGGGCGTTGATCGTGAGATGAGGGTCCTGCTGTATGCATGTAGCAGTATGTACCGGATTTTAGGCTGCGGATGCGAATTTCGCGATCGGGGTGCCGCTTTATGAGGGCGCTTAGGGTCCTGCTCAAAAAGTATCTCATAGCATAGGGTGATTACTTGGTGACCACTTAATTGTACTTAGTAAGTAGTTAGATGATGCTTAGCCCTAACCTTGGAACCTGGGAAGCTGCTCGAGGCTTTAGTCGGCTTTTGCTTCGCACAGATAGCATGTTAGCGGGCAGTAAGAGGAGTCTTGGGATGTTAAGACCGCGTAGGTGTAGTAGATAGACATAGACATCTTCAATGGCTCAGATCTTATTTTATTTACTTTATCTATTGGACCAAATTTGACTTGTATCTAGATAAATTCGGATAGTACATAATTCTCCACATCCAGGCTTAAGGTAAAACGCCCATGTTTCCTTAATTGACGTGCAAATCTAAAGTCCGTTCGCACTGACTACTCCCTGTTCAAAGGCGGCAGCTATGGCTTTTCATGAAGGACTCGGACAAGAGCTCCGTGCTCGTTTCAATGCACGGAGGATTCGGACTTGGTAAGTTGCGCCTTCTATATGAGTATTCTGATACTGAATGAGGAAGATGCTGACTGCCTCAGAATTATCTATCCGGAATTTGTGCGTACACCGTTGGTTCAGGCCTTGACGAGCAAAGGGCTTGAGTTTCCCTTGAATGTTCTTGAGCCCAGCGAAGTAGCATCGGAGGCCCTAAAAATTATAATGTCTACTTACGGAAGTAGCATTGTTCTTCCTAGAAGTATGAGCTATCTCGCACTTCTTCAAGGTCTGCCATCTTGGATCCAGAGAATCGCTCAAACAATGGACCCAGACCCATTGGCGCTTGCAAACATATAGTCTATCGGCAGAAACGCATGGTTTGATTTATAATCAATATCAGATACTAAGACAGTGTGGTAAAATTGCAAGCGTCAACAGAATAGTGTCTATTATGCAAATGTAAACAAAGAAACTTGTGGAAAGTTGAGCCAAAAGCTATCACCTATGTTTCTAGATTCTGTAAGGATAACATGGCAAAATAACGCCCTCGCCTTCTTACGAGCTCGGCGTGTGTTCCAGATTCAACAACCGCACCGTCCTCTACGAAGCAGATGAGGTCTGCATTCTGCACAGCACTCAAGCGATGGGCGATCGAAACTGTGGTGCGCTGCTTTGCAGCTTGGTCGAGTGCAGCCTGAACTACGTTTTGGGATTCAGAATCCAGCGCCGAAGTGACTTCATCTAGTAATAGGACACTCGGCCGTCTTAGAAGGGCCCGGGCAATTGCTAGTCGCTGTTTCTGACCACCGGAAAAGTTGTTTCCCTTTCCTCCACACATAGTATCGAATCCGAGACTGCATAACCAAGTCAGTTGCTGCTAGTGATGTAATTTTCTGTGAAATACTTACCGGAGTGAACGGATGAAATCAAGGATATGTGCGTCCTTGCAGATGGTCTCCAATTCTTCCTGAGAATACTTCGATGCATCGAGTCCGAGAAGGAGATTATCTCGGATAGTACCCTGGAAGAGTGTGGGTTCTTGATTCACGAGTGCCACTTGATCGCGGTATGCGCTCATATCCATTGAGGAGAGATCCAGGCCGTCCATTGTGACGAGACCGGCGAGTGGATGGTAGAAACGCTCTAAAAGTGCAACAATCGTGCTTTTCCCGCATCCACTAGGTCCAACTAGGGCGATGTATTTACCCTTGTGTACAGTGAGATCGAGACCGTTTAATATTTGCCTTTCGGGACGCGTAGGATACGAGAAATGGACATTCCGGAATTCAATGTTTCCTTCCAAAAGAGGTTGAGTTTCGCCCAAATCCAATTGGCACTGTGATTGTCGATCAAACAACGCTTTAAGTCGGATGGCCGAAAGTTTTGCCTTCGCTAAATCTGGCGAGCTGCTAAATATCGAGCCAGCAGCATCACCGCAAATGTTAACAGCAGCGAAACTCAGGATGAACTGGAACAATCCATATTCCCCACTGATAACGAGTGTGCCACCATACCATAAGCCAAGAGCAGTACACAACAAGGGTGCCGATTGTGAAAATGCGAAAAGGGCCGAAGATGTCAGACTTGAGCGAATGCTCTTCGAATCTTGTTCGGCTAGCTTATGGTGAAATATTGCTGCAACCTGGGACTCACGATTTAGAGATATGACAGTGCGGATGGCCGAGACCGCTTCACTGGCCAATGATGCTGTTTCTTGATACACTTGACGAAGATGCGCCTCAAGCTGAGCCATAACGCGGAATCGAAGAAATCCGCACATCAAAAGAACAGGTACTGTAGCTGCACCGACAAGTCCAAGTTTCCATCCGACAGCTATGCTGGTTGCGATGGCACCAATGAGAGTTGTGAGTGCCATGATGTAGTTTCCAATCGCGTAGCAACCCATGCCCGCCATACTGGCTGGCTCAGTGCCGAGAAATGATACTAGTGCGCCCACACCGTGCTCCTCCATGTCAAAGAACGACATGTCTTTGTCGAGAAGGGTCCGGAAGGACAGCTCACCGAGACGACGGATAAGCCTCTCTGTACATTTTCCGAGAGCAGAAGCTTGGGCCGAGTAGGCGAGGAACTGTGCGAAAGCCAAGACGACGTGCATTCCAGCCCATAGATTTGTCTCGGACCGAAGCTGTGAAAATTCAGCTTGAGGTCTTGCGAGTGCAACAAGACATTTGGCCAGAAACACTGCCTGGATGGGTGCCCCAGCTCCGGTTTGGATCGAAGCGAGAAACCCCATTAACACCAATGTCATTGAGTCCTTGTGGAAATTATTCACAAATCTCAGGAGGGTCTGCATCGAATACTGGTGGCGTGGTCGATCCAGGCTTTCGAGAGCATCTGCGTCCTTATGCACTGTATCAAACAAAGGACTTCCGGCGACCGGAAGAGGCTCCATCTCTGTCTCTCCAGAGCCAGATTTAGCATGATGGATGGAAACCTCTAAAGAATCATCATCGCGGGAAGATTCCTTTTCGCTCAAGTTGACAGCCTGTGATTTGGCTAGTCGACTATACACTCCATTCTTGTCTTGAAGAAAGTTATGAGTTCCTTGTTCAACAACTTGGCCTCCACACAAGACGATGATTTTGTCCGCGGATTTGACAGTTGATAAACGATGAGCCACAACAATGGTCGTTCTCCCTTGAGAAGCTTTTTCGATTGCAGCTTGAACAATAGATTCACTCGTCGAATCCAAGGCTGAGGTGGCTTCATCAAGGAGAAGAATTCGAGGATCAGAAATGAGGGCGCGAGCGATGGCGATACGCTGCTTCTGGCCGCCGGAAAGCAACACGCCGGCCTCACCGACAAGGGTATCGTAGCCGCCAGGTAACTTGGTGATAAAGTCATGGGCATTTGCGACGCGAGTGGCATCGTAGACAGTATTCTCGATATCTTCCTTGGATGCATTCTCATAGGGCGTTCCAACCAGACCATACCGGATGTTCTCGAAGATAGTCGTAGCAAACAATGTGGGTGATTGTTGGACCAGGGAAATTTGCTGCCTTAACCAGTTTGGGCTCAATTCTGAGAGTTTGTGACCATCCAAAAGAATATCGCCGGAAATGGGGTCATAAAAACGCTCGAGAAGTTCGATTATTGTGCTCTTTCCTGATCCAGACGGTCCAACTATGGCTGTCGTTTTCCCAGGCTCTATATCCAAGCTCAAGTTGTCCAAAACAACGATATCTGGTCTTGAAGGATATATGTGTCTGACATTTTGCAACTCAATATGGCCAATCACACCGTCTAGTTTGCTTTCAGAAGAACCAATCGCGGTCCCCGGAGATCTTCGGTCAATGGTGCTGTACAATCTTGATCCAGCAGCCGTGGCAATAGTGAATACTTGAAGTGGGGGAACGATGCCACCGAGGCAAGCGATGCCAGTCACTGTCGCAAGGATAATGGTCAAGATATCGACGTACGAGGATGTGCCCGCTACCAGGAAGCGCGAACCCATCCAGAACCCTAACCCGATAGCCAGGTAAATAACGGCAAAAACAGCACCAAGGAGGGCGCCGGATATGAGCCTGGCGTTATTTGCAAAACGTTCTGCTTTAACTAGAGAGCCATCATATCGAGCCACAAGTTCAGATTGCGCATTCAGCCCCACAACTGTTCTGATGGATGAAAAGACCTCTTCAACAATGGTACCGGATTCTGCGGTCTCTCCCAACCATTGCTGGCGATATCTCGTGAGCATTATACCGGCAGCAGCAAACACAAGGGCGATGCATACAAGACTGGAAGCCAGGATGAGCGTCAGCCTCCAGTCTCGCATGAAACTTATGACGAACGCGGCGACAACCGATGCGGAGCACTGCGCGGCAACGCTGACTTTCTCTGAAATACCATCTCGAATCAAATTTGCGTCGGCGGTGATATGAGTTGATATTTCCCCGGCTCCAATGTTGTCGAAGAAAGCAATGTTTTGACTCAGAAGTGCGGCCAAATACCGTTCTCTGATCCGGCTCGATAATATGATGCCGGTACGGATGAATCCAATATTGGCAATGTAGCACGACACTATTTCGCCCAGAAAAAGATACACGAAGTAGATTGTGAAGCGCGTCAATTCGCTATTGGACTTGTCTTGGGATGAACCGCCCGACCAGCTGCCTTGTATACTACCAATCAACAAGCCTGTTAACAGCGCCGGCATTGTTGTGATTGCCCCGGCAATCATCGCAGCAAGAAATGATACGCTGATAATAACCAAATCTTTTGTGGTCGCATATCGGAAGAGTTGAAAGTAATTAATCTTGATTATGGGGGTTGCGATGTGCTGGGCGAGTATCTCCTGCTCCGAAGACGCCTTCTCGCTGTGGAGCTGGGTTTGAAAGTTGGCTTGCGCCGATGCGCCTGCCATACTGAAAGATGGATCAGAGTCAAAGGGTGAACAAGGTGAACATGAGAGTCAACTGCGAGAGATGACCTGCCGACCAGTGATCCATCGCCCCCACGATCTGCCAAGGTAACATGATCCACACTAGGCTCTCTCTTTCTTACAAAAGTTACAGTCGCATAGCTCTTAGGGACTCAAACGGTGCTCTATTAGAGCCTCGCCTATATAGAGCTACATATTATTCAAAACAACTTTGTAAGCCATATAACTAGTATACGTTTTCTGTACGGAGTACAAAGTCTGTTTCTCTCTCAAAGAACTATAAAAAGTATAAAACGCCGGTTACGCTCCCGGGCCCACATAGAACCGCGGATGGTGCCAGCCAAAATTACAGCCACATTTCTTGGCATCAGATGTTGACATTCGATTTCAGGTTTCAATCCCTGTATGTACCCAAGATAGAGGGCCAGTGACAATGAAAAATCCTTGTACTGTTTGCTACGTCGTCATATGTGTGTACCCTTGTTCGACCTATTAGGAAATTGATAACAAATCTGTGACACGACACGTCACACATCAATGTTTCGAATTTGAGAGGTCTTGACATTGCCTAAATATACTATATACTATATACGTCTCGAATCAGAGCTGCAACTAACGAGGCGGCCTTTATAAATGATGATATTTAAAGATAAATTGTTCCGTAGCCCCAATGCCAATCTAGAGATAACTTTTATTGCTCCAACTATGGCTGATACACAGCAATATCCCAAATAACTACCGCTACTTCGCGGTCTGAAAGCTTGCGCACTATTCTCGCACCAATGCCATTGGAGCCGCCAGTTATGAGGACAATCTCTTTTTTCCAGTCCCACGACTTGTCGGCCTGGAAGTTGTTCAAACTCCGCGCAGAGATGTGTGAGTTGATGAGGCGCAACAGCTTCCAAATACACAAAATGCAGGCTGAAATCAGAAAAGTCTTGAATGAAACCAACGTTTTCATGGAGTCAAGAAGGCGCAAGGAGATTGGAAATGAAGCCATGATGATGTGTGCGTAAGTGTGCTCGAATTTGATAATCCGATGGTTATGGAGCAGAAGAAGAGATAGATGAGTTAAAAAGGAGATGTTGATTGTCGAGAGTGGATTATCTGTGTGCTTTGTAGCGACCTACAGGGAGTTTGAACGTTCTGAAATACCAAATATGGTATGATGATGCAATATCAAAAGTTTCAGCCGCTAGTGGGAACGGGAAGAACTTCAGCTCTCACCGAACTAATGTTGGGCTTATATTTAGAAAAGAAGTTCTTGTTTTTTGGTCTATTTCTTAGGCATTTTGGTGAGAGACCTTTTTGGAGATATTTTGGAACGTTATAGAAAGCTAGATGAATAGGCACGGCATTACGACGTACGTGCCTTTTCAGTACTGCGCAGGTGGTTCTGTGGGAAAGGTATTGAAGAATAACAAATTTCTCAATATATTTATAGGTATAGTTACGGTGAAAGCGCGTCCTATAGAAGAAACAGATATTAGAAGCACTTAAAGCTAGTCGGTTGAAGCTTATGCTATTCCAGGTAATCCAGTGCAGAGTATCATTAAAGCTCATTTTCTCGCGAAGATCAATGTTCCGATCAAGTCATTTACCATCCAAAGCATCGATTTTCTCCGACAATAGTGCTTTAGGCTCTGGATAATTCGTTGGTCTAGTAGATAAGGAGAAAAGCAGTATGATATAGGGCTAATTACCCCTTCGCTTTTGTCATTTTCGACAGCAATTTGATAAGCGGTGGGGAATGTAGGTACAAAAGCACGTAGTCTCAAGAGTTGATGGGGTGTACCTACGGAACACAACGGCGAGGCCGGGATACATATACAGTGTGCCCACGGTCACTAATTCTTTGCCTAAGTTTTGTTAATATAGTAAAATGCCGAGACATGTTTCCTGGAATGTTACAAAGCTTTTTCTCTACACGAACCACAATCATATAGAAGTCCAGGGGCTCACGGAATTCGCTTAGATTCCGGCAAATTATTCCGGCAATCAGAATGGAGTTTTATGGAATCTGATTAGTTACTAATAATGCGTGCCTTCGCACCTACATTCTAGTTTTCTAGGAAACATATTTAAGCATTCTCCTTATAATAAAAAAAAGCTTAAACTATCAGCAAAAGAGTATCAGCACACCATATATTTAACGCTGTAGCTAAGAGGGTAGATCAAATTTTTCTTTATTACGACGGGGTGTCCTATAGTGTAAACAATCCCCTACATACCGGACCCTGCATGCTGGGCGCGCATGCTTGACCCGACTCTTACTACCCAATATAAGCTTTCACTAGGTGTTGAATATAATGAGATATAAGTACTATGCCGAGCACTAAATTTGATCATATCTATATTTGTTGGTCTATTAAACGGCCTTCGGATTCTTCTAACAACATTCTCTGCATCATATTTTCCCACTCACTTTTATTCTCCCCTAAGATCCTGCCGGCCATCAGTTGAACACCATGAAGCTTACTCTTATCTCCATCCTTTTATGCGCGCTGCTTGTCGCTGCCTTACCTTGAGATACGGACAGTGTGTTTAGGGAGAAGTGTTCCAACAATCGGCTCTCCTGTTGCTCAAACCTGAAAAGTACCGCTGAGGCCAACGGAAACACCGTTGCACAGGATATCCAAGGAGGAAATATTATTTCAGTCCTTAGTCAGGACATTTCAAACAGTCTCAGTCAGGTTTCAAATATCATTCCCATCAGCATTCTCTCTGGCTGTGCTCCGATCATAGGTGCGTGTAACTGGGACTGTCTCTAAGTGATTTGAGGTATCGCTTTCTAACAAAGGATTCTAGGTAGTTCTCAGATCACGTGTGTCAACTATATCGCTTGCTGTATACCTCGCGATGATGGCGACGGTCCTCATCCCCGTGGGAATTCCAAATATGTAAGCATATTTAGGACCATCTATCATCGAAATTTGCTAAATATTTATCCCTAGGATGATGAGAATAAATGTCAAGTCCTCAAAGATACCAGGTCTACACGCCAGCCTGGCTTGTTCGGTTTGCGCTAGAGGCATCGGCAGTTAGGAGAGAAGCTACAGGGTATAAGACTGAAAAATTGGAGGTGACGGCTGAGAGGGGGAGATAGTAATTGAGAAGGCAAAATAGTAATAAGGTTGGTTTTAGCATACAGTAGGAATGAACACAAGACAGAAGAAAGCTCACATGTTCCATATCGCGGATGCAGGCAGTAATTGCATGTACTAGTTACCCACTAGTGACTAAATGAGTAAAGTACACGAAATCCTGATACACTCCTACATTTCATGGCCTTCGATGCTCTTTTTTCCTGGCATCCATCCTTTTGCAACACAAATATCGAGAATTCCTAGAATTTTTGCCCAATATGGCACCGAGACTATCCCCATCAAAGCTACAGTTCATTCATGATATGATTCATTCCCAGTCGCTAATCACTACTCAAATGGCTGATACAGCTGAATGAATAATATCCGTAGGAACTTGCGGTTTTTGGGAAATGTCCATGCCCCTCCAAATCGTATCGGTCGGAGATGAACTATAAACGCACTGATACTGGACGGTCTCTGCGATCATCTGCTCAAAAAACCCGGTCTCTATCTCGATAAAATGGTTGTATTTATATATAACGAATTTCGGATGCTAGCGATAACGTCAAGTTTTAGGAAGGCTCTCGCGTTTAAAGACTGGCTTAAAAAGACCACTCGACGGAGAGCTAAGGAGCAAAATGCAAAATTACGAGAATTATATCTTCATAATCTCTCGGAATTTGAGTTATACCGCCTAGTCTATATTGATAAGTCTACTTATAATAAACGGGTCGGGTTTAGAAGTACCGGCTAGTTACCACTCGGTCTTACCCCTATAGAAGCCTTACAGTTCTATCGTGACGAGCGGTACCAAATACTCCCTACGTATGCTGCAGTATATACCGGATTTTAGGCCGCGGTCGCGATTTTCCCGATCTGGGTGCCGCCGCTTTATGAGGGTGCTCATGGTTTTAAGCTACGAAGTAAGTTCGACTCGGTCGAGATATATCCTTATTTTCTAGGCGATCCGTATAGTATATAAAGGATAGCTTTATATTTTAATTAAGCATCGATCATAGAACACTCGGTCAATTGGAGTATATGGACATTGATATCACGCAGGGGTTGCCCGTGGACTTGGATATCGAAGGTTGGTCGAGATGGTCGAGATACATGCGGTCAACTGAAACAGCCTTTGAACATTTAGACATGATCTAATTGCCAATTATGCGGGCGTTTTAAACGGAGCTTGCAAAATCTGGCAACAAGCTGCTGGTTAAATAAAGCCTCTACAAAATCATCTGCATTAACTTTTTGAGCCCAAAGGATAGGGGTTTCCATCTTCCAACATAACAATATACTGCTGTCGCCTTTGACCATGGTTAGCGACGCTAAAAAACCGTGACCTTGTGCCGGTATAAAAACTGGCCATGCACCACCTTTAACCATTTTCAACTTTTGACAATTGACTTTGTGAAAGGCAAAACGTAAACATATGCGCGGCGGATGGATCCCAGGATATCTCTGAATCAGTTTGTTTTGGGTTGATGAGAGGAGGAAACGCATGAGAGGTCTATACGCCTATTAGACAGCTTGAATAAGATGAAATTGGAGACAACAATATTGGAATATCCCCTGAATGAAGCAGTACTCTATACCGTCCGCAGACAGTAACACTACCTGTCATACAAGAAGCAATATAAAAGAGTTCGCTAGTGAGATAAACGGAGGCTCTATGTCACAGCGGTGTTTCGTGCAGGTCATCAGCAGCGATTAAGGTTGATTCTTCAACATCCTGCGCCTTTTTTCGTCCAGATCGCTTATAGCCACACTCAAATCTCTTTGAGGAATCCTACTTCAATCAGCTTGTCTGTTGGCAGCCGGAGGCTGGCCATCTTGTTCCTCGTGTTATCCCGGATCCACAAAAAAACGCGTAGCAAGGCCTTTCGGATGAGTGCTGCGTCGGGCTTGATTTTCATCTCTTCCTTTCCTACAATATAGAGCACTTTGTGGGAATATGCCGCTTCCAGATTGGTGATTTCAGAACTGAGGAAAGCGCGGGCGTCTCTACTGCCTTCCGTCGTGGGGTTTCCAGGGGTCACAGAATCCATTTCCTCATCCTCACGATCTAAGGGCACGCTGGCACTGCTCAACGTTAGATATTTCCGGACCTGGTCGACTATCACGCTCGCCAAGTCGGGTGTGATGATCTCGTCATTATACCCGTATCGAACAACCAGCCGGTAACAGTTTGGAATGGCCAAACGCGAAACCGTAAATCGATTCTCAAGGGCGATTGAAGGTTGCTCGAGGGGGCGGAGATGGAAGAACACAACCATCTCAGGTAAAGAGGTGAGCTTAAGCACAAACTGGCTGAACACAATCGGGGTCGTCTCGCCCGCTTTGTCGAAGAAGATCCCAAGACCGGGGGTGATGCTGATTGGAAGGTTGTCGTATCGTTGGGACAGGAAAATTTGGCCATCTGAACTGGATACGATGAAATGTGATGTGGGAAAGCGGTCCTCAGCTTCGGCGAACCATTGCTGTTCTTTGCCGTATCGCCACAAAAGAAACAGCATGGCGAGGATTGAAGCGAGCGCGATCGTGAACCAGGCTCCATCAGGTACCTTGGTCAGCGCAGAAGAGAGATATGTACCGTCCAGGCAGGCTATGGTGAGCCACGGGAGAAAGACAATGTACGGGCTGATCCGCCATACGAACATTGCAGCCAGAGAAACCATGCAGGTGTCGAAAAATGTCACAAACATAACGCATACGCCATACGCATTACCCAAGGAGGTCGTCTAGAGGACATGGGATAAGTCGCTGGAAAATAATGAAATAGGGAAAGGAAGAGGCCACTCACGTTGTTATAGATCGATGCGATCAAGATGGTTCCAATCATCAGCAGCCAATTCGCGATCGGAATGAAAAGCTGCCCGTGGAAGATCCGAGAAGTATGGATGACTTTGATCTGAGGGAAATAGGAGAGTTTCATGACTTGTGCAAGAAGCTGCCAGCATTGTCAGAGTGAGACCTTCCCTCAAATCAGGGGTTGCAATTCTCTCACCTGGAAGGTTGCGGTAATGATGGCCTGCGAGGCAACAATTGCAGCCAGCATTGCGACGATCAAGGCTGGATAGATGGTTCCAGGTGGGGCCGCGTTGAAAAAGGGATTCGAATACGCCTCTGGGTGGACGCTGATATACGCTGCCTGACCGATGTATGCTAACAAAAGGCACGGAAACGTGTAGCACAGCCAGCTGATCTGGATCGCCCTTCGGCTGAAGGCGCCCAGGTCCGCAAAGAGGGCTTCCACACCAGTGAAGGCGAGCAATATACCACCTAGCATCTTCCATCCGTGTGTCTTGTTACGGATCAAGAACTCGAACGCGAGGCCAGGATTAAAAGCCTGGAAAACCCCGGCATCGTACTTAGTGAGGTTATATATCCCGAACGCCGCATTAAACCCGAGCCATATAATCACGATCGGTGAGAACGCGAAGGATAATTTCGTGATTCCCAGCGGCTGAATAAAAAACAGCCCGACGAGAATGGCATCAGTGATACCGATTATTGTCCCTTTGGATATGCTCGGCTGCACAACCTCAATACCTTGAACGGCTCCGAGAACAGACTGGGCTGGCGTGAGCAGGCCATCAGCTAGCACCATAGTGACGGCCAACACACCGATCACTTTCAGCAGCCCTCGCGCGAACTGACTGGTTTCCAAGCGGTGGCGCACCTTCCGACCTACGCGCTTCAGGTCACCGGATAAGTACCGTTTCATCTGAACCAACGAAGCCTCCCTCGGATCACGGTGGGTGATATTCATCTGCGAGTCAGTTAGCTTTTGCGAGGAAGAGATCGCGAGAAGCACTTGCATAGCGGCTGAGGAGGGAATAGGTACTGAAAGTGCCACCTTCGCCGTCATTATCGGCACGAAGGATCACCAGCACATACTTGACAGTCACCATCATAAACAGGCTCCAAATAATGATGGAGAGGGCGCCTAGTAGGTTTTGCCGAGAGGAGGGGGATGAAAATGTGGACGAGAAGACGTAGAGGGGACTGGTGCCAATATCGCCATAAATCACGCCCACAGATTGATATGCCAGCCATAACAGCATCTTGCCTTTGAATACCTGTCTCTGCTTGAAGTCGCCCGGGTTTCGCAAGCCTGGGTCGTCGTCTGGTTGCTCGGCGGCCGAGATCCTGCTACTGATCCCCTCCGGCATCCAGGAATGGGAGCGGATATTGATAATACTCTCGTGGGTGTCCCCTTGATGTGATCGGGCCATCGATTGCGACCTGGAGAAAGCTGGGCCCCTGGTTGATTCATCATCAACTGACGGCGGCTGTCCCGGCTCATCTCCCGTATGCGCCGGATCTGCGATTCTAATCGTCGCCATACTGTTAGGGTGCAGACAAGGAACAGTCGAAAGCGACGTTGAGAGCAATGACGAGGGGAGATGGTTTCATGGTCGTCGTGTGTCTGCCTGGAGGCATGGTAACGCGACTTATCGCCAAAATATCAGCTGAGCTTGCTAGGGGTCTTATCAGAGTTTATCGCTGTGATCTTATATAATAATGATGGTAACGAACTGATTCCGTGCATTTCAAGGTTCACCATGGAACATCAACGCCACATGGCAAACTGGCACCAAAACGGGGATTAGCATTGAACAAAGTACGAAATACGCTTTTTTGATATAGCATTAGGCATGCGAGGTTATGCATGTTTAGCAAAATAAAAAATAAGCTCCCTCGACTATTCTGCGATAGGACCAGATAAATGGCTCATACCTCAACCTGCCGAACAGCAAGCGAACATCCCGGTCTGGCCCATAAGTGAACTATAATAACAGCTTGGGTATCACCCGTGGACATGACATTGGCTTATTAAGGTATTATATTATTATATTAGCCTTATTAGAGTATATTACGAGTATTGTACTGAGGCTGGGGCTAGAAAATGGATCGCGAGCTTTATGAGCAACCGCTTCGCTAGTATAGGATTTGATGACTTCCGCATCGAGGTCACGCCCGCTAGCGAACGTAGGACTAGCACAGGGCTCGCCTCCCCCCCTATCCTGTTCGCATTCTTCAACTCCAACCCAGTCAACCAACCCGTTACCCTTTACGGCGGCGCATCCGCCTTCATCGATGACTACTTCCGCTATCGAGTAGGTCATTCAGCCGAAGAGAACCTAGCCAAGATCCAATCTGAAGACATCCCCCGCGTTGAAGCATGGGCCCGACGAACTGGGTCCTGTTTCGTAGCCGAGAAAACCGAGCTCATTCACATCACTAGGAAAAGAAGCGAACAGCTCCAGGGTAAAGTGGGTTATGAACGGGAGGACAGTCGAATCGTCGCCCACGGCCAAGCTGCTAGGCGTGATCTTCGACCAGGAGCCTCGCCGGAAAGAACATGTCCAGCAAGCGATCAAACGCGCAATCAAGGTCGCATTGCTTTAGGCGGGCGGCATCTACGCCCAAAGTAGATGCAACTGCTCTACCAAGCCTGTGTCACACCGGTCGTAGACTACGCGTCGACGGTCTGGCACGACCCTTTGCTGGACAAGACTCACCTGCGACACCTGAACATGGTCCAGAGGACCGCGTTGATCCGTATCTTATCGGCTTTTAGGACAGTGGCCACCACGACTCTAGAAATGGAAGCACACGTCCTTCTGACACACCTCCGTCTCCGCCATCGTGCGCAGGTTGGCTCGACAAAAAGGTCTAGAGATAGGGTTGGTATAATTTATGGATGGATATAATTGTAAATATACCACAGCTATGCGTTAATATAATTATGAGGTACTAAAGACATATGCTGGACTTTGTAGCTTCGCTTTGGTGCTGGATAATGGAAAGTATTGGCCTCCAAGCAGTTACATGCAGTGTGGTTTGTTGTGACTTTTTCTGCATTGCACAATCTAGACTCTGTGACAGGTCTGTTACAGGGGATGTTCATTGTTCATATACGTTTGATATAATCATATAATGAAATGTTTTAGCTTATCTTCTCTCTAGTGCACGGGACATATTGTATACATATATAAGGCTTGAAAGCAGCTCTGTTCCAAGGAAATGTCAATTATTATTAATAGAAGACCTATCTCCGATCTATCCATATAATTTTAGGCAAAGTTGTCATTTTTATATTCCCCCAAGTATAAATGTACACTATTCCCAATCAGGAAGATTGACACAGCGGATAACCTCCCAACTTTGGAAGATTCGAGGGGAACAACAGAAGACAAGCCGACCTCATTCAGCCTTCTGACTACCAGAATCAATTACAATTCAGGGGCCTTTCTCTCCGCATCCCCAATGAACGTGAAAGTCCTGGATACTATCCGGGTCACAGAAACCATGGCTTATCTCTCTACCTTGATGCTCGTATCTGCATCATCGGTGGCATCGTGGCACTGGGATGAAAAAGATAAACGTCTATCATGTGCAGCCACTGGAAGTCTTTTAAAGTGAACTGAGAGTTTGCTGTATATCGATGTTTGACCATCCCGCCTTTTTAAGGGTTCTCGAGTCAAGATCAATCTTCTTCCTGTCAAACGTCTTCCAGATTTACTTACCTCGATCTTTAGATCCTTTTACATCAACTACTTCTTTTGAGCTTTGACATCTTCGAGAATTCAATATCAGCTGCCGTACACTGTCGTCTCTGAAGCAGAACTTCATCTCCACACAGGTCAAATCATCAGATGGCTGACCTCCACGGTATAACCTCTTTTGAGGACGAAACGGATCCTCCGGGCACGTTCAAACTGATTCGAGGTCTGACTTCTTTTATCCCCTGGGCTGGGCTGTTACTAACAAGTCATCTTCTTCCAGATCGTGAGGCAGATGAACACCGGCAACGCATTGTCGTTCTCGACCCAATTCCCTCATCCGACCCAAATGAACCCCTGGTTGGTTGCCCTCAAACCCTACTCAAGTCACGAGCTAAATAAATCATATGCAGAACTGGAGCAAGATGCGCAAATCAGTTAATTTCGCGATTATTTTGGCTATGACCATTATCATCTTCACAGCGTGAGTGAGAAACAATCATGCTATATGGGACATAATTATAACATTCATATCAGTATCAACATTCAACCCCTCTTTTGGCAGCAGATGACTCCTGAGATGGAAGTCACCTATATCGAATTGAACAACGCGATGTCGGTTAATTACGTCGGTCTCGCAACTGGCTGCATCTTTTTTATTCCCTTTTCGAAAAAGTACGGTCGACGACCAGTTTATATCGTGTCAACGGCACTGATGTTTGCGACCTCATTTTGGTCATCCAAAATGAACAGTTTGACCGAGCTGTATGTGACCAACTTGCTGCAGGGTTTGGCTGGTGCAACCAACGAGTCGATAGTTCAGATAACAGTGAGCTATATCTTTGGACCGATAATAAGGTGTCCTGCTAATGTTGTACATATTGTCGACTTGTTCTTTGTGCATCACCGGGGAAGGATGAATGGACTATACCTGACATGTGTCATGATTGGTGTATGTCTCCAAACTCCATCGTTAGGAGATTTATGCAGCGTAACTAATGAAACAATCTACAGAGCTTCCTGACCCCCCTGGCTGCAGGGGCGCAAGCCACACAGCACACCTGGCGCTCGTCCTATCAGACCATGGGCATCTTCAACGGTATTCTTTTTGTCATCTTCCTCTTCCTCTACGAGGAAACCAAATACGTCCCTGCATTCCAAGGGCAAGCCGGCGTTACCCTTGAAGAAGACGATCCAACCATCTCAATTAGAGAAGATGGCCTGGACAAACTCGAGGACTCGGCATCTGCAGCAAAAGGCCTTTCTACCATTGAACTGGCCCGTTCCAACCATGTGCTGGACCTCACCATACCGCAGAACTCATGGCGCAAGCAACTTGCCCTGGTAACGCCCACACCAGAGCCAATCTTGCCGCACTTCTACGGCCCTTTTTGCGTGCTCATCTTTCCGGCCGTGGCATTTGCCGCTTTGCAATACGCAGCTGGAGTAGCCTGGTTGACGGCAACATCCAGCGTCCTGTCACTCACATTCCCAGAGCCACCGTACCTTTTTTCGCCTGCTCAAATGGGATATACTAACGCTGGTCCCCTGATCGGGAACATTCTCGGTGCAGTATACGGCGGGTTCCTCGGTGATCGGTCGATTTTGTACTACGCAAAACGGAACAAGGGCTATTATGAGCCCGAGATGCGGTTGTACATATTACACCTTCCGGCCGTTTTTATGGCAGGTGGCCTTATTATGTTTGGTGCAACAATTTCTAGGGTAAGGCAACAACATACACAGTCAGAGTTTGCATTCGGGCTGAGGCTCTGCTAATGAGTGAGTGCTAACATGTGGTTTTCTGGATTGTAGGAAATGCACTGGACCTGGCCCATCCTTGCAGGTGGCTTCTTCGGGTTTGGCTTGGGTAGTATTAGTGATGCTGCATTGGTGTTAGTCATGGACAGTTACAGAGAGGTATGATTGGTTGCTTTCCAACCTGTCTCGTTTCAAGATACATGAGACACCCTATATGATACATCTTTTGTTTCAAGTGAGCCGTTCTTACTAACACCCATTTCTAGATCACTGGTGATGCTTTCACCGCTGTGGCGTTCATGCGCAACGCGGTTAGTATCGGTATTCCATTTGCGATCTCTCCATGGATCCAGCGCAATGGCATTCAGAATATGTTTATAGCGTGCGGAATGATGAGTCTAGCCGTTGCTGCGACGATCATCCCAATGGTCATTTGGGGCAAGTCTGCTCGGCGCGCATTGACAGGCCGGTATCGCAGTATCGTGGAGCGTGGTCATGCTGTTTGAAAGCTTGCTGTGTTGCAGGTTTACGTCATGGCCTGGATCTTGTGTGCTTTCCTTTTCATGGTGGGGATTTCCGACTGGAGGTTGGTGGAATCTGGCTGCCTGGGTTGGGATATACTTGAGTTGAAATGGGTCGGGCCATTTGGGAGTCGGGTGATATTGACGTATGCCCCGCGGGATTTCATTCGAATTAGGTATATTGATGATTAGAGCTTTCATTGGATACTCCGAATGATAACCTGCATTTACTCTCATTATGACCATGACGTTGCGGGATTGGATGTCTTTCCGTAGAGATTACCGAGGTTGTACGAGGTGATACAGTAGCTTTGGGGGCGCCTTGATATGGTAAATAATACGGGGTACAAGATACGTCCTTTTCACCAATGATCACTAGGGATAGGTTTCACATTCCTCGTTAAGCCTTGAGAGAACATGGAAGCCTGATCTGGAGATGACCTGCATGTGAGAAAAACCCTAACCCTAATTCATGCACGACAACAGGACTAAGAACATGATAACAAGACTGCATAAAAACGAATGTTTTCTTTTGTTCAACTATCAAAGAGTATAGGCTAAGAAAAAAAATACCGCGTAGTCAGATGAGCCGAAAGACTGAAAAAGGACTTGCAAATCTATGCGCAAAAGCCGAAGAGGCAATCTAAAGATTGGCCTTACGCACGTCATCGCCGACCTCTTTCAGCAAGACCGCCTCAGCAAATCTCTCCTCCGTCACAAGCAGCTGCTCAGGGAACCACGAAAGGTCCGCACTGACAGTCTCACTCAGCAAAGCATCCCGTGCAAGCAACATAGTCGCCACGGCCTTACCACCAAGCCAAGCCTGCACCATTCCGTCCCCACCAAACGCAGCACAAACCCACTCGGCGCCATCAGACCCATGCTCAGAGCGACCTGTCACAGCTCCAGGCAACTGTCCTACCCACGGGAATCCATCGGAGCTGAACGCCATACTACCAGTCCACATCGCCTGCACTGGGTCGCCTTGCACGCAGCCCCAGTCTTTAGCTCCGAAGATAGCACGCAAAGCTCCAGACAAGTGGATATCAATGTACAGACTAACATCGGAATCTGTCGAGATGCCCAGGTCCGCTAGACCGCCGCCCTCGCCCTGCGTGAAGCCACCACCGAGCATCATCTGCCCGTCCGGCAGCTGGGTCATGTAGTCGAACCCGCGGTCGTAGTTGAAGAGCCAGGAATGATCCGCTGCTTGGTTGGGGAACTTGTCGCCGGGGGTTTGCGCGGACATCTGCCCGCGCACGGGGAAGATTCGGCCCCGGAAGCCGGGGACCAGGTGGCTGACATGGGCATTTGTGCAGTGGATGACGTGTCGGGTGGTGATAGTGCCTCTGCTTGTCTCGACCTTGTATCTCGGGCCGTTGGTAGTAGTGTCGTCGTGAATAGCGGTCACGGGGGTGTTTTCTTCGACGAGGAAGTCATCCGGGAATTCTGCGAGCAGACGTGTGAGGACGCCGGTGACGAATTTGTAGGGCCAAAGAGCGCCTGCGGGGCCGGCAATGACGCCTCGGGCACGAGTCAAGCACATCTCCTAGAAAAAGCATGAGCATCGGCATTTAGGTGTTAGGGATAAGATATCAACGTACCTTCGGGATGGCGTCTCCCTCATAAGATGTCCATTCAGCAGATTCCTCCGGCATACCCTCCTTGAAACGGTGCATCCGCTCCAACGCCGCCTTCCAAGGCTCATCGCCAAAGTAAACACTCAGGAACCGAACCTTTCGGGCTTGGGTTTCTGTAGTAATACCAAGCTTCTCTGCGACAGCGAGCATCTCTCGCAGATGTGACAATCGGAAGCGGATGAGCTTACGCGCGGCGTCGATGCCAAAGGCATCAGCGAACTCGCCGTAATCGTCGGCTGTCTCCAGGACATGACCACCATTGCGGCCAGTTGCGCCGCTGCAGACTGTGCGGGCTTCGAGCGTGACCACGGATGGATGGGAGGTGAAAGAGGCATTTGAAGCGCGGTTCTGAAGCAAGGTCCGTGCAATAGATGCTCCGGTAATACCGGATCCGATGATGACAATATAAGCTTCCTTGGGCAGAGGCTTTGCAGCTCCCTGGCTGAAGTTGTGTGGTCCCAAGGTCCAGAACGACGAGGTGGTCGAACTCTGTGGGAGGCCAGGATCAGAGTAGATGCGGTTGAGAGCTTGCTGTCTAGCAGAGGCTGAGACAGAAGGGTCAGTCAGGATGTCCGTAGCAAAGGGCATGGTTGTTGAAAAGTCAGAGCCACGGTACAAGGAAGGATGTTGTTTTCATTGAAAGGAAGTCAAAGAAGAGAGGTGTGTGGTAGAGAAAAGTAGCAAACGTAGTAGATGACGAGAAAATTTGAGTCTTACGCGAGATTCAGTAGATACGTGAGAGAGAGAAGGAAAAAGAAAGAAAGAAAAACGAGGCTGAAGTAGTCATGCTCAATATCAGATCACAAATCAGAAGTGACCTGTTGGAGTTACCTACCCTGATACCTACAACAGTTCCAAGGTTTACTACAACAATGCACTTGTGCACTCCGATAATGAGCTAATCTCTTTCCAAGGGTTTCATTTCCGTGGATACCACCTGGGCACCTGCATATGCCCCATATGATAGAGTTCAAGATAACGCGCCGGTAGGTCGACCTTCTCGTTTGAGATTTGGAGATTGCGGGGATCTTTAGAACACATGCGAAGGCCATATAGATCATCAACATCATGAGTATCATTAGGTATACACTACCTAACCCTTTTATGTTTCTTTATCTAACCTAACTCTCATTCTATAATGTCTGCCCCTAGAACGCGCAGGCTGGGCCGCAGTGGTGAAGGGAACACACGTGAGAAATCCTCGTTCTTTTTCTTGTTCATGTGCTCGATTTTAAGCAGCTTATCATCTCATCATTTTATACCCCATGACACTAGATTACCTACACCGTGCGTACATCCGACAGTCACCACCTCTACATCCGCCCCACGGACTTGGTGCGGTGTTACATGTGAAGACCAACATTCCACAGACAATGATGATAAGGAATAAATGGTTCGGCGATATGCTCAGAACGTGAATCTCACAATCACTCAGACCGCAGATTCGGAGAACAACATCTTCGGCCGCACCCTCAATCCACACAACACAATCCTAACAGCCGGTGGATCCAGCGGCGGCAAGGGTGCACTAGTACCATTCCGGGGATCGATTTCGGGGGTGGGGACCGATATAGCCGGCTCGATTCGCATCCCCGCGCTATGCTGTGGCGTGTACGGCTTCAAGCCAACGGTCGACCGTATCCCCTTCGGTGGGCAAGTCTCCGGCGCCGTCAAGGGAATCCCGGGACTTGATCCAGTCGCAGGTCCGCTGGCCCATAGCATCGCCGATCTCAAGCTGCAGATGAGTTCCGTCGTCGCCGATGGCCAGGCGTGGAAGTATGACTCTGCTGCCGTCGGGGTCCCGTGGCAAACCACCCCGTCTGGTATCAACGCCAGCGAAAGCTTCACTATCGGCATGCTTGCTGATGATGAGCATTTCCCGCTCAACCCGCCTGTAAAGAGGGCTCTAGATCGGGCTGTTGAGGCCTTGACGCGTGCAGGATATCTATCATCCGAATTGGTGGTGGCGATGAAGCACAGAGTTTGGCATATGCGTCGCGTATTGCATTTCAGTATTTCAACTCTGGCCCGCACAAGGCTATTATTGGGACCAGCTGCGATCCAGCAAGGCCTAGGACCGTTTGAGACTATCCTGGAGTTGCGTGTGACTCGCCAGCGGGTTCATGAGGCCTGAAGACAGACATGGGTAGATCAGAAGCTTGATGTGATTCTGGCTCCTGGAGCTCAGAGTACAGCAGTGGGCCATGATACATATGGGTGGCCTTCTTATACAGTGATGTGGAACGTCTTGGATGTAAGTCTTTCGTTTTGTCTTGTTCTGCTGTTTTCGACTTGACTCTACTTGACTCTCTAGGGCATAAACTAACTTCAGCTAATGTAGTATCCCGCATGCATTATTCCATTTGGAAAAGCGTCCAAAAAGCTTGATCCCGAGCCTATGACAACAAGTGACGATTCGCAGCCGGACTGTTAGTGAACCCGTCACCCGTCTCTGTTGCCGAATATATTGCTGACAGATACCAGATATCACCGATGAGGTAGATGGCGCCCCACGCGCTATCCAAGTCGTCACCTCTCGCTTCCAAGATGAGAAGTGCCTGTGGGCGGCGGATATCATTGACCGGGTATTGGCCGTTTATAGCAATGAATATTGGAATGCTATATGGTTGAGGGCAATTTGTCTACCCGCGTAAGTCTTCCCAGGCAGAATTTTGACCGGATCGCTACGTTTGGGATATTTAGGGGCATCAGCTCCGCCGTGCACGGGGAAGTCAAGCTAGTGTTGTTTTGCTTTATTCTACAGAGATAGTGAGATCTACCAATGAGGCGTTCAAAACCATACAAGTTTAGTGACTAGGAAATATCATTTGGCGCCGTCTGCTGCTTTGCAAGAAAACAAAATTCAAGAGGTAGAATACATATGTGAAACCGGTCCTATCCCGTTTGATATCTTAAAGGTGTGTGGAAAGGACACGCTTTTGGTACTGAAAAGAGAAAGAGAGCAAGAACTACGGACTCGGGCTATCGTCGTACCGTGGTCCGCCGTCATTGCCACCATATCCAGCGCCAGGGGTAGCAGCCATTCCACCCATCGCTGGAGTGGGCGCATCGAACGCCGCAGGGGTTGGGGCGTCATAGTCTCGCTTTGAGGGGCCACCGGGAGTAGGCGCGCTGAAAGCTCCACCAGGGGTGGGGGCACTTTCGGGCCATCCGCCAGGAGTTGGTGCGCCAGGGGTCGGAGCAGCGTATGCGCCGGGGGTGGGGGCGGAGTAGTTTCCACCAGGAGTCGGGGCATCGTCGAAATCACGCTGGTCTCTGCCGGCAGACATGCTGTTCCAGCCCGGAGTGCGGCCTCCTGCGTTTGCGCCACCGGCATTCCAGCCAGGAGTGCGGGATCCAGAGGCGAAGGCGTCGAAGCCGGAGCTGGAGTCATATGGTGTCTTAGATCCTGAGGTCCAGGATGGAGTGCGGCTGCCAGCTCCTCCGTATGCGGTGCGGTTTCCTTCGTAGGGGTTCGCGGTACGAGAGCCGTCGTTCTTCCAGGCCGGAGTACGGCCGCCACTCACGCCACCCCAAGCAGGAGCTATATGATGATTAGCATCTTCGTCAACATTTCTAAGATGAGTGTACTTACTTCTCGCAGCGGCGCCATTCCAAGCGGGGGTTCTGGACGAATCGGCAGCGGCGACCGGTGTTCGACCACCAGCCCAACTATCTCTCCCAGGACCGCCCGAAGAAGTGTACGGAGTTCGCCCTCCAGGACCACCACCTCCTCTTCCACGACCCATGGAGAGAGGCTGCTTGGAAATAGGACTGTGAAAAGTTAGAAAGACTGTGGATCAAATGCAATAGGTGAAGAACATACTCTTTAGGTGTCAGAATGTCACGCGGGATGTGTACAGGCTTGTTAGATGTGTAAAGTTCAACTTGAGCAGAGCTATCGTCGGCGTCGCGGACAATACCGACGAGACCCTTATAACGACCCTTGCGGATAGTCACAGTCTTTCCGATCAGCTGATCACGGCCGCGACGAGGTGGTGGCATTGCAGCACCACCTCCGGGAGTTTGCATCGCCAGGGCAGGGTTCATCTTGGTGAGATCGGGTCCAGTGGGCCTACCGCCTCTTGCTGATACGGTAACAACATTCGTTGTCCGCACCACAGAGATACCCGCGTTCTCGGCTTGGGCCTTATTATGCACGAAAAGGAACGAACGGTGGATATGGCGGATTACTCCACTGCGCTGCTCTCCGTAAACTTCGCGAACGGTATCACCACTTCGAATTTCTGCGCCATTGCGATCAGTAGCCACGGCGTCGCGACGGGGGATAATCTTGTTTGCGATTTGCGTAGGAAGAATATTGCGGATCGAACCATTCTGGTCCACCACACGGAGGGACTCCCGGTCCACTTTGATGACACAAGCAACAGTGGCGGCATCAAGCTGGACGAGATCATGAACATCATAGATGCCGAGTTGTCCATCGGCAGCCATCTCGGCAGAAAGTCGAAGATCCTTGCTGAAAATTGTGATCTCCTGCATACTCATATCGCTGAGCAGAGTGACGGTGTCGTCCTTGACCTGCACGACCATGCCCAACTCGTTCTGGTATCGACTACCGCCAATAACCTTGACGTGATCACCTTCCCGGAATCGTTTACGGAGAGTTCGAACAGGCGCGTCAATTGTCTGACCGGCCAGTTCGCCCTCGGTGACTTGCAATGAAATAATGTCACCTCGAGTTGACACTGTGCGACCAATAAGACCCTGCTGTTCACCCCGGTAAACCTCCACTGGATCACCAGGTTGGTATGAGTCTTCAGCGGTAGAGTTCTTCAGAGTCTCGGCCAGCGACGCCAGATCCAAATTGGCAGTTCCGTCTTCTCCTCCACGGGCAAACATTGTAACCTCCTCTAGCCGGGGGTTAACATTCTTGGCATTCAAGTGCTGGACACGCATATCCTTGATGAGGAAGCCATCCACATAGTTGTCGTTCAAGTAGTTCCATGATTTTCCGCCTAGACCAGAAGTAGACGAGAGGTATTTTGCGTGCTTCTTTTTCGCCTCTGTCTCACTGAACAGGCGCTGGGGAGGGCGGACGGTGTTGACAGCACCGCGTTTGCGCTTAGCATCGGCAGCAGGGGCACCAAAAGTATCGTCATTCATGCCATAGTCCAGTCGAGGAACAAGTCTCACTGTGACGTTCAATCCATTGGTTTCAACCTCTTCAATCTGAGCCAAATCGCCCAGGTATTTGCCACGCTTGATGCGAATCCAGCCACCAGGCAAAAGCTCTTCCGATTTCTGGACGCGAAGAAGATCCGGCATCTCCTTCACTGGAACCAGAGTCAGCTTTTGGGATGGGTAGTAGAAGTTGATGGCCTCCAAGCCTTCGGTAACATCAGCCTGTCTGCGCGCTTCACAGTAGAACCAGCCCTGCATAATGTTTCCGCGCTCGAAAGCTGAGATAATTCGAATGGGGTTGCGGGAGCCTGCCGGACGCTCTTCAATTCGTTTCTGGATCGAATACACGACCTCCTTCTCCTTGCCAGGCTTGCAGCGGCCACCCCAAATGCTAGGATCTTCTACACTGGGAAGCAGGAGTCGTTTCGGGATTACAAGGGAATCTGTTGCGGCAGCACGGTTGCGTCCATATCGCTCCTTGAGCATCTGAGCCTGCTTCTCTGCGTCCATGCTGGCGTCAATCTCACGCTGGCGATCGAGCTGTCGATGGCGGCGGTCGTCTGTCTCGGTGCCTTGGGGTAGCGCATCAAGATCATCCGGGTGTGTTTCCATGCCATATTCGGCGAGCTCATCTTCCTCATCATCAGCCTCGTCCTCCTCGTCATCGACGCCGGCCTCATCTTCAATGAAGGGATTGGCAACGCGCTTCATTCGCTTTTTCGGATGACTTGCCTAAAATAGAAACTATGGGTTAATAAAGTTCGTATGCATTATCTGGTCTCCATGGAGAACATACCACATCCTCTTCCTCGTCTTCCTCCTCCTCGTCGTCGTCCAATTCATTCTCCTCGTCGTCATCTTCGACATCCTTGGCATCTTCTTCCTCATGTGCATGTGTGTCGCGAGGGTACTTCACATCCTCCTCCTCATTAGCCCCATCGCCACTTGAGTGTTCTTTCTTGGCTGGCTGTTTCGCACTCATTTGTTAGCGCTTTGTCCATCAAAGCTTCATCAAAGCTTGACAGGTGTCTATAGACCGACCTTGGCACTGGGCTCCTCGGCATCAGACTCTTCTTGAGGAGCAGGGTTGAAATCATCCTCCTCGTCGTCGGACCCGAAGTCGTGGTTGAGAAAGTTTGACATTTTGGAAGGTAGTGTAACGCGCTATTGCAGAGGACCTGGTCGCGCCACTTTCGGCAAGTCGTAAGTTGGGGTTGGGATGTAGTGAGATTTCTATCAATCACAAGGAGAATCAGCAACTGAAAAGACAAAGAGAACATGGGAGAAGTAAGACAAACCGTATCCAAGGAAACCGCGCTACAACTTGCGGGTTGGGAGACAAGACGTAGATACCAAGATGCGAACTGTCCGGTATTTTCCGATGGGCAGCCAATTCCGAGTAGCGTTAAGTCAAATGAGGTTGATCCAGGCGAGAGAAAAGCGACTGGAGAGTTAAGAGGGAACACAGCAGACAAGTCGAGCTCTGCGGGCAATCACCGAGTTCCGCGACCGCCTACAAAGAACACGGTTGGAATGGAGATCTTGGGATTAATGAGAAAGAAAAATCAACCACACCACAACGCAGGCGCAATTTATAGCACTGCTCGTAAGGGGTAGTTTGAGAAAGGGCAAATGAGGGATTGAAGTGTCGGAGCGTGGAGGTCAAGTTGCCCAGAGGCATAATCCCTGCGTAAGCGGTCGTTGTGGCGCGCCGTACTTGGCCGCCTTTGAGTCTGGCGCATTTCAACTTCCTTTGCAAAGACTTATAACTTGAAGAGCACACATAAATATCATTAGGAATTAATCAAGAAGCTTCCAATTTTCTGATTGCACCAGATATACTGATATATACTTTATTGGAGAATCAGGATGGACTACAATATCCCCACAATTACCCTGATGCGAGCGAATGCCCCGATCAATGTATATTCCTGCCTTTCCATTGGGCTAACATAAAGTAAGACTTCCAATATTGTAGTATAGTGAGCACTCATTTCATCGGATAAGGAGGCATGAAGAGATGAATCGAGCGAGGTTTACAAACAATACCCCGAACCACATCTGGCAGGCCCTTTGACCACATTCTCTGAGTTGATCTGCACTTGGCTTTTCGCTTGATGTGCTCGCAGTTCATGTGTTTTGCATGCATAATAGTTCAAAGGGCCTTGGCTGCTGCCTCCTTATCCTCAGCCTCTTTGGTCTCGTGAGAAGGAAGTCTTTTGAAGGGGATCAAAAGGGCCAGGACCACGGTGAGAGCAGTACCGGCCAGGGCGAAGGCAAAGACATCCTTGATACCAGCCATATATGCCTCTCGAACCAAAGTCAGCTGCTCACCTTTGTACACGTTTACAACTTCTGACACTCCAATGTACAAGATCTCTGCCGAATCGATTTGAGGAGCAATTCGTGCCAAGGTCTGCAGCAGGTAGTTATTGAAGATAGAATTCGCAGCCGAAACAAAGTAAGCTCCGCTGATAGATTGGGCCGCTGAGAGAGGAAGTCAGCGGAGAGGACTAATGCCAATGAGATCTTGTAGTGCTCACTGAAAGCTACTCCCATCGTCGCTGCCACGGTTTCTGGCGTCGCGAAACCCTGTAACGCGGTCACCGGAACCTGGTTTCCTAGACCGATTCCGAGCCCAAAAGGGATCTGAGCGCCGATATACCACGCCTTCGAGGTGTCGACGTCGATGCAGTAGATCAGGGCGGCGCCAAGGACGGCTATCAATCCACTAATAAACTCGATGGGCTGTAGGAAGCGGGTCTTCCCAATATTGCCACCGCTAACTATAGCCCCGCAAGTATAGAAAGCCATGAACGGAAGACAGTAGACGCCACTTGTGATTGCGGACATGCCATGAACAGCCTGGAAGTAGATGGGAAGATAAAACATTATCTGAAAGTTGGCTAGGTTGGCACTTGAGAACAAGACCGCAAATTAGCTCCAAAGTCAAAGCAGACAAGCCTTCTGGGGAAAAGGAAGCATAACCTAAAGTACTCACATGAACGCGTATAAGAGCTGGGACCATGTAATACGGGCTGACAGCATTTTCAGGGGCATGATAGCGTACTCGCCTTGGAACCACTCGACGACCACAAATGCAATCGTCAAGGCAACCCAAACGGTCAAGGTGGCGATGACGGAGCCATTACTCCAGGGTTTCCCCATGCCGCCCCATTCCAGAGCCAAGGTTAAGCAGATGACCGAGACGAATAGCACACACCAGCCGGGGAGATCGAGATGCAGTAGAATCTCCTTCCACGACGCAGGGGTGGGCTTGATATGTTTCGGCATTCGCAAAAAGAGAAATTGCAGTACGATAGCTGTACCTCCCACCGGAAGGTTTACCCAGAAACACCATCTCCATGTAACCTCAGTCGTGAACATGCCGCCTATCAGAGGGCCAATGGTCGTGGCGATCATAAAGACACCCATCCATAGGCCGATGAGCAGGGGGCGAGTCTTAGGGTGTGCCGTGAAGTTGATGATTAGAACAGAGCCACCGAGGGTGCCCGCACATCCCCATCCCTGCAGAGCTCGACCCACGATCAGCGCAATGCTGTTAGGTGCGGCGGCAGCCACGATACTCCCAATCAGGTACAAGGCAAGTGCTGTCATATTCGTCCATTGAGCCGAGAAGTATTTGTACATCTTACCCCACGGGGCGGAGGTTGTTCCCACGAGAAGGAAACAGGCACCGCTGTACCATCCGATATCGCTGAGTGCGTGAAAGTCACTGGTAATTTGCGGAATAGCCGTGGCAACGATACCCTAAGGATCGAATTGATCACGTTAACTGCGTACGATACTCAAACAGCGCAGTCCTCTGGAAATAGATAATACTGACCAGGTCCAAAGCTGCGATCAGTGTACTGAGACTCAAAGTGGCCATGATAATGATCAAGCGTAAGGGCGTCGCGTACTCCGGGTCTGATTCCTGATCCAGGTCAAGGCTCAAGTCACTACTCCCCTCGGTATCATTGCTTCCTCGCTCTTTGTTTCTGGTGCTGGTACTGTCAGGCGAATGGCCTGCTTCGTTCTTGCTAAATTCTAGATCGGAAGTGGGTGCCGGCATATTGCACGTTATTGTCTGGTGACAGTAGAGGAATGCCGAAACTATAGGCCATTTTGCGACTTGTTGGAGGATAGCAGATTATATGTATGCAACCCCCTTAAGCCCCCCTTCACCCTGAGCTCGCAAACCCCATTGTGGCGGACGAATAACACGAATAATGCGATGTAGAAATTCGTTCCGCCGAGATCACGGCGGAGTACGCTATCACGGCGGAGTATTGTAATTCTGGAACAGGACCGGGGGTGAGCTTGGCGCCCTTTTGGTTTAAATGTTACCAAGCCTTGGTAAGGTACGGTCACGACACACTCTCCCGCCGCCTCTCCGGGGCTCCAACTAACTATATGTACCATCAACTTGCGTCCCTCACGTCCCGGTGTTCGAATCACTTAATTCCTTTGTATCGATTACCTATATTTGAATCATTTGCCTGCAACAAAACAGTTTGCCGGGCTATATGAACTACTCGTGTGCGTCAACGTGCAACCTACCAGATAGAACCAGACCCAGTATGGACCCTACCCCTGCTCAGCGTATGAGACAAGCTCGCAGGAATCCCGCCATCGACCTAGATGATTGGGATTCAGTGCCGCCGTCCAAATGTAAGAAACTTAGAAGAGGAACACACAGCTGCTGGGAATGCAAGCGACGAAAGATGAAATGCGAATTTGATAGTCCCGATGATGCAGTCTGCATTGGCTGTGATAGACGTTTGACCAAATGCGTGAGTCAGGAGTTCCCGGAGAAAATGTCCACCCCTTTGGACAACGGCCAGTTACGGGATCGGCTGCGACGAGTGGAGTCCCAACTTGACCAATTTCTTGCTGCGGGCGACAATGGCCAAACAAAGACTGAAGACCACCCAGACCGACAGCTGGATCACGGCATCCCAACGCCGGCCTCGGTGTACAAAGGTGCCTCAAATCATGCGTCTCCTACATCGCATCGGCGCATTCGTATCACTGCCGAGGATGAACATCCTCATGACCATCTCAATCTCGACAGACCTTCATTCCCTGCCCATGTTGGCAGTGCTTCTGGTGTCAATACATTGGCTCGGACTCTCTTCGATTCCTTGCCCTCGCGGCAAGATACCGCCAGGATCTACAAGGCCAGTGGTACCCACCATGAAATCCCATTCCATGAAATCCTAACAACCCCATACGCTTTTCTCGATCGGGAAGGCCCTCAGTCGCAAAGTCGCCTGCTCGAGATCCCGGGTCGGAACGACAACCCGGTTCTAATAGCACGTCACATGCTGCATCTAGCGAGCTTCCTCCAGCACCTGCACCCAGATCTTCATGAAGAGCTTCGGGGTCTGTCGTGGTCACCACAAGTCATGCGCGAACGACTAGCGGACAAAGCGATCAATTTGGTGACCACAAATGACAGTTTCGTGGGCAGCGTTGAATTTCTAGAATGTATTATGCTCGAGAGCATGTATCAAGCCAATTGCGGATATTTACGTCGAAGCTGGAGGACAGCGCGGCGAGCCATGACTATTGCGCAGTCCATGGGCTTTCATCTGCCGGGGGCCCGGGCTCAGTACACGGTCCTTCACCCGGAGACCAAAGCGTGCCCACAGTTCATGTGGTTCCGCCTCGTCTTTTACGATCGACAACTGTGTCTTATACTCGGCATGCCACAGGGAACCACAGATCGAAGTATGGCGTCAGATACAATGCTCGCCAAGGATTCGGCCAGCGGTCGTCTTGAACGAATCCACTGTGTGATCGCATCGCGAATTTTGGAGCGCAACGAATCTGACTCGGTCAGCTATGATTACGTCTGGACGCAGGAGCTCGACAAGGAGCTGCAGCGAGCGGCCCAGAGCTTGCCAAACAGATGGTGGCTAGTCCCGAACCTCGGTGGCCAGATGAAAGACTCGCAGGCTTTGTTCTGGGAAATGCGGCGACTGTCAGAACAATTATTTCACTACAACCTTCTTAACCAGCTCCACCTTCCCTATATGCTTCGCGACTCGGTTGAGCGCAAATTTGAATACTCCCGAATCACTTGTGTCAACGCTTGTCGAGAGATCTTATCCCGCTTTATCATGCTGCGCCGCTGGAACCAAGTAGCTTTTAGTTGCCGCACGATCGATTTCACCGCTCTAATGGCGGCCATGACCCTGCTATTGGCTCATTTGGATAGCCACCGCTCCCCAATGGTCGACAATTTTCTCGCCGCCCAATATATGGGCGACCGTGCCATGATTGAGCAGGCACAAGACAACATGGAGGAGCTCAACCGTTTGAACCCCGACACCTTGAATGCACGAAGTGCTCAATTGTTGGGACGATTGCTCGCCATCGAGGCCAAGGCAGCTGGAGGTGACCTCCAAAGCGCCCAAAGCGTAAGCGTACAAGGGCCCGGAACTGGAGAGTCACAATCCGATGACGGGACAATCCCTGGCAAACACGAATATATCCCGTATTTCGGGGTCATTCAAACTGCGGGCGTGAGTCACGCTGACATAGTGAGTTCCCAAACACAAGATGTGCCGCCGCCAAACTACCGACAAAGCCAATCCCCGGTCGTCATGCGATCCGGGACAGAGGCAGAGACGCAAGCACAGCCGACCTCTCTCGCAACATCTATACGTCCAGATCCCTATAACGATCATAACCGTAAAAGAATACACAGCAACAGCAGCAACAATGACGTAACTGCCCTCTTTGCGCCGCTACTCTCGGAGGTTCTCTCAGATGATCCCATGCAGCAGTTTGAATACCCTGGGACGGCAGCTAGAATTGAGGATGATCCATTTCAAAATCTCGACTTGGCTTTCTTGGATAACTTGATGAATGGGCCGGGAGAGGATGGATCAGGTGGCACGGAATGGGCCGCATGAAAAAAAGCAGCGTTTGTGCCGTCTGCACGTAGACATCACGTATTAGATATCTCCAATTATTCTACTTCTGACAAGCTTATTCATATGACTACAACCACACTTATCAGTTAGAGATCTAGAGAGGTTCACGAGCTGATGCACGATGCTTCAAAGGGAAAGACTGCTGTCTATATCATCTGGAAGGCTAACACTCCCTTGGAGGAGAATTTAAAATGGACAAACAAATATGTCGTCTTTCTCACATTTACCGAGGATGGACAGTAAATATATAAGATAGAGGAGATAGTAGATACCGCTTTTTTTTATCCCTAGATTTCAGAAATACTTGGCTGAACAGGAGCATTCTCATTAGAATTTGATGTCTAGCTAAGCCGTTCAACCAGAAAGCAGTCATCCATGTACCAAAGAGCAGCAAAAAGGATCATATATACATCCAAAGAGACAGAGTCAGTGATCAGAATCAGACCTCATTGTATAGCTTGATTTCGAGTATACTCCAGGATATTTGATAACTTAGCCCCCTTGAAACTCCTAATCAGAATCATCCCAAACATCCGAACTTAAATCTTTTACAATGAAGTTCAACCTAAGAATCGTACAGTACTGAACGAGCCAGCTTCGCTGTTCAGACGGCCCCCAGGTATCCCAGAAAGGCTCGAGTCTGTTATTCAGCGCTCTGATTTTAGCCGAAGTGAGTGAGCGCAGGAGCCCCATCTGCTGAGCTCTCTCACGGCCTGGATCCTTATAATCTTCCAACCTTTGGTACATATCTCGATAATTCTTGATAATCAACCAATACAAGCCCTTGATCATAGAAACATCCCAGTAAAATTGCTGGTCCACATGACGCAAAAGCTTTTTGAAAATGACATCGCAATGTGGCCGCAGGTTGTGAGCTGCTACTTGTAACGCATAAGCAGCTGCAGTTTCATCGCCCTCAGTGTCCTGGGAGACTCGGATCCGCCCCGCCATGGGATCACAGTGTTGACAGAACCAATCAATACCAGCTGGCTCGTCTCCTCTTGCGCCAACTACCAGAGCTGTCTCGCCGGTGTCTCGGTCGAAGTCTGTCCGACACCCTGGCTGGGTATACGAGTGATCCAGAAGCCAGTCAAGGATTCGTGGACCTTCGGGGTTTTCGATTGCCCGGTGCCAGATGGTTCGAGAGGTGGGATGGAGTTCGATGGGATTGATTCCAACACCATCATATTGAATTGATTTTGGGTCGAGTTTGTCATTGTCGGGGTCGAAGTCTTCGTCCCGGATGATCGGATCACCGTATTCTGCATCGCGGTTCCACTCCTCGCCGGACTCGTATTCGGGGTCATTCTCGTTGGGCAGATACATTGGAAGTGTATTTCTGGAGAGCTTGGTGATATTGAATCCTTTCGACAGGAGCCGTTCGGCCATTTCGGCAGTGATGAAGCTGCACAGCTCAAGCTTGAGGCCATCATCGTTCCACACAGATAGAGGATAGCCGGCATCCTCTAGAAACTCAACGACTCCTCTAAAGACATCATTGTCATGCATCAAAGCGACATGGTGCGGAATGGACATCCCATCGATAGACGTGGGAAAATGCCGAGGATCCAAGTCTCCTTTCAGCAAAATAGCGAGAATAAACAGTACACATTCGCCATCTCGGCCCTCAATAGCTGCATGAAGGAAGCTCCTCCCATTTTGGTCGTAGTTCCTGAAATCGACTAACCCAAGATTCCCGAGAAGTGAGAGACAGCTTGTACATTGACATTCCTTCACGAATTCATACGCATAGTTAAACCCAGCACCACCTCGGCTGGCTTTGTAAGCCGCAATCTCATCTCTGCATTGATATGCGGGTTTGAAACTGTAGTAGTGCATCCATGGCTTGAAAACCTGTTCAAGTGTACTCTGAGCCGGTTCGGATCTCAACCATGTTTTCACATGGTCTCGGTGCATAGGCGATGCCTCAGCAAATTCATGCAGAGCATGAAGGTCCTCGGGGGTCGGAAGTTTTGTATCAACATGCAGCAGCATAGGGAGAACCAGAAGCAACAAGTTGTCAGGCATGGTCGTAAGATCCATGGAATGGGCTATTCCCTGTAAGAAGTCGTGGCTAACGTCATCGGTATCATTTGAACTGAGACTTGACAGGAGATCTGTTGGAGCAGTTCCAGATCCGGTGAAATTGTCCTCGTTGTCTTTGAATTCGCGCATTCGTCGGGCAACCAAATTGGCAAGTATGAGCGATGTGGCGGAATGCTCATCAGATACAACTTGGATCATTCCACCGACGTCGCTTACAAGATCATATTCATCGTCGTTCATTTCAAACGATCGTAGAGACATCGTGAATGGGTTGACATATAAAGGAAAGCTGTGGGCGTAAATGACTTGCCTCGAGGGTCCTAAATAGGCAGATGGTCACCTCTCAATGTTATATTTTCACATCCTATTCCCGGCTTTCGACTCGAGAGGACGCCACTTCACTGCTTTTGCCTAATAATAGATTCGTATCAAAGACCCCCGGACGCAATGGTAACGGTTCTCAGAGTTTGCCTGATCACGCCTCGAATCCCTTCAAAGAAAATGAGAATAAAGAAGTGAAATCGAAAGGATTTCGGTGGTTTGAACGTGAAACCCTCAAGCATAGTTGAGTTGTCTGAACAAAGAAGAGTTTTCGGGACATGGAGACCTTTGAGATTATGTTAAGCCATTTCCCCTTCTTTGATGGATTCTTTGAATCTTCCTTTTCGTTGTCGGTCGTGGTCATGATTCTTCTTGCCAACGTAGTGGTCAGCTAATATCGCAAACTATGGAGACACCGAGAATTTAGTTATGAATGAGAGTCTGTTATATGGACTGTATCCTCTTTTTTATTATCTGTGCATTGAGGTTTTGAATATTCCATAGAATATAGGACGGAAGTATCTTCCCTCCACGGCACTGTATGTAGAAAATTTCTGGAGGAGTCTTTCCATCTCATCCAGCTCTTTTAGTTGAACTACCTAAGATCTCGGTGCTGTTCTCTGTATCTTGTCTTCCTAACATGATTTAGATATCCTATTAACAATGGGAAGCCGCGTATGTATTAAAAAATATGAAACTTCACTACTCCTCTAACAATGAAGCTTCTCCCAAAGGGAGTCAATCTTCTGCACAACCTCCACTGGCAAAGGCCCTTTGGAGATATTCTCCATGTTCTGAACAATCTGAGATATTCTGCTTGCACCTAGGATCACACCATCGCCCCCTTGCAAGATAGAATGATAGTATATCCACCGCAGACAAGCCTGAGAGCCAGAGATCTGGAGTGGCTCAATGGTATCTTGAAGACTGTTGATAGCAGCATGCATCTCCGGCTTGTCGTATATGCCATTATACGCTTTAAATGCTGTATTTTCCGGTGCAAACCGAGTACCTTCAACATCGCCGCGGGTCATTCGGCCTGTTAGAAAGCCACCGGCAAGAGGGCTGCAGTTGATAATATTCTGATTAGATAGGATACGAGCAGTAGATAAGTAGTCACATACCTATAGGCATGGAATGCAATCCCATGCCGGCGAAGGAGTGGGAAAAGCTTCTCACACTCTCGGCTGAGGAGATTGTAGAGACCTTGATAGACGCTCGGCTTGACATAGCCTTGTCCTTCACAGACGGCGACGAAATCTGCGACCATCTCAGATGGGAAATTTGATAACCCAAACTTGCTTCGAGTCAAAAGTAATTCTGGGCCGTTGGATGGAATATAGATACCCTTTCAAAACAGCCATCCAGGTACTGCCTGTTGATCTCAGCGGCCTGTTCGGCAATCGGAGTGCTGGGATCAGGACGGTGGAAGTAGAGAACGTCGACCTTTTTAGTCTTAAGCTGGCCGAGGCTTTCCTCCAGGGACTTTCTGATTGCAGGGGCTGTGTGCGTCCCTGAGCCATCGCCGGAAGAACTCCCCGGGCTAATCTTAGTATCGATAGTGAACCCTTGCTCTAAAGCGCGGACTTCTCCTAGCAAATTCTCAGAGCGACCAGGGTTTCCGGGTGGGTATCGGGCTGCAGTATCAATATGATCAATCTGCAGTACTTTGAGCTGATCGAGGAGTTCTTGGACTTGTTCTGGAGTGGTGAAAGTGTTTCCTATCATGGCGCCACCGAATAGGGTGTTGGGTATAGACATGGTAGGAGTCATGTTCTTTATTGATGGGGAAATGATGTAGCTAGGTATGTCTTTAAAGTTGATGGCCAGGATCAGGTTATATACGCCCCGGTGGTCCTACTCGGTACTTCCAATGTCAACGCGGAGCGGACCTAGTGCACATCGGGCCGGATATGAGAGCATCCGTAGACGGCTTTCCGGAGCGGGCCCACTGCACATCGGAGCGAGTTTAATGATTATGTAATAATCAGGGGCGTGCTTTTACTCAGTGAGTAAAAAGCGGCAAGGGGTGAGCACTAAAACGGAAAAAGAAAGCCAAGATTTGCCAGACATTATCCTGTCTATATGCAGCGAATATCCAAAAATGCGGCGACGTCCACCGTAAATCGTGAAATATACAAAAAAAAGGCCAATGTAATGTTATCGTACAAGGCGGATCATGGCAAAAGAAAAGAAATGTCGTCACAGACGAGAGGATATCTAGCCAAAAGCAGCAAAAGAAAATGAATCAAAATGGGCATGCTCTACCGCCGCAATCGAAAGCACCCAGAAAACGCTTTACAGCTTCATGCCGAACATGCCGTGGACACGCAAACTCTGGCGCATACTCAGATCAAGCATAATCTCCTCACTACCACCGGGGATAGCATAGGCACGCACATCACGGTACAGTCTCTCGATCTTACCGCCCTGGCCGCCGCGGCTGTAACTCAGACCACCAAAGATCTGACTAGCCTCGCGAGCGCAGAACTCAAAGCATTGCGTAGACTGCGCCTTCAATCCAGCAATGGCACCGCCGAGCTTAAGCATAGCCTCGGTATCCTCCATGGACTGGCACTGGAAGATGATGTTCTCGAGCCAGTTGTAGGTGGCCTCGATCTGGCGGGCCATATTGGCGAGTTTCATGCGAATAACCGGGTGGTCGATGAGACGCTTGCCGAAGGTCTTGCGCTTGTGCGCGAACTTCATGGACTCCTCGTAGCAGACACGCGAGAAGCGCACGCATTGAATCACGATGCCGATGCGCTCGTGGTTGAAGTTGGTCATGATAACCTTGAAGCCCTGGTTCTCCTTGCCGATCAGGTTCTCCACGGGCACCTTGACGTCCTCGAAGGTGACGTAAGTCGTGCCACTGGACCACACACCCTGGCAGTCCATGCGGCGGGTGCTGACGCCGCCGGCTGAGCGCTCGATGAGCAGCACGCTGAGGCCGTTCATGCCGTCTTTGCCGGTGCGCACGGCGGTCGTGAAGTAATCAGAGTAGATACCGTTGGTGATCCACTTCTTCTCGCCGTTGACGATGTAGTGCTTACCATCTTCGGTGAGCTTAGCCTCGCAACCCAAGTTTGCGACGTCACTGCCCGCATCGGGCTCGGTAATGGCGAGGCAGATACGCTTCTCGCCGGCCAAGATACCCGGAAGGATTCGGTCGACCAGCGGCTTCTTGCCGAACTTGACCAATGGCGGGCAGCCAATTCCGAAGCCACCGATCAGGCTCCACACCAGACCACCGCTGCCGGCACGCGACAGCTCGTCGGTCAACAGCATCTCGTGGAACAAATCCCACCGGTCTGGTGACACAGACTTCACGCGGTATGGGGTGTGCTTCTCGGGGAAGTGGACACCCAGCAGTCCGGCCAGGTAGCCACGCTCACCCATCTGCTTGTAAATGTGGGCGGGCACTTCCTTGGCCTCGTCCCATTCGGTCACATATGGCTCGATCTCGGACTCGACCCACTGGCGGACCTCGTCTCGCAGTGCGGCGTGGGACTCGTTAAAGTAGGGGGATGCATACTGTGAGCGACATATAAATTAGCTTCTGTGCAACCGTAAAACTCAGAAACCTGTGGCAGATAGTAAAAGCAAAACTTACACCCTGGTACCATGAGGGATCGGCGAAGGGGATCAACTCTCCGTAAGGGTCCTGGGGCTCGCCGGTGGCAGGCGGTGTCACGGAGGACGAAGAGGCGGTGGGCTTCGGCTCGGCAGCCTTTTTCGGGGCTGGCGCTGGTGCCGGGGGTGCCGGTGCCGCCTTCTTCGTATCCAACGAACCGATCAGCAGTTGACCCTTATACTTCTTCAAAATTCCGTCGTTGTGGTACTTCCAGAACTGTTTTGAAGCGTCCTTTCCGGCAACTCGCTGGAGAACTAGACACACACTGTCAATATGGATTTATCGGACGTAGCAGATGCTCTGGGACCAACGTACTCTTCTTTCCACCTGTTCAAAAAAAAAAAACCGTTAGCATGTGATTCCCATGCATTTGCACGCATGACTTCACTTACCAGGGTGCTCATCTTGGAACTTGGAAACATCATAGACATCTTCGTCGATGATGATCCAGGGACTGTCGCCCTTGCTATGCGACGCGACGTCCTCCTTGCTAAATGTCTTTGCCATGGTGGCGATGGGAGTGGAGGAGAGGGATGAGGGGGAAAAGGCGCACAACAAAGATTTATATTAAGGTCGAGGAATAGTAGTTTGGGGAGAAAGAAGAAAATTTCAAGTCCGGGGAATCTGGGGAATATATGAGTTATGGGGCAACGAACAATTTCCGCTAAGTTCGGGCGATATTCCAAGTATGGACATCAAGATGCACCAAAAGGGGCCTCGGAGCATCACAGTACCAGTTCACATGCTCCCACACGTAGTACAACATAGATCTGACCTTACGTTGTAGCAGCGCTTCATTGGCTGATGATCATCTCGGTCATCGCCGTTGACAGACAGGTTATTGGCTTGTGCTGCGTCATAATAGCAGTGCCGAGGCATAACAGTCCTCTGTGGCCAGGTGCGGTGGATTGCTGAGTCAGACACAGTTCGGGGTAGGGCCGAAACTGGCATGTGAACATGTGAAGATGAGTATCGGCCGGATTGCGATTGGAGTATTCCATGTTGCTACAATTCTGCGAATATATAGATATCTCGACACAGCTATAAACAATTTCACTCTTATATAGAAGAATACAAAGTAGTCACTTTGTACAATTGAGTCTGGTTCGTGGTTTCGTCACTATGTTGTATGTACCTCTGGCATGTGCAAGTTCTACTCCAGAAAACCCTTGCTTCAAGCCGGTCTAACCGGCGTGTTCAAATTAAGGCAACCGTGCTGTAGTCTTTTGACCGAGTGCATAGAATACAAGAATACAGGGTAATTTAAAAGTAACATAGGAAGTTTCATATCAATCACAGTGACGGAAAGCTATACTAGCCCCCAAATAGATCACGTCGGCGTAGACAGCCTGATTAGTCTAGTAATACATCCAGCATCAAGATTCTATGCCGCAACAACACTCTACTGCTCTTCACCATCAGACTCGTACGTGAAATCGTCAGGGACAGGTGCGTCCTCTACGCCTTCTTCGTCCTCATCCACCGCCGTCAGAACACCCGCACCAGCCGCAGCACCTGAGGTGGCAGCGGATACAGCAGCCCGAGCATCGGCCCGTTGAGGGGTCTGCAGAGCAGCGGTTCCGATGGCGGCCTGCAGGCGGTCCTGGAGGGTTTCGGTCGGAGGAGGCGGTTGGCGAGCCTCTTTGCTGGCCTTCAACTCAAAAACCTCGCGAGGCTCGTCGGGCTGCTTGTCGAGAACAACGACAACACCGCCAGTGGGCTGCAGTTTTGTTAGCATTAAATTCATTGGGATAAATGTGAATGAACGTACCCTCTTGACCGGCTCGTACCGCGGATCGGGGAAAGTGAGGTACTTGAGCTGAGCTGGAAGTACCCTTGACAGGTTGTCCAACTCGTACCCCACCTTCTCCCGCTCTGCCTTCTTCTTCTGCACCTCGGCAGCAACCTTCTCTGTCTCCTTGCCTTCTTCGTCCTCCTTAGTAACATCGTCCGTGTCCATTGCGTCAAGCTGATCAGTAGCCTTGGGTGTTGTGGGCGCTTGGTCAATGTCCATGCTCTCGCGGCGGGCTTGCTTCTCCCGACGCTGCGCGCGACGCTTGGCCTGGGCAGTGGTAGAAAGAACAGCCGTCTTGACCTTCTCGGGGGCCTCCTCGGTCTTCACCTGTTGCTCAGGGGGGTAGTCGAATAGACTGGGGCGGGTGTTGCTGTGGAACTTGAAGTGTGGGACTTCGAGCTTGTGGTCGACACCGATCACGGATGTTGGGGTGAAGCTAAGCGACAAGAAGTGTGTGAGAGGGAACCAGTACCAGTATTGGACGAAGACTGCAACACCGACGATGCCGGGCATGTTGAGATTACCCGTCTGCGTCTGCAAACTAATAGTGCAGTTTCGGCCACCGGCATCAATGATACCGAGAGCAATGGCACAACCGAACTTAGCCATAGCATCCTCGTGACGGTCACCAAGCATCTTCATCATGGCCTTGCGGAGGCTGGTAACACGGGGGTTCATGGCCTCGTTCTGCTGGACGAGAACCATGGCAAGAGAGATCAAAGCACCTTGACGAACAAAGTCGGTCGAATCCTTGAGCATAGGCTCCAGGAGGTCGATGGCTTCGTCCAAGCCGGTTCCGGCGCAGGAGATACCGAGCGCCATGGCAGCACCGTATCGGACGTGAGGGTTGTATGACTCGGAAAGCAGCTCGACCATGCGAGGGACACTCTGGTGCTTGCGGAACAAAATGAATCCCAAGCTGAGCACGGCAACTCGGCGCACATCGTCGTTGACATCACTTACAGCGACGTGCAGAAGCTTGCGGACTGCCTTGTTGCTGCCAGTGCCGCAGTAAGCCAGGGCAATGGTCATGATACCACCGTAGCGCAGAGTTGGGTCGGGGTCACCGAGGAGACCGTTGATGAGTTCGTCCGCAGCTTCTTGGCGTCCGAACATGATCAAAGCCATACCCATAGCAAGACCACGAACGATCTTCTCGTGCTGCGTGTCGTGTGCGTACTGGATCATGTCCTCAAGAGCCTTCATGTTACCGGTGCCAAGCATGATGAGACCCATAGCGAGACCGACGGCCTCACCATTGAGAGCGGAATCAGTGTAAAGAACGCTGCGCAAGTCTTCGTAAATGCCTTCGTCGCCTGTCGCCATACCCGCAACACCAAGACCAAGAGCACCACCGTGCTGAACCACCTCTTCCGTGGCCTTCTTGAAGTGGTCGCGAATAATATCAACTGCCATGCCACCGTGGTTGGCGTAGATGAGACCGAAGGCGTAGAGGGAACCACCTTGGCTGTAGACAGATCCTGAGCCTCCAACTCCAGCGATGTGTTCGCGGGGCAGGTAAGGCTGGAGGAGCTTCTGACCCTGGCTGAGGTTGCCGCGGTGGATACAGCCCAATGCAGCAGTAGCTGTGAATTTGGACCAATTCACGGCCTTGCCGAGCCACTCTAGGTTGTCACGGAAGAACTTATCGTGGGTGGTTCCCGCATGCATGAACGCATTTGAAAGTGTCACGGCAGTGTGGAAAATAGAATTGCGAGCCTCAAGGCTGTCACGAATCTTGTTCAGAATCGCGATGTCAGCCTTGTTGTTCCGGTATAAGAATTCCAGATTCAACTGGATTGTCTTGATTCCATCCAGAATTAAGAGTATGTTCTTGAATGCAGTCACAGCATCCTCTGGCAGATCTGAATGTTTATCCGAGGGCCGGGAAGAGCTTCCCTGGTCTTCGAGTAATGCGTCAGACTCTCTTGGCTCGTTGTCCTCTTCATTGTTCTCCTTCTCCGCCTCGTCTTCGGGAACAAGCTCAGCAATCTCTTGTCGAACCTTCTGAAGGAACTCTTGGGTGCTGTTGTCGTAAAGGTCGAAGGAGATTTGATAAGCAACGGCGAGGGATCGCGCATCTCCCTTCTCAACCAGCTGACGGAGAATAGCGGAGGCCATCGAGTGTTCATTAAGGTAGACAACGCATTTGGCGATCGAGAAGAAGTCGGGTGCCGGGATTTCATTAAGAAGTTCCAAAATTAGTTTGAGGATCTAGAAAATTAAGCCTTGGTTAGCCGACTCAGGCAAATGGTGTAGAAATCTTTGGGGAACACAAACCTCGCTGCGGAAGGCTCGTTCTTGGACAATGCCCATGCAGATGTCCAGGACATATTCCATGAGCTCCTCGCTGCCACGGGAGTCGCCCTCCTCCTGCTTCTCGTCGCTACTGGCGCGGAGGATGGCCATGCGGAGTACATCCAAGTTCTTTGCCTCGATGGCGATTCCAATGACCTGACGGTATCGCTTTTGTCGGAAGCAGGCTTCAAACAATCGCTCAATAACGGTCTGCAGTTGACCCTGGACACCGCGCTTCAACACAAGGGAGTTTTCCTCGTGCTGAACGCTAGTGTCATCGCCACCAGGGTGTGCGGCGTCCACGCCGGGAACCTCCGCGCGAGAAAGCAAGGATTTCGAGGGCAGTGCGGATTTGGAGAAAGGTGTGATAGGAGAAGTGAGGCTGGCGGATGTGCTGGTAGCACCGTCGCCCGATGCTGGGAATGCAGTGTTCAGATTGGCTGGTTGGTCACCCGCGGTAGGCCGTTGGGCGGCAGATAGAGAGACGAAGGTATCAACGCATTTCGCTATGGGGAAACATGTTAGTATCAAAGAGAGCCAATACTGCGGATCTTCTTCAACATACCGATAATGGTCTCCTCATACTCGCCGCCGTTTTCCAACTTGAACAGCTTTCCAGCACCCAGAGCAAGAACCATGCTCTCGTTATATTCCTGCAGATGATAATATACCTTCGATGCGACTAGTGCCGCAAGGCCGCGTTCCGGAAATGATTCATCTTCGTAGAGAGCCTCACTACATGGATAGTCAGCAGGGGCCTAGTAGCCGGTCGGACTCGGGAGAAATGACGCAACAATCGAGATGAAGCTCATTCTCACAAGTCTAATCAAAAGAAACTTACATTTCAGGAACAGAGTTAACAACCTCTGTCCAGAGATGATCGATCTGAGAATCTAATGTCTTCAAAGCAAAGACCTTGAGCTCTGGGTCAGGCTCGGAGAGGAAGCCAACCAAACCGGCGGCCGATACGAGTCCGACCATCTTTATTGAGGAGCAATTCGCGTCACAATTTGCTGGACGGAATTTGAGGAGTGATAGGTGTTTTGTTGCTGTTGTGATGAAGCAACGTCAATCGGGAGAGAGCTTGAAACAGCGAGTCAGCCCCAGCGCAGAACAAGGTGTCAAGGGGGAATCAGTCACCCCAAATGATGAGAATATGACAAGAAAGACAAAAGTTGATTAAATGAAAGAGACGAAATGGATGAAGTGCACGTACGAATGGAAGCTGGGAGCAGTTGTCAGAAGCTTTGCTGGCGCGAGAGCAACGTCAACGCCTGAGCGGAGCTGACTGTACATGAAGGATCACGTGAATGGCGCTCGGTCAGCTGCGAGCGGCCCCAGTCCGCGGTAAACAGCTCACCATCACCAGGCAAATGGATTATTTCTTTCTGATCCGGTGATGATTTCAAGAGTTGATCAGATCTTCTACCAAAACTACTAAATAGTCTTCCTACCCAGGGCTACCGCGACAAAGCTCCAACTCTTCCTCCTGTTGAATCTGGGTCATCCACGCTCCTTTCTCTGTCATGTCGACGCTTCTTCAACAATCCTTTCGTGGTAAGAAGCTACCACCAGTGCCGGCTGGAGCTTCTATGTACCACCATGACCCTCTTTTATATGTTGAACGTCAGACAAAACACATACAACGCAATCTCCAAGTCCTAATCGATGCTCAAAGCGAAGGCCTTCTATCTGTTCTCGCTGGGCCTCAGGGAAATGATATCTCCACCGGAATTTTGACTCCAACATTATCATCTAATGCGAGTCGATCACAGTCCCCTTCCACGGTGCCTCCCAGGCAGCCCGCGCCCAAGAAAATCGGGCTTCGGGCTGCCCGAGAAGGCATATTTCAATCAATATATGATCTACTGAAGTTACGAGAAGAAGAACGAGAGATTCTCACATCTCAGACCAACGAAAGGGACAACGCGCTGCATGATATCCAAAGCTTCCTCTCGAGAAGAAATGGTCTAGAAGACGCTATTACTACTATACATGGAGATGAGGAGAGCCGACGTTCAAAGCAACTAGAAGAAGAGGCTCGGAACCTCGAGACTGACATTCATGAATTGGAGACCAGGCTGTATGAGATGAAAGCGAAACATCGACATCTTGTGAGCGAGATATCACACATCAACAACTCTGTCGAGGCGAAGCTTTCTTCTTATACTGAATCTTTGTCTTTACTCGACTCCGACATCCAAAACTACCTCCGTGACCCTCCTATTCAACCGTTATCCCAAAGCTCAAGCGAATCCACCTTTCACTCTTTGAATCCCAAGCGTCGCACACTTGACATGGCCCAGGAGCATTGGAACACCGAACAGGTCGGGTTGCACAGTAGGCAACAGAAAGTGGATGCGGAAATACTGGCACTGGAAGAAGGAGGCGGAGTATGGAAACAAGCGGTATCCGATGTCACTGGCTTTGAGAAGCGCTTACAAGCCAACATGCGACATTATGTTGAGATGACCACGTCAACGACCGAGTCAGAGGAATCCACACTGACAGGTTACAAAGACGGGCTCGTGAGGAGTATTCTGGATGACTTGGAGAGAACCATTCACCGGATCGAATCACATCTGGAGCTCGCCGAGGATAAGGACTGGAAGCTATTAGTTTGCTGCATTGCAGCTGAGCTAGAGGCCCTGCGAGAAGCAAGGGGCTTGCTTCTTCCCGCCTTTGGCCTCGCGGTGGATGAAGATGATGCACCCCTGGACTCTACTTCTCCTAAAGATTCTCCTCTGATAGACCACAACTTTGAGGAGGGCCATGAGGACTCCCGTGCGGGTCAGCTGGAAAATGACAACCCAGAACCTCCAGCCGATCTGCTCAAGGATGCAGATCATCATTCTGATGCCAGGTCGGAGGATGATGATGAGCCAGATCCGTCATGGCTGACCTGATCAGTGCCTTTCGCACATATTTAAATGAATAAAAACCCATATCTGCACGATCTACATAGCATCTTCTAGCCAAGTGGTAATTTCATCTTTTCGTCCGATAAATGTATTTCTTGGTAAATTCGATCACTGTCTCGCTATATACCCATATATTTCGCACACTTGGCTCTAGAGGTGATGTTCGGATTTTGTCTAGTAGTTGGTCTCCTCCACTTATTGGGCGGACCACAGAAACCTGGCCGCACCCTCCTCATCCGGTATTCCTATTAACAGCGAACTGTAAGAGATGCATTTCAAAGAAAAGAAATATGAAATAAATTAGATTCAGCCATGGATCTTCCATCAGCAACCTTCTCTTTTTTCCTCCCATCTGTTTACGATGGCAACAAGCTCGAATGCCGCATTTATCTCCCGCCCACGCTCCAAAATATACAATCACCAACAACCTGGCCCAACCGCGGTGCCATTGTCGCGCATCCATACGCAACTCTAGGAGGATGCTACGATGATCCAGTCGTCAGTTTCATCGGCAGTGAGCTTCTACAAGCCGGCTGTATCGTGGGGACATTCAACTTTCGGTATAATCATCCATTGCTAACACTCCGCCATGACCAAGTTGCTAACGGGTGATATATAGTGGAGCTGGTGACTCTGAAGGACGAACAAGCTGGACTGCAAAGCCCGAGCTTGGTGATTATGTGTCGTTCTACGGATTCATGCTGCAATATTTGCACTTCCTTAAGCTCGCATTGGCCCCGAGGGAGCAAATAGACTCCCCAAAGCCTCACAAAGCCACCGACGGAGTTAAAAATAGCCCAGATATCTGTCTCATCCTTGGTGGCTATTCATATGGGTCTTTGATTGCCTCACATGTACCGACCCTCGATACTATGCTGGACCTATTTCAATCGGTGCCAACGACAACCTCTACAAACAAAGCGACACCCATACACGAGATTAGGAGCACAGCAAAACGGATAGCTACATTGTCCCTGGAACAACTTCAAATGACTCACAGTCTGGCCGACGCCTCAGACCTCCGTGCATTGACGACATCCGTCTCCTATCTCCTCGTGTCTCCGCTATTGCCGCCGATTAGCCAATTCCTAACTGTTTTCTCGATCTTATCACTAAACGTGAAAACGGAGATCCCAAAAGGTCCCCACATCCCCTGCCCGCGTCCAGCAGACCAGCAGAGCACGCACCACACCCTGGCGCTGTTTGGGGACCAGGATACCTTCACATCTGTTGGGAAACTGGAGAGGTGGTCAGATGAGATGGTGCACATACCACGCAGTCAGTTCCAGTTTCGGATAATTAATGGTGCAGGCCACTTCTGGCGCGAGAATGGGGTCGAGGTGCGGGCAAGACATGCGCTGAAGGAATGGCTCTGTCAGATATGATAATCTTCTGCTTTTGGTTATTTGGCCGTCCAATCATATTCAATACTGCCCATGTACGCATGCATTGTAGCTACACATTTCGAAGAATGACATATAGAGGCAAAACTCAGCCCTGGAGGGCTCACATGTCGCTTGCATGTGAAGAGGACCCCGGCCCGGTCTCCACGGGGTCGATGCCCAATTATTAAAGTGCGTCATATTCCAATGATTGCCAAAAAAAGAAAATTAGCCATCTTCATTGGAGAGAAATTGAGAAAACAGCGAAAAACTGTGAGAAATCTCTCAGTGTATTCTGTAGGCAAATATTATATGCTTCCCCACTGTCCGAGATGGGGTAGATGATCGTGGGGTGAGATCATGGGGAAAAACATGTCTTCTGACATTGTCGGCTACAGAAGACAGAATAGGCCGAAATATTATAAATGGAATATCTCCTGGAGTAATACATTAATGTAATAGAGTGATAGTGAAATGGTCATAAAAAGAAACGAAAGTGGTCAGCCCCAAGGGCCTGAAGAAACTGGCTACCATTGGCCCTCGTGACGTTTGTTAGGTCACCGCCAAACTTGAATCTGGGGATTCTCTACTTCTTCAACTCATTTACTTGTTCGTTTTTATTATACTAGTTTCATTAACTTAACAGACCTCCGCATTTCAGACCCCGGCTGGATGGCTTGCTTCCCCAATGCACAGGCCTGCCATGTCGGTGTTGGGCGACCCCACAATAGTTCAGTGCCATCAAGGGCGCAAACACTCCCAAGAACACCCATTACCCCAACCCTTACCTCCGCGGCCGCTCCGGAAAGCGATCTCTATCCCAGCAGTATCGTCGCTTGTGAAGGATTCGTGGAATTGGGCCGGTGATACTCTGCACACCTACCGTGATGGTCTCTCCAAAGAACAGCGGAAACAAAGGGCGGACAACGAGGACCGCAAACAAGTCCTATACCTGAAAATAAAGAATGTAAGTACATGCAGTGTACCTGAAACAGGATATCGCATCTGCAAAGTGACCATTTCTAACCTTTAGGCTGCAGGCTGTGTCGTACGAGGAATGGCGAAGTTGCGCCAGTGAACTGGATGAACTAGAGGACAATAACGCCTGGAAGCAGACGCTCGAGTGCACCGAATATGATCCTCGCTTGGTACAGGATCGTTTGCGACAGTTGGAAGAGGCTCGTATCAGCTGTGATGTAAGCCGGATGCTGTTTCTGGTGCGCACTGCGCTGAGTCGGGACCTGGCGCATATGAGCAATGCCTCTCTATATCGCCATTCACATATCGGTACCAAGGATTTGATAGATAGGTATATCACCACGGCTTTGGAGACCATTGCCACGCTGGTGGACCTGTCGGTGCATGATCGCTGCGACGGGCTGGAGCTGAAGTATATCTTGGACCAGCTGCTGGCAGCTAGACAGGCATTTGGTCGCAGTGCGCTCCTCTTCTCCGGCGGTGCCACTTTTGGCATGACCCATATCGGGGTTCTAAAGGCCCTCTATGAGGCAAACATGATCCCTCGAATTATCTCAGGTGCCTCTGCTGGTAGTATTGTGTGCGCGGTCTTTTGCACGCGCACAGATGAAGAGCTGCCGGCGCTTTTGGATACCTACGTACATGGGGATTTTGACGTCTTCAATGAGAAGGGCCAAGAGGAAAATATCCTACAGAAGATGACTCGTTTTTTGAAGTTTGGATCATTTTTTGACATATCCCACTTGGCGAAGACGATCAGGAACTGGCTGGGAGATATGACCTTTCAGGAAGCATATAACCGCACCCGCAGAATCCTGAACATCTGTGTGTCAAGTGCCGGCATGTATGAGCTTCCACGTCTGTTGAACTATATTTCCGCGCCCAATGTGTTGATCTGGTCTGCTGTGTAAGTTCCCACTTTTCCATCCTCTTGACCGATTGCTAACGTCTCTCAAGGGCGGTATCATGTTCTGTTCCCTTTGTCTTCAGGCCATTCACGTTGATGGCCAAAGATCCATTGACAGGAGAACCGGTCCCGTGGAATGATCTTCACAAACAGTATATCGATGGCTCTGTCGATGGAGACCTGCCCATGACACGGTTATCAGAGATGTTTAACGTGAATCATTTCATTGTCTCTCAGGTGAACCCCCATGTGGTGCCATTCCTTCCAAAGGAAACAGGTCCACAGGATGAGACAAACGACAGCCCTTCATTCATCCCTCGATGGATGAACACGATGACACACCTTGCCAAAGATGAGGTTCTATATCGAATGAACGTCCTGTCGGAACTTGGAGTCTTCCCAACATCAATGACCAAGTTTGCCTCTATCGTGAACCAGAAATATCATGGAGACATCAACATATACCCGGAACTCATTTCCTCCAACTTCCCACGGCTCTTGGAAAATCCGACAACAGAGTTCATGCTTTCAGCATGCCTAAGTGGCGAGCGGGCGACATGGCCAAGACTAAGCCGTATTCGAAACCACTGCGCCATCGAGCTGGCACTCGATAATGCAATTCAAAATATGCGGGCCCGGGTAGCTTTCAGTCCGAGCCAGGTTGATCTACGCATGCCAAACCGCAGCCGTCACTCGATTGACTCGGGAGACAGCAGTGCAAGGGGGCGTTATCGCGACAGGCGAAGAGGATCCCACAGCCACGAGCTGGAAAAGAGACACTCGGGCGGACAGTCACGGCATCGGCCAGACCGGGAACTGAGAAAGGCACGAAGCACTGTTTCACTGGAGAACCCAACTCTCTCGCAGTCGAGTGAGTCAGTCCTCATGTCAACCCAAACAAGGACCCACCGCCGTACATCTTCAGTATCATTTACCAACGGAGCGATATTCGACATCGGGTCAAGCAGCGACGACGAGCTCGAACGATCATACACGCTTCGTCCCAAACTCGCAGGGCACCGAGCGTCTTCGGAGTCATCCTCATTTGGTGGAGCACTTGGGAGCCATTGGCCCCGTAGCCCCGTCCGGTCCCGACGATCCTCATTCTCTTCTGGCGCGGGCTTCACCCCTTCCGCTACGGCTCGTCGCAGTTCCCCAAAGCAGGCTTATGCGCCGTCGGCTCGCGATCTCTCGGCCCACCATCTACTCAGCATGACTCCAACGCCAACAATCCATCCGAGCTCGCCTGACTCCCTAACGCGTAAACAGCGGCCTTGAAGAATATGCGATCAATTGTGTATCGTACTCCGTTCCACGCTTCTTCAGGAGTCACGGGCCACAAACTCCCGGTTCTTTGACACATACAAGCCCGCCCCTTCAATCAAACTAATTTCGTGGCCCGTACGATATAGGCCACTAAAACAGGCTTTTTGATCCTTGTTCCGTGTTAAGTTTGTGATTCTGTACGCCTGCAGCCTAAGCATACATTGCATCTCTCTGGCTCGGTTATGTTTCCTCTCTTTGACTGTGATTGTACGGATTGCTGGCATTTATAAAGGGGGGGTTTTGTCTATGCAACCCGACATCCTTATACTAGACCACCTCTTGGGTATCCCTCTTTGTGTTTCGGTTTTCAGCATATCGAATCCAGCGGATTCGCGGGGTTTGCTTCTTTCCTTTCCGTTTCGTTTTTGCTATCTACAACATATGACATGCATACGGCGGTTTCCTGTATATAGCGGGTAAATGTTCACCGTGGGGTGTTGAATTCCCACATGAGATGGAGTTTGGGTTTAGACCTTCAAGCGGCTAGCCAAGTTTAAGTTCCATAAGGATATATTATTCTACACTCAAGGGTTGATACAAGGCTCCACCGTCAGCGCTAATGGCCCTGAAACTACCGTAAGCTGTTTTCCAGCACAAGTCCCGAGAACATGCCGCTGAGTGAGCTTATCAGCCCCGAAGAAATGCTTGGCGTCCTCGTACAGCCAACTAGAAAGAAGATAGTGGAGATCAGAGGCAAATCAATATCAGGAAACAATCGGCAGTTTCGCAGATTCGGATGATGGGTCATGGATACACGCGTTTTACGTGTCCATGCAATCCATGGATGTAGTAACATAATATATGTGGTACATCGATATGCCGATATATTGAAGCTAATCACGAAACAGGTCCATAATTTGCCGTGATGTCCTTCTTACAGGTGTTTTAAGGGAAAAGTGGAAGTGTCCAACTACCAATGTCGATCCTATGTCACGGGTCCACTGTGGGCCATCTGGACCTTCACCCCCAAGGCTGACGACGACTCGGTCATGAAGTGGTGTTCCAGGCCATCTCCAAGGTTGTGGCCTCTCTCTATGTTCTAGATCTTCTGTAGAAACAGACCATGCTTTCTGTATTCCAGTGGAACACATCACAGCTCAACCATGGGGGAACTATCATCGAGTCGTTCTGAGCGCGTGTCCATTGCGGATCCAAAATCAGCCTAAATGTTCCCAACCAGAAAATATTGGAACAAATTTTATTCCACCTCGCCGATCAGTCAATGACCATTGGTCCTCGGTTATCAATCAGTTTCTCTCCCAACTTTTTCTAGCCACCTTGAGTCCACCCTCGTCCGTGGACAACCAGCACATTCTGACACAGGCTGTGTATCAGCCTCCTTGACACGCACGGTGTGGCGAAAGTCATACACATGAAACGGATGACCAGCCATTCTGTTACGGACAAAGTGAAAAAATGAGGGATGAGCACATCATCTCTAACATGATGTGCTACGGCCCCCCAAAAGGGGCAACTTACGCCAGGCGCCCTGAAGCCGAGTGAGAACCAGTTTCGCTCTTGTCCGTACCAAGTTGCGAGCCTATTTACTAGAAAGGATTCGAAGGAAGCATTTGATACGGTTAGATCATCCCGACAATCATCGAACTGCTTTTTATGCTATGCTGCACGCGGAAGATGATCGTCGCACTATTGTTTGGTACCTGGATGTGGCGTCTGTAGCCCAATCGTACCGTCGATACTTGCCTTGTCGAACGTATCGGAACCACTTTTTCCTTTTACGTGTTGGCTGGCCAGCGAAGGATTCAAGGAAAATACCTCAGCCCAAAGCTATATGCCTTTGCCCGTCCACAGGTGCTGTGTGCCTGGTCCCTGACCCTAAGGTCTCTCAAGTTAAGATCGACACGCCTACCTTTACCGCTTAAGGTATTGTCGTCCGGCCAGTCCACCTTCCGGCCTACCCAGCCTCTGATGAGGCAACGATACTGAAGTCATGGCGCGATCACGGAATCCACTTCGGCCTCGGAGGTCCCAGATCAACAATCTTGATAAATCGGCAGCCTTTTAAACCCGTCTTCGGCCCTTCTTTCTCCAAACCATAAGATCTGTCTTTGATATACCACCCATATATCAAGTCTGATTTTCGTCCAAATTTCTCCATTCTTTTCTTGATATATCTTCCAATTAATCTATACCAATCACAATGAAGTACACCGGCATCGCTGCTATGGGATTGATGGGCTGTGCCCTCGCCCTGCCCCAGGGTCCCCCTCCTTTCGCTGGAGCCCCCAGTGACGCGCTCACCTCATCCAGCGCTACCCCCAGCGGCACTCCCACCGGCACTCCCACCGGCACTCCCAGCGGCACCCCCAGCGGCACTCCCACCGGTGTTCCCACTGGCCTCCCCTTCGACAAGCGCCAGTTCCCCGACGGACCTCCCAGCGGCTTCCCTACTCCCACTGGCACTCCTTCCTCGGGATTCCCCACTCCCACAGGCTTCCCCAGCGGCATTCCCAGTGGTTTCCCAACTGAATCCCCCAGTGGCTTCCCCACTGGCTTCCCCGTGCCCACTGGTCTCCCCTTTGACAAGCGTCAGTTCCCCTGGGGACCCGGTCACCAGGGCCCTCCCTTCAACGGCCCTCCTAGCGGACCTTCTAGCAGCTTCCCGACTCCCACCGGCACTCCTTCCTCGGGATTCCCTACTCCCACTGGCTCTCCTTCCTCGGGATTCCCCACTCCCACGGGCTTCCCCAGCGGCTTTGAGAAGCGCCAGTTCCCCACAGACCTCCCCTCCTCCATCCCGAGCGGAATCCTGAGTGCATTCCCCTCCGGTTTCCCCACCGACCTGCCCTTCTCTATTCCCTTCGAGAAGCTCCAGGGGTCTTCCACTGGGCTTCCCGCCCCCACTGGACCTCCTCCTTCAGCCTCCCCTCAGTAAATACTAAGTAGGTGAGCGTCTGAGTGGCACCTCGCCATCTATTACTGCGCTGAAGGAGTCTTGAATTTGTGATACGAATTGACATTTGATGTCGCACACAAGACACCTTTCGCGCTTCGTACATATTGTACAGTGGAGGTGAGGGTATGATGTATTGGGATTGATTGACTCAAGTGCCCAGTACTGTATATTATACAGGATATATGGGTTACGGGTCATTGGATAGATTGGTTCGAATGTTTTTCTTTTGTTAGATTCGGGTCTGCGAGACGATTTATTATTTATGAATTACACGCAGGCTCTTTTGTCAATTTCTAGATTTAAATATATTCTTCCAGATTGGAATACACACTCGTTTGAGCTATCGATATTAGTGTGCAGATCAGAATTATCGTGGTTATCTGTAGATCGCCCTCTTGGCCCCAAAGGCCCCAAGGGGTCAAGTTCATCATGGAATCAGTATACAGCTCCGCGATATCAAGGTCGTTGTTGAATTCACGATAGAAGATTCTATTGCCAAAGAATATGCCTTGTTTTGTGCTGCCAGATCAGAGAAGACGGAGTCACTCTAGTAGCGGAATTGGATGACATCGATAAGGGCCCGTTCCACGGGAGTTGAATGGGCGGACATCTCGTTGGCCTTTCGCGAGGCATGATAGGAGCGCTCTACACAAGCCTTGAGATCTTGCGTGTCAAATCGCTCCCAAGGCTTGTTGTAGTTAGGCCCTAGGGTATAAGTTAGCCCCTAGTAGGCAATAGCACAGGATGGGTTATGGGCAACAGCTTGTTCAAAGCAGTAAGCTGCTTCTGCATGGTTGAAAGCATACGTCCACGTCAAGCCGCGATTGAACCATGTCTGTGAATCGTTGCAGATGGTCGTAATGATCCGTCCAAAATTTCCAAGGTCATAGTATTTGTCCTTGGTCGGTAAGGGAACAAGCTTTTGCGAAGGCGCATAAGATATTTAAAAAGGACATCTAAGACTACTATCGAGCCAGCTAGAAGGTATCGTGCTCAAGGTAAGAGACCGCAAACGCGGCCGATTATTCTTGTTAGGTACTAAATCGGGTTCCCGCTTGGGGAGACTCATACAAAGCTCAGGCAGAGCCGAAATTCTAACATTCTAGGGAAAATTCTATGATTCGCTATAGAGGGGTTTATATACCCAGAAACCCCTGTATAGATAGGGGCTTGCATTTCTCCCCTATAGGCCGTTTGGGCTACAATTTATATCAAGTTCGAGGACAATAAGAAGAGCAGCCATCCAATGAGTCCCCTCCTGAATTTCTTTTGTCAATTATTTGAAGAACTACGATATAGTGGTTCTATATAGTATCACGAAAGCAGTAGAATAGCACACGTGGTGATTATATAAGTTTAACTTCGTCCACGCCGGGTTGGAAGCATTGGATCCATTCTATGTATACCTACATGTAGGATAGATATGATGGGACTTCATAACACTGATTGATATGCGGAAACCTTAATTTGACGACATAAATCGAGGCATATTATGAGACACAATGTATCCCGAATAAATATTTCGGACAACAAGACTGGATTCGGTCAAAAGGAACGAAGCTGGGGTTAGAGAGAGGGCTCCTCCTATCATGTAGTAATTCATGGCTATTTTTGCTTTTGGGTTATTGAAAGGTTACTTAGGCTGCTCAATTCGTAAAAACATTTTTTCTACTAGACTCAGCTACGCAGAAGTTCCGAGCTGCTCAAGAAGGCAAACGACCAAGTGCCACGCAATTTGTTCGCCACTCCATCACCATTACTTAGGAAAATATACCGGCAGATATGGTAGTGATTATAACGCTATATTATACCAAGTTCGCGAGACTTCCATGGTCTCAAGCAAGGTTAGGTTTCGCAAACCTTTCACATCCGTCTCATAACGCATCAGGCCTGCGTCTTTTGGCTGTGCTCGACAAATATCTCATTATTTCCAATCAACTATGAGTGTATCATTTGGGCTAATTAGCGCTAGGCGTACATTGTACGAGAACCAACCTGGCGTTGATTGGCTTGATCGGGGACCTCTCTGTTGTACGTAAAAATACTATCATTTCTGGATAATGCATTTCCCTTAAAGTTAACTTCAAGTCCCTATATTATATGCCCTTCGGCGTTAGTCTACCTGGAATTAGCTAACGCCCGAGGGCATTCTCTCATGTTTGCTCTTTTGTTTGACGTAGACTTGGTCTGCCGTTCGTTCTCGGTCTTGAGCATTTTTTGTTTACGTGCTCTTTTTGTCTCAGTCTCCTTGTCCCAGTTGTGTATACTTTCATTATTTTAGGCCTAGACAGAAAGCAGAGAAGTAGTTTGATACAGTCCCAGGATAAACTCTAGGATTAAGGTTAAAAGTGGGGCACATGTGGGTGTGGGGCCTACAAACGAAAGGCTTGGAAGCAACCTTGGAAGAACCTCAAGTGACCCGGCAACGATGGTACGTAAATACATGGCTCAAATTTTCTTCCTATGTAGATCGGTACAGTATCCGTCTGAATCACTAGTCCCTAACAACCTGAAGGAAAATTGCACTTCTATTGTCGCGGGGTGTCTTAAACCTGCAAATGTCGTCAAAGTAAGGACTATGCCGACTACATTCTCCCAAAAAGTCTATCTATCTCAGCTCTAGAGATGATTCGCAACAAACCACCTAGTCCCAAGTAGAGATGTGATACACACGTGTTTCAGACGCTTGATGAGGTGGGATACCCAAGATCGTCCGTCCAGGTGTCGTCGACCCGTCGTAGCCTCTCGACGTATAACGGTCACTGCGAACGAATTTGACTCCGTTCCCGAAACCGCAGAGACGAACCCAGATGTTGAAGATGATAATTTTATTGGAGGAAAATACAAGGCCCGGCTCGTGGTGAAAATCGGGAAGCAGGAAAAAAGCGAGTGCCTTCGTGTATTGCCTGCCCAGAGTTCGCCGGGTTGAGTTCGACGATCATTTGAGATACTGTGACCCCTTTTATATGTCCCCATTGCCTTAAACAAAGGATCTTTCGGGCCATCCATGTTCTCTTCGCTTCTTGGTGGCCGATTCCATGGCGCATTCACGACGTCAAGTTCGAAGAGGTGAGGGTTCTAGAGTAGGAGGAGCAGAAGTGTACCTAAAAAGAGGGAGTAATATTAGCCTGTCTACTTACACAGAGAATAGAACTGTCACCTGCGTCCCCTCGCCAACGGGATCAACGGGAGGGTAAAGGTCGGCTGTAGTCAAGTCCCCAACAGAGGTCGGTGTCTCGAGCTGCTATGCTGGTTCGCCCCAGTTGATGCTACCTAGGTTGCTATAGGTTCCAAACTGAGTGTTCTTGTTTGCGTATTCAAGATACATACAGTGACACGAGGGCGATTGTGTTCCAGGGCTCTAACATGTACCGTATTGAGTAGTTTGTCATTTTGGCACCGAAACCCACAATTGGGGGCTCGTTATATTGATTCCTGCGCGTTTGTTCGAGACCCCAGGGTATAAATATCCCTACACTTGTTTGTTCCTCTTTGTTCCTTTCTTCCCTTCTACAAATATCCTCTTGGACTTGCATCTAACAATACTCATTTCATCTTCACTTCTTCCATCACATCTTCAACCACAACATCAACAAACAAACAAACCTTGATCATGGCTCCCGCAATCAATAAGTCGGAGGCCAAAGCCAAGGAGCCTGCGTCGGCCAAGGCCAAGGCCAAGCTGAAGATCAAGCTCAATGTCAAGGCCCCCACCAAGGGCGAGACCCGAGTCTCGGAGGAGACCGACGTGAAGGTCCCTAAGACCAGTGACGAGGAGTTTCTCTTGACTCTTCTCAACCCCCTGAAGGTTAGTTACCTGTTACTTGATACCTAACGGCTGGACTGTAGGTTATACTAACCAGACCCCACTACAGGTCGACTACCAGGCTGCAGCCGACACTCTCGGCATCAACACGCCAGCGTGCCGCATGCGATTCATTCGCTTGCAGCAGAAGTACGGGTTCAAGAAGAAGGGCGCCAAGGGCACTCCCCGTAAGAAGACTGCGACCGAGAAGAAGACAGCTCCTGCCAACGAGTCCGATGGCACCGCGGAGGAGACCACTGTCGAGGAGGCCACTGAGAACTGAGCCATTTACACAGGCGTATGGGATGATTTTATGATTCAGAAGATACCAGGGCGGGCAGATATGCAACAAGGGAACAGATTTCTTACTCTCACCTCACAATCCTATCAATCTTGACTCTCAAAGGGTCAGATCTAAATGTAATTTTGTAGCGCCGTAGTTTATTGGTATCCGCGCAGGTGATCCAAACGACGGACACACAGAAACCCCACAGTAGACCCAGGTTCTCCCGGTGGCGCGAGACACTGAACTGAAGCAATATTCACTTGTATTTCAGAGTCTCCTGTCTACATTGATTGTCTAACACTAGTTATACGTTTGTCCCTCACATATGCCAGAGCCTCCAATGGCTACTTATAGCCTGCTCAGTTTGCTTCTGGAAGAATCAATTCTTCTCTTTCTTCTTCTTCTCTTAGGGAAGACTTCACTTCTCATTTGTTATTGAATAACTTCACACTTGCTCGAAAGCCTTATCCTATGATTCCATGCCTCACTCTTGTTTCTGTTTCCGATCTGTCTCCTCACGCTTATTACCGAACACGCTACATCCAGACTGCACTAGTCTTGATGAAATCGTTCAGCAGGACTCTCAAAATCATGGATTCCAGAGCAATGGCTCACAAAATGAGTGGGCTCTTGCTTTGTCCTTGGTGACCTCTCACTTTGCGTTTACTGTCAGATCTTGACCTATATTAAATGTGGCTTTCTCTAGATTACCATGACCGTGGCACTGGAGAGCTACCTCCTTGGCATTCAGTTGTGCATATTCAGCTATGCCCTGCGGCCACCCAGACCCCTGCCTGCATCGAAAATGTCGGATTACTCCGTGCCATCCTCGAATGATGCAGTCCAAAGTCAAAGTTAAAACACCCGGCCTCGAGTGCCACTTTCCCGCACACTTTGTTTGGGTAGTTGTGCGGTTGACTTGGCTTCTTTGACCATGGTGGCCTCGTGAAAAGTGCCTCGCTGTCCTCGTTCTCGCCCTGGCTTCTCTGGCTTTGCAAATAGAGAACACCAACTCAAAGAAGCTAAAGATCCCAAAAATTGACCCAAAGACTAGGTCAGATAGTTTCTTAATCAAGCTATTACAGCAAAGAAAATACCGTGGAGCTGCAAAGGCTGTGACTACAGAAAAATATCGTTCTAGTGAGCAATTAAAGGACTTTCAGGCCCGCAGTCGTCATGGTCATGGGGACCTGTCAGGTTGGGCTGTTAAATTATACAATGGTGTTCTTTTGACAAGCTTGGTGTTTTTAGTATCCTACCCATGCTGAGAAGCAGCGACATAAGAACAAGTTCGCCAGCAAGATCAAGCTCAGTGAGGAGCCACATTTGAAGCAGACTGAGGGATTAACTCCTTGCTTTTCTACATCCGCATTTTCACGGGTCTAGAATCCTCTTTCCATTCCTGTTCGATGCAAAACCACTGATCCTTTTGTTGGATCATCCCATTGATGCCTGATTGTACAGGCTTGCTTGCTTGCAGACTGAGTGCTTGTTTGCTAGCTTCAAGGTATAAATACCATGCTCTTCACAGATTGAATAGATCAGGATTCTTCTTTATCTCTCTCCCCACAGCTAGTAGCCATAATACCTTTGGCTTAATTCTTGCTATGTGCATATACTTAACCGTTCTTATATATTTATTTTGCCTGAAGCCCACGTATAGCTATTCTGAGAAAGCCTACCTGATGGAGAAATTCCCACATTGTTTGGAGGACGTTTCCTCAAAGCCCTCGCAGATAAAAAAACGCCCAAATACTTTTTCTACTTCTTCCTCTCACTTCTCTTTATCACTTTCCCCATTTCTTTCATCCAAAGCATTGATTTCATTTTCCATTTCATGGGGATTGAGAAGATTCAAGAGGAACTCTTCGTCATTGGCCTTGGGGACATTTACCTCGATCCCCTCCGAGACTTATGTCTCGCCCTTGGCCTGGGCCTTGACGGTGAGCTTGAGCTTCAGCTTGGCTGACGCAGGCTCCTTGGCTTTGGCCTTCGACTTTTGGTTGTCGGAGCCATGATGAAGGTTTGTTCGTTAGTTGATGGATTGGAACATTGAGTGAACAGTAGAATTTGCTGCATGATGCTCAGCCAGAGCACAGGAACCCCCCACCCCCTTTAAGCGGCAGGTGAAGTTACCGCTTTGTAGTTGATGCGTCTAGAGGACCGTAGGCGGCGCCTACCCCAGCACATCTCGCATGTACTGCCCCTGTCGTCTCCTTCGATTGTGCTTCTACTACGACCCTCCCCGCGTGCCCTACCCCAGCGGTTAACCCCATCGCGTATTCCTATCCGCTCGCCTTCCGCGTCGAAGATCAAGAAGCCTCGAGGGCCACTCAGAAGAAGACTTTTACTGAGAACGAAGTGTTCTTTTACCTAGCCATCAAAAGTGGTGGGGCTAAGGTCTGTCATCACTCATTTGGTTTGCGCTTGCTTTTATATCTTCATTTATATTGACCCCTTTTCCCCTCTAGTTCGACCACGAAGCAATCGGCAGCGCACTGGGCAAGTCCAAAGACGCCACTCGCATGAAGATGAGTCGTCTATTGAAGGACATCGAAGAGTTCCTAAAGGGCCGGGAGGACTTGGTTAAAAATGCTCAACCAGAGCACGAGAAGACCTCTGCCAACCAAGGGGATCCCGAGAACGCCAACCAGGACGAGAGCAATGGCAGTGAGGTTGATGATACCCCTGTCAAGGCGAGCGACATGGAAGACTCCTTCTATCTTCTCTACATATTACTATAAAGAAATTCTTGGTCGGCTTTCTGTTTTTCTAGTCCAGTTGCTTTTTCACGGAACCTCGGTCGAATCTAAACTCCGGGCGACTAAAATGTAAGGTCGGAAGGCGTTTCCATAGGCGTGTATTTTGTTATTTTTGTATTCCTTGCCTTGGGGCTCTCTAAAAGGATTAAACTAGGCGTGGGGTTTTATGTTCAACTCCGCGCTTGTACTTGATGCTTGTATACAATTTCAAATTATAGCCCTAGAGAGGGGTAGGTATCCCGAGAGCACTTGCATTAGTAAGTACAGTAAGTAGTGGACAGTTTCATATTAATGAGAATTTCTATAAATATCGTTAATTAGCTGGGATTGTTCATGGTGTGTTACATTCGCGCTGCATGTATATAGCATGGCCTCGAAAGTAATTGTTCGAACATAACAATAAAACAATGCAAAAGACATCAAACAGAACTTCATAGATGAGAACTAAGCGACTTCTTCTTTGTGTTTCAAAATGAAGGTAACCAGACACAATATATTTTGCAAAACAGTCAAAATAAAAATTAAACAAGAGATATTGGAAAGAGTAATGGACGAATACTTTCCAATGGTACTTTATGCAAGCTGCAAGCTAGCAGGGAATATAAATTGCAGCTAATTGACATCTATTTTAAGACCCAAAGCGGTCGATATGCAAACTAATTAAGGAACATTTGAACAATACCCCTGTCAAGCGCAGAATGCAGATCTCTGCATCACCTCTCGGCGGTAATGCACAAGCCTTATTGGTCGGTGGTGTCAACAGCTACAATGAATGAGATATCCAACAGCTTGCACAAAGCGCTTTACACATTTCTTAAAAGTGGCCCCGTTCTGAGACCAAGCTTTATATCCGGACGCCTTCCGCTGAAATGAAGTTTTATTTTCTCTCTTTCAGTTTGACACTGGCTTGACCAACGTCCCTGGTGGACTCCTACTTGCTTTGCTTTGCTTTGCTTTTGGTTTGTTCTCTTGTGTTATTTTCAGCTTGCCTCTTTGCAAGGATTCAGGTTATTGGCGACCCCTCTATCGCCACTCGAGACCCTTGTTCGTTGTTATCCTGGCTACTGCCCAATCCGCGGCCTTTTCGACTTGTTGGTTTCTGGATCATTGCAGAAGGGGATTTGCAGCTCTGAAAGCCACCAAAATCCTGTTACTCGGCCAACTTGCAGACTTATTGGCTAGTCCTCGTCACCGGTTGTTTGCTGGTTCTTGTTAGAACGCATTATAATCAACCCTATCCTATATTCCCCTAGCTCGATTATTACTCTCCTCCCCCGATAGACGGATGTCACCTTTTGCTTCTCCTGGGGGGCGATATCAGAGCAGTACGAGTCGATATCAGACAATTTTCTCGCAGACATTATGGCGGGAATCGTCAACGGACCTCTTTCTCTATTCCGCAAGTCCGACTCTTCAAAACCTCTCCATGCTCGATGGGGAGATGTGTCCATCTCCGTGCCCACAGATGGCTCATGGAATCAATACGACAATCCCCATCGACCCGTCAAAGAGAGATCAGCATACGGGCCAGGCTACGTGCCCGACTGCTCTCCGCCAGACCGGAACCCCCGCCCAGTGAAAGAGGAGGACGCAGACGATGACACCAGAAGCGTCTGTAGTGCAGCTTCCACAAGCTCACGGCGCAGCTCACTATCTCTCGGAAGCCTGCGACCGGGCCGGCTCTCAGTACGCCTCGCCTCGCGTCCGAAACAACTGCGGGGCGAATCACAGATGGAAAGAGACGCCCAGCGCTCCGAGCAAAAGCGAAATGAGTTTGCATATCGACCAATTCAACAAGACTACACTTCTGAAGTAGTCGAAAAGACTACTCAGCCCAGTAATCGCTTCAAGTACATTCCGACCAACGGACGGTACCTTCAGAGTTCAGGCACTGAGACTCCGCTCAGCCAATCTGTCAACTCGCCCCGCAGCCCCCACTCGCGGCGGGGCTCGTTGCCCGAGTCTAGTGATCGGCGATACAGCGGTCGCGATCGTGATCACTACACTCCCACCGTTCGAGGAAGCACCTACCATGAGGACTACCGTCGCAGTATGCACTCTAGTATCGGTGATAACCTGGACAGCGGTAGTTCAAGGCGAAATTATGGGCTGCCGCCTAGACGGCGAACGTCACCTTTTGTTGCGGCCGATAGCAAGAGGGCTTCTACAATCTCGAAACCTATGACATTGGCAATGGTTCCTGACCCTGATGATCTCTATGAGTAATGGGTCTATATGTATTTCGGTTGTTGTTGCGTTTTGACTTTATTGAGCATCATTGCACGGTGTTGGATGTTTTTGGTGGTTACTGGCCGTTTAATAGCGCCTCAGAATGAAACCGTTTATTTACTTTTTCACGATTCTATCTACAGACAATTTGATAACAGTAGCTTTCGTAAATCCTATTTAAATTTTGCATGATGTTTCTTCATTTCTGAAGCATTCGACCTTGGAATTTATGTCTAGCTTAGTCTCAGCTCCCTAGTGGCGTGAAATCCAAGCACTTCTTGATAGCCATTCCAATTGGTGGATTTTCCCCCCCTTCTATCATAGAATTTATCTCTTGACCAGAGCGGCTGCCAGGTATTTTAATGCCTGGGGCGTCTTGGATATATCACCATGACGGCATATCAACGTCTTTTGCCCCAGCCAATAAAAAATGACATGTAGGAGCGGCGACTTGAAGCAATTCAATTATTGAGAATTGAACACTAAGCACCAACAATAGAGAAATCGCTATCTCAATATTATCTTGACCACAATGGCAGACGCAGTAGTCCAACTTCGGTGTGGTGTCAAGGCAAGTATATTTTGCGCAGATATTTTACCTCAATACTGATTTTTACCCTGGATTAATAGAACGACAACTGGGGAAAGAAAGGAAAGGAATCGATTTCAGCTCAGCTGTGGTCGAAATCCCCAGACAACGCACCAATTGACGACTCCAAGCATTATTCAGAAGTAAGCTTCTCGGAATTATTGACTACTATAAGCACAGTCATGTTGACGTTGAGCAGATGTGGATGGGCACGTACCCTTCAAATCCATCCTATCTGATTTCTACCGGCGAACACCTCGGGGAGTATCTGAAGAAGCACCCTGAGCTAGTGGGCAAGTCCGTCCACGATCGATGGGGCCCGGAGATTCCATTCCTGCCAAAGGCAAGTGCAAGCCAAGGATTATAGTGTGGCCACATATATAACTAACATTGGTCTAGATTTTATCTTTTAGCAAAGCACTACCCTTACAAATCCATCCAGACCTAAAACTCGCCGCACAACTGCACAAAGCACACCCCGAAAAGTATGGCGACACAATGCACAAGCCAGAGATTGCAATTGCACTCTCAAAATTCGAGCTCTTCGCCGGCTGGAGGCCACTGAAAGACATCCAAGCGCTGTTTGAGTTGAACCATCTGGCAAATTACATGCCCAAATCAGGACAATTCAACGACGAGACCCTACGCCAGTTATGCAAGGCTCTACTAAATGCGCCGCCAAAGGAAGTCGCACAGACAATGAAAGACCTGCAAGCCATCCCGGAATCCCAGTTCGGCGTACACACCTACATCCCCAGCTTACTCGGCCGTCTGGCAAAGCAATACGGCGAAGGCGACAACGGAAACCTAGTCGCCGCCCTGCTAATGAACTACCTGACCCTAGGACCGGGAGATTCCGTCTTCGTCCCCGCAGACAGCATCCACGCCTACCTGGAAGGCGATATCGTGGAGTGCATGGCACGGTCAGATAACGTCATCAACACGGGATTCTGTCCGGCTGCAGACCGCGACAGCGTCGAGTTGTTCGGACAGGCTTTGAGCTTTGTACCGCATAATGCACAGGATGCGCTATTGCCGCGTAGAAAGAGTGACAATGGCATGAATGGCAAGACGGATGTCTATGCACCGCCTATCAGTGAATTTGCTGTGTTGTGTACTACTCTTGGCGCTGGGGAGAATGAGACGCACAAGGCCATTCTTGGGCCGAGCTTGATGATCGTTACGAAGGGTGGTGGTCAGATGAAATTCCCCGGTAATCAGACCGCTCAGCTAAGAGAGGGATATGTTTTCTTTGTGGGGCAGGGTGTTGCGTTGGACTTCGCGACTGACAAGGGCATGGCTGTTTATCGGGCGTATGCGGAGTAAAAGAGGCTCAGGTGGGGATTTTTCGATGAGTCATTTTTCGCAGCGATGGAGGGGATGGAGGCAATAGGTATAAATTGTGTGATATTTAAAAAAGAGAATACTTGTATTTTGAAAATCGGGGATTGGAAGGTTGAAGTAGGGCTTGCGTTGTCTCAGATTGTTGTATGCGGGCGCAGAAGCCCTAACTGTAAGGTTTTCTATATCCGGCAAGAGACTCGTCAAATCAAAAAGGCGTAGATGAGGATCTTGTCTAGGCACTGATAACTCCTCGACGACCATCAGAGCTTGCAGACCTTTAATAATCCCTGGCGAACAAGCGGTGATGCCCTTCTCATTTATACTTGCTCGAAGTACTCCGTATAGTGGTGTTGGATTAAACGGGGGATATCATTCGCTGATGGCGAGGCGCTTTCAACGAACCAGTTAACGTACAACAACATTGTTGGTGACGGCAATGCCTTAATATGATTTGTTCCAGATGCAGCAGTTTTAATTTAGAAATTAGGGCGCATTTACATGGGTCTAGCCCGCCGGATTAGTCCACTAATGCAGGTTAATTGAGCTAATGCTGGCTAATTTTGTCGTCTTTTGAATCTATCTATAGCTAATTGATACTATCTTTATTTTCCCCGCGAGTCGCTCAAAATATCTTTGAAACAGGGACCGTGTGTCAGGATGAGACTAAGCTTCGTTTCAGGGTCTTATATATCTATATCCTCGCAGTTTCAAAGCATGGATTACTCTTAGCATCAGCTTACAGGATTGAGGCTCAAGTCTAAAGTCTTACTGATCTTAATACAAGATCGTGGTGGAGGTCAAAGTTGTCTTGACTTCAGTTTCTTGTTTACTTTCGATATCTATACGCTGGATGTCCTCACCCTGGCAAACACACCCCTGTTGAATTAATCTCGAATATTGGGCTATGTCAATTAATTCCTCTCTGGACCCTCGCTCTGATAACAACTACTCTTCTCGCACCCCCGTCATTATCATTGGTGCAATAGCTGGCAGCCTCATCTTCCTAGCAAGTATGCAGCCAGAGCCGCAACTCCCCAGAACCAAACTAACCTAAACCAGTGGCTGGAAGCTTACTATATCTCTTTTCGCGCAAAGAACGGGCCAGAAGAAGAAACGCCCAACAATCCGAGGATTTCTCCCCTCTCGAACCACCACCAGCCTATAAAACGGACGAACTAGGCACATCCAGAGGTCTCCACTCCCAACCCCGGCCCTTGTCCTCCTTTGCGCCGGACTACAGTCGCCAGGCCCAGCACGCGGAACAATACCAACAGCAACTCTCTCGCCCTTCATACGATCAACCCCCAGCATACCCCACACTGCCAACATATGATCCATCACGATACCAACCTATTCGGCCAACGTCCATGGTGGGCGATATTAACGCCCACACCTATACCTATAACCCCACCAATCATGCCAATCCACATCCCGGTCCCTCTTCCCGCCTGAGTGCAGTTCATTACAGTGACGCCAGACTAGCGACTTCCCGGCCGGTTTCAATGGCCAACCATGGCCCTCCAATTGGCCCCGTAGCGGTTCCAACTAGGTCGAGACACCAGGCAGCTATGCCACCTCCACCGGAGCAGAACGCCAGACAGGAACGCAGGGACAGGAGAGACAGAAGGGAGAGGAGTGCATCTGAGCCAATGCTGTCGGCCCAGGCCGTCCCAAAACAACCTAAACCCGTTTTATCGCGGCTGATCACCAATTTCCGTTGAGATTGTGACAGTGGCTTGGGCTTGTTTTCTTGTTTTTACGACTATCACGACATGGCGCTTTCTTGGAAAATGTGACTGGGGGGAGGCTTTATTTGATTTAATTTATTTATTCCGGTTTTCTCCAAAAATCAAAACTTCCTAACTGGTGAAAGGCTCTATAACATAATAATTGTCATAGATACATACTTTGTAGATCGTTGACAGCCACCTGGTCTGTGCTATGGATCTCCGTTCAACATCGATCATCCCGAGATTTTCCCTTTTCACACACTCTCGGCGCCTACCATAGTACATCATTGTATCAACTGGCTCAAACGCCTCGATCATCCCTATCCTGGGTTTATAATAATTCCTCTTTCAGAAACTGCATAGTCCTTAAGGTACTTTGTGTATTATGTGTACTTTGTACACTACTTTACGCCAACTCGACTGTGAATATTGATCCTTCAACTCCACTTCGTTGCAGGGATTCAGATGCGTCACAGTGAAATAGTGCTTTTTTGCGCCTTTTCGCCTTGAGAGGGGGGCCTACCCCCTCTTTTGATCCCTGTCTTTCACCTAGTTTTTTTCCTCTCTCGTCGTCACCACCAAATGACTGGTCAAGAAGAGGCTACTTCAGATGTGTCCATCACGCGTGTTGTTGCATCAGGACCCCTGAACTCAGGAGATAAACCTGCCACTCAAATTATCTGGCCCCAACTCCGATCATCTGTCGACGGTCTTTGTTCTGGTGAGTGCAGATCCCTAGACAAGCGCCATGCCAAGACGACGGACGACGAGGACGCGTTGATACAGACACACTATATGCAACCTACGGCCGACCCGCGTCAAATCCGTCAACGCAAGTTGACTGCGCCGCACCTTCCAACTGACTATCTCGCTGAGAATGACTAGGGGGAACAGGGATCGCAACTACCCCTCCCACATGCATTTTCTACGCACGCTGCAGCTATGGGAGCCTCTCATTTACGGCCGTCCAACTGTTGGCCATGCACGTTCGCTCTTTTTTTTCCCCTTCGTAGCGCTGTTGTTTCTGCGACAGGCAACATTGTCTTAGATTGCGCCCCCGGGGCCACCAGCAGAGGGGCTGTACCAGACCACCGGGTTCTCTCCCGGGTCTCTAATCACTCGCTGGGTCAGTTGGCTACTAACACCATCCCCGTCAGGCACTTCATTCGGAAGATCTTCGCTCTTTTTAGTCAACCAACGGATATGCAGTGGATGGCTAGTGTGCCTCCATGGATGTCTCGTTTTGATATAACTTCAACACAAGCGGGCGATCTATTTGCCTTGGTAACCTTCTCTCTGTCTCTCTTTGTTCCTCGGCTGTGCTTGACCTGTCGCCCTGGGGAGAGAACCCATGCTCTCTGTGGGGCGTTTGATAAGTTTTGAGATGAACACTGCACCAGGGAGTGATTTGTCCTCCCTTCGGTAAATCTGAACCCTGAACGCGTCACCTCTACGGTTCCGATGAAAAGTTTGTTGAAGGCCATGGCGACTTTCATGAAGAAGTTCAAAAGGAAGCGCAGAGTTTCCACAGAGCTCCACTCTCGCTGGGGTGATGTTTCTATCACCTATCCCACACAAGGGTCCTGGAATCAGTGGGATCAAACTTCTGGTTTTGTCACGAATGCACCAGCGAGGGCAAACATACAGCCTGAAGAACATCAACAATATCTCCCGGGTGGCTCATTACGCCAGCCGAGTTCTAGTGCCTCGAGCAGACGATCGCGAAGCGCAGGCACCCGAGAGCACCAAGTGGGAGACCCTCCCTCCTTTCCCACTGGATATTTCGACCAAAACATTCGGCGTCGCGTGGGAGATAGAGATACCCACACACCGCCATCTCATACACCACCAAGCCAAGGACTCGGCCTTGGTGATCTGAGGTATGGGCCAAACCGCCGACCCTCAAGTTCTATCATCAATGACGATTGCACTACCGATGAGTCATGCGATGAAGAAGAAGAGGAAGAACGAGATACTCTGGGCCCACGAATTGAATTAAGCCCTCGAGAATACGGCGTGGGAGATATGTCGCACACAACACGCGATGATCCCGAAGATTTTGATATCCCAGCCAAGTCTCCTCCGCTCTCTGTGACTTCGCGCATGCGCCGTTGCAGCCTCCAAAGTTGTGCAACAGAACCCACAGCATCTATATCTGGTGGCACCAACTCGAGACGAACGAGCTTTACCGCTGCATCCTCTATCTCTGCCCCCTCTATGCCACCCTCTACACCTCTTGTTGCATACAACACCCTAAAGCAACCTCCCTTCCCCGAGAAAAGATACCCTCCCCGTACAAAACATCGAGAACCCGAGTCTGCACCTCGACAGGAAATGGTGCCTTCCTATGATGAGCTCTATGGTTGATATATCCTGAACAAATATGTTCAACTAGAAGTCTATATGTGGTGGTTTTTTATTTGTTACTTTTCTTTTGGGCGTCCTCGACCAATCAGTCTTGTTCGAGTCAGTCTCGTTCGAAAGCCCTGTAGTCACCCGTTGGACTGGATTCGCCTCAATTTTATTTATTAATTTTGCATTATGGCGGCTTTTATTTGCAATTTCAGTCATTTCATATAATTATTTGAACAGAATATCAAGCAAATTTACATCTGTATGTCTGTCCGTCTGTACTCCGTACGGTGTACTTGGATCTTTTGACTTCAAAATCCGGACTCCTGCCCTTTCCCGGCCCTAACAAGAGGGGATTCCTTGGCAGATCAAAACTCCAATATTTTTCTCTTTCTTTTACAGTCGAGGTAGGCCGATACCCGTTTTCAACAAGTCCCGACCGGATTTTGCGACTTTGCTCAGATGAGGGGGTGAATATGCGCCCGTCCGTGCATTATGCAGACGGTATCACAGTCACAACCGGCTCTCACCAATCAAGCGTCAGAGTTCATCACACTCTGTACGCCTGCAGCATATCCACTGGAAGCAGGATGACGGGGCGATCACTCCATCCCCACCAACCGTTCCTCGATTCCCTAGCTAGGGTGTAGTCACCAACCAGCCTGTAGGCGGCGTTCTCTAAGCGCCGAGGACCAACGCTGGGAGCAAGAGAATGTGCTTGATTCGACCGGCGCATCCTTTCCGTTGCTTCGCCCAAGCATTAGCAGCTCTGCGGGTGCTTGGATAGTGCAGCACTTCCCTGCCCAGCGAGCTCCTCCGACTGAATTACTCCACCTGGCCGTCACATCCATACGGAACGGAGCGAGAGCTGCTCGCAGTGAAAAAAAGAAGGTTTCCCGCCCTGAACAAGACCTCACAGTCCTGAGTTACAATTTACCGTTTCCCATGCGAACGTGAGATCGCACTATCCGGCACGCTGCCCACTCTCCTCACCTCCTTGGCGGTCGCCGTAAGAACAGAAGCTCTCGGACTCTCTGTTCACTCCGCACCATGCTCGGGCTAAGTGACGGCAGTTCCAGGTCCTCCAGGATGCTGGCTTTTGCCCTGGCTGTGATTTTGCTGAATAGCCCAGCTCCAGTGGTTTTCGGATTGAAAACCACACCAGGCTCGCCCTGCACAGATGTGTGCGGTACAACGGCCAACACTACATCTTCCGAGATTGCCTGTTTGGATCACTCGTACAATGAAACATCAGTAGGGAAAAGTTTCAAAAACTGCATCTCCTGTCAGTTGGACAGCGAGTTCAACGATGCGAACACTGGTGAATCGGACGTTAACTGGGCACTCTGTATGTTGTAACACCTTCCAGAGGTCGCAGATTGCGGTTTGTCGCTTAGATCTAACCAATCGAACCAGATAACCTGCGCTACGCTTTTTCAACCTGTGTGTTTGGATCTCCAGACTCGATCTCAAATGTCTCATCACCGTGTCCAGTCGCATGCGATGGCGTGCGTTTAGCAGTCGAAACCCACATTGAAAACCCAGACACATCGAATCTGAACTCGTGGTGTGAAACCCCGTCATTCGCGGATAACGTCGTCAACACCTGCGAGTTCTGCTACAACTTGACAACCACCCAAGTTTACATGGCAAACTGTATGTATGCCCTGCAATCCATACCTGTGTCAATATGATATCAGCAAATCCCATGCAAAAAGTCCAGAGAAACCACAACTAACCATCATCCAAATCCAGTCCTCGAGTCCATCCGCTACAACTGCCACTTCAAGACAGTAACAGGCAAGGCCTTCGACATAGCCCCAACCAGAATCTTCAGCCAATCCCTCCTTCCCTCAAGTTTGTCGCTCACAACGCCCGGCGCAAATTCCTCAAACCTGAATCTGGGAGTGGTAATTGCCGTTCCAATCATAGCATTCTTGATTCTCGTCACGTCGCTCACGATATGTTGCTTCTTCTTCATCCGGCACCGACGCAAGAAGGCCCGCCGGAGCCGCAAGTCGCCTCATATGTACAACCATTGGAATGATGCATCGCCGACCAGCGCGCAGCAGCAGCAAGCCTGGGCTGAGCAACAGATGTATAACTCGGGCGGGTATGGACAAGGATCAGGCTTTGGCTTTGTTGATAATGATGGCCGTGGACAAGAGCTTGCGTATGGGCATGGCCAGGACCAACGTTATCAAAACCAACAGTACCAGCAGCATTTCCAGGGTCAGGATAAGTCGGGTTTCTCGCAGGATATTATTGAGGAGCCTGCTCAACAGCAGTACCAGCAGCAGCATGCTCAACAACAGTATCAGCAGCAGCAGTATGAGCAGCAGCATGCTCAAGTTCCTGCCCACCCTCAAATCTTTGAGCCAGATCAGAAGGGCCAGCATGGTCAGGTTCCTGTTCACCCTCAGGTCTTGGACCCGGATCGAAAGGACCCTCAGCAGTGGCAGTGATTGTTGTGACAGCTTGTACCTAGTTATGTTTGCCTTGTTGCTGTATAGCATTGGTTACATGTCTGTGGATAGCAGAGTCAGTTGGTGACTTGGATGTAATGAGATCAGGATATCAGCTCACCTCATTGTTGACGGCGTTTGGGTTTCTTGTTTTATGGAGTTGTTCTGCACCATCGCGTCGATATATCCCCGACATCTTGCAATGTCTGCATGTCTTTGGCGTATATAGTATAGTCAATAGTCAAATGGAGAAAAAGTTTCCGGCAGCGAAGCTTCTCATTAAGATACAATAATGTACCCAAAATAGAACAGTGAGAAATCGACAGACGAGAAAAGAACATCATCCAGTATCACCAGGAAGGGCGGCAAGACGATTTATGTATCAATCCTCACCCGCTCTACACCTACATATAGTACACACATAACAACAGATCCCAAAATAGCATTGACAAGCCGCCCAGAAAAGCCAGCAACGGGACAAGATAAACCTACCCAAGCCAAACTGTCAGATAATACGAGGTGATCGGCTATATAACCTCTGGGCAACGGCGTTTTGTGTACCACCGCCGGCGTAGATTGGTCGGCCGTTCTGCAGGCGTTTCAGCACGCACCGCCAAGGGTCTAGGGGTCCAATGGGGGATGGGATGGTCGATCTTGAGGTTATTTTTGGATATGTGGACTGCGTGGTGACTTTGGATTTGAGCATGGCCGTTTGAACGTGTTGGAGGGCTTGGTGCTTGGTGCTTGGGGATATGGGTTGTTTATTTGAGCGCTGTCAGTTGTCCACCTGGGTACATTATTTTGATATAGAATCAATAAACTAAAACATCCCAATGTCACTAAGTATTTAGTAATCGAAGACATACTTGAACAAATAAGTGAAGAAATTTGAAGAAATTTGGGGTAAGAGAAGTCAACTGTAAAGCTCGGGGCCGTCGAACTACACTATTTTATCCCCTCACATTGGAGCTCTTTGACCTTCCAAGCTTTCAACTTGCCATGTCCAACCTCACCCAAGAACAAATCAAAGTCCTCGAGCAATCGCGGCAGCGCCTTGTGCAGCTCACTCGCTCACTAGGCTCGCTGATCGCAAGTCTAAACCAAAGCGACCCTCTTCCGCCGTGGTAAGGACCTACCATCCCCTCCAACCATTCCCAAACCTAAGCAGCCAAATGCAATAAGTATCCAAACCCATCAAACTAACCAAAAACCAGGACCTCCCTCCAATCCCAAGCAAGCATCATCTCCAACAACCTCATCAGCGTCTCCGACCAACTCTCCGACCAACGCGACCTCCTCTCCAACCTAGTCGCCTACCCAGGCCCAGAATACCCCGGCCGAACACAAGCAAACACCCTCGAACAACTCCTCCGAACGAAACTCGATCCCCGCGTCGAAGACTGGGTTGCGCGCGGCCGCGCAGCCGGCACGGAGCCCGCCGCAGCGCCGTCGTCTAATTTCTCCGACCCCGATGCCGCGCACAAACCGCTGAGCGATGCGGAGCTCGCACAGCTGTGGGAATGGGCGCCCCTTGAGGCGAACCAGGAAGCGCGGCGGAGGAACTGGGGTGGGAATTTTACGCTCGAGGAGCGCGAAGCTGGGATTGAGAATGTTGTTACTGGGTTGAGGAGGCAGTTGGAGGATGATGATGGGTCGGAGGAGGAGAGCGAGGGGGAGGAGGGGGATGGGGAGGTAATGGATGTTGTTGGCGTTCATCGGAAGCCTGGTGCTGCTGAGTTCGAGTACAATATTGCTCCTCATCACCCGCATCCTGTGCAGCCGTTCGTGCCGCTGGATCTTATTTTGAGACATATGACTACTGGGCGCATGCCGTAGTCTCATGATCTCTGGAGACTTGATGGTCTTGACTCGGGGCATATGGTCTGTGTTTACAGTTCTACATGGTCCACGATTTTCCATGAATACAACTTCTCGTAGCTCGTTCATACAATTGCATGGTTCCAAAAACGGACGGCATTATTACTATGATAACCAAACCCAAAAAAAGCGAAGGTAAACAACAGCTGAGCTATCTAACCCCGTCGGCGGGTGGTGGGTGTCTTCACACCAGGCCTGGGGGACGCTCCCGTGCTCTGGGCTGATGGTGCCTTCTCAACTGCCTTTGCGCGAGGAGCGGCCTTCTGCTTAGGAGCCGGGGCGTTCCAGTACCAGAGCATCTGGATTGCGAGGATCACATTAAGGGAGAAGCCGCCAATGAATCCGTAGAGGATAAACTTGTCGTCGACTTCCTGCAGGGTCGTGAAGATTCGGGACAGGGATCCGATGAGGTAGTTGAACACCTGGTTAGAAGAAGCAATTAGTGTCTGAACTGGGATCATGTTAAAGGGTAAAGGGAATCGCACAGTGAATGCGCTAAGCTGTCCGGTTCCTCCTGCGCGCCAGATGGTATAGATTTGAGGCGCCTTGCTAGCAACACCCAAAGCACCTGCACCAGCCTGGAGATAGGACATAGTCTGCGCATCCACAAGAGTCTGGTCGAACAACAGCGCATAAACGCTGGCAGCTACAACAGCAATGAAAGCCGCGGCGGCGGCGGAGCGTCCGGCATAGTTCAGGACCAGGACACCGATAGCGATATCCTGGACGGCGATGAGAGCGGTCTCGCCATAGGTGCTGAATGGGAACTGGTTGCGCACGCCGTACGAGAGAGTGATGAGCAAACTGGCGGTTTCGAGGGCGTAAGAGACGAATGAGACACCGGCGGAGGAGCGGGAGTTGATCAGCTTCAGAATCTGAGGGATTTTGACGACTGCACTGGCACCGACGATGGCAATGCCAAGGGCCTTGGAGATAGCGAGAGATGTGCAGGCAGGGTCCTTAGTGACATCGAGATCGACCAACAGTGCGTCGTGGCAAGACTTTCCAATCAAGGACACAACAGCATCATGCACTGGCTCGGGGATGGCCGAGACAATAGGTGCCAAGTATGGCTGAAGAGGCGCAATCACTGAGTTCTGAATGGTATCCATTATGAATGCGAATAATCACCAGAAAAGAGAGAACAGTGTTGGAGATCAGGCAATGTCTAGAAAAACAATTTGTTGACATTCCTAAGGTGAACGGATGTGGCCCGTGCACCACCGGGGAAATTCAACTTCTTCCATTCACTTTTCTTCCTTCTGCATGACCGACCCGCCATGATCCCTCTGCGGCCATCCATTCTACGGAGGCCTCGAGAGGCGCTTGTGTGCTCACAATGTCTCTTTGGGCCTCGTTATGTGCGTCCCGGGGCTATACGGGGGTTCCTATCGTCCTCGAAACGGCGGACCGGGACTGCGGATGACCAGTCCCCTTCGGTATTCCACAAATCATATTTCTCGGCCAATCGATTCTACGACGGGTCAAGTAGCAAAGGCGGCCTGCTGTCTTCACTTGCTTCCTCCAATGCGAAAAGCAAATTAAACGCGTCCTCATCTCCCAGCGATCCGTCCGCCAGCCAGGTCAATTCGTCGGCAACAGCATCGTCCGCTGCCATTGCGACAGAAGCAACACCAGAGGAACTACCACATCGGCGGCGAAAGCGCTTGAAGGAGGAAAGCAATGCACCCGGACAACCAGAACCCAGCCTGCCGCTGGACGCCTCGGCGCAATTGTCGAACTTCTCATCCAAACTCCCCACTACCTCCCTCCGCCGCAAGTTGGCTGCATATCTCGCCTTGACGAAACCGCGACTGTCCTTCTTGATCGTCCTCACCACCACCTCTGCATACGGGATGTACCCAATCTCGTCCCTGCTCGCCCTCGACCCAGCCATGACCCCTCTCCCCACACTTTCGACCTCGACTTTGACCTTTATATACCTGACGGTGGGCACTTTCCTGTCTTGCTGCAGCGCCAATACACTGAACATGATGTTCGAACCGAAATACGACGCACTCATGTCCCGGACGCGTAATCGTCCTATCGTTCGTGGACTTGTCTCGCACCGGGGAGCTCTGCTCTTCGCGATTGGCACCGCCGTCACGGGCCTCTCGCTCCTTTATATCGGCACTAACCCGACAACTACGGCCCTCTCCGCCGCGAATATTTTCCTATATGCTTTTGTATACACACCATTGAAGCGAATCCACGTAATCAATACCTGGGTTGGCGCGGTTGTCGGTGGTATCCCCCCGCTCATGGGATGGGTCGCCGCAGCAGGCCAGACGGCGACGATTGGTCATGACACCTGGCGCGACATGCTCTTCAGCGAAGAAAGCATTGGAGGATGGCTGCTAGGTGGAATCTTGTTCGCCTGGCAATTCCCCCACTTCAACGCCTTGTCCCATCTGATCCGCGACGAGTACAAAGCAGCCGGCTACAGAATGCTATGCTGGGTAAACCCAGCTCGCAGTGCTCGGGTTGCGCTACGCTACTCTATTCTGATGTTCCCCATCTCCATTGGTCTCTGGTGGGTCAATGTCGTCGGGCATGGTTTCCTTGTCGGTAGCACTGTCGCCAATGGCTGGCTGGTCCGTGAGGCATACCGCTTCTATCAACATCAGGGTGCGAACGGCACTGCACGTGGCCTTTTCTGGGCCAGTATCTGGCAACTGCCTATTCTCCTGGTCGGCGGCCTAGTGACCAAGAAGGGCCTCTGGGATGGCGTTTGGAGGAATATATTCGGACAAGCCGACGAAGAGGATGAGGAGTATCTGTACTACGAGGATGAAGACGAGTTTGAAGGCGAGAAGGCTAAGCTCCAAGATGCTGCATCAACCCGTGCGCCATCAACCCGGACAAGTACTTTGTCCACTACATGAGCTTTGAAATACAAGTCTCTCGTGCCTGATACCTCCCAGTATCATTCATCTCATTGAGTTATCTCGCCTCATCTATTCGAACCACGTTTTGTTTGGTTCTGGAATTTTGTCTTATATAGCGGTTTGGTGTGGCGTTTCTTTTTTGACTTTGTATAACACCCGTCCTATATGGAATCCATACAGATCTTTTCATTCTTGTCTCTTATTTTTTTCTGCACTTTCATGGAATACCATAATATACAAGCTACTTCCCTTGGACGCAAATCTGCCCGTCTACGCATTGTCATGTCTACTTATTGGGACAGAATCCTCAATAGATGGATGCATTAACATTGATTATCCCAACTATACAGCCGAAACTATTCCACGCATCATTCGGACCACCATCCCAAACGAGCACAAACAGACACTAACAACCTACGAAGAGGTGGAAGCGCCAGCAGCTTCAAGCAAAAACTTCGCAGCCGCCTCAGCATCAGTTCCATAAGTAATATGGGCCATGGCATTTGCTCCGTTCAAGCAGACCGGGTCACCAAGGTGGCAGAACTCCTTAACCTTGTCGCCGGCAACCTTACCGACACTCTGGGTCTTGAATGGGTCACCGAAAAGAACGGCAGCGGTAATCTGGTCGGCGGCGAGGCTGTTGGCAGCATTGTGGACGACCATCGCACCCTGGGAGTATCCGCCCAGCAAGACCTTGGTCTTGGGGCACTGGCTGAGAGCCTGCTTGACGAGCTTGATCATGGCGGGACCGCCAGCTGCGCCCAACACTGCGTTGCCCTGTTCGAATTGTATTAGTTGACAGGCCCGGTTTGTTGGTCTCGACAGCAGTACGCAAAGACAAGTCGGGTCTGCTGAAGAGAGGGAGAGGAAATGGTTCTCATACCGCTGCATCCGCCGGATAATCCACGCCCTGCACGGTGACCTTGTCGCCAGTCAGGGAGTTCAACTGCTTGGCGACGGGGGGTCCAACGATCGTGCCCATGTTACCAATCTCGGAAGTTCCGCGCGCAAAGATGAACGTGTACTCCTTGCAGCCGTCATTCTGGGTGACGCCGTTCTCGGTTGAAGAGCCTGAGCCTGAGCCTGAGGATTGACTTTTAGCATTGGGGTTTCAGATACTGGAGTAGCTTGGTAGGGGATCTTACTCAAACCGGGGATACTGAGTCCACTGCCCGACGAGCTGGTTGAGCGTCCTGGGAGGAGAGACTTCAAGCCAGCCAGTCCGCTACCTGACGAGCTGTCCGAGCCGCTACCAGAGCCCGAGAGTCCGGGGATCAGAGACTTCCAGGCATCCAGTCCACTGCCAGTCGGAGTGCCGGAACCACCGCCAGAGCCCGAGAGTCCTGGGAAGATAGACTTCAGGGCATCCAGTCCACTGCTGGTACCACTGCCGGAACCGAAACCGGGCAGCTGGCGGTTCTCGATGGTGCGAGTGGGAGCTGCGATGGCAATGCTCGCCAAGGCGAGGATGATAGTAGACTTCATATTGAAACGAGGGAATTTATATAAAGATAAAGAATGGATCTGAGAGACCAGCTCAACAGTGTAGAACAAGCGAATGAATGAATGGATGATTGGAGTGAATGACTGGAATACTGGAGAGGAATCATTCAGCCTTATATTCTTATATTCGTTCACTTGATCGGCACTTATGTTCGGGTTAACCTCGGAAGAATCTCATACTTGGATAACTACTTGGAGAATGTCTGAAACTAAGAGTTTAGTGAAACGGGGACCCTGTTTCATCCTTGGACCCCTGCTGTGGTATATACTTTTTTTAATGGGGTATACTACAAAGAGAACACACGGAGTAGCCCTAAAAGAGATCGTCAATAGAGCCCGGGCTCTCCCGCCTATGTGTACTCCGATCTCAATATCTAGATTGTCAGATAAAGATCCCAAATTATCGTTTAACACACAGCTCTACTTTATATACAATCACCCGTAAGATATCTTCAGCTGATGTATCTATATGCATCATGTTGTATATGCGAATATGTGACAGATCTAGCACAAAAGTCCTGAAACACAGAGTTTTAGGGTTTGAATTAAATGAACGCACCGAAACGTTGGATGTTCTCAAAAATGAGGCGCACCAAATCGGGAACCTTAGCCGTTGGACCATAAATGGCTTGAGACAAGCCCTAAAAAACAGGTCCGAAGGTGTGGAGAATACTCCTCTCAGGCATCATATCAGGGGGTTCCCGAACTCCTAGTGGGACCCGGTCGATGCTCAGGGATGCACGGAGTGTCTCAGTCATCGCACCACACTGAGAGGCCAGGCACAACCTGATACGCAAAAATTGTACGGATACGGAACGGAGTATGCAGCATGTACGGAGTAGTTCGGTCGAGTTGATGCCGAGAAGAGAATTATGTTATAGAATTTCCTAGAATGCCAAGGAAACCTGGGTATAGTACATCTGTATAGTACATCAGTATAGTACAAAATGATCGTCCAAAGGACAATGTGAATGTGATATACAATCAGCAGTGGTATCGGCCAACATTTACTTCCTCAATTTCAAGTGATACGTCTTCAATGCCTCCTCGGTCATGGGACTCGGCGCTCCAACCATGGCATCATCGCCCCCCTTACCAGTCTTCGGGAAAGCGATCACATCACGCACGGATTCCTTGCCGAGCATAACAGCGACGAGTCTGTCAAAGCCCAGCGCAAGACCAGCGTGCGGCGGACAGCCAGAGCGGAGCGCATCGAGCAGATGCGAGAAGTCGGTCAACCGCTCAGCTGGCATTTTCAGGATATCACGGAAGATGAATTCTTGCACGGCTGCGTCGTGAATACGGCGACTGCCACCGCCTAGCTCGACGCCGTTCACGACGAGATCGTAGTGGTCAGCCACCGCCTGGGTGGGGTCTGTGAGGAGGAGATCGACGTCGGCGGGGGTCTTGGGTGCGGTGAAGGGGTGGTGTGTGGAGGAGAAGCCTGCTGCGCCGCCCTGACCGGGCTCCGAGTCTACGGAGGGTGAGAAGAGTGGGAAGTCGACGACCCAGAGGAAGTCGAATCCGGTCGGGGCGGGCTTGAAGCCTTCTGTGACGGAGGCAGCGTGCAGTGCGCGGCGTAGATCACCAACTGGGGTTGAACCCCCGGAGAAAGGTGCACGGGGGCGTGCCTGCAGAACGATCAGGTCGCCGTGGTCAGGGTCCAGCAGTTCCTCGACTTGCTCGGCGGCTTCGAAGCCGAAGGGCTGTAGTCCGCAGAGGGGCTGCTTGCCATTGTAGATGAAGACGCCTGGGCCACCGTCTGGGTTGTTGTTAAACGGCGCACCTGCAGGGGAGTCGAGGAACTGGGTAATGAACTTGTGGGTCTCAGCGGGATCATTGTTATTTCCTTCGAGCTTGAAAGCCTCCACGATGGGATTGGTCAGGTCAGAAATCTTGCCGACTAGATCCACGGGGAGAACATGATCAATTCGAATGATTTCCATCCCGTATCTAGTGTCCGGCTTGTCAGAGCCATATTTGGCCATGACTTCCTGGTAGGGTACTTTGCGGAATGGGCCCTCCGGGGCAGGGTCTTTCATCAACGTCGACCAAAGTCGGCGAATGACCCCTTCCACGGTGCGCATGACGTCGTCGCCTGTCGCGAAAGACATCTCCATATCAAGCTGTAGATATTCAATTAGCATATATCACCCAGTCACCCAACCAAACAATAGAAGTCCATACCTGAGTAAACTCGGGCTGACGATCCGCACGCAAATCCTCATCCCGGAAACAGCGCGCAAACTGATAATACCTTGGCAAGCCACTAGCCATGAGAATCTGCTTATACTGCTGCGGGCTCTGCGGCAAAGCATAAGCCAGTCCCTCCCTCCGTGTAGGCACAATGAACTCCCGTGCACCTTCCGGCGTAGACTTAAACAACAGCGGGGTTTCAATCTCCACAAACGGCGGCCGACATTGCTCCTCCAGCTCTTTCTTGCAAAGATTGTGCGCGCGGGCCCGGAAACGCAGTGCTTCGCGCAGCCCTGCATCTGAGCGCAGTTGGAGGTATCGTTGCTCAGGTGGGAAGACCGTTTCAGGCGTCATTATAATCTCCTTGGGGAAGTCGTTGAGGGGGTGAATCTCTTCCAATGCGAGCTCCCATATGTCTTGGGCTGTGGTGTTCTCCGCCTCTGAGGGCTTAGTCTTTTTCTTTTGGACTGTCCCGCGCACAGCCACGGGGCTATTCACGTTCACAGTCTTTAGCTGCTCGAAGGCATCGTTCTTGGCAAATGCTACAACTTGTAGGCTGTGTTGTAGGGTGGGATCGGATAGGCGCACGAAGGACAGTTTCTTGGACAGGTCTGCGCGGTTTCCGAGGTACCCATGTAGCACTACTTCCGTGTTTGGCTCAGCCTGTGCGAAGAACGTTTCGAAGTCGTGGGTAGCAGGAGGGAAGTCCACTGTACGGTATCAAGTGTTAGTCGAGGCGCTCTCGAGCGATAGGAAGTCGAATTTTTCAGCAGAAGCTATCCACATACCAGCCCGCTTGTAGGCCTCCAGAAAAGCAGGAAGCTGTTTAGGAGGCTCCTCCTGTCGCAAACAAGCCCGAGCATGGAACTGCCGCGGCGCCTGAATTGGACTATAGCATTGTCTGGGCAAAGCGACTGATCTACCCCGCAGGAGATTCGAGATCTCGATGTAGCTAGATCTCAACCGCAAAGAGCGGAGCTGCACGGCAGCAATTGGCATATTTCAATTGTCGCGAATTCAATTGTAGCCAAACCGGAAGAAAGCGAGTCATGTTCGGACAACCTGATCATTAGAACCGGCAGAAAGCCACCCCGCCCTAGAAGCGGACTAGCGCCCGCAGAAATAAAAAGCGCCAGATTTTCGCTCGTCCGCTTTTCTTTTCTTCTTCATCCTTCCAAGTTTTATACTTGTGAGTATTCTTGTTCCCAGCCCTTTCAATGGGTTATTACCATTTTTGATTGTTGTACTGACTGTTTCCCAGAATGATGAAAGCCTAGTGTGTTATATATGAGACAGTCTCTTCCCTCTGAGACGTGCGGCTCTCTCTCTTCGGAGAGCTTAAGGGCTGTACGAATCGAGGGTAGGGTATGTGATATATGCGTTCGGCATACCAACCTTGTTTACATGACGGACGCGATGAAGGCATCTCTGACCCTTTTCACAAGACTTGAAGGTGTAACCATTGGCTTTGGGCCATGGTCTGAGGGTTTCCCTTGAAGCTGGAAGAAATGGATGTTAGACGGGTGTTGGCAACGACGCCTCTTATGTCTGAGGTCCTCTCTTTCGGCTCTTATATTCGCATTTAGCTATCTATACTTCGTCCTTAGGGACTTGTTCCTATGTCTGGGCTCTTCTCGGCGGTAGGATTATAGCAGAGTCAATCATTTCAGAGGCATAGTCGCATCCGTCACTGTTGACTCTCTATAAACCCACTTATGGCAAGACAGCAGACGTTTCAGCAAATAGCAGGGACATGATCAAAATCTCCATTTCAATATTCATAACTTCCTCGCATGTATATCTTGTGTTTGACGTAGTACGACTACAGCTACCTCCAAAAGAGCCACCTAAATTCATCTTTACGACCATCTAACTCTTTATGCAGGGTTCAATTTCGAATCGCATCAATGCATTTTGATATGTATGCTGATTTTTCCCAGCCTCAAGTAATCTATACAAAACAACAAACATAAAAAACATAGTTCCCTAATCGCATATCGTCTCTGAACACTTTTCACGCAAAGATCATTTTCTCCAACACCTCCTTCTCCCCACTATTCTCAACAAGATTCTTGAAAACACCCCCCTCAATCCCCATAAGATCCCTAGGGGTGCCAAACTCAGCCGCCTTACCAGCATCCATAACAAGAATGCGATCGAAGTCCGCAATAGTGCTAAGCCGGTGTGCAATGACCAAGAGGGTGGTAGCATTGCGGCCGAATTCCGCACGGATAGACGTCTGGATCAACGCATCGGTCTCCATATCGACAGCCGAGGTCGCCTCGTCTAGAACCATAATCTTGGGCCGCGCGACGATGGCACGGGCAAGACACAGGAGCTGGCGCTGACCCTGGGAGAGGTTGAGGCCTCCCTCGGAGATAGTCGAAGAGAGAGAGGTGAAAGCGTTAGAGTTGGTTTTCTGGACCGTCGATGGTGTGGTGGCACCCGTTCCGCCGGGCTGGCGGGGCGTGGCAGTCCGCGATGTGAGGGTCAGCTCGTCGTCGTCGGCCTCGGAGATGAGGTGCACGCGTGCTAGCGCATCGTAGAGCTCTGTGTCGCTGTATTCATCGAACGGGTCTAGATTCGATCGCACCGTGCCGGAGAAGAGCACTGGGTCTTGCGGGATGATTGCAAGTCGGCTGCGGAGGTCGTGCAGTTTGATCTTGGAGACATCGAGTCCGTCGATGAAGATCTGGCCAGAGCGTGCTTCCAGGAATCGGAACAGTGCAAGCGTCAAAGAGGACTTGCCTGCTCCTGTGCGTCCGACGACGCCTACGCGCTGGTTCTTCTCCACTGAGAAGCTGAGTCCGTTCAATACCGGTGGGAGATCGGGTGCGTAGCCCACCACAAGATCGTGGACTTCGAGATGGCCCTCTGTAGGCCAAGCCGCAGGTGCATCGTCTCCTCCTTGGTTCTCCATCTCGATGTTGGAATACTCGATGACGCGCTCTGTGGCGTTCATATTCAATTCAATGTTAGCGTATTGCCGCAGTGCCATCGTGATCGCAGCGTTATACTGCAACGCAAAGCTGAGAGCGAAACCCGCAAGTGAAGCGCTGATACCAGGCAGATAGACCACGAGCCCAGCAGTGACTGTTGAGAAGATGGCGCCGACGATACTCATGCGGAACGCGAGCCAGCGGTTGAACAGCCACAAGGTCCACCATGCTTGCGCATGGCGATTGATCTTGTTGTACATGATTCCGACGTAGGTGTCCGGTTTGCTGAAGGCACGAATGGTGATCAGACCAGCGAGACTAGATCCAAACTGCTCAAACACAGGGCTTTTCGCGGTGCTCTCGAGACGTTTGATTTGACGAGCACCTGCCAAATAGGATGTGGCCAGTTTGAGACAGATGAGCAACAAGACCGCGCCGAGCAAGATCACCGTCCAGTCAACAAGCATGCCCGCAACCATGATTGCAAAGACATCTAGTACCTTGCTCACGAAGAACCCAATGTCGTATCCGATTCGTGAATCGATTGAATGGAAGTCGGCTGTGAAGCGGTTGAGAATTCGCCCCAATGGGACAGTATCCAGCCACCGGAGTGGTGCGCGAAGGATAGTATAAATCAAGCCATTGAACAGGTTCCTCGAGGCCCGGACTGACGCCGAAAGAATGCAGTAATAACGGACTGTCCCTATTATACAGGCACTGATCGAAATAGCGACATAGATTCCGAGGTACATGAAGAGGTCGTCATCTTGTCGGACCGGTGCAGTCGGTTGCATGGCATGCTGCAATAGGACACTGTATTGCTCGGGATGGACCTGAGTATTGGAGGATGAACGCGTCCAGATATTGATCCACCAAGACTGTGGTAAATAAGCGTTAGATAAAGGATATAGACAATGGGACTGTCTTTGGATTATATGCACTTACCCGTCCAACCAAGAGGGACGAAAACATTAAATAGACCGCGAGCGTCACCAACCAATAGACCACGGAGCCACCTTTATTCAAGAACGCAAGGTAAACTGCTAGCCGCACAGAACCGGTTTCTCGTTTCTCGTCTTCAACGAACTTCTTCGGCGTAGACGTCTGTGCAGTAGCAATTCCATTTCCGTTGGAAGCTTGACCATTTCCAGCCGTGCTCGGTTTTTGGTGGGATGTATTCGATATCACCTTTTGGAGAGTTGTCTCCTCGTCATTGAGGAATTCACGGTCTTCTCCATCTGCTACAATATCCGCTTGTTCTGCGGCTTGTTCCTCGCGAAGGATATCCTCTAGATGATGTGATTCCTTCAGGTCATCGATGGTACCTGCATATTTGATACGACCATTCTCCAACAGCACGGAGTAGTCCGTGCGAGGAAGACACAGTGCAACATGGTGAGTGACCAAAATGCGAGTTCGGTTCTGACCGAGTGGCCCGGTAAGAGCCTTCTCAAAGACATGTCGACCTGTGTGGGCATCGAGAGCGCTGAAGATGTCATCCATGATAAGTATGCCAGCCCTGGAGTACAATGCGCGGGCAAAGGAGATACGCCAGCGTTGGCCACCGCTCAGGTTGACACCATTCGCACCAATATCAGTCTTATCGCCGTCTGGCAGCATCTGGAAATCTTTTTCCAAAGCGCAAGCAAAGATGACCTGTTGGTAGCGCTCTGCGTCGTCCGGGAGTCCGAAGAGAACGTTCGCTTTGATCGTAGCATTTTCGATCCATGGCATCTGCGCAACATAGGCAATGGCTGAGTCGATGACCCAATTTGCCTTTGTCGCAACGTGATCAAATCGGTCTGTAATTAGAGGCGGAACGGGTACCTTGATCGTCCCGGCGAGGACATCACATTCACCCAGGATAGACGAGAGAAGCAGACTCTTTCCAGAGCCAGTTCTACCCGATACCACGCTTAGACTCTTCGTGGGGAATTTCAAGGTCATGTCGCGCAGAACGAAACGATCCTCAGAATCTTGGATATCTTCCTCCTCCGCAGGCCATGCAACAGAGGCGTCCTCGAAAGCGATGTATTCAGCAGGGACAGTATTGACAACATTTTCGGAGGTAGCCAAAAATTTGTCGATACGTTCCGAGCTAACCTTCGCCTCCAGACCCATCGACATGAGTTCTGGTATAATAGCGAGCGACGCCTCGAGAGAATTGAAGATTGCCATAGCCGTGAAGGCCACAGAAGGTGACAGAGAACCATTAAGAATGGCGTATGTAGTCAACGAAACGGCGGATAAGCCGACAGGACCGAGAACCCAAATTGCAAGCAGGCCAATATCAGCAACGAACGAAGCCCACAATGCGCCCAGTTCGGTTTCTCGCGTCTCCCGGACACGCTTCTGCCATTGCTCCTCCAAAGCCGAGAATTTGATCTGCCTGATTCCCTGCAACACTTCAGTAACGATCGCCAGCTTCTGGTCACGGAATTTCATCAATCGGTCCTGGGCAGTCGAATATTTTTTAGCCGCGTATATATTCAGTGGTGTCACAAGAAGAGAGACTGAAAGACCGGCAAAGGCACTGCGCCAGCCGAGAATTTGGACCAGGAAGGCGGCACCGATAATGATTCTGAAGATCGCCTGTGGGATAATGTAATTGAAAGAGGCAAAGTCGGAAACGCGCCGAGCATCCACGGCCACATGGTTGATAATACTCTGGCGGCTTTTCTTCAACGCATCCTCGTCATCGTCGGCGTCCGCGGATCCTTTGCTGGCATTATCGGATTCATCTGGTGTGTTGGACTTCTTTGTATACTTCACATCCTTCCGACGCATGGCTTTGGCAAATATAACCGCTGACAGCTCTGCGAAGATCGGAACTCCGAGTTTAGAGTAGACCACCCAGAACAGCCATGCCTCCACGCTGGAGGCAAGGAACAACAACCCACCCAGGGCCAGGACCCAGATATACGATGCTCCGACATTCCAATCGGGGGTACCGCGCAGTTCGAGTGTTTTCAGAATCTGAAACAGGGCGACCTGCGGTCCGAAGCTTAGGAAGCAAATTCCTATACTAAGAATTGTTTGGGCGATCAGTGGCCCCAAATGCGCAACGACAATCGCTATCCACAATTTGCGGTTCTGTCTAGCAATTTCGAATTTCTCACGGAGATAATCAGCCCGTTTCGATGCTACAAGCCTGGGAATATCCTCGAGTTCCATGGTCTTGTGTTTCACCGCGTAGTTTAGCAATCCATTGGCCCAGCTGAAAGTGAAGCGGCTGAGGAGCGAGACTGAAAGCTCACGCTCAACCAGCTCATCTTCATAGTAAACATCTGGACGACGCGGTATCAGAACACAGAATACGGCGCGAAGAGCAGCGGTGGCAATTTGAGCCAATTGCAGCCCGACCCAAACTTGCCCATGGGAAAGGCCGAGTTGGGAGAATACCAAGATGCCCAGTTCAATTCCTGGAACTGCAATGGCAATGATACTCCCCCAGAAAGCGAAATGGCCGAGAACATATCGGCTTGTCGGTCGGGGCTCGGTGAAGAAAGCAACAGCTTGAATAGCGAGCAGAATCTAGAAATAAGAATTAGCTATTGAGCTTGTTTCAAAATCGAATGTTTTGGTGTTCTTGGCCATTTCATTGTCGGGATTTGTACATACCCACACTCCGAACTGCAGCCATATCAATGGCGTGGAATTGGTAATGGCGAGCTTCAATGTCGCAAGAACAGCCAATGCGAGAGTCACCAGAAACCCGGCGACGGAGAGAAGGGCGATGGCGATTCTTTGCCATTTATCAGAGAATGCTCGGAGGGATTCCTCGGTCGCTTCGCCATCTTCGTCGCGGTAGACATCTTTGGCTAGTTGGATGGCCTCATAATCACGGGATTTGCGCGCAACACGGTGGGCGATACTCCGGATGGCAGGTATACTATCTAGAGCAACTAGCGACAAGGCTAGATAGGTCGATGTCGCCAAGTAGGCCATTATTTTTCGCACACGAAAAAAAGAAAGAAGAGAAAAACGACAGAAAGAAATATCAAGGCGTTATCAGCCCCCGACTATAGCGAATACGCTTGTGCATGTTAGCGTGAGCTATAGTGACATTCGAGCGGGGGGGAAGAAGGAATCGACCGATCTTAGACCGCCAGTGAGTCAAAGACCTCGCATTCATAATCATCTTGTATATTATTAACGGTCAGATCAATTTCCCCCTAGGGCTGTGTATTGAGTCACACGCATGCACTAGTTATATTGTGCAGGTCTCGTGTTCAAGACTCATCTACTCCTTGGCTGCACATCCCCTGTAGAAGAGTCCAGTAAGTCCGACCTCCGGGGTCCGAGATTAGAAGTATTGCGTCTTCCAAATGGTCATGTGCGGAATATGCGGAATAGCATTGTCCTGTAAGCACTAAGCACTTCGGACAATTGCTGACATTTAACTCCAAGAAACATTCATCCCCACTTGTATAGCTTGTATCCATATTATGCCCATCTAATGTTCATCTAATGCAGGACCGGCCTCCACCCGCGCCTCGGCACAAACTCTTCCACAGCCTCGTCATCCAAGACATCGCGCCCTAATCGCGCCGTGATAACGCTCCGCTCAGCTTCCGGCCCATACACATAAAACGGCTCGAATCCTCGTCCGACGGGTTTAGGGGTCCACATTTTTTTCCTTTTTTCCAGCCCCTTACTTTGATTCCCTATGGTCGACTCAAATCCCGACGATTCCCGGTCTAGACTAAGGTACCAGCGCCGTTGGTGGATCGAACCAATCGTGTTGCTGGACCCTGGATAGGCGTTGTTTCTTTGGATTTCCATGTCGGCGGTGTAGGTATCGTCTGCATGTGCATGCTTAGCCGGGCCGGTTTCAGATTCGGATTGAGATCGTTGCGGTGTTGGATTCTCCCTCGATTCTTGTTTACTAGGGGGCGGCGAAGGTGATCCCGAGTCCGAGGTAGACAGCGCCCGCGACACCGTTGGCCTGGATGGGTTTTGACGACGCCGTTTGGGGCCTTCGCGGATCGGCCTAGCGAAATCGGTTGTTTTGTCCATCCGCAAAATAATTGTGTAGTCTTTTGGTAAACGGGTTCCATGCAGTCGGAGTCGGATTTTGCGCTTGGTGTCTTAGCGTTAGAGAACTGAGTCATTGTCTCCACGTTGTACAGGGATCTTACATTCTGAAAAGCTTCTCGCAACTTCGCACTATCTGAGATTGGCTCTTCCGGTGAAACCTGGCTATCTTCGGAGATCTCTGATCGAGAATCATCAGTCTCCGGGCCAGATGAGTCCATTTGATAAGGTAGAATTTCGTATTCTCCAGTATCCCAGATAATGAGGCTCCCCGTTTTGTGGGAAGCTGTTTCAATGAGATGATTCTGTGAAGATGTAAGTAATGGATATTATACCATCTCATGCCAGATCACAAACCCACCCATAAACAATGGATCCGAGTTTCAGTTGCATTCCGATTTAATCGTTCGCTATTCGGATCCCCAGGCATCCCATACATAACCGACCAACTGACAGAGCTGGTCTCTGAGAACTGAAGCCGGAGATCATAATGAGGCCCTGCGATGGGATGGTCATGCTGATGGATGACGAAATGGTGTCCTTCGGGGTGCTCGTTGCGTCTGTACAGCTCGATCCATTCCTTAATGGGCAGCCGGGGTATTGGTTGTTTTGGAAGTGGGCGAACGCATTCTTTGAGCTTTGCGGAAATTGTGCTCAGATGGTCAGTCAGTTCAACCTGGCCTGCTTCGATGGCAGCGAGGCTGGATGAAGTCTTTAGTTGTGATGCGTTCAGCGGGATAGTGTCTCCTCCATCTCCATCCTTGGCACATTTAATGGATGATCTTTTTCGTGGAGGGGAGACGGGTGCATTTAGGCTTAAGAGAATTGGGCGCTGTTCATTTAGGGGAATTTCTTTTCTCAGCCCATGCTCTGGGCTGGTTTCTGGGCTGCACGCGCGTTTCATGATTGGACCACCTGGGCTGTGGTGTGTCGTAGCTAGTGTCAAGCGAGGGTTACAGCCGTGACAAACATCGCACCATTGGCATTATTGGATTCGTGTATTACCTGTATGGAATTTATAGATGGAAAGTTGAGTTGATGTCCGGGGCCCCGGGGTCGCAAATGGCTTAGTAACAAGCTTGACTTCCAAAATTGGAAGGTTTGGCAGGGCCAACGATGTCAAAGATATTAGGAGACTCAATGGAAAATGCTAGTAACAATATCAAATGAATACTAACTTGCATATTATATAGCGTGAGATTACATGTGAAGGGAACAAATGCCAAAGAAGAAAAAATTCTAGCAAATTGACCAAGTCATCCATACGTCAATTATATATTTACGGCTGATTACCTTTTTGAAATCAAATCTAACCTTTTCATGAATAATAATATTCAAACCCTAGTTTTGTTTCAATTTAGACTACATGCGCATGAAATATAATAAAATCAATACTAACAACATTTGAAGACTATATCGCATTACCCGCTCTGGTGTCAATAAAACATATGAAACTGGCACCCGGTTTCTCCCTCAAGCAACCCTAATTGTGAGACTTGATAATGGGATTAACAGCCACACTCTGCGGATTGTGGAAGACATCATTCGGATCAATGAGAGTCTTGATACTTTGGAGCCGTCCAAGATTGGATCCCCAGTATGCCATCTGACCATCCTTGAGGTAAGGATCAACATATCCCGGATAGGAACGCAGAGGACCGGGTGGTCGATTTTCTATCACAACCTGATGCAAGCGATCAAGGAATCTCCTGGCAATGAATGCAGGAGGCTCAAAACCGACAACAGCATACGATTGCATCCACATGACAGCATCACGGTGAAAATACGCCGTGGCATTCATAGGAACATCGTTGGTTGCACCACCTTCCAGATCGAAAATAACCCACCAGTTTTCACTGCCCTTCGGTGCGGTGTCGAGGTATGTGAATAAGGCGACCAGGCCGTGTTCGGTGAACAGTTCGTCGACTGTGAACGATACTGACTTGGAGTAGAACGAAGTGAGTAAGGCTCCGCCGATCGAGACCAGGTAATTCTCAGCCGCGTGGGCTACTAAGGCTAGCCAGTTCGTGATGTATGCTATATTGCCCATGTTTTGGATTGGGAGATTGTTTTCCAGCTCAAAATCATGGAACTCCTCTCTGGTTCCGAAGAAGCTGCCCGTAATCACGATGCCATCCTGGAATATTGTGAGCTCGGTGGAATAATTCCGCGTAATATTAGGCTTTGCAATGATAGACTGCCAGGCTTGGAAGAGTTTGACTTTGTCAAGTACGTTTCCTTGGCTGAATGTATACGTGTATTGCAGAGCACCCTTGGGGATTTCCTGAGTGCGAACTTTGAACTGAGTGACGATGCCAAAGCTGGCGGCCGCACCTTTGATAGCCCAGAAAATGTCCTGGTTCTGCGTGTCCGACGCTGTCACAATGCTCGAATTAGCCAGAACTACTTCAGCCTCCAGCACATGATCCAACGCAGTTCCCCATTGTCGCGACATGAGACCGAGGCCACCAATCGTGAAATGACCACCAACACCGACTTGGGGACAAGATCCATGTGCCATAGCTCTACCACCTGCATGCAGAAGACGGTCTTGAAGATCACCCAGATTTGTACCGGCTCCAATCGTGGCAATATGGGTATCCGGATCCATGGAGAATTGTTGGAAGCATTTTAGGTCGACGACGACATGACCATCGGCTCCTCCTAGACCTACCATAGTACGGCTGGTTTAGCAATAGTATATAGGATTTAGACCAAGAAAATTTCATACCATAGTTACCATAGCTGTGACCTCCACTGTAAGCTTGCACCCGGTAGTTTCCTTTAACGGCACAACGCACAATTTCAGCGACTTGGGCCGCAGTGTTCGGATAGGTGATGACCTCAGGATGGACAGGAATGGCTAGGTTATAGGATGGGAGGGCTCGAAATTCATATAACAGATCTCCCCGAAAGGTCGCCATACTAGGGTTTCCTCCCACGGCGGCCATGAAGCACTCACGGCCGGCGACGCTGGATGTGTTCCCCATTTTGGATGAGAATGAAAAACGAGGATTACTCCCACGAGCGTCGAAGAAGCTGATGCAAGGGAGGAGATCCGTAAAGATTGGTGGAACATATAGAAGGGGCTGGATTGCGACTGCTTCACGAGACGGAGAGCCCTGGCCAGGTCTGCTGCTCGCTCCGAGGTCTCATTTTCTCGGTGTCACAGTTGTTACATATGTCACGATTGTCACATTCAAGGCCAATACTCAGGGGGTCTCCTGATTCTTTGAAGATGTTCATCTAAACCTAGTTACTCGAGTTGTCTTGTCATGCTACAGCATGCAGGGACTAGTGTAACACGGCGAATTAGTACATGAAGGCGCCTGAGATGATGAAATCGAGAGTAAATATTCGAATAGAATAGTCAGCCAATGAGCTCATAATGGTATAGGTGAATACCGAGAGATTGCCGAAAGAAAATGCTCGGGGACCACTATAACTACACCGGCGACGTGAATGGTCCCCGATCCGGATATCCCTTGACATACAGGAATATGGAAACCCTACTTCGACTCCTTTATTTCTTTGCTTCTTTTTTCAATCGAATTGGAGAAAATCCCCAGTTATAGATTTCGTCCCTTTACATTCCTCGGGTATTCTATACTCCAGCTATCATACGTCAAACCCCAAACGACACTTCCCGCAATGACATCAGGAAGAAAACTTTAATACCAAAGACGAATCAACAGAGCATCAACATCATGTTCACTCCAATTCATACCACGCTAGGCGCGCTGTTACTATTCCACGGCTCATCCGGCCTTCTCGTACACAACGGCGCCGTCTTCGGCATATCCTCTCTCCTATCTGGGTGCGCCTTCAACCCGGGTCGTGACAATGTGCCCATCATCGCGGGTTTGGTGTCTAGCATTGTGCCAGTGTACTTGCTGGCACCATCACTGATCCCGAACTATCCCGCATCACCACATTCCTGGGCTTCGGCTGCAGTAACGTTGGGAGTGGGCTTCTTATTGGGGTGGGGAACAAAGGTGAGGAGTATCGGACATAATAGGAGAACGAGGAACAAATTGACTAAGTGAAGTAGAACGGTCGAGGCTGTACCTCCGGACACATGCTGTGTGGGCTTTCGCGTCTCTCGCCCCGCTCGTTGATTGCAACCGCCATCTTCTTCACAACTGCATTGCTCACGGCGAATTTTGTCGAGGGCGGATCCAACATTCCGTCTTGTGGTACGACCCCGTGTTATACACCAGTGTATCCATCTGGGTTGGAGTTGGGCTTCATGGCCGGTGCAGGGCTGCTGGCGGCCACCACGAACTTCATCGTTGTCCCGCGGAAGGTCCGTCGGTCGGAGGAATCTAGGGTCGTCTATTCCTATGTGGCAGGGTTGGAGTTTGGTCTTGGTCTTTTGATATCTGGAATGGCGGACCCAGCCAAGGTGCTCAGGTTCTTTGCCTTCTTGACTGACCCATCCCGATTCGATCCGTCCCTGGCGCTGATCATTCTGTTTGGAATTGGACCATCTCTGTTCATTTTCTTGGCCGAGAAACCAGGCCAAGCGGTTGAAAAGGGAAAGCCGGTTGCAAAGCCTACCCTTGCTGAGAAATGGCGACTCCCAACGGCCACGGTGAGTGACATAGATTGGCGGTTCGTTGCAGGTGCTGCGTCGTTTGGGCTAGCCTGGGGACTGAGAGGGGTCTGCCCAGGCCCTGCAATTTTGCGAACAGTCCTACAACCAACTTGGGGACTGATCACGATGGCTGGATACATGCTGGGCAACCTCATTTAATGGAATGGGATATAGAAATTATAGAATTTAATTGTTCATTAGCTTTGTCGAATTTTGGCGTCTTCTCGGGGGAATAGAGTCGAAATCGGTGTATGATGATGCGAGGAAGAAAAGATGGAAGTCCGGATATCTCAGGAGCTGCGTCCGAGGTTTGATTAGCAAAGGAAATAATGCCATAGAATATGTACATAGTCGATTCAAATGAGAATAGATGCCATTGGTCCGTGAATAAATGCATTGGGTATATAACAGAGGGAAAAAGGCTACACAAGGGAGCGAAAACATAAAGAGGTGAGTAAACGGAAGAATGGCTTACAACTCAGTCTTCCTGTCCATGAGAAGCGCTTCCAACTCAGCAGATTCGTCGTCACTGCGTGGACTGGGGGCGGGATGGTCAAAGTATCCTTCCAACTCCATCCACTCCGCAGCGAATGCGGTAACTAGCATGCTCCAGTCCTCGACGGTATCCAAATCTAAATGCTCGCCGTCATCGTCGATTGTGTGCCAAACAGGAGGGAAGCCCTTGAAGGAGGCATAGTCAATGAGATGGAGAATCTCAACACCCTTTGCGAGGAAAGGAATGTGGTCATCCTGGATTCCACCCATAGGTGAGAGCTTGTATCCATCCTTCTCGGTATCGACGAACCACGGATCAGGCGAGGCAGACTTGAACTGCTTCAATGTCTTGAACCTCTTTTCAAGGTCGCCTAAGCTTTGATAAGCCCAGTGCGTGGTCTCATACCAAGATTGAATTGTCGGGGATTTCGAGCCTAGCAGATCCAAAAGGACAAAAAGAGATATCGACGACAAGGGACCCTTGAATTCCGACATTGCGGGATAGACTTGGTCATCCCAATGTGTAGCCAGGGCACGAGCCCCGTAGAGAGAATCAGTGGCAGTCCAGTGTTTAAAGGCCTCTTCGCCATCCAAGAATATAACCTGGAGACCCCGCTCCTCTTCGAGGTAGTCATTTAGTCCCTGCTCCTTCAACGCGGACCATTTCTTCTCCAGCGCAGCATCGACACTGCGCATGGCATGCATAATCATCGCACATGGTGCAGCACTGTCGATCCCCCCAATGAAGCCTTCCGGTTCTATCTTGCTGTCATAATGGGCGACAAGAGTCAGCCGGCCAACGTCACCAACCGAGGCCCAAGGAGGATCACGAGTAGCAATGAAGTTTCGGAAAGGTACCTCCTTCCCCTTTGATAGTGGTGTTTTGGCTGTAGAGTTCTGAACCTCAATAGTCCATTTAGGCAATGTGGTTCGAAAAAATTCGGCGAAGTGATTGAGCACCGCGGTGGAGCCGGGGGTGCCGGGGACGCGGGTCCTTAGTATAGGTGACAACAAAGCGCCATTGTGAATATCGAAGTCGTTATTGGGCCGCAGAAGTTCGGTCAGCGTCTTATCTGATATTTTCTCGTATGCTTCTACACATGCTAGAAGCATTATAAGGAGGCCTAGCCAACGTGACACATTGCCAGATGGGATGCGATAAGCCGGATACATGGCGTTGAAGGAAAGCTCGCGCTAGCTGCTCATGACCTGCATCAAAGCAACGAATGGATAGATTTCAAGCCCAGTCTCGCCGGGTGATAAACAGTATTATAAGATATGAGATCAAAGGAGAACGTGTCAAGACTAGCAGGGGTCAGCTCATCCAGCAATCTAAACAGAGCGGAAGCTAAGGCGGTCACCTTTTTGCCGGGCGATCGGCGTCACGACGTCGATTTATTGGGGCATTGATCAACGTCCAAATTCCAAGCCAACTACATTACACAGGCACAATGCGACTACAGGTTCTGCTTCACCCTCAATTACGCACAACTCTACCAGAATGCGCCCAGCGCAGTCTTCGGAGGAGCGTCTGGGTTCGATTCAAGTCGCAGATCCCTCGGCCGTCGCAGAAGCACCTTTCACCATTACCCAAATCGAAGGAAGCCCTCCCAGCTACGCGTTCTCCAGTCACAAGAACGCTCACACCGCCAAAGATAACCACCAGGACAGGTATTGTGGACCCTCCCCGCCAGTAATTAAGCGCGTGTGCTGACCTAGACTTCTAGGCCCACCTGAACGCATCTTAGTCTATTACGGAGGAACAGGCAGAGCTATCTTTTTGGGGACGCTGCGAATCACCACAGTACTTTTATTTGGTGCAGCGTGTCTAATCGTTGCACCGGCATGCTCCGTGGCTGATGATTACCCCTGGTACAGCACACCTGCGGGTAAGCTAACTTAGACATCACACCGCCAGGGCATCTATGCTGATTTACTTTTAGTGATTGCCGCTGGCGCCCTCCCGATGCTATTTGTCTCCTATACTGCTGCACCGTACGTGAACTTCATCCATCTAGCACTACCCGCCTTTGCGAGGAAGTCTCGGGAAGCTGCTGTCCAGTATGCGAAAGACCTGCCTCCGACGGCGGTGCTGTATCTCACCAGCATGCGATTCAACACTATTCCCCGGCAAACAGTTGTTCGTCTAGGAGATCTTGTTCCGTTCAACGACGCCTTGCGGCCAGTCACATTCCAGAATCTGAATCCGTCACCACAACGATGGTGGCAGGGCAGAGCTCCAACCCAGTTCTATACTGGAACCCACAGCAAACCGGGGAGACAAACATCGGCGTTCTTCCCAGAATTGTGGAATGGAATATACCAGCAAATCCAAAAAGTCAAGTCGCAGCCTCATTGATCGAATATATATCCGCGACTTGATGGCTGGTTATATTGATCGTCTGACGCCCACTTCTCTCAGTTGGTTGATCGATAGAGCCTAGTCTCCGTCAATCTCATCGAAGACTTAGGTGGCATTGATGGCTATGAATTAATAACTGGTCGTGCCGGGAGTATTTTACGATATCCATTTGTCCCATCTATGGATGGCCTTGGATCTTTGTCAGATAGTAACTATATGAAGCCCAGTCATAATTAACTTGTATCAGGCTGTGTTAGCACAAAGAAGCCATTTTCCACAAGTCGCTTGCTCCTCTTAGGGGGAAATCACATCTGTTCATATGGCCTCGGTGTGCCTAAAGTCTCACCTAGCTCTCATCTCAGGCAACTCTGAACCAAAGGCCCTCCAAGAAACCATATTGTCCCTCACATTTCCTCGCGATTGAACGTTTGATCGGAGTTAAATACCCGTCACTTGTGACTCGGTTGAAATTCCCTTTCTTCATCCACCGTCACGTTGACAATCTTGCGTTCTGAGCCATCCATTCACTTTGACGTGTTTTCAAGCTCATTCACGTCAATACAATCTCGTTTTCCCTCTTCAAATCAACGCAGTTTGCCCTTTTCTTTCTCACCTCCACCCACCGTACATCTTCCTTCTTTCATCGTACCTTCGTGACTTCAAGTTCAAATCCACCTCGACACTTGACCTTGACCACCAAATTTACATACAATCCAAACTAGCTGATCCAAAATGTCTTCTCCCGCTGCTCCAAAGCAAAGCATCATCCCCGGCATTTCTGCCACTGAGAACAAGCTCCTGCTCCTGGCCCATGTCTGCCTGAAGAATGGCAAGGTATGTCATTTGGTCCTAAGTTCACTCATTACAATGTTTTTGCTAACACAATGGACCAAAAAGATCGACTACGACAAGCTTGCTTCGAACGCTGGTATCAAGGCGTCTTCTGCTCACACGCTCTTCCGAAATGCCAAGCGAAAGCTAGACAAGCTGTACGGCGATGACAATGCTGATGCTGATGGCAACGGTGCCAATGCTGACATGTCGCCCGAGGAGACACCCTCCAAGCGAGGAAAGTCCACCGCCAAGTCACCCCGCGCCCCAAAGACTCCCAAGTCCCCCAAGGCCCCCAAGACTCCGAAGACCCCCAGGGCGACCAAGGCGACCAAGACCCCCCAGAGTGGCAAGGCTGCTATCAAATCCGAGGAGAGTGCAGAGCAGGTCTCCATCAAGCGCGAGTTCAGTCCTATCACTACTGAGTTCGCCGCTCAGCTCACTGAAGATACTAGCCTCAAGACCGCTGTTACTGAGGCTTTCAATGAACCTGCCGCTGAACCTGTCACTGAGCCTTCCGCCGAGCCTCCCGTTACCCCTGACGCAATCAAGCTCCAGACTGAGAACGATGAGGAGGAAAATTACAAGGCCGACGAGAACGACGAGGCTGCATTTGATCTGGCGGTGAGCCAGCACCTTCCTGAATCTCCCTTGCCCGAAGAAGAGGATGACGCCTACGAGGATGACGCCTACGAGCAGGAGGATGAACAGCACGAGGATTAATTTCCAATTCAAAAACTCCCAGAGCACCGAGGTGGAACAAATTGAAAAGCAGTGGTTTTTACCAAATGGCTAGGATGCGGCTAGGAGGAGAATGCGAGGAGGCTACCTAGGGGAATCGTGAATGCTCTTGAGGAAAAAAAAAAAAAAAAAAAAGGTGTATCCACTGGGATGTCGTCTCAGACCAGTGTTAAAGCACTCAAATGAAACACAGTGGATATTGCGCTTACTGCTCCAGCTACAAACATATCCATACATATTGGAACCGGAAATTTTGTGTATATCCGGAATAATATGCATCTACACTCAAGCGTCGACCCTTAGAGGTGCAAGTCTACTTAGCATTGAGTATATGCTAAGAATGTTCATACCTTAGAGCTAATGTAGAGGTAACCCATTATAATGCCGTACATGTTGGGCAGGAATACACTGTCAGACCCACAAACCTACATATGTACGTAAGAGGTATTCAATTTATAGTAACTGTAGGCTACTTCTTTCGAAGAACGGCTATCAGTTCCCTATCAACGGGCCAGACACAAGGTTAACAGGAGCCGAGATCTTTACTATGAGTAGAGTAGGTAGGTCTAATTTAAATCCAACTTTGTAAAGAGAAAGCGGGCTTGGGAGTCTCTCGAATAGTTTGTACGCTGATCGAAACTGCTACTTATGGGAACGGAATACACTGCCCCTACTAGATATTGACTCTGGATTTCATGGGAAGCAATTTTTTAAGGGCTTCAAATTAGATACGGCAAAGCTAACCACGACGATATTCACCCACTGGGGGCTCAGAGCCCATAGGGAATTCTGTGGACGAAGGCTATGGCGTATAGCTCTTCGATTTTGTATCCATATATCCATGCATTTTGATGTCTCCCATTTCCAGTAGTCCTGGCAACTCGATATCAATTTGGATGAAAAGGCTAAGCTCTCTCCTTCAATTCATCTCAACCATCATTTAGTAAATGGGGGTTTCCGAGTTTGAAACGTGAATGAATACCTCTATTGCATCCTAATTTATACCCTGACTTCTCAGGTCCCTTCCTCGACGATCACTTCCCTTTCTTAGATCAATATCTACGAGACTCGCTTCTACAGTTTCCTGTCCAATTTCTATTACCATCCAACATCACAGGCAGCAACGATGTCGTTCACCCAGAAGCAGGAGAAGAACCTGGTGAAGGCCATAGGGCTCACCTCACCCCAAGCCAGACGGAGCACCTCCTGCTGGAATATCTGTGCATGCGAAAGCCCAAGGTAAGTGAGAGGACGTGTTATTTAATCTCATAGTTTCTCGAGTCTAAGATGAATATTCTCTGCAGGTTGATTGGAAGAAGCTCGCGGAGCTTAGCAACGTTACGCATTCCGCCGCTAGAACAGCCTTCACCAAGGGCCGACGAAGCCTCGAGAAATGGGAGGAGAAGAGGACCGCTGAGGCGGGTACTAAGAAATCCGAGAAGGATGAGGGCGATACTGAGGATCCTGGTGAGGATGTGGAGGCTGGACATGCAGAGGAGACTAAGAATTATATAATGTAGCCTGTGGTCTTCGAGTCCAATGTCACAAGCTTCTTATTTCCACAAATGAAGTGCAAGTAACATTACTTCTCTTCACCACTCAACAGATCGTGTCTTGTACCATTAACAATTCACCACAACAACCCATCCTTCTCTGCCTTTTCACAGCAACATAACCCCCTATTTCATCAAACAGACAAAGAACCTATCCATCGACAGACACACCACCACACATGCTACCAACCGAGAAAATGTCGACCACCCCATCTCCCAAAAAGAAGTCTGACTTCGGTGACTTCACAGCCGCTGAAATCAAGCTGATCATGGCCAGTGTTCTGTGCATCAATGGAAAGGTACGCACTCTCTCTGTACTAACCTCTAAGCCATGCCTTAAACTGAGCTGTACCTATAATTTAGCTTGACACCGAGAAGCTCGGAAAGCTGACCAAGACGAAGAGAAAGTCGGCATGCAGCCGCTTTCCCACCATCAAGCGCAAGCTGGAAAAGATGTTCGAGGATGAGCTGGACGCCATAGACGATCAAGATGGCTCCAATGCCAATGAAAGCTCTCCATCCAACGGCCGCGCGAAGAAGCGTCGGGACAAAGTGGTGGAACCGAAGCCCAAGGCCGAGCCTGACATCAAGATCGAGGCTGAATCTGGAGACGGTACCGATACTCCTGTCAAGGTTGAGGTTGAATCCGAAGAGAACACCGACAGTCCTGTGAAGGCTGAGGTTAAATCCGGAGAGAGTATCGACAGTCCCGTGAAGGTCGACGCCGATACTGATATCAAAGTCAAGCCCGAACCCATCGACTAAGTGGTCAAATGTGTCATCGTGTCTTCGATGTAGTGTCCCCTAAGGGCCTTGACAAGGAACTTCTCACGGGACCTTTCATGGGATTTGTAATATCTGAAATTAATTTGGCTGGAAGTACATGACAGCAGGGGTGTCTAAAATGTATCTAGTTCACCCTCTCGTATGAGAATGGCCACATCAGATGTTTGCCCATCAATGAAAACCACATTGCACAACAACATGATATTATCACCGGTAAATGTGCGCAGACGTTGTCTATGTGTGACCTTCTAGTATAAATTGCCCTTACTTCCCCTTTGTCCTTCCTGTTCCTTCAACACACCCCCTTCTTCCGTGCTTTTGGCATTGGCTCTACTTCATCCTGTCAACAGGAACTAAGGCTATCTGCTAACACATTATGTTTTACCACTGTAACTCCAACAACCCTCCATGGATGGGTCTCACTGGAGCTGATGTCAAGTTCCTACTTATTGCACACTTTTGCTATTCCGAACAGGTTTTTATGTACATATCCTGAATATTGGCCTGTACCTGCTAAATATCTTTCAGAAAATTGACAACAATAAACTGGCGCGTCTTGCGAATGTGACCCCCCGTTCTGCTCTAACCTCATTCCAACGTGCCAAGAGAAACCTAATCAGATTATGTACTGCTGATTCGCAGTTCATGGTGATTGCGTCGGAAGATACATGTCATGTTCCTCTAGAAACAACATCCGATCACCAAACAGAAACCCGTCTGAAGTACAAGAAATCAAAGCTTTTGCCCGACGAGTCTGATGAAGGAAGTACAGCAGAGTCTTCTGAATCAGAGATCGACGATTCTCGATCAAAGCGCCGTCACCAGACCACTAAGCACAAAGACTATGCTCAACACAATGGCAAAGGCAAGAAAATATCTCTTGACAGCGAAAGCGAGAGCAGCGAGGACAGCGAGGTCGAAGACGACGAGTCTTCTCTGTCGAACTTCAAACTCCCAAGCAACACCCAACGCCGGAACACCAAACAAAAGGCTACGAAGCACAACAAGTCCACCAAACGCTCTACAAGCCATGGAGTGCGAAAAGGAAGAGATAGTCCTTTCCATGCAGGCATCAAGTCCTCATCCTCCCGCGCAGGCCGCCAGAACATCCAGCGCAAGCGGGGTCTGAAGCGTGACAGGAACCCGTATAAGGACCAGGATGGTTCCACAGAAGAAAGGACCAGGATGGTTCCACAGAAGAAAGTGCCGACGAGTCATCCGGCGCAGAGATGAACGTTTCTTCGTCCCGCACAAGCCATGGCCGATCCAAGCGCAAGCGACTCGGAAAGCCTAGTGGACCGGCTGATTTTTCGGACAATGATAGTGACATGGAGGAAGGAACCGGACGCCGACCTGCTCGAGCAGAAGTAAAGTCCGCTTCAGTCAAGGCCAGGTCCCAGACTGGGAATCGCAAGAAGCTTGACAAGACCAACGGACTCGCTGAGTCCCCGGATAAAGACCTCGTTGGCCGAGCGATGGATGGTCTTACTTTGGAAGGGGATACACCGAAGACAAATGGCCGCACCACGAAGACCATAAAGCGTGATGGAAAGGGGGATTCTATGTATGAGGAGAGTAAAGGGCCCGAGGAGCCTATGGAAGGTGATTCGCATCATGTCTGATGTTGATTGGTTGGTGCTAGCATGTTTGCTAGGAGGGGAAGTGGGAATGTGTAGGTATGGACTATGACAAACTGCTGGATTGTTCGACTGCGTATTTGTGGCGATGTTTTCTGTTGTGCTGTGCGGCTGGCATATTCGAAGGAAAAGAAAAGCGAGAAAAAAAGGGGGAGCAATGACATTCGTGATCTACTTGGAAAGATTTGATGTTGGACTTAAGGCTAATCTGAAAAAAAAAAACATGTTTTGCTATGGAGATGCACATTCATAGGAATAGAGAACTAGATTCGCGAAGCCTGACGAGACAACCAAACAGATCCTGAGACGCCCTTTGAATCAAGATATAGAAAACCGAATTAAACCTGACACGAGCGACCAGTTGAAGTGAAAGATAGAGACAAATATCATAGACCCACATTGTGAAGATGGACGGAAAGAAAGAACGAAGCACCACCTAACAAGTACATATCTCGATCACTAAAGCGCCTCAATTGCCTTCATCAAGACATCCAAGCCGCGATCAGAGACATCACCTGCATTCGAGTCTTCCTCTGTGACAGACTCGCGCAGGGCCCAGGCCACATCACTCCACCAGCCCAGGCCGACGAAACCACCGCCCTTACGACGCTCCAGACTCTCCTTAAGCCGGCTGGTATGCTCCCACTGTTTGGCAGCATTCTCCGCACATTCAATGACCTTGCTTGGAATCCCGCACATGGATGCACAGTGCATACCGAAACTGCCTTCCGCAACGCCCTTCTCAAGCTTGTACAAGAATGTCACACGGCGCTCGACATCGTCGACATGGATGGCCATGCGCCTGGGTGCGATCTCTGGATGGTTTTCGAACTCGGCAGCAAGCGAGTGGTAGTGGGTGGCAAAGAAGCCCAGGGCTCCGATGTGGGTAGCGATGTGGTGAAGTACGGCCTGGGCCACGGCGACACCGTCATAAGAGCTAGTTCCGCGACCGAGTTCGTCAAGGATGACGAGTGAGCGTGGAGTAGCCTCGGAAAGAATCTTCTTTGTTTCGGACAGCTCGACAAAGAATGTTGACTGGGCGGCGAAGATGTTGTCGTTCGCACCGAGCCGAGACATGATCCGGTCGACTGGGGTCAGTCGGGCTGACTGACAGGGAAGGTAGCAACCGATTTGAGCCATAATGACAGCAACGCAGGTCTATACTAGTTAGCAACATCATTCAAACAAAAGGGAGGACAGGGTGAACACACCATTCGGAGAACAGTAGACTTTCCGGCAGCATTAGCACCGGTCAGCAAATCAATGCTAGCATGATTACCACCGAGCTGGATATCGTTCGGAATAAAGTCCTCAACAGAGGAAAGAAGACAAGGGTGACGGAGCTCTTCAAACTCGAGGACACTTCGTTCGTCGTCTACAAACACTGGTCGGCAACTAGGATGGCCGATAGCCCCGGAAGCCTTAGCCAAACTGATGAGGCAGTCGAGCTGCGATACAATCCTAACAGCAGCTAGCCACGTGTTGTAATGCTCATCGAACCGGGCATGGAACCGTCCAGCAACCTCCTTAACGATTTGGTTGTGGGTTTCTTGGGTCTCTTGCAATTTGCGAATGAGGCTTCGGAGCTCGGGGAAGTAGTATCGCTTGACCTGCTTGGTCGCAGACATCTGGTTCCAATCCTTGGGAATGTTCTTCACCTTGATTGGAACTTCGAGTTGGTAGATTTCCTTGCCGTTATCCCGGTAGCAGATAGCAGACGACCCCAAATCCCGGCGAGCTTTCTTTAGCATGGTGTCGAGGTCCCGGTGGAGTTGCTCAATGATCTCCTGGGAGTTATCGAAGTCTTCTTCGACACCGGACTCCGGAACAAGAATCCCATTCTCCTTTGCCTTTGGACGATCGAATGCGGTCTTCCAGTATCCCAACAGGGAAGCAAGATCGGGCATTGCGGTTGTCAATTGACCAATAATGCTTTCGCCTGAGCCAGTGTCGCTTTCTTTGAGGAGACCCATGATATAATCGATCTGCTCGAATCCTTCCAAGACACGTACAAAGTCTTGAGCCTTGCAGTTGCCAGCGTGGATACGAGAGATCAGTCGTTCGAGATCCGGCATCTTTGTTAACTGGGAGGAGAACTGGTCCCGAGCACTGGGATCGGCGTTGAGTGAATCAACTGCATCCAATCTTGCGTTGATTTTCTTTGAATCAATTAATGGGTGGCATACCCACTGCTTGAACATGCGCTTGCCGAAGGGCGTGATGCATCGGTTGAGCAACTGGAAGAGAGTGCCCTCAGACCCGCCATCGAAGGAATTGGCGAAGATCTCCATGTTGATCAGGGTCTGGCCATCTAGAACAAGACTTGTAGCCTTCTTGATAGGATCGTACCATGTGAAGTTGCCAATGGTGATCAAGTCCCGCTCAATCTTCAGCATTCGCAGATACTGAACCAGAGCACCGAATGCACACATCAGTAACTCCTTCTCGCGGGCTTGACGCAGGGTCTCGGGCCAGGCTGTGAGATTATCGTCGTCCACGGAGACGAAATACTCACTTGCCTCAAGCTCCCGAATTGTGATATCAGATTCCCAGAACTCCTTACCAGGTTTCATGAAATTCCAGATAGTGGTGGGTCCGGTGTTATTTTTGAGAATGCGCATGGCCTTTTGGGAAACACAAGATTTCTCCAGTAACAACTCCCGAGGACGGGTCTGCGCGACAAAAGTCTCGAACTTGGTCATATCAACATCATCCACAAACTCAGACAAGAAGAATTGACCGGTAGCAGTGTCGACAAATGCGATACCGAATGCGGGATGCTCGTCCACAATCGCTTCCTTGATCGCAACACAGTACGTGGACATATCATCTTGAAGCATGGAACCCTCGACCAGTGTACCCGCAGTAAGGACACACGCAAGCTCTCGCTTGATGATCTTATCTTCTTTGGTGGGCTTCTTGCCCTCTCTCTCGCGCATTTCTTTACCCAACGCGGATTCAGACTGGTCCACACGGGCAATCTTGAAGCCCTTGGCCACGAACTGGTTCGCCCAGTGATCTAAACTCATCTCGGGAACACCGACCATGCGCATATTCACTCTGTCCGTGAGCTTGAGATCAAAAAGTTGGTGACCAATGGTGGCATCGTTCTCGTAGAGCTCATAGAACTTGCCCTTCTTGAAGAAAACGACAGTATCGAAGAATTTCTGCTTGATCTCCCAATATTGTTTCTCGAAAGGCGAGAATCTGGACCATGCGAGCGGAGGGATGTAGACAGTTCGGGGATCGTAGTCAGGGTGGCCTTTAGGGTTGCCGTCGATGTCCTTGAGAATAGCAAGCCATGAATAGCGCTGCTCAGGCTCCTTGATGTGGGCCTTTTCCTTTTTCGAGCTGGATGCTGCCTTGGTAGACGCCACAGCAGCTCTTTCTTTCCGAGGTTCTGTGTTCTCCGGATCAAAGGCCCACCTCTTCGCTGTTCCAGCTGAACCTTCTCCCTCTGGGACATCAAGATCAATGTCATCGGCGGGTGGGGGAGGAGCATGGACGGAGGAAGATTTGGAGGTAGGCTTGCGTGCTGATTGTGTGGATGGTCTTTTCCGCTTGTTGGCAGATGCGGCTATCTCTTCATCGGAGTCGTCTGCAACGACGAAATCGTCCATTTCTATATCCCGGTTAGTCGTGTACCAGAAAACCAACCAACAACAGAACACCATACCATCATCCGAATATCCTCCATCTCCTGCCTCATTGAACTCGTCTTCGCTTTCCGGCTCGGTTCGTCTTCTCTTCGTAGCACGGCCAGAGACACGGTCCTTGCGGTTAGGACGGAAGATAACCTCGTCGTCATCCTCGCCCTCAGAGTCAGACTCCCTGTAGCTGACCTGCTTTTTCCCCTAGCCAGGTAAGTTAGCAGGATATATCAATTGAGAAATCTGGTGATACACGTACCCGACGCGAAGGCGACATGGTGGAGTCCTGTTGTGCCTCCTTGGTGGTCTAAGGAGAGAAGAGTTCAGTCAGAGTGAAGGAACAAACAAACATCAGACCTCAGATCAATATACCTTAAAAGCACTACCATTTTCCTGTTCGTCCTCTGGTACTGGAAGATCGCTGCTCGGTACTGGACTCAGATCCTGGGCAAAGCTTGAGAAGCTTCGCTTCTGTTCCTTGGGTGTGGGCTTGACAGCGCTCTCACTACGCTTCTCGGAGGCTCTCTGTGCGGGAGACGAGGCCGGTTCTCGCGTTCGATTATTCGAGGGAGTCGCTGGTGAGGACTTTTGGAAGAAACCAAGGATTGACTTCTGGCTTCGCATGTTCTGGGTGCTGGGAGTTGTTCGCTTGAGCGCAGGGGATGGCGACGCAGCGGACGGAGATGAGGCCGATGGTTTGGCCATAATCTTTTATAGAATAAAAGCAGTTGGGACTAAATGACAATACACTCTCAACTCATGATAATTAGGGGAGGTGAGGGAACTGGGACGGGGTGGGGATGGATAAGGCGCGGATCGCGTCGACGCGTAAAGCACCTTTCTCCGAGACTCGACCTGTCCATTGATCGACACCCGCGACATTGTCTTGTCTCACTATTATTACTCCATACTTGGATTTTATTTGTCTGAGACGGTGAGGATATAATATTTATACTATTGTACAGATTGGATATTGTAGAATTACAGATCTAGTGGAGATTCGCCTTAGTCCGACTTGGTCGGCTCAGTGGGCTCAGTGGGTTCAGTCTGCTCGGTCTCCTCAGTCTCCCATCCAGGAGCTGTGAGCCCTTGCGCGCGATATTCTTCATCGGTCACAATGTGAACAGCCTTGAGCTTCCACTTGCCCAACTTTAGCATCAGGAGATTGCCATTCAAGACAAACTCCTTTGTTTTCTCTGCGTCCCATGGCCGAATGGGTGTGAAAGACAATTGGTCCGACATGGGACCACTGTCACCAGGACGGCTTCCGACCTTGGCACCGTTGTTGACAATGACTCGGTGGCCCTCGCTCTTGGATGAAACAAGGCCAGCTGACCACAGAATTTTGTTGAACGGCTGGTTGAAAACCAGTGATTCGGGGAGGGTGACCTTGATATCGCCCATGTTGGCCCAGTTTGTTTGGGGAGCATATGGATTCCCAGATTGAGGAGTATCGAAGCCAGCGGTGGGAGATTGCGGGTGTCCAGAGGAAGGAGCGGATGTCTTAGGAAGAGGAGTGGGCTCTGCAGTTGAGGCTCGGGGACGGAAAAGCTGGCGGTGTTGGATAGCCACGGCATCAGCTTCGGCCTTGCCATGGATAAGCTCGACAAATTCATGGGCGAGCTTGTGCTGCGCAACGCGCTTAGATGGATCCTTGTTCTGCTCCTCCATAATGGTGGCGATTTCAGGCAAGGGGATGAAAGTGAAAAGCTTGAGGTACTGCTCAACAACATCGTCGGGCGTGCGCACAAAGTATTGGTAAAGTTCGAATGTAGAAGTCAGGTCCTTATCGAGCCAAACAGCGTTTCCAGCAGACTTGCCAAGCTTCTCGCCGGACGGTGTGGTCAGTAGGGGCGTAGTGAAACCGATCGGTCGATCTATTTCTGATTCTAATGGGTTGCGGAGTTGTTCATCGGCAGTGTTTCGGCTGATAGACTTGACAGCCTCCATACCAAACAGGATGTTTCCATACTGGTCGGCTCCTCCGACTTGGATTTGAGTGCCCTTTTGGAACAGCGTCCACCAATCCCAGGCTTGAAGAATAGGGTAGGAAAACTCAGCAAATGACATGCCATCTCCTTGGTTCAATCGCGTCTTGACACTAGTAGAAAACGTCAGTAAACCCGCGACAACAGCGCCGTCAGACCTGCCAAAACTCACGTATCTCTGCCGAGCATAGGACCAAGTCGCATGAAGGCGCCAAGGTCTCGCAACACTTCAAGGAAAGGCATTGAGTTCCACCAAGTGTTGTTGTTCGTCAATGCCCGCTTCCACATCGGGTGTCTCTCGTGTCCGTGTCTCCTGCCGTACTGCTCAATGCTCGAGCCCAACTTCTTCAACTGCATGTGCATGCTGGCCATATTCGCTTTTCGGATCGAGGAATGGACAGCGTCTCGGCCCTTGAGACGCCCGCTGGGATCGCCGACTCTGGAAGTAGCACCGCCGAGCTATAGAGTGTTAGTTTGGGCATTCAATCGGGACGTGAAGTTGCAGGCAACTTACTAAGAATGTCACAGGTAAGCCCCAGACATATCCCCAGGCCAGAACCATGAAAGGAAGCATGTGTCCAACGTGCATTGAGGGGGCAGTCGGGTCGATTCCAACATATATTCCAGCCCGCTTCTCCGTGAAGACCTTATGCAACAAGTCCCGTTCGCTGTAACCAGAAGGGAACGATTAGCGAGCCATTCAAACGTTTTCCCGCGGCCAATGCCATTAACTTCATTATATCCCGGCGTAACGTACCCGACAACATCATGAATCAAGCCTCGCTCCTCCAGGTGTTGCGCGAAGTTCTTCCGGTTCCCGGCCTTGATTTCCTCCGCGAACCCAGCCCACTCCTTCTCTCCGTCTTTCAAACGCTGAATATACTTTTGTGTAATCCATCTCTGCTGTTGGAAGCATGTCCCAGACTGCGAAGCGGACAATACTGGCCGATTGCTGTCACCGCGCAGCGGAATCGCTGTTGTTGCGGCAAAGCTGCGCGCTCCGCACGGGATCCGACGAGGGGTGAAAAGGCTGCGGTATGGCGCTTGGCCGAGCGATGCCGACTGTGGCCGCATTGAGCCGATTTGGGAATGCGAATATTAATTAGACGGCTCGCAATGGACTCAAGTCTGGACACGATCAATACCTCCAGGGCTAGCTCCAGATGTCCGAGATTCTTTCGATAAGTCCGGAACATTAATGATGCGGCCCTTATCTCTGACATGTTGATCGACTTCCCGATCGGGACTGTATTAAGGGCCCTAGGGCCAGAGAAGTATATATTTACTGGAGTCCATGGTAGAGAAAAGATACTGTGTTGGAATAATACTATCTCTCTCAATAAAACAAGGTGGCAAATTCCAAAGACGAATCGTATCTTAACCTACAAAAACCTGTACAAAGGCCTCGTTACTCCATCCACTGTCCAACTTCATGGATTTCCATGCCGACAATACATCAATTGCCAGCACATTGCCATTCTTTCCACCATGCTTCCACACTGTACTCTGTGGAATTGGCCGTCCCAGAATCATGACCATAAAATCCCGTGCAATGCTCCTGTCTTGAAGATCCGAGAAATAAATCCCCAGAGTGCCCAGCGCTTTTAAGCTGATATCGAATCGTAAACGGCCGTTCTCAACAACAGATATGTCGGAAGACACTACAGCCGCTGCGCCAGTCATCTTTCCTAAAAGGCCCAGCACAGCCACATGTGTCGGACTAACAAGGCTTCCATGTCTTCCCGTCAGCGTGAACGACCGAGTCGGGTACGCAGTGAGAATTTCCCAGCCCTTTGGCTCTAGAACAACTGATACGAAGGAGTCCTGGGTTGGCCGCATGCGGTGCGAGATCCTACCGCTCCTGTGTGCGTGCACGATGTACTGGCCTTCGGAGTCATCGTGAATTCCAGGGAAATCCATCAGTGAGACTATGCTTGAGGCCTCAGCAGATTGAATATTGAAAAGTCCCAAGATTCCACTCCCTGTCTTGGCCCAGCCGGTGTAACTTCCAACACGCAGAACATGTCCTTCGTTGTAGTCGTGGTAAGTGTCCATCGTGCGTCCGATGACACTAGGACGCAAGATCACCGTGATTCCTTTAACGGTAGGTGCGGTCATCTGATCAAGCAAGTTCAGGTGATGTTTTCCCGGCTCATCAGTAATGTAGATTGGTCCTCCGGATACACATCGTGCTGCAGCGTGGAATGACGCATATGGGTGATTTGTCTGGAACATATCCCAGTCTGGCAATACGTTCAAATAGCGGGTGAATAGTGCATTATGAGCATTGCAGAATACATGCCATGGGTGAGAGGCAACAACATCTGGAAAGAAGTCGTCGGAGTTTCGCAATGGAAGTGTCGGTTTGTTGGTGGGCATTTGTGAATGGAAGATTATTTGAGGGGTCATTGAGCCGCATGAGATTGACCGAGTGCTGAAATGCTTGAGTGATGCGATGGACCATGCATCTTGATAAGAAGTCATGAATCTCCGGCGGTCCACTGGATCTTCAAGGAGATCAAGGAAGAATTGTGCATCTGTCTTGACCGAGTCTATACCAACAGAGGTAAGGTAGCTATAGAACTCGTCGTAGAATCGTTTGATATCATCGGGGTCAATGGCAAGGATTGTTCCGCCTGGAATGTTCTCCACAATGGGCCCATTGGCGGCGGAATCTTTGATCTTCACTTGCTTTGTTTTGAATCTTTTAGCCAGATCCCCATCTGGTGATATCCCTCCCCAGTAACCCAGCAAGGCATGCCAGACCGCAATATGTTCAATATTGGGATGTGCTCGCCGGATAGCTTCAACGGTATGCTTCAACCCTTTAGGAAATCCTTTCGAGTGTGCCTCGAACCGCTTCCAGCCTTGCTTGAACTGAGACTCGCCTTCATTGTCGTTTGCCTGCCAGCCATCATCGATAATAAGATTGACGATGCTGATCCCATTCGCCTTCAATGAGTCCAAGGCATGCAAGATCTTCTCTTCGGTGAGGTCCTGTCCCAGTCCATTCCAGGTACAATATGTGAGACCGTCAAACCACTCGGAAAGCCACTGTGCACTTGGGTCTTTCTCGACCAGGACCATATCATCGCCAGGGGGAGATAATGGGACTGAATCCTCCAAATTCAGATGACTCGCATCAGCAAATGGCCTGACGACTTTCCGTGCCTCATAGACCACAGCAGACATGGCAACTTCAAAGTTCTCTGCGGCGCTGACGAGCACATGGAACTTTGATGCTTCAGAATCATCACTCTTTGCGGAGATCACAACTTGACCGTTCTCACCTGACTGAAACACAGTCAAAATATCGTTGACTCCCGAAACAGCCAGTAAAACAAGATTCACGCCATCTTCGCGCAGAAAAGAGCAAAATATTGCGTCTTCAGAAAGTCGGAAGTTATCTTTTCCATGTCTAGGACCCAGCCATGGGCTCGAAACACGTACCAGTGAGAAATATCTCACCACTGACGAAGGGGTGCCAAGTCCAAGTCGTTTGATGGTTGAAGATCCATTTCGAACAGCATCAATATCACCAGAAAGAGCCCATAGGACCGATCCAGGAGCCTCACTGAGCCGTGACTCAATCAGCAAGTCATCATGAAGATTATCGATGTACTTCTCCAGTTGTTCTTTGGGTGTTCGTGTAGCGACGTTGGGGGACACAGCTTTGCCAAGATCAGAGTGGCGTGCACCGTATACAATTTCACCGTCGCTAACGGGGTGTGTTTGATTAGCCCACTGCCATTCCGTATCTGGACCAGCTCGGAATCGGACAGTAAACTGTGCATGACCTCCTGCGGCTGGCAGGGATATCTCTTCTGAGAATACCAGGCGATGGTAGTGGTAGTCGCTATCGTGTCCGGTCAAAAGAGCGGCATGATCTGTGTCACATCTCTGCAATGGCAGAGCTCCCCATTCAGGGCTAGTGATGTTATGCCAGATTTGCACTTCCCATGAATGTGCGGGGAAAGAGCTGCTGGACTCGATGGTAACCGTGAAACGCAGCTATTGACGATGTCAGCATATATTTGCATCCTAGCCACAATGATTGTAGGGAAGTCTGAAATATGATCATAGTTGGGAGACTCACCGCATCTTCTTCAGACCGTAATGCCTTCTGCACCGGTTGGAGAGAAGTGAGTTGTCCCAGCGGGGGATAGGAGGTTACCCTTGCAAACATGGCCATTTGAGCTGGGGAAACAAACGGTGCTTGTGAATTCCGTGCACTTTGGCTGGGGCCCTGGATTGGGAGGGTTGAGGTATCTCTGTTGTTGACCTGCATTGAAGAAAGGTAACGGGATCAGGTATCTGGCCCAGTGGAAAATAAGTAACGAAAAACAGTTTATTTATGGATTATCTCAGAAGAGACTATAGAAAATGTCCTCGTGAGTATGCTTGAGTTAACAAAAAGGAGCTCGCACGTGGTTGGTTTTAACTCTCCTGCAGGGGATGGAAGTGGCGGGGAAGCTACCATCTGGGCAGTTGCCCTGTCTACCGTCCAACTACAATGAGCCTCACGTCAACACAAAAACCAACATATTATTTTCCAATGACCAGTTCCTATATCGACTACATATGTGCAACGGCTTCGAAAATATAGAGAGAATCTAGAATAATAAGAGAGATAGCTAGCACTATAGGAACGGGCAAATGTGTAGTGAAGATAGGGTTATTTTATATATATTAATATTTAATATTTTAATTTACTATAATATTTGAGGGGTAAATACCTTTTTTTATATTTTTAAACTATAGAAATACTAGTAAAAAAACTAGTAGAAATAACCTAAGTAATAACCCTTTTTTTCCCCTCTGTTTTCATCCAACTTAGTTGATCTTGATAGTCAACTTTCCAAAGTGCTTCTGGGCCCACTGGATTCCAATCTGTTAGCATACAACCCCTCCTCACTGATGCAAAACAACTTACCATATAATCATAGGCGTCCCGTGTCTGGTCAAGGCTAAACACCTTGTCATCCACCACAGGGTGGATATCATTGGCCTCGATGGCTCGAACCATATCCCTCATGAGAGCTTTGCTACCAACATAAACACCACGCACAGTGCAGATGTGAGTCAGTGTCTCCAGAACAGACGGCTGTGTCTTCGGGTCCACGCCTCCAAGGAACCCAATAACACTGATGATACCCTCGAACTTGACGCACTTGAAGCTCTGCGTGAGCGTTCCGCCACCACCCACTTCGATAATGTGGTCCACGCCAGCTCCGTCGGGAGTCAGCTTGCGAGCAGCATCGCCCCAGTTGGGCTCGATCTTGTAATTGATGACATGATCAGCACCAAGCTTCTTGAGCTTCTCGGCCTTCTCAGCAGAAGAGGTTGTCGCGATGACTGTCGCACCAGCGGCCTTGGCGAACTATAAGGCTGTTTTAGCCAAGTCCATTCGGAAGAATCGAGATGAGCCGTTTACTAACCTGCAAGCCAAACATACTGACACCACCAGTTCCTTGCACGAGAACAATCTGGCCAGGCTTCAGAGGCTTCAGACCATATAGTGCATTCCAACTGGTGAGCGCTGCACACGAGAGAGTGCTAGCTTCACGGGCATCGAGGTTTCTGGGCGCCTTCACAAGACCCTGTTCATTGAATACGCCATATTCGCGCAGGGTACCATCGATCACGCCACCTAGGCCAGTGCGCGCTGCGTATTTGTCGATCTCGGCGTATTGGTGGCCCTGGTTGAAGAGAGTCGCAACTTGGTCGCCCTTCTTGAATTCAGCGACCTTGGAACCCACTTCGACAACTTCACCGGCGCCATCAGATCCTGGCACTACGGGGAGACTGAGAGGAAATGGATAGGTGCCCTGTGGGAGAGGGGTTAGATGTCGGTTATTGGCCACATGATAGTCTTGTGCAGACGTTTCAATCAACGTTGAAACCATTGAGTTTTCTCATGCAAGGCCATACCTTTGGAATAGTTAGGTCGCGATAGTTCAGCGACGCAGCTTGGAGCTTCACCAAGACTTCATTTTCGCCGACTTTCGGAACAGCAGCGTTCTTGAAAACAAGACCGTCGAAGTCGTGTTCCTTATCTTCAACGACCCATTGCTTCATAGTGGAGGGAGACATCTTACTATATAAAATACCTAGGTAGATCACTATACTTAAAACAGTGTAGAGCGTAGGAAATAATCATTATGATGGGATTGAGGGGAGTTTATATAGAGGCCTCTGACGTATTTGAGCGAAAGATCCACCCAAGTGGTGACGAAAGGATTATTAAGAACGTACAACGAAACCTATCTAGATAAATCGTTGTTTTATTTTCTTTGATAGAGGACCTATCTTCATGTTTATTGAAAAGAGCTTTCAGAAGAAAGCTATCAAATTAAAGCTCTAACGTGTGAAGTGTATTTGGGCGATGGAAGAAATCAACCCTCGAAGATTCCAAGATATGTATTCTTCAGATCCATGTCTTTTCGACCAGTCAGGGATTAGGAGAAATGTGTATTTCGCTGCCTTACTGCCAGATCAGTCCCGTAGCATATCCACCAAGATACAGGTGATTGATATTTTGAGGGCGTAATGTCCTTGTTAGGCTTGTTGTGACTACATTCAGGTGATTTAATCCAGCGGAAAGGGCTGCAAGGTGGCATGGTTGAGGAATAAGAGAAAAAGGAAGGAGAATAACAAAACCTGTCTCGTTGTTCCGATTCGGTTGAAGACGAATATCTTCGAATGGGAGTCGAAGGCTTCCTTGGACTTTTTCGCACTTTGGCGCCGGATTTCGCACGATTTCCATCTTTTGGCAAGGGATAGGAGTTTGACGGGCGCCTCTTGTCTTCCATTCTTTGACTGATATCCTTCCACTTATGCACTGTTATCATAAGTGCGACCTTGAATTCTCCATAACTTTGGCCTAATATTCAAGGAAGTGATGACGTGAGGAAGACAAGAAACGAGGAAGATAAATACATGGAATGAAAGAGAAGAAGAGGGTGTGGTATGTAAAGAAGTGAAAGATACAAAGGGAGAAGAAGAAGAAGAAGAAGAAGAAGAGGGTTTGAGATGTATTTAAAGAAGCAAGCACTACCATCGGCCGTATACTTCCCGCGGTCAAAAGTCCGGGGTCGCCGACCTTTTACCAACACTCTTCAGCTACGAACCCGAAATCTTTACATTCAAGCTGCACTTAAATTGATCTTGGACTTATCAAACATTCTCTCAAATATCCTCGGACTAGTCATGCGCTCCGTGAAAGAAGGCCGAGTCACAAAATTAAGAGCCACAAGACCGCGAACCACATCCCGACGCGTCTCCAACAAACGTGAGTAAATATACCACTCTCACTCCACTCGCTAGTTCAGCCCCCAAGCTTGTTTTGTCGATGTTCTTGATCCAACCATATTCAATTAATGACGTGTGCTAATAACCACTTAGTCCCACTGGTCGAACAGACCAACGCACTATCCATTGGCGACTTCATCGCCCAATACGTGACTCCACTCACGCAAGCAGGAGACCCAGCCAAAAAGGATGCGATTGATCAACCAAATCCATCCCAAGATCAGGAACAGCAGGACATGACCTCCGCGCCACACGTGGACGTCTACTCCGCGGCAACGATCTCCGCAGCTGATCTGGAAGCATGTCTGGATCTAGTCGAGCAAACCTCAAGCGAGGCCTACATCGCGTCGCCCGGAGGCTGGTCGCGCACCAAGAAGCGGAAAGAGATGAAGTTGCCCGACATGAAGTATTTGATTCTACGGGACACGTCGAATGAGTCTGGTGATTCTAGCGGGCAAGGTCCGAGAGAGAAGCAGAGCGATATCGCCGACGACAATGCTCCGCCTCCGCCTCCGCCTCCAAAGGAAAGTGACGAGACTATTTCATCGTCTGGTACAAGTTCACCGAATGTGCTTGGCTTTTTATCATTTATGGTTACCTACGAGGATGGAAAGGAGGTTGTTTACTGTTACGAGATCCACTTGTCGCCAATAGCCCGGGGACGGGGTGTCGGGAAGTTGCTTATGGGTCAGATGGAGGGAATTGGGCGCGCTGTCGGCTTGGAGAAGTCTATGTTGACGGTTTTTAAGTCGAATGAGATTGCTCGGCGGTTCTATGAGCGGCTTGGGTATGAGGTTGATGAGTACTCGCCCCGACCGCGCAAGTTGCGCAATGGGACTATTAAGGAAGTGGACTATTTGATCTTGTCGAAGATGTTGAGATCATAATAGCTGGATATCTCTTTGTTAAGGATTTCAATGCTAAGTTAATATGAGAATAGTGATGTGCAAAAGCTAATATACATTACACCTGTCGCACCTCTGCGCCCACCTGTTCTGGGTGTTCTTGCTCCCATTCGTCTCTGAGACCGGCGAAGACGGTGTCGGCTAGCAGGATGGAGAGACCCAAACTCCAGACCAGGGTAATGGCGTAGAAGAAATTGGCATTTCCGGATCCTGCATAGATCCAAAGGTGGTAGAAAGCGGGGCCGAGGAGGCTGGAGTACAAGATTGCCGAGCCCGCAAAGAAGGTATAACGCATCACTGTACCAAGTTAGCCAAGGTAATTCTGAGATACACTCAACGTATGGAAATACTCACATGGGAAAAGGTGGCGATATAATGGCAGCAACGCGAAGAACAGTGATGCATCTGAGATGCTAGGGTATGGCTTGAAGATGGCGAAGACACCTAAGAGCGAGGTAATGACAAATAGAGGTTGGTTGCGGAAGCGAGCTGTGAGACCCCCGACATAGCTGGCCAAGTGAAGCCAGAAAACGCCGAGGAAGAACTCTCGAAATGAGTCGAACATCTCAATGAAAAAGTACCACCACAGTCCCACATTGGGGGTCAAGTCTGGAACCAAAAGATGGAAACCATAGGTTGCCGAGATAAACTCCCAGAAGTTGCCGGTGATCAGACAGGAGAGACCAAGCAGGCCTGCCACGCTGGCCAGTAGTAGGGCGGCGTGTTGAACAATGAAAGATCCAGCATTGGGTGGGCTTGGTCGCTCCGAACGTCGGTCATAGCATAGCAGGACCAACGGAATAAAGAGCAGCGCCGGATATAGAGACAGGTATGAAGCAAATCCCAGGGCTAGCATCGCATTGATGCTATTTCCACCGACTGCATTGGACACGGCGAAGAGGATTCCTGATGTTGTAAATACACTGGTTGACCGCGCTAAACATGTCGCAATAGTGAGAGGATTGAATAAAAACCTATCCCGTGGTAAGTATGTAAATATGTATAATTGCGCAGGCCGGAATATGCATACCATGCTGCAACGGACACTCCATCCCATCGGACGTGTTTTCGGACCGCTGAGTGTAGTTTCGATTTGACCGATTGGCCCGACGCAGATATGGTTACCAATGCATATGCGTTCACGAGGTCGACAAGGAAGTAGAAAATTGCTGTTGGCAAGGGCCAGCTCTTCGCATCCGGGAGTAGGGCGAACAGAGGTAACAGGAGCGGTGCCTAGATCATCGGATTGAATTGTCAATTCAAGGAAGGGAGTTGGAGTGATCTAGATCGACGAACTTGGTGAAAGACGCCACCGTCATAAGGCGACACATTTCTTGTGTACAGGAATAGGCCTTCTTGTACTACACATAATTAGTTTACAGAATGCGGAGTCAATGGTCGGAGACACGTACGGCGTTTGAAGCTATTAACAGGCGTTGAGACTTCGACTCTCCCCGTTAATAAATCAGGTAATGAAGGGAAAAGACATGTAAGAAGCAGGCGCAGCACGAAAGCCGCGCCGAACACAGCAATCTTCCGTCGGTCTACAGCCATGACGGGTTGATTGTTTAGTTGTTGATTCCAGCTGGTCCCTTACCCAGCGATCCCTCTCCGCCTTCGGGGCACGGGCCACTTTGCGGTAAGAAAAAAAAGATATCGAGAAATTTTCTTCTTCTTATCAGCAGCCCGTTTAGATCTTTTGACAACCACTTTTCATCATGGGCAAAGTTAAGAAGAAGGGTATGTTGAATTCAACCGGGAATTTCAATTGAATTTACTGACAGTCCTTTTAGGTACCTCTGGCGCAGCCAAGAACTACATTACCAGAACTCAGGCCGTGCGCAAACTTCAGATCTCTTTACCGGATTTCCGCCGACTATGCATCTTCAAGGGTAATTGCTTCTTCTATTGATATTCCATCTGAATCGCAAGACTAATATGATCTCCGATATCAGGTATCTACCCCCGCGAGCCCCGTAGTAAGAAGAAGGCCTCTAAGACGTCTACGCCCAACACCACCTTCTATTACACCAAGGACATTCAGTATCTGCTACACGAGCCCCTGCTCAACAAGTTCCGTGATCAGAAGTCACTCGCGAAGAAGATCGCCCGTTCTCTCGGCCGTGGAGAAGTCAGCGATGCCTCCCGTTTAGAGAAGAATAACGCCCCGAGACTCACCTTGGACCATGTCATTAAAGAGCGCTACCCGACCTTTATCGATGCCCTCCGTGATCTTGACGACGCTCTTTCTCTTCTCTTCCTCTTCGCTACCCTTCCCTCCACCGACCATGTTCCTTCTAAGACCGTTGCGCTCTGCCAGCGCCTTTGTCACGAGTTCCAGCACTACCTGATCATGACGAATTCTCTGCGCAGATCATTCCTTTCTATTAAGGGTATCTACTACCAGGCTACGATTCAGGGACAAGACATTATGTGGCTCGTGCCCTACCGTTTCGTCCAGCGTGTCAATGGCGATGTCGATTACCGTATCATGGGTACCTTTGTCGAGTTTTACACAACCCTGCTGGGTTTCGTCAACTTCCGCCTGTACTCCTCAATTGGCTTGAGATACCCCCCTAAGTTTGATACCCGCAGTGACGAGAACGGTGCCGAGTTGGCGGCTTTCACCCTTGAGGGCCGGACAGTCGGTGAGGTGCCCAAGGCTCTTGAGGCTAGCAAGGCTCAGAGCAACGGCAACTCCAATAAGGAAGTTTCCAAGGAACTTCAAGCCAAGGTTGATAAGGTGATCAAGAAGGCCGGTTTGGAGCAGAGCACGGACGAGGAGATGGTCGACACTACCGACGAGGCAACCGATGCCATCGACCACTTCGAGCCCGCCGCTCCTGAAGCCGACACCCTCCCCCAGCCCGGGATGAGCGGCAACGAGGCTGGTGCACTCTTCGCCCCCTTCGTGTTCTACGTTTCCCGTGAAGCCCCCAAGGCTCCCCTCGAGTTCATTCTGCGCTCATTCGGCTGCAAGCGCGTTGGATGGGCCTCCGTTCTGGGCGATGGAGCTTTCACTCACGACGAGACCGACCCCCGCATCACTCACCAAATTGTTGATCGCCCTCAACTTCCTCAGGAGTCTCTTCCCGCCATCCCCGCCGCCGATGAGAACGCCGTTCAGAAGGTCCAGCCTGGAACCCGCATTCCTGGCCGTACCTACGTCCAGCCCCAGTGGGTCTGGGACTGCATTAACGAGGGTAAGCTCCTCCGAGCTGATCTTTACGCACCCGGTGCCACTCTCCCACCTCACTTGAGCCCTTGGGTCAAGGCTGCTCGCGGCGCTTACGACCCCCGCGCCACCCTCGCCGACCAGGAGGATGAGGACGAAGCCGAGATTGCCGCCGAGGCCTCTGATAGCGACGAGGAGATGGAGGACGAGCCCGCGGCTGACGCTAAGCCTGCTACTGCTGAGGAGTCCGATGAAGAGTCTGTCGACGGAGGCATGGATGTCGCCGGCACCGACGATGACGAGAGCGATGAGGAGTCCGAGGAGGAAGACGAAGACTTCGGTGGCTTTGAAGAGGGAGCCGCATCCGAGTCTGAAGACGACGATGAGGCTGCCCGCACTCAGCACCAGAAGGAGCTCGAGGCCGAAGCCGCTGGTCTTCCTTTCACCGCTAACGCCGCCGCTGATGAAGCTGCCAAGAAGAAGTCCTCCAAGTCCAAGAAGGTTGCCGCCAAGAAGCGCAGCGAGGACGAGGAGCTCGAGAGACAGAAGATGATGATGAGCCGGAAGAAGCGCAAGCTCCTTGAGAAGATGATGTACTCCAACAAGAAGACCGCTGATGAGTCCGCCAAGCTCCGCTCCAAGAGACGCAAGCTTGAGAAGGGCGAGAAGGGCGAGAAGGGCGAGAAGAACTAAAGCTCGGGTCATTTGTGCATGTTAGATAGTGCTTTTGCCGGGCGTTGCGGTTTGGATATGTCCCATGTATAGGCACCTCAAAAATTCGTCAAGTTTTAATGCTATTTATGGGATAACACCCTAGTTATATGTATAACTTTTTCCCGTGCCATTCCGAGACAACACGTATTTTATAACCCTAGGCTGCGAATAGATGATCTTTGACATTGGCGTGCGCCTTCCCCGTGTTGTCAACAGCGTTATGTGCATCCACGTGAACACGCAAATCGAATTTGGAAATTACGTACATACATCTATGGATACTATTAAGTGTCGATCGCTTTGTGGACTCGCGATGCTGTTCAAAGGTTCTGACCTCGCACTCCAGAGGCTCAGTATGGTCCTCATTGCATCTTTTGTGTTTGTGATGGTCCTGCTTCGTCCACAGATCAATGACACCCTCCCGTTGCGTCTCTCGAAAGATGGCCATGATTCTGCATTGCGGCCTGTCCCATATAATCCATATCCCGACTACAACAGTGCTGCATGGAAGACAAAGTGGAACGGGTTCTATCAATCGTGCGTTGGCCCCGATGGAGTGCTTTTGAATCCTAAGAACGAACACACGGCGATGAGAGGATACCGTTGGAATCAATCAGGTTTGTGACTTGAGCAAGATCGTCATGAAGTAATCAAGACGGTGGTTGATTTCTGTGGGATTTCCTAGGTAGTCATCTTTGATCTTCGCCTTGGGAGAGATCTTTTTATCTACATATCTTTTATAATAATATATGCCTCCTTACACCTAACTCGCGTTTCGTAAATCACTTTCATCCTACGGAGCCCAACTACTGGCGTACATCCGCTTCGGGGCCCCTCCCGGGCATATTATTGGTGACTCATCCCTCGGATCACATCCGAGATCTCACGTATATTTGCTGATGTTTTCGCCCTGGAACACGTCAAGTAATGTGTTGCACATGTCAAGCAAGGAGATATAAAGGAACTAATCACCAACAATGACGTCAAATAAACAAGTTGTAGGATGGATAGGTACGGCAATGAAGAACAATCACATTGGCATTCACGTTTCTAATTATCTCTAGGACTCGGGAGTATGGGACTTGCAATGGCACAAAATGTCCAAAGATTTCTTCAAGATACAAAATCCCAACTAAGATTCTGGAATCGGACGGCGTCTCGCGGCGCACCACTTGAATTGCTTGGGGCTATTGGATGCGAGTCTATCGCCCAGCTTGTCGCCGAATGTGACCTGGTATTCATATCTGTGAGTATATGAATTGGCATTTGATTTTACAGAGGCCTTGTACCGGTCCCCCAGATCTAGAATGAACCTTTGTCACTAACATTGAGTAACAGACCAGCGATGATGCAGCTTTGAATACTATCGTCGACCAAATATTGGCTGTCAAAGATATTGATGGCAAGGTGTTTGTGGATACCACCACCGTGCATCCTACTACGACCAAGGAGATAGACGAAAAACTAAGGAAACGAAATGCATCCTTGGTTGCTGGTAAGTGAACCCACAACCGTCTCGATTTGCGGTTTCTCATGTACAACACTAGCACCGGTCTTCGGAGCCACACCGGCTGCCGAAAGTGGTACGGTATTGATGGCGATGGCCGGCCCAAGCCAAGCCATTGATAAAGTTGCACCTTTCGGAAAAGGCGTCCTTGCTCGGGAGGTGATGATTGTGTCCGATCAGGCCGAGAAGGCCACTCTTCTCAAAACTTTGGGGTGAGATTGCGACGAATCTACGCTGTCATAATAGTCTTACTGACACTATTTAGTAATTTCATTGTCGCAGGAACAATGGAGATCGTGGGAGAAGCCCAGGTGCTAGCGGAGAAAAGCGACCTTGGCACAGACATGCTTGAAAAGTTGCTCGAGCTGAACTTTGGAAGTTTGATGCATTCCAGCTCTAGGCGCATGACGCAGGGTGTTTATCTGCCAGAGGAAGGTATGAATATGGTGTCAATTGAGAATGCTTCTTTTGCTGATCATATCATATAGGTCAATCCCCTTGGTCCAGTCTGAATCTCGGTATCAAGGATGTTCAGCATGGCATCAGTTGCGCCCAAGATGTCGGTGCGAGATTAAAAGTCGCAGAGGTTGCATTGGACAATATGGTACGGGCGAAGGGTTTTTCGGATGCGCATGGCGGCCGGCCTTTGGATTCATCGTCTGGGTACGGTATCATACGTCAGGATTCTGGCCTTGACTTTGAGAATACCCTTGTGAAGGAACGAGATACCAGAAAGGAAGATGAGTCTTCCAAATAGCACATTTCCACCGCTATGCAGCCAGCCACGGGCGCCTCGGGGTCGGACAAGACATACGAAAGCTCTCGGGGTCACTTTTAAGGATGAATGTTTTGGACTGTGTATCGTGGTCGAGAATGCAGTTATTATGTGCGAGATTTCAAGTTGTCTCGAGAATACCGGCCTTCTTCCATCACTGTTTCTGACAGTGGTCGGTGCATAACTTATTATACCTTATGAACCTTCTTGTTTCATTGAATGTTAGTATATCCACGAAGAAAACCGACCCGCAGCGTATCTTCTTATTGGTTAAAGATCACCTTTCGGAAAGGTTCCGGTTCCAACTCGTCCGGATGTACTCCAGGGCTGCGGCTGATATTTCCCAAGTTGGAAGGGAGGTCCGATTAAGCTCCCGAGGTCGGATATAAGCTTGGGGTCCCGTATTCCTACCGATCAATAAATTCAGGACGGGAATGAAAATGTTCATGAGATTTATAATCATCGTTCTCTTCACTTTGGTCCCTATATTGTACCTCTCAATTCGGTCACATAATCACCCTCCAACCGGCGCCCAAATGTCATTCCGGTTACATCTCATCCGACACGCAGAGGGAACCCACAATCCCGGTCACGACACAACCATTCTCGACCCTCCATTGACAGAAAAAGGGATCGAACAATCCCTACAGCTCTGTCAAGTCTTTCCGTTCAAGGAGAGTGTAGGTCTAGTAGTGACATCTCCACTCCGACGCACTCTCCAAACAGCCCGTCTGGGCTTCCAACAAAGCATCGATGAGAAGTATTGCGCCCAAGGCTCCGGCGCAGGAGTTCAAAATGGCGCGCGTCTTTTGTTAGAGCCAGATGTGCAGGCACACTCTGCTCGGCCATGTGATACTGGCTCAGATATTGCGGCTTTACGTTCGGAGTTTTATGATCTCCCATGGGAAATCTTGGATTTGGATCATACATTCCCAGCAAAGGAAGGGCTCTACGCCAGCGATCCCGAGAGCTTGAAGCTGCGCGGAGCACGGATCCAGCGTCGGTTGGAGCAGAAATTCAAAGAACTAAAAAACAGCGCAAGACCAGACATTGTCGTTGTTACACATGGCGGGTTTTTTGAGCTCCGTCATCGGTCAAGAGAGGACAGAAGTCGGACAGGCAAAGTGGAAGACTTTTATGGTGACATTCGATCAGGATTCGAGAATTGTTGTGGAATCGGCTTCGGGAGAATGACCGAGGCTTTGATTCACTTGTTGGTGTTGTTAATACATGGATTAAAATAGAGCGGACCTGTGCGTTTCCTGTTCGAAGCAGTTTTTGTCTGTGGCTATCATCTTTGGCATTTTCTAGCATAAGAAGTAATTTACCAATCCCAAACAGCAGAAATGGCGAAATAAATGGCTTACGTCTCGTCAGCCTCATCTCCGAGTCTAGAAGACCACGATCTACAACCCCACATTTATACCCGAAGGGTTCCAAGGTTGCCTCTGTGCTAAGATTTCAAACTTGCATCCATCAATATGTGGGAATTTAATTTCAAAACTTCCTAGGTTATCATCTTTGATCGCAAGGATCAGTTAATCAGTTGCTAGTACCTAGGTAGCATCAAAGATGAATCCGGTGCTAGTACTAGCCCTACCACAATCTTTACATACCCTATTTGACGACCCCAAGATGGATTTAGCGGGCTATGTCTTTGTAACAATAGCAGTCAGGCCTAGAAAGTGCCAGAGAGCTTCTGTCCCTCGTGTAAAATGTCAGATTTCGGTGCTGAGTAGTCTGTGAAACCTTTTCGTGACGCTGCATACTTTTGCAAGACATTTGAATGTACGGGAAAACATGGATCAATTTAGTTTCGTGTGGGTATATATATTTGTTTCCACATCACCCTTGATTTTGGGAAACTGTATACGGATCAATATCTTTTGGCTGTACGACGAAAGGTTGGGCTGGGCTAGTTTGGTTGTACTTTGCTGACTCCGATTGGGCATGTCTCACACCTTGAAAGTTTCTTGTAGGCTTTGTAGTCATCCTGCATTATTTCATGTTACCAGTAGTTACTGATAGTGTCAGTCGAATGCGATCCACTGTCCTTCTGTATCCTTCTGTAATATCATGTCGCAAAGCTTCATACTCCGGTCCGACTTGGTAGACCATAACTACGGTCTCTGTACCAAATACAAGGACGCTTACGCTAGAAGAGAACTGTCCGAGGAATGATTGCTAAAGCGATCGAAATTTTATATGTCAAGGTGATCAATTCCTGTAGTGATATCCCAATTTGACAGTACTTGTGTAGATCTTCGGTCCTAGCCCGTTGTCTTAAAGTGTTTACCAATTGACGCTGGGGATTGATATTTTGGCTTTGAGCATAGGACTATATAAGACATATATGGCTGAGATTGGTAACTCTATACTGAATCTTATTATGCCTCTTCTGATGATTATTTGATCGCTTCCATGCCCCTGGCGTGGCAAATCGCGTGGTTAGGGTTACTCTGGGAAGTATGCAGAGTCTACCCTTGTTTCAGGCCCTATTTTGGCCTAGTCCCGCTCTTCTGACGGTCAAAGTATTATGGAGCAAGGCAAAGATGACGGGGCACCTCGTTGAGTATGGAGGATACCAATCGATGTAAGATGATATGTAAGTTGCTGATCCCGCTGACGGGTTCCACTGACCTGAAAAATTAACTACCCAAACATCCATTATGAATAGATCATTTATAGGCAATCGATTTGATATGGCATCCAAGTTAAATTGTTCAAACTTATGGATATAAGACTATGTGTACAGCTACCTACATGTAGGTAGCACCTTCCAGGATTTTATTCCCGCATTCCATTTTAGTACTGTGACAACCTTTTTTTTTAACACTGGAAGAGCTCTGGAGAATCCTTCTTTACCCAAGATCCTTGTATCTCTAAAAGATTTCACGGCATTTGAAATGCGTCTGAGCATTGCTACTGTCGTGGGCCTCACCATCGCCCCTGCATTAGCTAACTGCCCTTATGCCCGAGATGCAGGTACTAAGGTTGACAACAGTGCTGATCCCCATGCTCACTTGTCTCACGACGTCATTCTGAGAAAGTCAAACACGGGTGTGCCGTCTCCTACCCCCTCCGCAGCGGCTGGAAAAAAAGGTCTGCTGTTGATGAACCGCATTTCCCCTGGCACCTCAGAACTATACATTGCCAACGCGGACGGCACGAATGAGCGTCCTCTGTTAAAAGATCCCGGTTATGAATACCACGCCGAATTCTCTCCCGATGGTGAATGGATTAGCTTCACCAGTGAGCGCAACGGTGATGGAAACTCCGATATCTGGCGTGTGCGCCCAGATGGCTCCAATCTACAGCCGATTGTGACATCCCCGGCAGTGGAAGACAGCGTTGTAATCTCACCCAATGGAACATTGGCAGCATATGTTTCAACAGCCAACAATTATAACGCTCACATTTGGGTCAAGGACCTGGAGACCGGTGCCGAGTGGAACATCACCGATATCCCGGCTAACCGGCCAGATGAGGACATGATGCATGGCCACTTCCGTCCAGCTTGGTCGCCAGACGGGAATTGGCTTGCGTTTTCCTCAGACCGCAGCACAATATGGAATGGCCACGGACCTCTCAGTTTTCTCGGACTCGCTGGCTGGGAGCACACCCAAGAACTCAGCATTTATATTATTCGCCCTGATGGCTCAGATCTTCGCCGTGTCACCAACCGTACTTGCCACTGCCTTGGGTCTCCAAAATGGTCACTCGATGGTGAGCGCCTTATATTCTACGAGATGACTCGCAATGAGACTTGGGACGCACATCGACCTGAGACCGTGGCAAATGCTAGCTCCGCAATTGTTTCTGTTGGAATCGATGGCAATGACCGTCGAATTGAGGTTGGCGGTGCTGGTGTCAAGACCTTTCCTCAATACGTGACCAACTCCACCATTGGATACCATCTGAAGGGCGGCGATAAGGAGGGCTTGCACCTCACAAATGGTACCTACTTCAACGCCACTATCCGCTCTCCCTCGTGGTCTCCTGATGGAAAGTACGTGGTTTACGAGAAGGTTGATTGGTCGGTACGACCTCTGTTTAAGGAGCTTTACAGCTGGGACAGCGACTGGGAATACCGCTTCAATGATGTATTCCCTCAACTCTCGTCTGACGACCGCGTGGTTGTGACCGCAAGGCAACTTGGGAACGCCTCTATTGCCACTTTTGATCTGGAGGATAGGCACTTATCTTTACTCTACGAACCTGATGATAGTAATCTCATCGACCCTGCTCTGATTCTAGATAGCCTGGGTGGGGCCTACAATCCCAGCTGGTCCCCAGACGGTGAATGGGTCGTCTTCGGGGTGGGCGCTTGGTTTGAGTCGCGTGATTGGGGAGGAGGCTGGATTCTACGCTCCACCGCAAACGGCAGTTACACCGAGGTCCTTACCACCAGCAACCTCTGGATCAATGGAACCAAGGACCTAAACACCGGATTTCCCAGCTTCTCTCACGACGGCAAGAAGGTCGTCTACCGCGTCTGGGGTGCCGACACCCTCAAGTACGGTGACGAGACAGAAATTGGTTTACGCATTATCGACATTGAGACCAGAGAGATTACCCAGCTTACTAGCAGCTGGGACAACCTTCCCTCTTTCTCGCCTGATGGGGAATTCATAGTGTTTACCCGCAAGGTTTCTCCGACTAACTACGAGGTCTGCACCATCCGCCCTGACGGCACTGATTTCCGCATTCTGACTTCCAGCGGTTCCAATGACGCCCACGCTGTTTGGCGCCAGGATGGAAAAATCATGTGGTCCACCGGCATGTACGGCTTCCAGTATGAGTGCGCTCTGTACGACCGCACCTTCCAGCCCTACGGTCAGATCATGATCATGGACGCCGATGGATCCAATAAGCGTGCTTTGACCAACTCCATTTGGGAAGATTCTATGCCGCTCTTTCTTCCTAACGATGGGTTCTAGAATGCGGCTTGGAAATATACAAAAAGGGTGCTTTCGCTTTTGTTTTCCGACAATTGACTGAGTCACTTTCATTCGTTTTGGATAATTAGATAGAGCCGTCAGTCTATATTATTATTAAAATGACATCATTACTTTCTTTACGATGATAATACACGTCTCTCCGTGCACACGGCGGAGTTCCCATCTTAACCATTCAAAGCAAAATATAGATTAAAGTTAGGAGGACGACGTAGCTTGATTGGTCCTCTCGTTAGAGTTGTGGGGACCACTAAACCCCACCGAGCAACTAACCCCGAGGGCTCTGAACAACAGAGCAGCCCAGACATATCAGTTACAGGGGTTTATGTAGTTATCCTAGCTCGTCCTAGTACTAAGGCTAGGACTGAAATAGTATGGTGTGCCTCCAAAACTCACTCAGATTGATGCAGTGTCTTCTAGCTCCTGCATGGAAGGATCAGGGTTTGCAGGTGAGCCTCAAAATTCCCGAAGGACCGGCCGATGATACCAGAGCACAAGTTGTCTTTTAGACGATATTTGTGACGCAAACCGCACCCGCCACTGCCTGTCCCTCCATGGTACCTGGGTCTTCCACTGTTCCACACCAGCTTCACTGGAGCAGTGCTTCTCCCTTTGTATTTTTAGAAATTGATTCAGGGTCGATTGCTACTTTGGGGCTTGAACGGTCGCTAAAATTTAATCGTAGTGGTAGAAACAATGAGATCATTAGGTTAGAGATATATATACTCCCCCTTTGGGACTAGCGTACATATTCTGGACGGGATCGTGTATATCGAGCACGTGACCGCGTCGATGATCCACCCGCCTGGAATTTTTGACATCTTCAACACCGAGGAACAAGCAAAGAATCCGACAAGAGATACAAAATTCGCCATTTGAAGTACCAGTTACGGAGAGTTCTAGTACTGGATGTTCTCTTGACCTTTAAGTCGGATGTTGTCCAATAAGAATCCGCATCTATGTGACATATAAGCACTGCAGGCCCGAACCTTTCGCCCATACAACGGCAAGAGACCAAAGTTTCTACCCGGGATGTCATCTTTATATGGAAGCCAGGTACCCTGGCCAGAACTTCTTCCACCGCAATCTGCGCAGGCCCGCCAATCATTATTTGGAGGCCCAAGCAGTGATGTCTTGCAACCTTCTTCTCAGCCAGAACCGCCAAGAAGTTCTCTTTTTGGAGGCCCCATCAAGCAAGATTCTCCCCTACAGCCTTTTTCTGAAGCAGATTCCATTGATGAGGAGCTAGACCAAAAGGAAGATGAATTTGACACGATAATGCGAGAACAGCCCTTGGCGTCCCAGCCTGACTCTGATGACGAAAGTTATCAGGGACACCATCGTGGCAGAAGTCGTGTACGCTCAAAAAGGGCTCGGGAGTCTCAGCATGACCCAATTTACTACGTAGTTGACCGAGGTCTTGATCTGCCACCCGGGGTTGAGCGTCCCAATCTATTTGATGGGCACACCACTTCGTGGAGGAACTACAACGCCGACGAGATCGGAGCCTATAATGCGATAATTACCCACCGAACCAGAGATTTGGCGGCTCATCTTTATAATGCCCACGTGGTTCGCAGGCGAGCGCGGGAAACTGCCCGGAAGTACCCTGGGGTCGTTGACAAAGCGCCGCTCCGTGTGAACAAGCGATGGACTGCGTGGCCTGTTCATGCAGCAACAGTTCCCCGCGCCAACGAGACTATCCAGAGGATAATGGATGCCCCTGATAATTTCCAAATGCAACCTGATTCCCGACCCAGTACGGAATTGGAAGACTGCATCACGGCGTTCATACTGAAGACCTCCAAGGAGAACTTCCAAGCCCGAGAGTTGAATTTTGAAGAAATTGAAGATAACTCCTGGAATAAGTTGGACGACGGGGATGAACTGATGGAAGATGAATTGGATAAAAAGGAGGAGGACGAAGAAGAAGCACTTGTCGATACAAGGATCCTCCAACCAACAGTCCTACTCGATGACGACCAATCACTTCACCAATTACGTCCACTGACCCGCAATGTGATCTTCCAACTAGACCGGCTGCTATACGGACTGCATTGCGCCATGAAGGGTCGCAAGTATGAGGAAGAGTCTGGTGACGAGCAATGGAGTGATTCGGACGAAGAAGACTACCTGACTCGAGAGAGCAGCAAGCGCGGAAGCAGAAGTCGATCGCGTGGTCGGAGAAGTGCTCGACAGGAGACTCAGGAACGGGAATTATCACGCCGTTCCAACAGTGCACGCATATCCACTGGACTGGAAACGGAAGATGAAAGCTTGCCAGACGTTTCCCAAACCCGAGCGCAATCACGTGACTCATCTGCTGGTCCCGATGGCAGTTATCACAGCAAGGGCCGACTCAAACTGCGAGACTGGAGTGAAGTTCTGGGACTGGCATCAATGATGGGCCTCCCCACTCCCGCGGTAATGCGCGCGTCAAAGCGATGCGCCGACCTTTTCGGCGAAGATATGGAATTCCGAATAATGCCCGAAGGAAAGGTAAAGAAAAAGCGCAAGGCAGATGCTCGAGAAGAATATGCCTACACCGAAAGCGAAAGTGAAAGCGATGGTGACTTGGTGCCACCAAGTCCTCAGCCAATTCCTGAGCCAACCCCCGGCCAAGTCGCAGGCGCGAACCCAAACCTGAGCTTGAACCCAAAGCCACGACGATGATACCTAAAGCCAAGGCAACGATACCCAAACCCAAGACGACGAAGGCGACGAAGGCGAAGATACCAGGCCAGCGACGGTCGAGGTTCCACAAGACTCCTGCAATCGTCCCTCCCTCCGCATCCCCATCCCCAGTCCCGGAGGAACCGACAGAACCAACGGAACCAGCGGAACCAGCGGAAGTTATTGCAGAGGACACAGAACAAGCCGGCGATCAGGAGCCAAAGACGGCTAAACCAGGCGTTGGAAAGGGTCCTCATCGGAAAGTGGATATTCTCTGTCCTGTCCGGTCTTGCACTCGACATACGAATGGATTTTCACGAAAATGGAACCTCAACCAACATTTGAAAAAGGCTCATGGTATACATGTTGCTCCTGGGAATGAAGCCTCGATTGAGCGGGATGATCCAGTTGTCTTGATTGAATAGCTTGTCTGTTTTGCTTAACTTAGTGGCGAGTGTGAACACGAAGTTGCACGATATATAACTATGTGCATTGAAGTCTATATCAACATCAATAGATTAGTGCTGGCTTGGTCAGGACGCTTTGCATTCTGCATTTCGGACTGGTCTAGAAGATAGAATTCCGATCAACATCTGGGAATGTTCCTAATCACCGTGCTAGTGAGTTAGAGGGCTGGTTAAAATGCTAGCTCCCGCTGTAAAAGCCACAGAACGAAGCAAGAGTTGTTGCTGGCAAGTGTCTATCACTAAAATGTCTAGCTCTTAAGTATATCTCTGTGGAGATTGCCAGGGCCATCAATGAATGTACTCATAAGCTTTTTTTTGTTCATTTCTTTGTTTTGATACCTAAAGCAGCCATCTGTTCCCCACGGCTCAGACATCCTCAAGGATGTGTGCCCTTTTTTTTTGGCTTTTTGTCTTTTCCCCCCTCTCCCTCGATAACCAAATTAGTGAAATCGTGCGTAAATCAAAAAAGAAATTCGAAAAGATGTGAATCCTTCTGCTTTCATCAATGAAAGCACAACCTCCAGCGGGACCGACCATAGTGACCAGACCTAATTGCCTGGCAAAAGAGCCTTTGTTCGGCTCCGGAACCGCATCCCCTTCTGCTTTACACTCCTTTTGGGGCTATTCTTCTTGTGCGACAGCAGCAGGGAAGACCACCGGAACGCAAGCTCCTTCCGGTCGGAGTATCTGTCCATCCTGTTGGTGGCGAGGCCCAAGTAAAGCATTCGTTTTTCGTCCCAGAAGCTCACGCCAAACTTCTGGAATTCGCCGCGGAAGCCGGCGCTTCTCACACCAGATTGAGGCATATCTTCGCAGCTCTGAGGCCAGAAACAGCCGGGGAGCGAGATATGCTGGAGACTATCTCCGCCGGATTCGAGCTGCCAGGTGCTCAACGGGGTATGTTCTGGGCAACATGTTGTGAAGTGTGCCTCTCCCTTGTGTCGTGGTCCGCGCGATGGTTTTGTGTTCTACCATCCAAGAAAGGACGGTTTCCAGCTGTTCCATCGTCTCTGTTCTCAGGGGGCCATAGTTCGCAAAAGGTCTCCAGAAATCCATCATCAAATCCTGATCCAAATGCTCGAACGTGTCCGGGTATCGGCCATCAGCGAGAGGAGAAACATTGGAAGGAGAACCAATCTTCAGCAGCTTTTTCTCACAGATGATCCGTCGCAGTACTGAGAAAATGTACGGCTTCAAAAAGGCTTGCATGATTCGTTGCTCTTCCAGCCAAGTCATCGGATAATCTACCCCCTCGACGTCAACCGGTTTCCCGCGAGGCCTAGGCCCGTTTTGCGTCCACGGCGCCTTTGGATTCTTCAGCTCCTCGATTTTGGTCGACAAGCACAGTTTCATAGCCCCGTGGAAGAAGGCGTGTGCATCCCGGCGGATGCGACTTGCCAGGCTCAGGAGATGACGGAGAATCTTTGGGGGAGTTGACGGCGGGAGACGAATCCATCCCACCTTGTTTGGCTCATAGAATCCCTCTGTTGAGACGTTCACGCTGTAGACCAATTCATGATGAAAACAGTCGGGCAATGGATTATCACCCGAAGGAATCCCTGTCTCCTCAGACTCTTCTTTCCACCAAAGATAGACCAGAGTTCGAAGGAAAATACGGGTGTCTTCGTCGAGACCACTGTCACGGTACTTGTGCTTGATGATGCTCTCAACGGCCTTCGGGAAGAATCCGGTCGTATGGTTGAGATAGTCTACGACGGCTGGCGAAGATTGGAACAATTGATGCAAAGTAGGAAGGTCTGGTATGTTGACGACAACCTCTTCGAGAACGAACCACGGAAGACGTCCGAATGGATCCTTCACGGCCCTGGCATCTGATCGTGCACACGGGGCCCTGGCGTTTGATTTTGAAGACAGGGCGATAGCATTTGGCTGTGGGGAGATGGAACACTGGTTAGAGAAGGAGGAGCACAGGTTTGAAACCGAAGGAAAAGGTGCCCAATCATCAAATTGGTCCTCCCAGTGGGCGGAGCTCGTGATGTGCTGGTTCCCATCAGGGAGAGCAGAGAGTGCGGGCCCGAAAATTGAAGTCATGGTTCAATTTGGGAGGTATGGGTGTAAAGATGTGGGTGTGCGTGGATGAAAGAACAACTGAGTGCTCAGGCTAGCTTATACCCAGCAAATGGGTAGATGTCGAGAATCTGATGAGGTTTGTTAGAGTATGGGTTCTGAAAGTTCAAGTGAGAGCGCGACACCAACCTTCAGGCAAAGCAACCTAGAGATCTTCCTTGAGTAAACTGGGGAGATGATGTTCAACCTTGGGTTGTGAAGCTTGCTCGAATGGCATTCAAGGGCCTGGGTCAAGTGCCGAATAAGCAAAAGGTTGAAGCAGTGAAGATGCGAAAGGGTCAAGTAGTGAAGAGGCGAAAGGTTCAAATGGTGAAGAAGTAAAAGGTCGAAGCAGTGACGAAGGGAATGGGTCAAGTAGTGAAGAAGCAAAAGGTTGAAGTAGTGAATGGCTGTCGATTGGTTTAAGTAGTGAAGAGGGAAATGGTTAATGGCTGTCGACTGGGTTTAAGTGAGAGAAGGAGAAGATTGGTGGTGGTAAAGACGAGGTCCAGTGTAGACGGTTCCTTTTAAAGAGAGTAAGATATTGTTGATTCCATCTTTCTTATTCTGATATGCTAGCAATTATCGCCTAGGGGACCACGCTCAAAATATCCTCTGCGGCTACATCTACTGACTTTATTAGGGCACGTCATCCCAAAACGGCCAATGCCAGAAGGACGACTTGGTCGAGATGTATCCACGAGGTTAATCAGTAGAGGGGTTCTTTCGGTATGCAATCACTTACATTGTATACGCTCCTCTGGGTTCATTGTAGACACAGAATACGAGTCCGGATGCGTGTCAGATGGTCTCATATCACAAGTAGACAGGTAGCCCTTACATCTCGCTGCTTACATCTCGCCGAAATCCAGGCTGTTGCCACTCTATAATATCCATCTCGCTCCTGCAAGAGCCAGACATCGCACTCTGGCACTAGGTGACTCCCAATGTGATATAGGAATACTGCTAGAGGCTACCTACCTAGGTACGTACCTAGGTATCCCTGCCCCTTACTAATGTGCACTCTGCGCATTTTACATGTCCTCCTTTAATAAGTTCAATTTTCTTTTATTTTCTTTCATTCTTTTTCCTTTTTTTTTCTCTAAAGGATTCTCCTCCCCCTTCGAGAGTGCTCGGTAATTTGTGAAGGGACCGATGGATGAACTCGGGGAATTACCAATACACTATCTCAAGGCCGGAGGTTCATGCTCAACATTCATTGGTTGGAGAACCCGTATTTTTTCACAACTGAGATTCCTATTGGCTCAAATTACCGATCCTTGTAATGTTTATTTCAAAATTACGCAAATTACCAGGTCTATGAAAATGAAGCATTTTCTATAGAATGAGATTTCTCTATTCCAGTTGATTTTTGTTCAATATGACTAGAGAAAAGACTATTCAGAATGCACTAGAACACAAAACAAAATAACACATAGCGAAAAACAAAAACAACCGTTGATGTATAGCCTCGGGATTAAGTATAGATGACATCAACTCCGTAACTAGATCCCCGCTTTAAGCATCGAGCTTCCCTTTCCAGGAAGATTACCAGAATCTCATTCTTAGCATTCTCATTACACACATCTTCGGTGCTTCTCGGACACAAAGAGCAATCACCATCGAGTCACCAATTCGAGACACCGATGCCCCCCACTAGAACTGCTGAACTGCTCTCCCTTTAAAAGCATCTCCAACTCTCCAACCTCCAGCTCCCCGCACTCTTTGACCTTCTCCCCCATCTTCTTTGTTCCTCTCTCCCGGGTTTCTCCTCGCCTTGATTTATAATGGACCGTTTCATCCGCCCTGTCGCCCGCCAATTATTGAGACCCCGACCGAGATATCCCTTTTCAATTCCCCCGACAGCTCACGCACTGAGATTATACAGCATGAAACACAGCGCGCCGCAGGTAAGATCCGCAGTTGAATGTGACTTTTTTGGGTTTATACTGATCGATTACAGTTGAAAGACCAGTCACTCTTCATTGAGAAGGCGTACATTAATGGCGAGTGGGTCGATGCGAAGTCCGGCGAGACTTTCGAAGTCCACGGTAAATACCAATTGAATCTTCGGGTGCAAGGGAGTCGCTGATTTTTTGTCTCATTTAGACCCGGCCACTGGCAAATTGATCGGAACATGCCCCGAGCTCGATACATCCGATGTTGAGAAGGCGATTCAGGCCGCCTCCGAAGCGTTTCCCAAATTCCGCACAACATTAGGCCGCGAGCGCGCGCGCATGCTGCGCCGGTGGTATGATTTGATGATGGAGAATGCGGATGATCTAGCTAAGCTGATTACATGGGAGAACGGAAAGCCCCTCGCTGACGCGAAGGGCGAGGTCAACTATGCCGCCAGCTTCTTCGAGTGGTTCAGTGAGGAGGCACCCCGCACATACGGCGACACAATCCCCGCCTCCGTCCCCGGAAACCGGGTTATCACTGTTAAGCAGCCTGTTGGTGTGTGCGGTTTGATTACGCCATGGAACTTCCCCGCGGCGATGATTACGCGGAAGATTGGCCCTGCCCTAGCGGCGGGCTGCACAGTCGTGGCTAAGTCTCCCCAGGAGACGCCCTTTACAGCGAATGCAATTGCTGAGCTTGCGCACCGGGCTGGAATTCCCAAGGGTGTTGTTAACTTTGTTACCTCCTCTAAGAACACCCCCGCAGTGGGCGAGCTCATTACCACCCACCCCGAGGTGCGCAAGGTGTCATTCACCGGCTCGACTAACGTCGGCCGCATCCTTGGAAAGCAGTCTGCGTCAACAATCAAGAAGGTCTCCTGGGAGCTTGGTGGTAATGCGCCATTCATCGTTTTCGATGACGTCGAGGACCTCGACGCGGCTGTGACCGGTGCCATCAACTCCAAGTTCCGCAGCTCCGGCCAGACCTGCGTGTGCGCCAACCGGATCTACGTTCAAGAGGGCGTGTATGAGGAGTTTACCAAGCGCTTTGTCGAGAAGGTCAAAGACTTCAAGCTCGGTGGTGGTTTCGAAGACGGCATCACCCACGGACCTGTTATTCACGAGCGCGCCGCCAACAAGGCCCACGAGCATGTGCAGGATGCTACTTCCAGGGGCGCTCAGATTGTCATTGGTGGGCAGAGGGCTACCGCGCTCGGACCAAACTTCTACCACCCCACCGTTCTTACCGGCATGACCAAGGATATGCTTCTCGCTTCCGAGGAGACTTTCGGCCCTGTGGCTGGTCTTTTCCCCTTCAAGACTGAGAAGGAGGTTGTTGACCTTGCTAACCATGCTGAGGTCGGTCTCGCTGGTTACTTCTTCAGTGGTAATGTTCGCCGCATCTTCCGTGTTGCTGAGGCCCTCGAGGTCGGCATGGTTGGTGTCAACACTGGTTTGATTAGTGATGTTGCATCTCCGTAAGTTTACATCTCCCCCCCTGCAATTGGTATACCAAGCTCTAACCTTTCTATAGATTCGGTGGTGTCAAGCAAAGTGGCTTCGGCCGTGAGGGCAGCAAGTATGGTATTGACGAGTTCATGACTATCAAGAGTATAACTTTTGGTGGCATGAGTCAGCCTCTGCAGGAGTGAAAAAATTAGACACTAATGATCTACTTTCAAACTATATATTATCTCTTTTTTTTAAGACAAAATCTACCACGCATTTACATGAACCTTTTCCTCTTCTACATCCTCCATGCCTACTGTTGAACATCATGTACGGTGATGTTTTCTTTGTGTAGAATAAGTCCTGTATACCTTCCAATATCGCAGTAATTTTCATAGGAAGCCAAGCAGTCTTTTGTTCACCCTCGATTCGTCACATACACTAGACGATCACCTGACCGCGTTGAACACAATGCCAGCGGCAGAAATATCCACTGCCTCACCGCCCTCTATATCCCTTCTCCTACAACAAGCTAATCGGCATCTCTATCATCAGAAAGAAAAACTTTATGACACGTGCAATCTGTTCTTTCATACATAAGGCTATGGTCTGATCTGCTTCAATGCGTCCCTCAGTCCGTTTCCTCGCCGCGATCTCGCGCAGCCAGCCCTCCAAGCTGAAGAAGCCTTCCATCAGTCTAGACCATGTAAGTACTCAAGCTTGGTTTGAAGTATATATGTACTAATTAACCATACAGTTTATCCAAAGACAGCGGGTGTTGTCATTATGGCGGGAAATCGTGCGAGCATTAATAAGTACCTTGCCCACTATCCCAATTTCCGGGCCGTGTATGACACTAACAGATATGCTCAAGAGGTCCCTCCCTCGTCAACGCGGACTGAGTTGCACAGGTATGCACGAGATGAGTTCGAGCGCCATCGCGGAGTATCAGATGTGGTAGGTTGATGTCCTTAGTTCTAGGGGGAGCTTAATGTTCGGGAATTCTTGACTGACTTTTCTTGCTCTGTAGCAACACATAAGATACTTGCTTTCGGTACGAAGATTTTGGTGTTGTGTTCTAATACTTTGGATTGCTAACAAGCTTAAAGACAGGGAAAGCAGAATTTGAGACGATGAGACGCTATATCGATGAACAGATCGCTGGTTGACCTGTGTTTGATAGGTGTTTATGTATATATTTTTCTGTATATTAAATCAACTCTTGTTTCAAGAAATGTCCACTGTCCAATGCTGAGTAAGAGTGCATGCTGTTGAAGAAACTGTTGATATTGGAGGGGGGGGGTCCACCTCTATACTATTGGTTGCACTGCTCTAATGGAGTTGGAAAGTCTTCCAAGGTTTCCCGAGGTCTTTTGACGGGATTACCAAGGAACGTCACTCGCCAAAGACCATGTGTTCGGCTTAGATGAGGGGTAGCCGGTGCATATCCCTCAGACTAGTAGATTCTCCTCCGGACAAGGATGGTATCCAAGGCTCGTTCCACTACAAAGTACAAAAATGGGAGGGCTGCCAAGTTTCTCGAGTAAAGTGGTGGGGAGGATAAACTCTAAGGGGATTCTCTCTCCAAATCAAGGCATGCACTTCAATATGTCTGTCTCCGTATCTCCTCAATTGAATATAGACATCGTATTTGCTACTATGCAGATGATCTAGATCACAATAAACTAGGCAATTGATAGTGTGAATATGATGTCAAAACTCATGCTTAATTTTAGATGACCATTAATATGCATTAATATGTATGGATCTACACTGCTAGATGAATACAATGATCTTTCGCCACCTCTTCTCCACACACTCTAAGTGTATTCCAACTTCCCAGATGATTGTCTCACATTTACATGTGGACCTGAGGCATCCCTCGACGATTGGATGGCAGAACCGGAAACGGATGCCAGGTTGCAACTGTTTCGAAGCTTGCTTTTATTTTCAGTCCAGAACCTGTCCAGATCCTTGACGTAGTACGTCATTGATTTTGGTCCAGGCCTTTTATATATTTGTGTGAGAACCTGCACTGAAGATTCCATATATCATGTCGGATCTCTACTGCAACATTGTAGATTTTTGAAATACTCAGCTCATTGACTTGAAAAAATACCAAAAACAACCTATCAATTCTATTTTTAACCCAAATAACTTCTATTCCTTCTTTATCACCTCCAATACCTATAGGTAGCGTGACCAAAAACCATGAAATCCGTATCACCCACCTCCAACCCCATCAGCCCCGGGCGGGCAAAGCACCTCGAACGAAACCGCGTCGCCGCCAACAAATGCCGCGAAAGAAAGAAGAGAGAACACAAGCAAATTGAACGTCGTCTCACGGACGAAACAGAAAAGAAAGATATTCTCCTAGCACAGTTGAACGTTCTACGAGAAGAAGTCTGGGATTTGAAAAACCTCATCTTCCAACACGCCGAGTGCCAAGACCACCAAATCAACCACCAACTCGCCAGGATGACACAGACCGTCCTGCAAGGTCCTTCCAACCCGGATGCCAATAATTCCAGTATGCCCACCAGCTCATCGCCCACATTTTCGACTGGGACGTGGTCGGATGAGTCGGTCGCAGATGATACCAACCATATCGGTGCGGGCGCATATGATCGCAAGGACTGGACGGTGTTGCCTACAATCGCGGACGGTTTCCCCCCTTGCGAGCCGACTGGGTTTACCGATTCGATGTTTGAAAACTTTATCAATGCAGACAATGGGTATACCTAAGGACTATCCTTGGAACTTCCATTTGGACGACTGTTCTTTTGTTTTAGCGATGGGCGCTGTATATTAATCTCAGGACAAGCTGGAGAAGCTTTTACCAAAACTCATGGAAACTTTTCATAGTTACGAATCAACGAATATACGAATCTGTCTATGACATGGATACTATTTCCCCTTCCACATAACATTCCCAAAAAAAATTGGTTCCTCGGAAAAGGGATTCCTATGACGCTGAGGCTTATGCCACATTGTGATAAGTTCATGCAGAAGCGCTTCCTCCTTGAAAGCCTTGACTCTCGAATCTGGACCAAGCCATTATTACTTCACAGACACTTGGGTCACACGAGGTAGACGCGCACATATGAAGATCCACTGAGGAATGAAAAGCAAATGGAATGTGCAAGAATTCTTCAGTGTCTGCGCTGGATGTGACTGGAGATGTGGGGAGATCCACAAAAGCCAAAGCCGCTGATGTCACTACCCGTCGGCTCTGACGGCATCGAACTGTTCGTATATATTTCCTATTGATCTCGTCTGTCTTTTCCATTCATATTATTCGCATTATTATGTTTATATGTTTATCTCACTGATCCTTGTATTATAGCACCATTACTTATTTCCATATTTTCTCCGATGATGCCCACGGCCTTACCTACGCCACCCTACGGGGAGCAAATGGCTACCTTCTCCCAGAAATCAGTAATGGGTACAATATTTGAGACAACTGAACGGTTAGAGAACCAAAGCCGGTAATATCCTACATCTTGTATGCTAAGATTATACGAAACCAGCTATACGGAATGGAAGCCTCTCGGGCTTGGAGTATCTGGGCTTGTCTGGTATTGTTTTCCTGTCTTCGAGCAGATCCATGATCAGTCGAAACTGACATTTACTTCCTTTATAGCTCTGCAAGAGATCAGCTTGCCCACCAGACTGTCGCCGTGAAGAAACTCGCGGAACCTTTTAAGACACCGGCTATTGCAAGACACATGTTTCGAGAAATGAAATTACTGAGACAGTTGCGACATGAAAACGTGAGTGTTCCAGCAGATAGTATGAAAACAACTGTCTAATTGTCTGCCAGATCATAAACTTGACCGACATATTCATTTCCCCCTCGGAAGACATGTACGAAGAGACTCCACTCTCTTTACATAGAAAGCACTAATAACTCTAGATATATCGTGACCGAACTTATGGCAACCGATCTTAACACAATCTTGAAGGCGAAAAAAGTCGAAGACCAATTCGCCCAATACTTCATGTATCAAATAATGGTGTGTGCCATCTATACCAATACCCACCCAACAAGCACGATTTTCTGATCAACAATCCCAGCGTGGCCTGAAATATCTCCACTCAGCCGGTGTCATCCACCGAGATCTAAAACCAAGCAACATCCTGGTGAACGAGAACTGTGACCTGAAAATATGCGACTTTGGCCTGGCCCGGATCCAAGAATCACACATGACCGGCTATGTCTCGACGAGGTACTACCGTGCCCCGGAGATCATGCTCACATGGCGAAAGTACGACGAAAAAGTCGATATATGGAGTGCCGGGTGCATCTTCGCTGAATTACTTCTGGGCGAGCCTTTGTTCCCGGGAAAGAACCATATCAACCAGTTTTGTGTTATCACCGATCTACTTGGTAATCCGCCTGAAAAAGTGATCAACAATATCACAAGTGAAAATGTGAGTGAGATTATACTCTTGAAATCATAGTATACCCACGGAAAGGGGTTTGCTAATTTCTTTTTCTTTTCCTGTAGACGTTGAATTTTATCAAGTCACTCCCAAAGCGAGACCGCACGCCAATATCACAGCTCATCCCCAAGGTCAATGCAGATGGTACGCTCAGTCTATTTCTTTCCTTCAGAGCATCAATTATAATTATATACCTGAACCAACTATCAAAGACAACCAAATACTAACCAACCCAGCTGGGGTATTGATTGACAGAATGCTCGAATTCGACCCCCAAGTCCGACTCTCCGCAACAGAAGCCCTCGAATCTCCATATCTCGCACCATACCACGATCCCAATGACGAACCAGTCGCAGCAGAAGCAATTGACTGGGCCTTCCTCGAAGCAGATCTCCCAGCCGATATGTGGAAGACCATCATGTCAGTCGTCAATCCTACAGTAAACATCGACGCATCTCCGGACATTCTGCTGACTATTTCTAGGTACGGCGAGGTGCTGGCATTCCACTCGGAAATGGACCATTCTGGCCAGACCGGGCCGATGAAATCAATACACCAGATTGACGGAATGGATATCGGTTAAGCCACAATCTATATATCTCGGGTATCTCGGTTATTTTGTGTTCATTGAAGCTTTTTTTTGATAAAACATTTTAATGCTAGAGTGGACTCGTTGTTTGAATATTTCTATTTTAATTTGATATCATTGCTTTTGGCGGTGCTATAAATGGAGTTTAGTTACACTGTCGAGATGGGATGGGAGAAAGAGTATAAGAACAGATATCTTATCATATTAACATTAGGTCGATACATGACCAGACCATTTTTCTGGCATTATCAAAAAGTCCTTGCTTATAAACAGGGGCAGACATGTATGTGTTCATCAAATCAACCAAGTGGGGTATCGCTTTCATTTAGGAAACTCAACCGCGTGCGTATCATAGCTTGCAAGTTGTGCAAGCGTCCTTGTTACATAAACATATCCTCAGGGTATGGACGAACCCATCTAGACAGCGGCATCGGCGGTGGTGGCAGTGGTGGTGTTGCCATTGGTATTGGCATCAGCAGTAGTCATCTCCGGGGAAGGATCGTCGCGGTGGTTCTTTGCGTTGCGGCGAGAATTCTTCAGATCTAGGATGGCGAAGGTGTTTGTGACAACGAAAGTAGACCTGTTCGTAGCAATGGGTTAGATAATGTATGTGTGTGTGTTAATCGTTGATCATCTGCTCTTACCATTGGATGGCGCCGACGACTATCAAAGCCTGCAGGGCGTGACAGCTGGCATAGTGGCATGCGCCAGGCGAAGGGATCATGGCAGCCAAGGCAATCCAGCCGCTGAGCCAGAGGCCACCGGTGAGCAGCTCGATGATAGGAATGGCGATTTCATGTGAGAAACGAGGAAAGCGTAGGGGTGCGAGGCCCAAGTATGGGATTGCGATGCCCGTTGTCCAGCAGCCGTTGAAGAGCATGTAGTAGATGACATTTGAGTAGGACCATTCGTCATACAAAGAGGCGATTTCTAGATGGAGTCAGCGTTGCTCTGATAAACTTCATATATAGTGAAACATACCATATGCAGTAAGACCAATCGTGGCTAGAGACAGGATGGCCTGCACGATTCGCAATGGGTTGATCCAGGAAAGCATTTTGAATATGGAAATAGTTCTTTGTGTTGGGTATCACGTATGCAGGTGGGTATATCTTTTTGACAGGGGTATGGAGGAAAGGATTGTAAAACGAGATCTACAGTCATAGGGGAATACCATGTGCCTTTATACTCTCGTGAGAAGACCATAAGGCGACTAGCTCGTGCTCCACACGTCATGGCACTGTAACTCGGAAAAGAATATGCATTGGGGAAGATTTGCAAGATTTAGGCTGGATGAGGGGTGGAGTCTCGGAGCAGGGACTGAAAAGTTTGACGAAGGATCATTCTGATAGACCCTGGGGCTTACCAAATTAGGGTTTGGTGTCGAGTAGCTCAATTTCCCCCGCCTTTGGATCATATCCAGGGCTCCTTTCACCATGCATCTGACCATATTAGTCTTCAAGATGAAAAGCACGTTCATTTTCTGTACTCTCCTATACTCTTAAGAATTCAATGCAATATCAAACCCACATAAAACCACACACCCTTGACGGCACTCCCGTTCCGAATATGCCCTGGGAATCATATGTTAGGTTACCGCACGGCGCTAGCCTTGTCGATCTCACATGAAAGCCTCGGCGAAGCAAATGTTGACCCAAAATCAACGTGCTGCTTTTTCGGAAATCTTCCCAGGATCCTGCCAAGAAGGTGGTTTACCTTGCTGTGCTAGTGCCGTGCTTGTTTGGCGCGGATCAATTGGGACATTTCAACCTCGGCATGTCGATCGTCGGACTCCCCGTACACAGCACAATCCCAGATACGAAATGGATACGACAACAGGATGAGCTAATCGTACTTCTGTCGCTCACACTTATACATTCTAGAACGTCATAATTCATCAGTTGAAAAATCCACATACGATTGGAGAATTTTGATGCATATGTACAAAAAAGAAAAAAGAATCTCTCCTATCTTACAGAGCGCATGCCAATCAGTTCCGTGAAATAAGAGCCCTCACAGCATCCATAACCCCAATAGACTTCTCATCGGCAGGCTCGATCGATGACCGCGCCGCTTCAGACTCCTTGCGCGGCGCCGGTTTATTCCCGACCTCCTTAGCCGCAGCCTCAATAGAAGCGTGGCGCTCCCTCCACTCGCGATCCTCCTTATCACGAATTTCCAACTCGCGCAACCACGCGTCACGCTTTTCTTGCTTCTTCCGAAGTTCCACGGCCTGGTCGAATTCCCGGCGCTGCTGTCGCTCCGTCTTGAAGTACATTCCGCCGGCGACTAGGGCGACTAGTGTGAAGGCTTGTGCGTAGATACGGGCTCGGAACATTCGGTTCATTTCAACCGAGTCGCCGGATTTCATCGACCGGTAGGCGCGGTAGAGGGCATAGCATGTTGCGGCGCATCCTGTTGTAATATGTATTAGTTTTTTAATGCTAGGAAGGAAATTCCGAGGGAAAAGGTAAGGGCTTGGGCTAGAGGAAATTCGTACCAAGTGGAACAAGCGGCTCTTCCTTGAGACGTCGTGTGAATTTTTGAACGCCGGTCTCTTCTGTAAATTGACTGTCGCAGGCCGAGTGTTAGCAGACGAGCCTTCCCTTTATTTTCTCTTCGGCATTGTTGGATGCCGCTTGCGGGACACGCGGATAATGTGTAACACATACGGGTTTGCTTCGTCGAAAGACGAAGGCACGGGTTCCCGGCTCATCGTGAAGTTGATTGTGGTCGGGTATGTTGACAGTGGTCGTGCGGAGTTCAGTTGCGTCCACGGGATGCGGAGTTTTCGAGTCGGGGATATTTGGTCGACGCTTATAAATGAGGTGTTTAGTGGCAAAGATTAAATCGGGTGAGGAATTGCGAGTTTCGGTGTTGGAATAGGCTCGTCAAGATGCTGGGGCGCACAGGGTCGAGCTGTGGTATGACGCCAAGTTTTCGAACATATCGGGTTATGTAACTCAGCCCTGGAGCCCTGGAGACTACTGCATCTTCTACTGTGTCTTTACAATGCTACAAGGACATTAGGCTCTCTGTTTTGCTGAAATGCTAGTCATGAATCTCTTATCTTGTGATTGGTCTATAATAAAATGAAATGGAATATAAGTTATTCGTGTACAATTAGCCCCTCATCGTTGACCGCTATCTACTTGTATATCCTCTCTGTACCTATACCCAGGACTGCTACCCAACGTTCTCTCCTTTCATCCAGTCTAAGAGATACACAATTTCATATCTGTCTGGAAGATTACTATTCACTTTGATCGCATCTACTTGATTTCATCCGTTCAACACCCCTACATCAAGCTTTATTTAGGGCTATCACTCAGGGTTGATGACATAAGGAGCTCCGATCACGGTCCCGCCTCTGCAAGAAAAAAGAGTCAGAGTTTAGAATTTCCCGGCTCTCAGATTCTTTTTAATCAGCATTGGGATTGATTATCTTCATCGTTCGGCAGAAATCAACCCGAACTCATTATGTCCGACGAGACTCCCAGCGGCGTCGCGACGCCCGTCACTCCCAAGATGAGCGGGCTTGCTTTGACTGAGTATACCGCCGCTCCGACGCCGCCCTCTGAACGCGAGCAAAGAACCCCGGGCTTGCCTCCTAATTGGGGAATTCCTGAGGCTTTCCTACTTCCCAACGGCTACCCAGATGTAATTCAATCTTTTCAATTGTCACCGAATCTTCAAATTCTAACATTGCCCCGCCATTCTAGTATCTGCGGTTGATTTTGACGTCACGAGTTTACGATGTTATTGAAGAAAGTCCTCTTACCCATGCTGTCAACCTGAGTAGCCGGCTGAAAAGCCGGGTGCTTCTCAAGCGTGAGGATCTGCTTCCGGTGTTCAGCTTCAAGCTCCGTGGCGCATACAACAAGATGGCTCATTTGAACAGTGAGCAGCGCTGGAAGGGCGTTATTGCTTGCTCTGCTGGTGAGTCTATACCTGGTAGCCAATAAAACTGGAAGTGATTCTTACTCACTCCATATAGGAAACCATGCTCAAGGTGTGGCCTTTTCTGCCCGCAAGCTAAGAATCCCCGCTACCATCGTCATGCCCTCTGGCACCCCCGCCATTAAACACCTGAATGTTGCTCGCTTGGGAGGAAGTGTGGTTCTTCACGGAATGGACTTTGATGCTGCCAAGGATGAGGCTCACCGATTGGAAAAGCAGCACAGTCTGACAAACATCCCACCGTTCGACGACCCTTATGTCATTGCTGGCCAAGGTACCATTGGCATGGAGCTTCTGCGCCAGGCAAACTTGGACAAGCTCGAGGCAGTCTTCTGTGCTGTTGGCGGAGGTGGTCTGATTGCCGGCGTCGGAGTTTACCTCAAGCGCATCGCACCCCAGGTGAAGGTCATCGGTGTCGAGGCTTACGATGCCAATGCTATGGCTCAGTCCCTCGACTCGGGCAATCGAGTCTTCCTCAAGGAGGTTGGCCTCTTTGCGGACGGCGCAGCAGTCAAGTCTGTTGGCGAGGAAACTTGGCGTCTTAGCCGCGAGGTCATCGACGATGTCATCCAGGTCTCCACCGACGAGACCTGCGCGGCCATCAAGGACGCCTTCGAGGATACCCGGTCCATCGTCGAGCCCGCTGGCGCTCTCGCCCTTGCCGGTCTCAAGAAGTACATTGCCAAGAACCCCAGCCCTGACCCCAACCGCGAGCTCATTGCCATTGCCTCCGGTGCCAACATGGACTTCGACCGTCTGCGGTTTGTTGCTGAGCGCGCTGCTCTTGGCGAGAAGAAGGAGGCACTTCTTAGCGTGAAGATCCCCGAGAAGCCCGGCGCGTTCGCCAAGCTCGTTGAGATTGTCCTGCCCCACGCCGTTACCGCATTCAACTACCGTTATGCCCGCGAAGAGTCGGCCGATGTGCTGATGGGTATCTCGCTATCTGCCTCTACTGGCCGCGATGACCTGGCCAAGATCATGATAGAGCTAGAGAAGGGCGGCATGAGCTGCCGGGACTTGAGTGATGATGAACTTGCTAAGCGTCATGTGCGCTTCCTCGTCGGCGGCCGCTGCGAGGTCGCCGATGAGCGCATCTTCATGTTCGAGTTCCCCGAGCGTCCAGGTGCCCTCGCCAAGTTCCTAACCACCCTCCGTCCTGAACAGAATATCTCTCTGTTCCACTACCGCAACTACGGCGGTGATGTGGGCAAGGTTCTGGCTGGAATCCAGTGCCCGTCGGGCGAGAAGGAGGACGTGGACTCCTTCCTTCGGGATCTGGGATATCCGTTCACTGAGCACACTGACTCTCCTACTTACAAGACGTTCTTGCGTTCTGAATAAGCATTTTGTTTCAAAATCACAAATGGAGAGAAGGCGGGTAACGAGAAGATGCATTGTTCATAGCTTGTTATGGTTTAAGCGGTTTAAGGTTTAGGCCTGTTTTGTCTCTTATTTGGCGTTTGGTTCATTTCGATAGACCCTCTGTATCATAGGTCACATAGTCTACTTTTAGGGTTTCTTACTACATACCAGCATAGGTACAAATACCCTCAAATGTCCTTTTTATCCAGTTGAACATTAATGCCCGCAATTATATCTAGCAGATCAGGTCTTCATTTCAACTCAGCAAATATATTCCGGCTAGCTGGCCTGAATAGCTTCAATAAAAAAAACCGCTTTTCTCTCGAGTCACTGAATAAATCCACACTTTCGCATTGTCTTTCTGTTTTCCCTGCTGTCCTTATACTTGTAGTGCAAAACCGACCAATCACAGCGGCCAACCCCCTCGGCCGACCGGCGATACAGAAGCTCCGGCCAACATTTGCGATCGCAGCACGAAAGAACCTTGGAAGCCAAACATCAACCTCGCACCGCGCCACGATACCTCTTGTTCTTTATAAGGTGATACTTGAGGCGCAGCCTCCAATTGATCACCTTCCGTGGAGATAGACCGAAATCGAAACCCGCCGCCATGTTCTCCCTCCGCTCCGTCTTCGGTGCCTCCTCCGGTGCCCTCCGCCAATTCCTCCCCTCTGTGACCACCCGGACCGCCTCATTACGGCCTTTCTCGCACATGATTCGCAACAGCTTGACGAGGCTCCGTGGACAAGCAAAGTCTGGCAACGCTGTTGCCGTGGCGAATGGGTCTGCTAGACAAGTGGAGCAGATTCGGGGAATGAAGACTCGGTCTTCTGTTAAGAGACTGTGTGATGGCTGCAAGGTATGATTTAAGATATTGGATACCTCCATGTTGGAATGATTGGGAAATCGTGTTTTGACTAGTGGGTGCTGACTGCTGAACAGCCCGTTCACCGCAAAGGCCGTGTCTACATTATCTGGTGAGTGATTACCCTGTGCCATTGAAGGCTATACTTGAAGTCGTTCAGTTTTAATATTTGTTTTCTTGGTTTTTAGCTCGAAGAACCCCAAGCACAAGCAACGGCAGGGGAAATAGAGTCGTCGCTTTCCCGTCTTTTTCTCCGATAGCGTGCATCGCTTTGTCCTTCCGCGGCTGCCTTTACTCGAACAACCAGAGATATCGGCAATATTTCTAGACATACAAATATGCTCTCGATACCCAGGTCGTCTTTAAATCCCTTGGATACACGACTTGTCGTCGCGGAACTCGGATCGGCGGCATACTTTTGCATTCTTGTTTCAAAACCAGACAGTGGTTGGATACCACGGCGCTTGTGTATTTTTCTTGTATATTAGTGTGGCAATCAAGTTTATTGGGTCTTCATATTTCAATCCAACTCATATCATGATCTCCAGTCTTGTCTTTCTTGGATGGCCAATATCTATAGATATATGCGCAGTTTACTCCAACCAACGGCCTGTCACCATACTCAAGCCTCGAAACAACCAAGACATCATCGTTTTTCATGTTGATATCTCATTCTATGGCTATACATCCACCGAATTGTAATCTACCGGCTGTGATGGGCCGATGTAAATAATCACGTGATTCGTTCCTGGCTTCCCCGAACTTTTTTTCGGGGAGCCAACTAAACATTCAATTCGCGTTGATCATATCAATTCTGGTGTGGTTGGATCATCACCATGCGGTCTCCTTCTCTTGCACGGTTACAAACCCGCGCGGTATCTGGTTTGACCAGATCAGCTCGTTTCCAGCCCCAGACTCTTCTGCGCCAGCGATGCGCTTCTACGGCCGCGTTCCGGTCCGCCGCTGTTGCGCCGGCTTATCAGTCGAAGTTGGGGCAATGGGACCAGCGCCGAAATGCCTCTGCTGCGGCTTCTGCAGTGTAAGTATACTCGCCGAACTGATCTCTTTTGTTTTACTCTTTCTAATGTTATTATTAGTCTCGAGGCTGCTAAGGCCAACCCGGAGGGTCTGTCCCAAGCCGCCATTATCGACAATCTCAATCCGCTCGAGGCCGAGCGTCTTAGCAGGTGTCGTAACATTGGTATTGCGGTATATATTATTCCGATTGCTTGCTTTTTTGTTCTTGTCTAATGAAGTCTCTCTGCACAGGCCCATATCGACAGCGGTAAAACCACATGTACAGAGCGAGTTCTTTTCTACACCGGTCGTATCAAGGCTATCCACGAGGTCCGCGGGCGTGACAGCGTCGGTGCCAAGATGGACTCCATGGACTTGGAACGTGAGAAGGGTATTACTATCCAGTCTGCGGCCACTTTCTGTGACTGGGTTAAGAAGGATAAGGAGGGTGTTGACCAGAAGTACCACCTCAACTTGATTGATACCCCCGGTCACATTGATTTCACCATTGAGGTCGAGAGAGCGCTGCGCGTTCTGGACGGCGCTGTCATGATTCTGTGTGCTGTCTCCGGTGTCCAGTCCCAAACGATTACCGTCGATCGCCAAATGCGCCGCTACAACGTTCCTCGCATCTCGTTCGTGAATAAGATGGACCGTATGGGTGCCAACCCCTTCAAGGCGGTTGACCAGATCAACACTAAGCTGAAGATCCCTGCCGCTGCTGTTCAGGTCCCCATTGGTTCCGAGGACGAGTTCGAGGGTGTCGTTGACTTGATCCGCATGAAGGCTCTATACAACGTCGGCGAGAGCGGTGAAGAGATCATGGAGAAGGATGAAATCCCCGAGAAAGTCAAGGCCATCGCCGAGGAGCGGCGTACCATGCTCATCGAGACTCTTGCCGATGTCGACGATGAGATTGCGGAGATGTTCTTGGACGAGATCACGCCCAGCGAGGATCAGATCCGAGCCGCTATCCGCCGAGCTACTATTGGCTTGAAGTTCACGCCTGTCTTCATGGGATCCGCTCTGGCCAACAAGTCAGTTCAGCCTATGCTGGACGGTGTCATTGACTTCCTTCCCAACCCTGCTGAGGTTGAGAACCTCGCCCTTGACCAGAAGCGTGACGAGGCCTCTGTCAAGCTTGTCCCCTATAACTCTCTTCCTTTTGTCGGTCTGGCCTTCAAGCTGGAAGAGAGCAACTTCGGTCAATTGACATACATCCGCGTCTACCAGGGTACTCTCCGCAAGGGTTCCAACGTCTTCAACGCTCGCAACAACAAGAAGGTCAAGGTTCCCCGTATTGTCCGCATGCACTCCAACGACATGGAGGAAGTTACCGAGATTGGCGCTGGTGAGATCTGTGCCGTGTTCGGTATTGAGTGTGCATCTGGTGACACCTTCACGGATGGAACTCTCGGCTACAGCATGTCATCCATGTTCGTTCCCGAGCCCGTCATCTCGCTCTCTATCAAGCCCAAGCAAAGCAAGGACGGTGCCAACTTCTCCAAGGCCATGGCCCGTTTCCAAAGAGAGGACCCCACCTTCCGAGTGAGCTACGATAGCGAGAGCGACCAGACCATTATCTCCGGAATGGGTGAACTCCACCTTGACATCTACGTGGAGCGTATGCGCCGTGAGTACCGGGTCGATTGCGAGACTGGCCAGCCCCAGGTTGCCTACCGCGAGACCATCGGCAACCGTGTTGAGTTCGACCACCTGCTCAAGAAGCAGTCCGGTGGACCTGGTGAATTCGCCCGTGTTGTGGGATTCATGGAGCCTACCGGCGTTCTCGAGGACAACAAGTTCGAGCAGCAGGTCATTGGAGGCAGCATTTCGGAGAAGTTCCTGTACGCTTGCGAGAAGGGTTTCAATCTCTCTTGTGACAAGGGTCCTCTGATCGGCCACAAGGTTCTCGGCACTCGCATGGTCATCAACGACGGTGCCACCCACATGACTGATTCATCCGAAATGTCCTTCAAGAACGCCACCCAGCAGGCGTTCCGCAAGGCTTTCGCTGAAAGTCTGCCCTCCGTTCTGGAGCCTCTCATGAAGACGGTTGTGACCGCTCCTACTGAGTTCCAGGGTGATGTCATCGGCCTGCTGAACAAGCGCGGTGCCACTATCAACGACACCGAGACCGGTGTTGACGAGTTCACAGTCTACGCTGACTGCAGTCTGAACGGCATGTTCGGTTTCAGCAGTAACCTGCGCGCCGCTACTCAGGGCAAGGGTGAATACACCATGGAATTCAGCCACTACGAGAAGGCTCCTCCTCACATGCAGTATGTTCCAACCAGAATCACTTCTCTAAATACATTGTCCATTGCTAACCGTCTTCTCCTACAGGAAGGAACTCATTGCGAAGTACCTGAAGGCCCAGGCCGACAGACACAAGAAATAAACGATAAAATATGTAATAACCCCACCCTCTCCGACTACTCTGGCAACCCAAGTCAGGCAGTGCCTGGCACTGGCTCTTGTTGGAGCTACCTAAGAAGCAGCATATTTTGCTTTCAATCCCTGCTGCTTCTTCCATCATCAACAACCCCCCTGTACTATTTACGCATGGCACTATATCACACTGTGACTTTCTGGGACCTGTATTTCAAGATCAAGATACTACTTTCTACTCTCCTGTCTAAACAAATAGATCATTGTTTTATTATGTTGCTCTTTCTTTAAATCGTTTTTTTTTTCAAGCGTTGTACATTTAAAGAATCCAGTTCATGGGAGTTCATAACACAAGAATATATCCCAAAAGGTGTTCAGCGTTATTGTTACAATCATTCCTTAGGCAGAAAGACAAAAGACTAATATCTTGGCCAAAATATATCTCTTAGCGAACTCTAGATGCCTAGCCCTAATGTATCGACTCAACGTCCCCAGTTATTCAACCACCACACTCTCGAGCCTTGCGCAAGTCATCGACTCCCGCTTTCTTTTTAAGCTTAGGAGGGGTCGGAGGAACATTATAATGAACATAAGCATAAATAGTGTCTGAGGGACGAGGAGTATGCTGGTTGACGTCGACATTAACGGGAAGCTTTGGGCGAGCAGCCGCGGACGAACGCAGGTCAGCCTTATCCGTCCCCTGTTCAATGTTAGCATGTTTGCTTGGTACACAGTCTGCCCATCTGACTTTAAGCTTCTTTCCTGATTTGAAAGTCGACACACGCACAGATGAGGGATTTGGGCTTGAGGGACGTGAAAGAGGTGGCAGGGGGAGGAGGGATTTGTCGGGAAGAGCCTTGTCAGTGGGTAGGGCTGGGAGAGGCTTCTTTATGGGAAGGGAAGGGAGGGGCTTATCCTGTGATATGTTAGTCTGCTTCGAGGTATACGCAATTCGATCGGTCCCAGACTCAGGCAGAGGAATGTCCTCAGAGGAATCATTCTTGTGGAGATTGAATCTCCGGAACGCCTGGATGATGGGAATATCTTCCTCACGCACACCGGTAAACAAAGGAGGCAGATCTTCCCCTACACGTTGATCGTCGTCTCCTAACTTGTCCATGAGGTCTTCAATCTCTGGGTCGCTAAGCGCGCCCATGAAGAGGGGCCATCTCGGGTCAGCAGGCGGCGGAGTAGGGATACGAGGTGGAAGCTCCTTCGTGGCAGCGGAGCTTCCAGCAGTACTCTTGCGCTGGGTAGCTGGTAGTTTCGGGTGAGCGTCTTCGTCATAGACAGTCACATTATCCCAGATCGGAGCGCCTGCTTCGTCTCGGATTTGATAGAATGCCAACAAGCGACGAGCGATGTGCAGCTGGGTTTGTCCGTCCCTCACCATCATGGTCAGCCGGTAATCTAGATGAAAGTCTTGTTCGTACAAGACAGTCACGAGAAATGCACCAATCGCGACACCTGGGACCTTGTCCAGAATCCACGTCCTCAAGCATCTCCTCAGGTAATGGATGGCCTTGAGGTCCCAGGAAACGAGAAGGCGTCGTTCTTGAACGGCAAGCATGGTGTCGACAGGTCTGTTCTCTAAGAATGACTGGAAGAGGGCTTGTAGTTGCCACCGGCTGGTGCTAGCTTCCTTGTAGGAGCGGCTTGGATGGTGTGCTGGGCTGGAGGAGTTAATGGGAATCTTGTTACCTGTTGGAGACATTTTTTGGTGTAGAAGACGAGCGATATATTGTGAATGGAAATGTACCTGTGAGAAGATTCTTTTCTTTCTGAAAAGAAATGTTGTACCGGTCAAAATACGTGAAAGGTGATCGATCCTAATGGACATCTCCCAGGTATTTATGCTTCTTGGTCCTTTTCACGTAGTGAAGGTTCCCATTGTTAAGAATAGACAAGAGGAAGAAGAGACAACAAAGAGGTATGCTTGCACACTTTCAAGTCTTTTGACCAAAGAAGATATTGTTCTGAAATCACCTGCAAGAGTGGCAAAGTCGAACAAAGAAGAGCGAAGAGCTTTGTTCCAAAAATTTCGAGTCCTTCATTGTCGAACCCGGTTGCTTGCAGAGGAATATCATCTCGTATTATGCCCATGTCACCTTCTGAGGGCTGAAAGACAACCAATGGACAGGTTCCACCACCAAAAGAGGCCAATGAGCATTGTTCAAACCCAAATGTATTGGCACAGAGACGGACAGCTGAATTATGTACAAAAGGTGAAGACAAAATGGGAATCATTTGAAACAGACGCAACACTCCATTAAATCATATATGGTGGATCAGAAAAGAAGACAGCGGGCATGAACAAGCTCACTGGAAGGGTATATGCACGCCAATAGGGGCGATCGAGTTAAAACCAGTAATGTAAAAAGAAAAGTCCCCAAAAGCGTAGTGGGGACGGAAAAGGGATGAAGAAGAAATGTCCAAATGCAGCCTGTGATCAAAGCCACAGGACCCATCGGATACCAGTGAAAGCACCGCGGAAGACACTACGCACAAGTTTGAAAGCCATGACAATCAGCCACACCCACCAAAGCATAGCAACAAGGGCCCATTCCAAAACCATGAACCCAGTGCGGCGAATCCACCGCAATCGACGGCGACGCTTACGAAGACCTTTGTCGAGGGCATCACTCAGTTGCTTAACAGCGAGTGTGCTGGTGGTGTTAAGCTGGACACACATGTCCTCGGCGTCATTTGCTGTGGCTCGGACGCGAGGAGCCAGGGAATGGTTGACCAGGTTTTCCAGGTTCTTCAGCTGGGATCGGAGAGGCGACGAGGTGGAGGTGGAGAAATGATGCATGGATTGTTGGAACGAGTGCTGGGTGTGCTCGAAACGCTGGAGGAGGCATTGAGCAGCGAGGTCGAACTCGCCGATTCGCGTCACTCGTGGAACAGATGCACCAGGGCCCATGGAGCTTTGAAGCCAATGGGGGACTGGATCACGGGGAGTGTGGGCTCGGCGAGTAATCTCCCGGGCCTTAATCCCGGATGACAATAGAAGAGCCCGTGTGCGCTCGACCTCTGGTTTACCAGGTACGCCGGTGTCAATCAAAGTGTGGATACTGCGCCCAGATATACTCCAGGCGCGACTGGCACCTGAAAGCCCTGTGCGTCTTCCCTCAGGGGAAAGCCCTGGTGATGCTCGAGCGTTGGCGAGCCCAGTGACAGGAGGCCGTGTTAAGCTGAAAGGAATAGAGGGATCTTTAATCTCGTCGCGCTTTGTCCGTCCCGTGTGCATAGAAGGGCTGAAATCAAGGGTTTTGCTGCGTGGCAGCGAGAACTTCTTGGGAGAATCACGGGAACCATAATTTCGTAGAGAGGAAACTCGTTCGCTAGCACTGCCGAAATCGGTCCCCTCTGTTGCTTCACTTCGTTCATCTTGCCGCAGGGGTGATGTGAAGGTCGGTAGAGAGGGAATAAAGCTTCGGGATGAGTTCTTCTCGGAATTTCTGCGAGTCAATCGCCCAGGCTCCTCTGTAAATGTTGGGAGGCGCCGTAAAAGGGATTTGGAGCCATACTTCCTGTCGCCTCTGGATTCTTCGTCAGAATCGCTATCATCTGACGCAAAAGTGGTGGCGGACGATGATTTCCGAGATTCAGGATCTGCGTCTTTCTTCAGGATGAGATCCCCGACCTTGGAGACCTCATTGCCCACAATCTCTGCTATCCGACCTGGTCCCTTAAATATTCCTCGTAGCTTTGATTCGGGAAGATGGGGCCCTTTACGGGACCGATGTCCATCTACCCGATTGCCTTCCTGCGTGCCTTGATCATCATGATAAGATGACGACACAACGTCGGGAAGAGGACTCGGCTCAAGCTTGGAGGCGCCCTCCGTCCGTGCGGGCGCCGTCAGATTTCGCTGACGCAAAGTTTCGGGTTCCGGAAATTCATCTTCCCGCTCTCGCTCTCGATCTGCTTGTTTGCTCTTGCTGCCCTCGTGTCGTGAAACAATCTTATGACGGAGACCCTTCTTTGCGGGAGAGGGAGATCGACTTGACGGGGGTGACAGATTTACTGCTATGCTCGGGAAGTAGCCAACGCGAGCGGGAGAGTTAGGCGCAGTGCTATCCATGCCTTCTAGGGACATACGAGGATCCTGTCGATCATCATGACTGCCCGCTGATGAGAAAGAGCCTTTCCTGTGCTTGCGGGCTTGATTGGTGTTGACCGACAACGGCTCGGTTGGCTGTGGTGTCCTTCCCCGGTCAATGTCAGCGTTACGAACAGTCGGAGACTTGGCGCGGGATATCCGAGATCCTGAGTGTGCATGTTCGACGAATCTTTGGACATGGTCGCGGATATGCTCACGAGACATGCGAGGCTTTTCATCGACGGAAGGTCGGGTATCTGAGCTTGAAGAACTCGAGACACTACCCGAACGCATTTTGACATGATCCCATCGTGACGGCTTTCGTTTGCTAGAAGCACTACGGCTGCGTAAGCTGTGCGAATGACTTCGAAATCTGTGCCTGTGCCGCCCACGGCCCACGCTCTTGAATTCTTGCGCCAATGCAGGGTGAGAACTGGAGAGAGAAGTGCGCGGTGACGCATGTGCCTCTCCAGGATCTCCCATTTCGACCGAAAGGCGCTGCTGCTTATAAGGCGTCCCGATATCATCGCGTGTGTCCATGATAATTAATGCTTTAGGGTCAGGGTAGAGTTTACAGCCATCCTTGTCGACCACCTTCGTCTTGTTGGCACCATACTCCAGCCAGGCCGCATCGGCTAGAAGTTCTGCCGGCGAGATCTTCCAATCAATACGTGGTCGACGGGCCTTCATGCTGCTGGTTCGGCTGACTCGCCGTAGGCTCGATCCTGGAGAGGTAGGCATCATATCCATATCTTCATGTTCCCCAATAGATACATGGCGCCGACCTTGTTGGAAAGGTGGCAGCCTTAAGCAATCTAGTGGGTCGTACTCTCTTTGGCTGTATTTTTGCTCGACATCATTGATCCATTGATGGACTCCTTCAACGTCGTGCCATCCTTCTGCGGCTGCATCAATGGAGCATTTCTCACGATACCTGACTTTTCGGTTGCGAATCATTTGAAGCGGGTTATAATCACGGTTGGGTTTCTGTGGTTTAGACTCGGCGTCATGCTTGACTGCATCTCGAAGAGGGGGTAATGAGGGCAGTAGCCGCATATATTCATGAAATAAATCAAAATGATTGCGCGCTCTCTCAGCACGAGCCAAAGTGCTTTCAGAAAATTCGTACGCCCGGTGATCCTCAATCGCGGATGGGGGCAACAAATTCACAACAGATGATTGCTCTAAGCTCGGCAGTGTCCCCTGTGACAAACGACTATCGGAGACCTGAGTAAAATTGCGATACGGCGAGTCGCGCTGGAACTTCCTCACTAGTGGGGAATACGCATAGTTGTCTACTGTCGGAACAGCAGGTTGAGAGACAGATATTGGTCTTCGGCCCTCAGAGCCCGGGGGTATCCCAGAAGCTGTCCTCCTCCGAGATTCATTTAGATTCAAGGCCAGATTCACGATCTGGATCGAGTCTCTATCGAGGCCAGGAGTTGAATGTGCCACATTGTCTTCCTGTACCTCGGGCTGCGAGCTTCCGGAGGGTTGTCTATCAGAAGGCGTAGAAGCTTGCTGAGCACTTATCAGGCTTGAACTTGCATCCTCTGGCATTGCTTCAGATGCATGGTGCTTACGCCGACTCCATGGAAATCGCGAGCGTTTCTTGGGGACCACGATATCCGGTTCAGGAACGCTGCGCTTCTCTTGGGGAGGTTCTGAGGGGCGAGGGCGGTGCAGGCTAACCCTTGTGCTTCGCGGGCGAGGAAACGAGTCAAGCAAGAAGCCACCTGAGCTCTGGATCCTCCGCTGTCCCGGTGTCTTTCGATCTCCATCACGGGAACTGCTGCCCAGTGTAGTACCCTCTAACTCCCCGCTTGCTCGGCCGTCGTTCTTTCGGGGCGTGGTCTGGCGAGATGAGCCTCCATCGGATCGGAGTAAAGGCGACACAGTTCCTGAGGATCGGTCTTGGGGTCGTCCATTCGCCTGAGACATTGAAGATCGTACAGGGGGCTCGTTCGGTTGTTGCGACATTGCTGCAGGAAGGGCAACTATGCTAGATGGCAACTTTGGAGAAAGAGACGGACATAATTTGGCCAGACACAAGCATAAGAGCGATCAGCCAAGTTGGCAAGGGTTCAAATACCAGTGAAACCAAAGACAATGTTGCACGATCAGCCTGCAAGACGTAACATCCCCCGTGTAGATCAGTTGAATGCGCGTCAGCTAATGTTACGTAATCACTTTATTCGCACCCGCGGACCCGCCTAGGCAGCCTGGGCACGAAAACCTTCAAGACTCGAGCATCAAACTTATTGGGGATTTGATCTAGGACAAAGATGTGTATTAAGATCTAGAGTACAGAATCTACATGATGAACACCTTATTTGAGTCAACAGACATGGGAAAGTTCTAGCATTTGGGTCTAAAGCACAAGTACAACTAGAGGTACAGTTCCTGTAAAAGGCAAGGATATACAGGTTAAAATGAATTCAGCTTCGCTCAAAGTATGCGCTTATTCAACCCGCAAGCACTGGAGGCGGGCCTCGGCCTCGATGACCTGTAAAAACAAAGGTTGTTAGTGGATCTGTCGTAAATTGCCAAACCGAAACGGGGAACAAAAACTTACCTCGAGAGCCTGTCTGACTTCAAGAACCTTGCGA